GAGGATGCCTTCGCGTTGATAGATTTGCCCATGGTGCGCCGGTGTTGAATGGTTGGCTTGGTGATAAATTCGAAAGTTTTCTACGTAAATTCAGTACTAGCGCTACGCGAGGCAGACTGGTTGGTTCAGCCGGATTGCGTGTTGTTTCGTTTCTGAAATAATTTTTTCTATGGATATCAGGTGACATGCCCCGAGGATTTTGAACCAGAAGATTGACGAATGGAGGAATTGGAGCAACAATTTGACCAGTGGAACGATCCTACTTTGACTTTCGCCCAGCGCATGAGAAATGGAGAAACAATGTCTCCTGGTTTTGCCCTTTTGGTCAGGAAAGGAGAAGATGGACAGCCATGTCGAATCATGTTTATTTCCAATCCGGTCTTGACCAAGCCAGATGTAATGGAACCCAATACTTTTGGAGCTCCAGCTCCCTTTGGGGAAATTGTCAATAATGATCTTGCGCGAAAGTACGTAGGTGATCCTACAAAACGGACCCATTGTCTGTTGGGATCGCTGTCCGGACATACTTTTGCCTCTTATGGAACCGGCAATCGTATCGATTTTTCAAACTCTCTTCTTCCCGTTTTGATGACAGATGGAGCTGCGATTGGAAACAAACCTTTCAACTGTGATGATTGGAAAATTCTGTTCTTTCCAGCAATAGGGGTTGTCAATGAACCCAACCCAACTTTTTTTTTTTTGGGGGGCAGCTGTGATTGGTCGAGCAAAAAAAAAATAGTTGGTTTGGGTCAGAAAAAAAAAATAGTTGTGCCGAAAAGAGACCCAACTATAATATAGTTGGGTCTTCAATGACCCGGAGATAATTAATTCGCGGGATAAAAGCTTTATAATTCTGTCCAATGTTTTATATTTATCGTGTGGAACAGTTCAATTTTGAGTAAACGTAGCCCAAAGTTAAACAAAGAGTAGTTGGGTCATGCTATATTTTTCAAAGATAGAGAGTCGTTTGTCTTCTTCTCCCTTTTGCAGACAGCAACTTCTTGCCATAACCTACAAGTACACCATTTTTCATCAAACAACAATGCCAAGGAGGTCGAGGGAAGCGCTAGAGGAGCGTGTCACTCAAAGAGAGCTTCAAACGATAACTGGACGGACGAATGCTGCTGCTGATTGTCTTAACTTGCTTCTGCTTGGGCGAATAAGATCGCTGGAGTCCAAACGTTACCTGTACCGTTCCAAGTACCGAAAGTCTTCAACTTTTATCTTCGAACGAGACATGAACGCAATTTACAATGTTCTTCCAACTCCCGGAACTGCTTTAGAATATCCACAAGATGTGGATGCATGAAGTGGATGTATCTGTCGCTTTTGTTCTCAGCTAAGAGGCCATGGAGCTTGGCGAGACAAGCCTTCCTGAAGCTTGCCTCTTCTGCAATGGCCTGACGTTTGAATACCTTTTGTTCCTCTTCAAATCGCATACGGAAGTGCTTCTCCCGTTGTGAGATCTCCTCCTTCTTCAGCCCAACATTCTCTTCATGTCGCTTTTGCTTTTTACTCCCTTCCTCATCCAGCTGACTCTGTGATGTACGAAGAAAGGATTCCATGGTCTCCTCTTTGATACGTTTTCTTGCAGAAATGATGACCGGATCACCAGGTGTTTGCTTTTTCTTTGAAGCATTTGGGCTCTTTTGTTTTAAAATAACAGGAGGGGGGGCTCTCTTACCTGGTGGGGTGGGTGTTGCCAGTGTTGGCGATGGCCTTGGAGTTCTTTGGTCAACGGAAGTTGATGTACTACTTGGAGTGGTCACCCGAGTTGCGGTCGAAGCACTTGGACTTTCCATGTTGTTTTCTGCTACTGGATTACTCTTTCCACCAACCATACCAATAACATCAAGCAAAGAATCATCGTCACTGTCTGCCAAATCATTTCCCACATCACCGAAGCCATCATTCGGCATCTCTTTGTTTGTCTCAGGTGAAATGCCAACACGGTCAGTGAAAATAGGTTCTAGTTTGAAAAAGTTCTTGCACCTTTTCCTTACTAGGTCTTGGAAGCTGCCTTCATCTGTTGCCAACAGGCCAACGCCAGTTTCTGTGTACATGAAATCCCGTGCAACCTTATAGGCTCGTTCAATTCCTCCAATCTTGTCTCTAACCTGTTCAGCAGTTCTTTCAATCTTGATTCCTTTTGTTTTAAGCAGGCTTGAGATCTGGTGGGAGTACTGTGTCTTTGAGGTGCCTTTGCTACCGTTACCACCGCGGTAATTGCTGTAGTTGTTGGCTGTCTAAGGAGCCACTCTAGGAGGATAGTTTCCGAATTGACTGGATCAGTCGGGCCATTTGGGCCATCTTTATCCCAAGGGACCCGGGATGATGCCTTTGATCTCTGAATGGCCAAGTAACAAGCCTTGGTGCAAGCCCAAAACACTTCCCCGTCATTATTTTCCATAATATTCAAATTGTGCTGATGGCATTTTTCCTTCACTGTCATAGTCCGCCATACCAAAAAATGGAGGGAAAATAAGCAGGCAAAGTGTATCTACGACATATCTTACGTCACTGTAAACTACTGCATTTTTCAAAAATAGTTGGTTCGTGGCTTCAAAGGGGGTGGTCAAATATCGGCAAAAATACTGCATTTCTATTGGTCTATAAAAATAAACCAAAAATAGTTGGGTTGGGTTCATTATTGACAACCCCTAATGTCTGTTTGTCCTGTGGGATTTGTTTGGCCGGCAAGTGATGGTTTCGAGGCCTTTCAAGAGAGTATTACCAATCGGAAAAAGATATTCAATGGTCTCCTTCACCTATTGAAGTCCAGGAAGACTATCGTTGAAAATTAGTTCAATGCCGTTAAGGCCAGTCCTGCAAGTTTTGCGGTCCCAGTGGTGGATGCTCTGCCGTTTTGGTCTTGCTTTCCCACTGAGTATGACCCAGTTGATGCCCGTGTTTTGGATGTGGCCTTACTAGCCCCATTCCAAGAACAAATGGATCGTTTCCTTTGGAGCCACTTGATGCAACTCATATACAAGATGCGTGCTCAGGTCAGGATGCATAATATGCGCGTGGCGGAGTCTTATCCTTCTGCCTTGGGCATTACTTTACCACCTGAGTGTCAGGCCTTTGTCACCTACCTCTTCCCTTTTGAGGATGAAGACAAGGGATGGGATGGTCGTATCCCTAAATGGTACAAGACGCTTGATTTAGATTCTGGAACTGAGGTTCCGGATTCGTACTTGCAATACACCCCTCGCCCGCTGCCGTCATCTGCTCAAGATCCTGACAATTATGTTACACAGAGGTTGACATTGCCTCAAAAAGCACCTGCTGCCGCTTTGCCACCAATGGATGATGATCTTGCGGAATTCATTCAGGCTACCAAGCGGCACAAGCCCAATTCCCGTCGATCACTGGTCCATCTGCAAGTTACCCCCGCTCCTGAAGACTCTTTTGTCTTGACAGAGGAAGGAAACTTTGAAGATGGACATGGTACTAATTATGTACCCTAGGATGATCATGGCGGGATGCAACCGCGTGCTGATGGACAAGTCATGCCAGCAGTGACACCGTCTCCTTTGGCATATTGCCCAATGGATCATGTTGCTCCGAGCCACACTTTGTTTCCATCGTCTCGTGGCCAACATCAAGATTCCAGTTGTTTCAGAAATCCTTCAAGGGGCGATCCGTTTGCTGGTGTTATGAACGGTACGAACATACCACTCCAGTTGCCAGCCAAAGGTATGCCTCATGATGGGATCCATGATTCGACATGGAATTCTCCGTTTCAACAAGGTCCTCGTGTCAGAATTGATTCTACCCCTTGTGGTCCGTCACCTTTTGCTGGTCATCGTCCCACGACGTCACCGGCAATGGGGTTACCCACACCGGTGCACGACCAACAGATGTTTCCCGCCTCCCCAGGGCTGCCTATGCATCAGATGTATCCACATTTGCATCTGCCAATGTCTTACCAACTGGGGTATGATGGTACGATATATCCGATGAGTCATTATCCAACCCACCCAGCATTCCATACCAATAAGCCGAATTCTCGGTCCAAATATACCCTCATGTGTTTGGCAAGTATTAATTCGGAAATGGAGCGTCGTTGTTGTCCTCCAGAGTTGAAAGCGATTGGATATTGGTTGGTGCATCCACTTCCTCCTACTGTGGGCGTGGTCCGTACCTTCCTTGGTGATCAAGCGGCAACTGATGTGCTCCAATTTGGATTACCAACTGCAATTGGACGACGATGTCTGGAAGGTTTTGATTACAAAAACCATGGTCAAGTTGCCGTGAATATTGTTTGCACTGCTCTTGAGTACCGCATCAAACACCAATTTGGATCTTTTTCGCAAGTTGGAGAACTCCAGCGTGACCTACGGTCTGTGATGAACAGTGAATTTGTCAAAAGCAGTTTTAATATTGCTACTTGGGGAGTGAATCCTGACAATGCTCCACCTCCAGGAACATCTAAACAATTTTCTTTGCTGGCGTTCCTTCCGTGCGTTTCGGAAAACCTTTCTTCTGAATATCTCCCACGTGACGGTCTTACATGGCAGCAGATGAAAGAATTCGCCATGGTGACATACTATCACTTTGCACTTTTGGGATGCACAAATCCGACATCGGACAACGGTGATTATGACAATTCACTATTTCGGAATTACCTTTTTGGCCATTGTTTGGGATACATCTGTCAATGCGTTCAAAACACAAACTTGGGACATCGGTGGGATCAGACGCCGGCGCAGTGTACTGCTGCGTACTTTCGTGATTTGAGTGAACTGTTCTCGCCTATCTCTTGAAGAAGTTTGTTGACCATCGTATTGGCCATGATGTGGAAAACTATGGTATTGGTGATGCCTGGCCCACAAAAGACCGTAATGCGGTCTTTATGTCAGTATCGGCGCGTACAAATAGTACCGGTCTTATGGCACAATCGGAGAGTGTGGTTACGGTTCTTCATGAGTACTATGCTTGCATGCAACGTAGTTGGGGAGCTGGTGGTAATACTGCTCCAAACGAATGTTCGTGGGCTATGTCTTCCTCACCTTTCTTTGCACCTGGGAAACCTGCGCCATTTAAACATCCAGATGTACCAAAGTTGAAGCCTACTTGTGATGATAAAGAAAATGTCCCTTTTAAGAACACGAGTCCGTTGTTTGTTTGGAATCATGCAGCCAATCCTTTGGGACATAAATTGCCTTCGGACAAGCTGTATCCGGTGGTCCAGAGAGGCACCTATCCTTCTATTGTGAATCCAAAGGCAAAGCGTACTACTGGTAAGCATCCAATTTGTTTCAATTCCTCCTTTGAGGGCCATTGCACTTGTTCCAAACCCGGGACTTGCAAGACCCAAAAGGTGGTCCGTTACGCCGGAAAAACACGTCTTCATATTGATTTGAATGACGCCTGTTGGTCCGCGGCCACCTACAAAGAAGAGGATTGGAAGCCGATTGTCGATTTTATCAAAAAGTATCATACACACATTTTGCCAAGTGAGGCATTCAAGAAATTAACCCCAATTACAACTTGGTGATGGGATCCGCTGGTGCCAGAAGGGGCCCAGCTGGTGGAGCACGAGTCCAAACCTGTGGTCTCAGATGTTCAGAAAATTGAGGTTCCACCACGTTGTTGATTCTACAAGTGCCCGCCGCCAGAGATCAAGAACAAGTGGCCTGGTGATTGGGATTGGCAGTACCTACCGATTCGAAATTTGCCGTTGGATATGGTGCCGTGTCTACCATGGGGAGAGGATAAGAAATACAATACTCCTACCAAGACGATGCACCAAAACATTCCGGGTAATGGACAGGTCCAACCAACATTTCTGTTGATTGCACACTTGGTTCAGGCGAGTGACTATCTCGATGAGGAGGATTATGACATGATGGACCAGGTAACACCGGCCTTAGCGTGCGGCTCCTTGCTTTTGGAGTTTCCTTTTTCTCGTCCTCGGAAGACTACTCGGGGCTTTGGAAAAGTTCACAAGGATTGATACAGCACCCATGCAAAAGTCAATCCCCGCTCTATGATCCACTATGCCTGGGGTTTTCTGTCGCACATCGATCGCCACAATACTATGATTGTGGCATTGCCTCAGTGGCGCCAATATGCCTCTTTGTGCCGTTTCGCCTCTGTCACTTTGCTGGCTTGTTTGAAAGAACCACTCGTCCTTCCAGCGACAGGTATTCTGACCATGTTGGATCCCGTACGGGCGAAATTCAACTCTGCTGGTCTTCTTCAATTTGACTTTCTTCATGGTGATTTCATCCGTTGGTTGGGTGGAGAATATGTAAATTCCGCTCATGACTTCAATGCCGAATGGGATGTCATCGACTCCACATTGCATAATCGCGAAGTTCCTGCTGAATATCCTCCACTAAAACTGGAAATGGCTTACCGTATCCAGACCGAGGGCGTTCCTATCAAGGCCCAATAAACAACTCCGATGTCTGCTACTGTTCTACGTGAAGAATATGATAACCATCCTGCAGCTGCTGCCAATTTTTCGAAAGTCGAAGAGAAGTTTGCGAAAGAAGAATGGAAGGCCTATCACCTTCACTACTTACAGTTCGTCTTCCAATTTATTCCAGGATTGGTTATTAATCCCATCCAGTGGGTTTTTGACAAAGGCAAGGGCCGGATTTGTATTGATTGTTCCAATGGTCCTGACGACTTGGGATCAATCAACACCTACATCCCAAAACCTAAGCAAGATGAAACTGGCGATGAGTGCCCACCCATTCACTACCAGTTCGCATTCAAACGGTTCCTTCGTCAGATTCTCCGTATGCGCATCACCGAACCAACAAGTCCAATCTTGGTTCATGCTGATGATGTTGAGACTGCCTTTTGCTGAGTGCTTTATCATCCGGATGTGGCTGTGGCTTTCGCATATGTCTTTTCTGATTATTTGATTGTCCCAGTGGGTCAAGTGTTTGGCTTGCGAAAAGCTCCTTCTTTTTACTGTGTCCTTGCTGATCTGCGAGAGGTCCTGGCTACGTGTTGAGTCGACGTCCCTATGGACGAATTACATGATTTGGTTCAAAAATGTTCTATTTCTGTTGATACAACTACACCTTTGTGTACGGTGCCTGCGGATTCCCATCATCCACCATTGTCTATGGATGAACTGCTACGGATGTACAATGCCAGCTATGTTGATGACAATGCAGTCGCTGCTTTTGCTGCCCACATTGAACAAGCCATACATCATAGTGTGATGTCGGCCTTTGAGGTTTTTGGCCATGATCCAAATCAAGGTGATTGCCTTCAAGCGACAAAGTGGGAACCTGAGGTCACCGAAACCTTCTTGCTTTTGGGTTTTCGTATCAATACCCATGATATGACAGTCTCTTGGCCCCTTTACAAACGGGAAGATTTGCACTCGCAGTTGGTGGACATTCTTAAGCGTTGTCCTTGTTGTGTCTCTCCTCGAGAAATGGCAAAGATTGTTGGCATTGTCAGATCTGCATCTGAGATTGCTCCATGGGGCAATTTCTTGAGTTTCAACTTGCAAAATGCACTGACACAGCCAAGCGGCCAAGAATGCTTTCTCAGACAAACAAAGTTGGTGGACACGCTCCCATATCTATCTATTGCGGGTGGCAGTTGCTACGATTCATCAAATGTTGGAAACATTACTGGAACCTGAGGAGAGTCCACTTTGGTCTCGTCCTGTCGCATTATACTTGGATCATGATTACACCCACAGCGCGTACTCCAATGCCAGTTATGGGGGTTTGGGTGGTTGGAGTGCGGACTTCAGTTTCCTTTGGCGCTTGATCCATGACACTCTTGTCGAAGCCGGTTTCGACATGCGTGCCATAAAAATCTCTTCTACCGACCCAGCATCCATTGATGGCTTCCTGCATATCAACTCATTGGAATACTTGGGCGCACTCATCAATCTTTGGATATGTATAAAATGTGTGATACTTCTCACACCCCAATGATGGGGGCTATATCTTGGCTTTATTGATCGACAATACAACGGCCGTGTCGTGGATGTCTACTGCATCTCGAACAAAAGATCCTCTTCTCCAGGGACTGGCCCGCTTGGGTGCTGCATTGCTTGTTGAAGCCTTGCAATAACTAATGAAAGTTTGTCCTAAACATCATCCTGGAAACCACAACGGAGCAGCAGACGCACTCAGTCAACCACAGCTTCAAGGAAAAGACCACAAGAATTCGTTGGCCTTCGTCATCGCGGAATGGTCCCAACTACAGACATGTCGCATTTGCCTTCTGCCTTTCAAATTGCTGTCCAAGATTGCATCGACGCTGAAAGAAACGCCGACAGGGGATCAGTACGGGCGCGTAACGACAGATCTTTTGACTCTCGAGCCCACTTTTTTGCCGGTTGGTGCATCAGAAATGAACTTTCCGAGCACGATTTACAGAAGTTAGATGATGCTGGTTGCATTTTTGTTCTTGGCACTTATCTTCGTGACGTAAAACAGGGTGACAACAAACAAAAGAAAGCAGACTTGATGGCAGATACACTTTGTGCATATTTGTCTACAGCTCACAAATACTTGCAACATCGCCTTGGCCAATCTATCAATGTTATGGATCCAACATATGGTGGTAAGCAGAATCGATATCATCCATTTCTCTACCAACAGATCCATGATTGTGGTTGTTGGCAACAAAAGCATGAACGATATGCACCATTTACAATGGAAATTTTTCTTGCATTGCAACGATGGCTTGCTGGTGAACCAGATCCAACTGCAACCTTCCTTGGTAAGACACATTCTGTCTATGATTGGACCCGTCTCGGTAACTTCATTGGCTTTCGGGCTAGCGAATATTCTCAAGGCGACTTAGGTCGTGGAGAATTATTCAACAAGATTCCAAACAAACATTTCTTTGACAAGAACTATGTGTTAATCCCATACAAACATTTGATCACACGGTATAAACGTGGTGATGTTGTGTGGCTTGAACTTCGATGGAAACATGATAAGAGCTCATTCAACTTTGTGAAGAAACGCTTCAAAATCACAGGCCATCCTATCTACTGTCCCTGGTCTTTTGGAACCGCACGCTTCGCGCGCAATCCAAAAGACCAGCTTCACACCACAACCCACCAGAGTCACACCAAGAAAGAATCCCTCACAGAAGAAACCAGACGGCAGGCGCCAGTTGGCTATCGATAGTCTAACATAGACGAAAGCTCAAGAACGAATCATTGGATTCCTTTCATCATACTGACAACGGTCGAACGACCGTCACAACAGCATTGCTCAGCAACATCAAGTCCGATCAGTCTATCAAATTTGTGTTCGAGTATACGTCAAGAAATAAGGTTTATTTCTTTCTTTCCCTCCCTTCACATCCCTGTTAAGCCTTACATTGACGCATTCTACGTCTCTGCAAGGCCTAGTAGGCAAGCAAGTCTTTGATATTCCGCCGCATTCTACGTCTCTGCAAGGCCTAGTAGGAAAGCAAGTCTTTGATATTCCGCTTCGCGGAATATCAAAGACTGGCCTTTTGGAACCGCACGCTTCGCGCGCAATTCAAACGACCAAGAGTGAGTCACACCAAGAAAGAATCCCTCACGGAAGAAACCAGACGGCAGGCGCCGCAGTTGGCTATCAAGATACCGGTAGCGTACCTTGAATGAATCTCTTGGATCAGGAAGTCACAATGCATGATTGCGTCGACCTTCCACACAGTTCCGTTGCACAAAATGTAAATGCACATTTTATACATAAATCAACTTTTGATGGTCTTCGTTTCGCTGTTCCCATTCTTTCAATTCGAACAGCTCAACATCTTTACTTTACCAGTAAAACGATGCCATCTTGCGAATACCACACCCTCTGTAGGAGTAAACGAATGCTCAGTTGCCTCCATGTCAATTAATTTCTTGATCTTGCACAGTCATCTCTTACATCATTTACAATAAGATCGAAGGGGCAACCACAGAAAAAGTGGTTCTAGATATATATACATGTAACGATTTACACAAAGCATAATAAATGCATCTATACACATCTATTCCTATTTCAAAATGAAACTTTGCCTTGTTGTTGTTGTTGCTGCTACTGTTCGGTTCGTTTTCTCACTCGTCAAGAATCTGTTGGACAATTCCGATTGCTTTTTTCGCAAGGTCTACCGGCTCTTTGATTTTCACTTTTCCATTTCCTGGTTGGAAGTATACAAATACATTGTCGTAAGTGAGCTGATCGGTCATTTGAAGTGCTATTGATAGTTCATCCTTCACTTCAAAGAGCTCCACATCGCCAGTTTCCTTTGCCAGTTGAAGGATGACATTTTGCGAGTCACCAAGATTCCATAGCTTATTGACGGGTGGCGTCTTGAGAATGGTTCTGACCTTGTCCCATTCTTGTTGTTCCAAGAGAGCCGGAATATCAACGAGCTTGGATTGGCAGGTTTTCAATTCGTCTTTCAGGGAAGCTACTACGGAAGTGGCAGCTGACGCAGGAAGTGGCGAGATTGCAGCCACTGTGACGAGAGTAGAGGTGGCAGCAATTGCTTGTTGGAACCAATGGCGGCGGGATGTAGCCAGTCTCTCTGTATTCGATTGCTGTGATGTTCTTGTGATTGGATCTGGCATGGACCAAGCCTCGACTGTGGTGGTGTCACGACCGAGGTAAGCTGCTGCTAGAACAGCGAGGAGAAATATATTGTAGCTGGAGGATTGCATCGTTCAGATAGAGATTGCGAGACCTTGAAACAGCAGAGATGTGTGTTGTGTTCCCAGTCAATGGATCTGTGTATACGATGAGATGGCGACATCGCATGATGATGAATTTTTGAAATACGTGTTCATGTTTCGACCTGTTGGACTAAGTCCTGTCGTGTGTCCTTCGCCTGTCCAAAGAAAGGTCGTAGCGACGTCGCACTGCTAAGCTGCGCAGCTGCTTTCAATAATAGCGCCTCTGCGGTTCATTGACAATAGGTTGCAGTTATTGTGTGATTTCTGTCTTCTCATCCAAACGAACGAACCATTAAAAGTGCGAATTGGCACTCTCCATGTGTCTACCACGAAAGAGAAATACAAACAAGACATCCCTGTTTCACCATTGCAGCGCGCGGTGTTAGAAACTACGAAAAATGTCAACCACAGACGAATCGTCAACTTCCATGGACGACGAGCACTTGATTGTTGAAGCAACCTATCACGAGCAGCATGCCAATAGTAGTGCTGCCTTCGTTCTCCTGAGACGACGGCGACGACAGCAACTGGGGTGGAGACATCATATTTCAGGATCTGGATCACCGACAAGATTTCGCAGAATCTTTATCCGTCCTCTGATGGTATTCTTGATTGGATTCTGTTATCTGCAACGAAGAAGCATTGTTGTTCGAAAGAATCCAAGTCAACAGCAGCAACAACAGCAACAACCAGAACTAGAAGAAGAATCGAGCCGATGGTTGAAGCCTTCGTACTCAACATCATCATCGTCCAATTTGGAGTTTCACTTTGGAAACGAGACTCACGAGATGGACTTCGCATCATCATCAAGCCATACGATACGCTCCAACAACAATAACAACAACAACCCAAACTTGGTTTCCTCGGCCTCTCGCATGAACCAACATGCTTTTCATCCACCATACTTTCCGCGGCACGTATCATCATCATCATTGCACTCCTCGTCCGCAGACTCTGCCGAGTCGGATCCAGAGACCTTTGGATGGGAACCCTCGTTGTATCCAAACCCAAGAGAAAATCCACAAAAGTGTGGGATTGCCTACTTATTTCAGAATGAACATTTCGTACAACAATCCAATGATACTACTACAACTACTTCCTCTACTACTACTGATAACAGCTTGCAACTCTGCGATCCTGATTGGGTACTGGGAGGAATCTATTTGGAGGAAATTGCTATTGCCATGAAGAACTTTGTGGCAACTTATTCGTCGCAGCCACCCTTTGAGGTATCGCCTCCTGCTAGAAAAACACGAATGCTACAACAAGACAAAAGAGGCTGGGAAATAGTCGACGAAGATTATTTGAAGGATACGCCACCTTATTTGCAACAAGGTACGCCACCGCCAATCGATCCAGTCAACAACGAATCAGCAGGAGACGAGAATCTTGCCAGTCCCGATCTTTTGGATTCCGAAAAAGAGGATGATTCGATAGGTGAAGCATCTGTTCCTTTTGTGGAACTTGCTATTGCGACTGTTCGTAAGGTACGTTTTCACTTGACGGGAAGAAGGCATGAGAAGGCATGAGAAGGCATTAGCTAAACATTTTTATTGTGTACAAATGACATATCCCTAACGCCCGTCTCGTCCTTTTCGCGCTATCTATCTATGAATATACAATAACAGATGCACATATCAGCAGTACTAGAGCATGGTATTTACTATTCGTATGAGGATGAAGAAGACATGGTTTCCGATGCTGCCCAAATATTCGCTCGGTATCTTCACGATCGCTGGTGGCAGGGAAATCCAAATGGGGCGTATGGAATACTGATTTTCTTGTCCATTCAAGACCGCGTATGCTTTATCTCTACGGGGAGTGCCATTACGACGGTTCTGCCGTGGTGGAGACTTGAGCATATTGTCGCGAGTATGAAGCCTGATCTGCGTCATCGAGACTATGGACATGCGCTGCTGACGGCCATTCATGATTTGTCCGACATGCTAGCGGAGGGTCCCCCCACCTTGGCGGATCGGTTTCATGATTTCATGGCACGCTTCGGAGTAGTCATTGCCTTTGCAGCCTTTACCTTTTTCTTTGGGGCCTGGGGGGAGTTCCGGGATCGACGGAAACGATGGGAATATGCGGATTCCCGAAGCAAAATGTCACAAGTCGAGCGGGAAAAAGCACGATTGCTTCAACGAGAGTTCAAGACGAGGTCATGTCCAATATGTTTGGAGAACTTTAACGATGGCACTGACAGCCAAGGGAATCTTTACGAACTGTCGATGGAATATGAAAAGGAACAAGAAGAGTATGCTGACTCCCAAGATCGAAGCACGGGCAGCCGTTGTTGCTGCACTCCAAAGTCAGATAAGAAAGTGAGTAGCGAAGAGAAAGAAGCGCCCAACAACTCTCTGTTGCGGCGAGTGGACAGCTACGGAATACCTCTTTTGGGGCCAGATCATCGAAATGTGAAGATGCTGCGATGTGGCCACATCTTTTGTGATTCTTGTTGGAAAGAGTGGGTGCATTCCGGACAAGGAAATCCATGCATATGTCCGGTTTGCCGGCAAGACGTTGGAAAAGCATCTAAACATCGGCGGCGTAGGCGACAGCAGCAACTTCAAGCGGAAGAGGCCCGACGCGAGGAACAACGATTGGAAGAGGCAGCTAATGCGGCTTCTACAGCTCCTCCGAATACGGATACGACGCCACTTATGAATAATACTTCAGCTCGCTCAAGTGGTGGAACTTATGATTCCTTATCATCTTACCGGGCATCATCGATTATCGATGGAGTTGACGAAGAGAATGGCCATGGAGGCGAAGGCATGTTTTCAGAACTACAGTATACTCTATCCGAGGGCGGAGGGCGAGCTTCCTTGCCTTCAAATTCAAGCCATTCGATGCAGCCAAATCCCTTCCAGGCCAATGCAAGAGCGACAAATGGTGGACAGGAGGGTGAGGATGGAGAAGGGGATCAAGGAGAGACACAATCCCTTTTGCGAAATGGTCCAAGACGGGCCCAGCGCAACTGGTTTATGAGGTAACAAGTCAATCATTCAGTCCACAACTGCAAGTACAACTATAGTATGATATCATTAGAGCTCTTGTTTGTAAATTAGATTTTTCATCTTGCAAGACCAAGTCGATTAAAGTTTCTCTCCCCATTGACACTTCAACTCGTACTGCATGAGATGATTATTGTTACACTCTAACCCTTTCTCTTTCCATCAGCATTACATATTATGAAGTTCGACATATTAGACTAAAATGACGTATGTCCGTCCCCCGTTTGTATTCAGGACCAAGCAACATTTCAAAATTGAATCCTCATCATCGTTACTGTTCTTATTAGGCAGACGAGAAGGGTTTCGATAGCAACCTTCCATAATAGCCGTAGTTCGATATTCCAGGCAGACTTCCAAGTCGACATGGAGGTCTCTAGTGAAACCAAAGCATCCATAGAAGCGATGTATGGCATCATCAATGACGACAACGATGGCAATGACAATACCAACGCTGGTTCTAGCACCAATCAAAACAAAAGCGGAACGGAGAAGACGGAAAGCGCAAAAAATCCATTAGATATCATTCCTCAGCTGGAAGAAGACGGTATCACCTACGGTGATTTGGAAATTACTGTCAAAGTCCTCAACGCGGTCTCGAATTTGATTCCTACGAAAAAGAACAAAAAGCGAAAACACAAGCAGACCAAGGAAGAAGCCGCAAAAGAAGAAGAAATTGCATTCGAAAAGTACCAACACACGAATCTAAGACCACTTCGAAAAGCCATAGCACAGTGTATGAACATACATCAACGACGAATGTTCGCAGGCAAGTCGGAAGATCAATACTACGACGAAAAGAACAAGGCTCGATCGTTGAAACGACAAAAGATGGCTGAGCGAGAGATGCAACGAAAGTACATTGCTGACACTGCTCTTCGAAGAGGGCGGATTGAAAGGTTAAAACAAAAGCAATCGGAAGCGAAGGATGAGGAAATCGCCAAATTGCAACAGCGTATGATGATCCCAGACGGACACGTCGAAACACACAACCATGCACCCAAACTACTCATGCCAGCATCCAAGGAGATTGATACAAACAACAACAATGAAAGCACCGAAGCGCCCAAGAATGGTAACGGAGAAAAGGGAATCGAAACGATTGTGGAAAGTGTCACCGACATGATAGATGAGCCGACAGTGCTACCAAAACTTCGATCGTGCTATGCCTGCAAAGTGAGATATCGAGTCCTCCATCAATTTTATGATCAACTCTGTCCCGATTGTGCAAAATTGAATTGGGAGAAACGGCATCAGACCGCCAATCTGAAAGGCAAGGTAGCTGTGGTGACTGGATCTAGAGTAAAAATTGGGTTCCAAACCTGTTTGAAACTTTTGCGGGCGGGAGCCACAGTCGTCGCCACAACACGGTTTCCAAACTCGGCGGCAGAAGCCTACCAGAGCGAACCAGATTTTGATCAATTCAAGGATCGGTTGCAAATTTATGGTCTCGATTTGCGGGATGTCACGGGGATTGAAGCCTTTTGTCGATTTCTGAAACTCACCTACTCGGAATGTGGGATTGACATGCTCATCAACAATGCATGTCAGACTATTCGTCGACCGACTGGGTATTATCTCCCCATGTGTCAAAAAGAGGAGTCTCTCTGGAAGGGAGCAGATACCACACACAAGAAGTTACTATCTGGATGCATGGAATTTGAACGAATTCGACGACAATTGCATCTTGGATCAGGTAACAACAGGTCGCATGGTAGCATGGGAGCGCCTGCTGCCACTATTCTGGGAAGTGATCCATCCCCAGCGGTCTCAATGGAAGTAGAGACACCTAACAACGATCAACAAGGTTCGACTCCATCTACCACGCTTGTCGTTCAAAAGAATGCGAATAGCTCGTCCGCAAACACAATGACCACGATGGGATCAAGTGCGCCTTTCGAGTCCAATGGTATCTCACATTCAGCTGCAATGTCCCAAATGATTCTCTTGCCAGAAGATGTGGGAGTATCAGATGAGGTGCTGCCTCCGGGAGTCACCGACATCAATGGACAACAACTCGATCTACGAAGTACTAATTCTTGGCGACTCAAAATGGAAGAAGTGTCGACGCCCGAGGTGATGGAGTGCATGTTCATCAATGCTATTGGTAAGTAATCCAACATACAGGAATGGATGTATCAAGCAAATAGAGTGAGTGAGTCGCATCTCGTTACTGACAGCAGTGCTTCTTCTCTCGCAATTTCATCATTTTAGCTCCCTTTGTGTTGAACTCCCGGTTGAAACCTCTAATGAAGGTTCCACACTCTCGCGAAGATCGATTCATCATCAACGTCTCTGCCATGGAGGGCAAGTTCTATCGCTACAAGATGGCCAATCATCCCCATACCAACATGGCCAAAGCAGCATTGAACATGATGACCCGAACGTCTGCTGAAGATTTGGCAAAGAACAATCGAATTTTTATGAATTCGGTGGATACAGGATGGATCAATGATGAAAATCCTTTGGAGCGTGCTACCAAGACAGCAGCAGCTAATCTTTTTCAGACTCCCATTGATGAAATCGATGCGGCAGCTAGAATCTTGGACCCCATCTTTTCTGGCATCAATGACCCAAAGGCACCCAAGGACTATGGCAAGTTTTTGAAGGATTACAAGGAAACAGAATGGTGAAGGATGACTACATTACTGAATAGACTGAATATGGCAATGCTGCTGATTCTGAACTACGTTTGGACGGGTACTGTCCCTCAAGGCCAAGAGGCTAATGGTCAGGATTTCAAAGAAGTTAGTCGTAGTTTTCTGATATTACCATCCAAAGGCTGATACTCTAATAATAATAATAATAATAGATCTGTCGATAGTGGAATGTTTCCACCCACAGCGTCGTCCCTCGTATCGAGGCTATCATATGATATTTGTTATCCATAAATCGGAAAAAGCCTCAGCGGCACTCTTTCTCGATTGATCCAAATTCAAACAGCCAAAGATTTTTGGCGACGTCTTGGTGGCCATTTAGATTACAAGACACGAGTTGTAGTTTGAATTTGAAAACAACTAGATCAGCATCACCAAAAATGGCGACCTTTCAAGTGCCTATCGTGTGAGGTGAACGTTGGGATTTTTTCCAATGCATCTTCTGGTCCCCTGTACTTTTTGGAGATTCGTCCCCGATTTAAACAACGCGCGTAATCGGAGAGTGATCGGATGGCATCATGTCTCACAAGAGCCGTTCGAGATTCCTTGTAAGTATTTTTGTTGCGACCCAATGAGACTTTCTAAATAGACGGAATTTTTTGGCATCCCACGGACTGTGTGAAACATGTGGAAAGAGGCCTGCAGGCGCTAATCGGAGGGAGAAAATGGTAAAATAAATGAGGTTAATTCAAAACCTCCGATTGCCAACCGCAAACCTTCCGAGTTCGTCACTCTTCTGCACAAAACTCAGCAGAAACTCACTCTGTGATTTGGCAACCATGAAGCTTGTGACGACGGTTTCGATTCTACTGTCGATACGATACGATGGGGCGTTTGGTGACTCAATCCGAGGCAGAAGCATAAAAGGCAGTCAAACTGACCAGCGAAACCTAAACGCGTTACCGTTCGAAATACCAGAACGAAAAGACGAGCCAGTAGCCTCAAAGGATGACTTGAAGTTGCAATTAGGCGAAGGTTACAGGTTCACACCTATGCCTACGACTCCAGCTCCAACACAATCACGGTCACCGTCGTTAAGGCCGACCTCTTCGGTTAGCCCTTCGAATACCCAGAGTCCAAGCACGTTTCCGTCCACAAATCCGTCAAGTGCCCCGTCGAAGAACCCAACAGCCTTGCCCTCTATCACGCCATCGGTGGTCCCATCCGTTTCGCCTTCAGCGAGTCCGTCAAAGCAACCTACGCCACAACCGACTCCTGCTCCCACGCCTGGGCCAACACCACAACCGACTCCTGCTCCCACGCCTGGGCCAACACCACAACCGACACCCGCGCCGACACCTGGACCAACAGCTCCGCCAACACCTGGACCAACTCCTCAGCCAACGCCTCCGCCAACGCCTGGACCAACTCCTCAGCCAACTCCTCCGCCAACGCCTCCACCGACACCTCCGCCGACACCTCCGCCAACGCCTCCGCCAACGCCACCGCCAACACCCCCACCAACGCCACCGCCCACACCACAGCCTACTCCGCCTCCAACGCCGCCGCCAACACCTCCACCAACACCCGCTCCAACGCCACAACCTACTCCCCAGCCAACGCCGCCTCCCACGATATCTCCATCTGCGGCGCCTTCCGCAAAGCCAGTAACTGCTTTCTTTGAAGAAATTGGAAACAACGGATTGCCAAACAATGTTTTCCCACTGAAACAATGTGAGGGAGATTGCGATGGAGGTAAGAAACTCAGGATGATTTGTATCAAATCATTTTTGGAATGCACTGACTCGGTTGTTTGTTGCTTTTGTTGTCTACCACAGACTGGGAATGTGCAAGTGGTCTCATTTGTGCAGAACGAAATGGCAATGAACCAGTTGCTGGATGCATGGGTATAGCTAATACAGGGATAGACTATTGCAAGGATCCCAATGCTATCTTGGAAGAAAATCCTGTCTTCCCCACTGATCCAAATGCGTTTCAACTGCGATTGTACTGGCAACAGGGATACTTTTGGCAAGAGACGAACGCTGAAACCTTTTGGTGTATGGAGTGTGCGAAATGCAATGGGTATGGCTTGTTGGATGGCGATTTGTTTGGATGCAAAACTCCAGGGCCAACAGGTTCATCCTGTCGTGAAGGATACAACATTTGGGTGCGAAATTGCAAGGATCCTCAGCACGACTTTCGGTTTGACATTATCAAGAACAACCGATCTGGAGACCAAATTCGAGTGTCCGGTACAAATCTGTGCCTATCGACCGTCGAGAGATATCTGGAATTGCGGAAGTGCGACAGTAGCAGAGGAAGACAGCTGTGGGCCCCGATCACTGATTCAAATAGATTTGCATTGAAACCTTACAACCAACGGACTTGGGACGAACGTTCCAGCGAATGCTTGAGCCAGCTACATCACCCAAAAGACAAGGAACTTGTTGGTTTGCATCAATGTAAAGAAACCCGAGATCATACTACAATCTTTTGGCAACAGTATAGACGATGATGAGAACATGACAATTATCTAGTTTGAATAACCGGCATCATGAGGCAGACTGGTGATGCAGGGGTTCTTGCCAGCTTCTACTGCTCATACTCCTACTTGTGGATTTCGTTGCTCGTTTGTGTACGACGACTCCGTTTTGTTTTTGTTTTCTTTCCTGAAGGAGGACGATCGCCTACTTTTCCAACACTATGTCACAAGCAGTATCCGTCGACAGCTCTCAAGGAAAGTTTGAATGGATTTTGGAGTAGGCAGAAGTTTGAAAAATGGTATTATTATCGAAAAGGAACGCCGATGAACGATTGCTGTGAAAACAACAAGCGTTCCTTCCCAATTATTTGTGCTAAACTAGACAGTTACTTATAAATACAATCTGGTTCCCTTGGACCAGTATGTGGTGGCTTAACGATAGTAATCCTCCCAATAGACAGTTTCATGATCCTTTGCTGTCTGACATCGGTGTAACCCGACCAACTCCTTGTCCTGCATGTTGAAAGAATCACGTGAGTGAAACCTAATAATATACTGCTGATTCACAAAACAAACTTGCCTTGGGGTGGTGAAGCTGACTAAGGCATTTTGCATCATTCATTGACCAATTGCGCTGATAGTATGGTCGCATCTCGAACCGATTAATATCCGAAATTGGCTTGAACAGTTGGTTCTGGCTACCACTGTTGCATTTCTTCATCTCAATAAATCGGTTGCCTACAGTTGAAAGACATAGATTGGATCCAGCAGCTCGAATTTGGTCTCCAGATCCACTATTTTTCAAGATTTGCCACTTGAAATTTCTTCGAGTGTCTGTGCACTTGCGGATCCAGATTGTATGACCCTCTTGACAGGAGCCTCCGTTGTTCCCGGGTACAACGCAACCGTGTCTGGGCCCATCGCCCAAGGAAAACTCATCACATTTTGTGCACTCAAGGCACCACCAGGTTTCCTTGTGTGTTTCCTGCCAAAAGTAAGAGCTCTGCCAATAGAGGCGAAGCATGAAGCTCCCAGAATTGCTTTGTGGAGGCATAGTTGGTTTGTCTGTTGGGGCCTGCGTCAATGATGGATCCATGCAGTAGTCCTTCGCACTATCTCCACTTCCATTACACCCAGGTACTGGCTGTGTTCCACTACGCTGCATACAAATCAAATTGTCCATGCAATCGTTATCTGATTGCAGGTAGGCAACACGCAACAGTGTGAGTGACATGCACTGTGAGTAAATGCAAGATTATTGATTTCTTACCACTGTCGCAATCCCCCTCACACATAGAAAGCGGGAACCCGTTCCTGTTAGTATCATTGTCTCCGACATATGACAATGTATTTGTTGGTACCCTAACAGGCTGTTGAGTAGGTCGGCGCGTGGGAGGTTTCGTTGGACCTGGAGTTGGAGGCTTTGTTGGAGGTTTTGTAGGACTAGGAGTTGGAGGCTTCGTCGGGGGTTTTGTAGGCTCAGGAGTAGGATATGGCGTCGGATCTGGTTTTGGATAGGATGTGGGCCATTTTGTCGGGGACTTGGTTGGCGAGTAGGATGGAAACGGAGTTTGTGGCGGAAAAACGCTGGGAGCTGTAATCGTTGGGGTTTTTGCTAGTGTAAAGAAGCCTTGGGCTGAATTCTTGGCTTTGGTGGACCCAGACGGAGAATGAGTAGGAGCCCCAGGAATCGAGGGCATGATTGGCGATTCTGCTTGTCCAGCCAACTTCCAACGCTGCTTGAGTCTATAGCCATAAGGCACTGCTTTCCTTAGAGGGAACGTTTGCAAGTCTCTGTTTTGGTGGTCGTCTCCTCGGATAATCTTTCCCTTCATCCTAGAGCCAAGTACACCGGTACTTCCAGCATGAATGATGAGAAGGATTGCTACAATGGAATTCTTCATCGTTGGCTGCTGCAATCTCCCCAACGATAAACGGAAAGTGAAAACAGATTTGCGTTTTGTGTGATTTTATAAAACGTGAAGTGATGTGACCCCAAAGAGGCCCAAAAAATGTTCAACATTACTTAACGCCTCGACGAAATCACTGAATAGATTTTGGAATACGGCCGAAAATATCAGCAGCTTTGGTCGCAAGGTACCAGTACTTATGAGAGACGATTCTTCACATGATATGTGCCCGAAAAAATGTCTGATCCAAAACGCCGGCCAGCCCGAAAATCTCGCGTGAGTCTGGGGTTCGAAATGAGGATACGTGTACCTTTCAACCTTTGGAAGAGGCAATGAAATATATATTCCTGTCACACAGTACCTACGAAAATTTCAACATCTCTACCGAAAATCTGAGTCTTCAAGATCATGCCTGAGCTTGAATCAGATATGATAGTCCAGATGTCATGACTGTGTCTAAGTTTTTCATATCTTCTTATTACAATATATCTGCTTTCTTGCAAGACAATATTTTTTTTCCTTCTATCCAACCAGCAAAATCGGCGATGAAAGGAGTGGTCTGGGTTTCGATGGTTCCGCGGTTTGTCGGATGACAATACTAAACGCGATTAGAATATCTTCTGCAATTCTTGAAGTGCGGCTACTTTATGCTTGGCTAATATAACTAAAGTGTTTTTACCTATTTCCACAGTCATCAATTTACATGCTACGAGGCGGCTTCATTTGAAAACCCTTTGTCAATATACAACCTCATCGATGATACTCCTCCCAGTATATTGTCTCGTGATTCCTTGCAGTCTCACAACTGTGCAAGCCGACCAACTCTTTGTCCTGCGGGAAGAAAACGACCATACATGTGAGTCAAACCTGCAAAAATCTACCATTGATACACCCGAAGCAACTTGCCTTTGGATGGTGCAGTTGGCTGAGACACTTGCTGCTGCTCCTTGACCAGGTCCGTTGGTGGTATGGACGAAGTTCAAACTTGTTGATATCAGTTATCGGCATGAAAAGCTGCCTAGAGCTCCCACTGTCGCATTGCTTCATCTCAACATATCTATTGCTGACTGTAGAAAGGCAAAGATTGGAACCACGAGCGCGGACTTGATCTCCAGAGCCACTGTTTTTTAAAATGTCCCACTTGAAATGACGGCGTGTGTCCTTACATTTGCGAATCCAGACTGTATATCCTTCCCGACATGAGTCTTCATTATTCCCGGGCACGACACAGCCGTGATTGGGCCCGTCGCCCAACGAAAACTCATCACATTTTGTGCATTCAAGACACCACCAGGTCTCGGCGTGTGTCTCTTGCCAGAAATAGGAGCTCTGCCAATAGAGACGAAGCATGAAGCCCCCAGAACTACTTTGTGTGGTAAGGGATAACGAGGGATCAGTACAAAAGTCTGTGCCAGGATTGTTTCCAGATCCGTTGCATCCTGGAACACTTTCTGTTCCATCACGTTGCCTACAAATTAGATTATCCATGCAATCATTGTCTGTTTGTATTCAAGCAACAAGCAGGAATGTGAGTTGCATACGATACAGCGAATGCGAGATCATGGGTTTCTTACCACTGTCACAATCTCCTTCACACATTGCGAGAGGGAACTCATGACTAGGGTTTCCATTGTTCCCAACATATGACAAAGTATCTGTTGGCACCTTGATTGGTGCTTTTGTAGGATTTGGTGTTGGAAGTGGGGTTGGGAACGGAGTGGGCTTCCTTGTTGGAGAGCGAGAAGGCTGTGACGACGGCGATTCAGATGGTACTGGAGTCTGTGGCGGCCAAACGCTGGGAGGAGTTGGCGAAGATGGACTCTTGCCAAGAGAGTAGGTGAACGCTTCGGCTTCTGTTGGGTTCTTGGCTTTGCTGGGTACAGAAGGAGGAGTTGTTGGAACAGAGAAAGATGTTGTTACTCTTGCTCTCTTTAATCCTGCCTTGAGAGCGTAGTTCGAAGGGACTTGTTTTCTCTGCTGAAAAAATACAAGGTTCCTGTTTTGATGATCGCTTCCTCGGACCTTCTTTCCAGTTGACCTCCCGGTAGACCCAGAGACGCAAATATTCTCCAATTGCAATACAAAAAGGAGAGTCACTATGGCGTACTTCATCGTCGATGGGCGCATTGTCTGTGTTGTTTGGAGATCTGTAAAATAATGCATTCAAAAGGTTTTCTAAAACGTTGCGATCACATGTGCAACACGACAAATATATCGCGCGTGTCAGTTTTGTGATCGCCTCACCAAAAATACACGACATAAATCTGAAGAACGACGAAAAATGCGAGCAAACCTCGATGGTTTCATGTTGCACGTGTCGTTGTTCCGAGTTCGGAACTTACTCAACGATGAAAAATGATTACTACAGTACACGTGTACGTGTACCCAGTTTCTAAAAGATCAATATGATACTAATTGCAAAACTAATACTTGCGAGTTATGAATACTATAAAACAAGATAAACACCTTGACTCAATTGGATGAATAGATCAATCTACCGTTGAAATTCCTCCCAGTAGAGGGTCTCGTGACCCAGGGCTCGGCGGCAGGGCTGCATTCCAACAAGTTCTTTCTCCTTTGGATGATGCATCTTAAGAGAGACGAAAAGTGCACGGTGGCAATGAGAAATCAATGTTTTCACAAGCAAGCCAGGAAGGAAAGAAACTTACTTGAGTCAGGCAAATCGCATCGTTGCGTGACCACCTTCGCTGAGAGTAAGGTCTCAGCTCGAATCTGTCCAAGTCGGCGATCGGCATGAAGAGCTGCTCACTTCTTGTGTTATCACATGGCTGAATCTCAAGGTATCGATTGTCAACCGTATGAAAACACAAGTTGGTACCGTCTGCTCGAATTTGATCTCCGGATCCTGGATTGTTCACAATGTTCCATTCGAACTTCCTTCGCGTATCTGTGCATTTTCTAATCCAGATCAAGTGCCCAGTTGCACAGGAACTACTTCTACTTCCAGGAGTAACGCATCCATGATTCGGTCCGTCGCCCAACGAATATTCGTCACATTTCGTGCATTCCATGCACCACCAAGCCTCTTTCTTAGTCTCTTGCCAAAAGTAGTCAATTGACCAATACAGTCGCATCATGAAATTGTGGTTAGGGTCTCCTAGTCCCTGTGATGTCGGCTTTGCTGTAACTGGAGCAGGCGTGGGTTTATCTGATGGTGCGTCGGTCTTGGATGGATCGAAACAGTAATCAGTGCCAGCTGCTCCATTGCCATTACAACCTGGAACCTTTTCAAAAGCGCCGCGCTCCATGCATTTCAGACCAGACTGACAGTCAGAATCTGTTGATAATCAGGCCAGGGCAAAGAGCATGTGAGTGACATCAAACTCGGCACAAATACCAATTCATTCGTTTTTCGTTACCTCTATCGCAATCTCCATAGCACATGCCTAGAGGAAATACATTCTCTGGGACTCCGTTGTTTCCAATAGTCGTGAGACTGGTTGTTGGTGGCACCGGAGTTGGCTTTTGTGTGGGCTGCTTTGTTGGTTCTGGAGTTGGATTTTTCGACGGCTTTTGTGTGGGCGGTTTTGTTGGTTCTGGAGTTGGATTCTTTGTCGGCGTTCGAGTGGGTTTGGGCGTCGGTTTTGGGGTTGGTAATGGCGATGGCGGAAAAGTGGGTAAGGGCCCCCCTGTTGCTTCATTTTGGTTGGTTTTTGTCAACGCAGAAGGTGATGGGACCGGTGGCACTGGAACAGGCGACAATGTGGGCAAAGATGGATCCGCAGGAAACGAATAAGACGATTGGCGTGCAAGCTTGAATGTGGCTTTCAAGACGTGATTAAATGGCACATCCTTTCTTTGCCGTAACAGCTGTCGATGGGGATCAAAGGTGTCGCCTTTGACTTTCTTTTCTCGGAGAGATGATCCATCGACAACACAAAGGCTGTACAGAAATGCGGAAGGCACAATCAGAGTCGAAAACTTCATATTGTTTCTGTCTGCCCCAGAATTTGTGAGTTCATACGAATTTTCAGGGAAACCAGATTACGCACCTGTTTCGCCATAGTGTTTTACACATCTCTAAGTAATGTCCGGTTATTTGTCCCGCATTTAGGTAAGTATTGGCCAAAAATCGTCCAAGTGGGTCTCATTAGCGTAAGTGTATCGTGTAAACGACGCGATTTGGGCGAAGATTTATCACGAATGATTTTGGAGATTTGACTCAATCGGAACGCGCGTGCGATGTTGAAGAGGAGATACACGTGAAAAACAGCTGCGTCCCAGCACTGTGCAGCTCTTTCTGGATACCCAGCACCCGAGTAAAAATCAAGCAGGCTAAATCGACCGGTATATGTATTTCTGGCAAATGACTCGTTCAAGTTCAAGGTTCCAAGCGGACCAATATAGCACCTAATCAGTCAGCAAATTGAGTCATGTTGTCCGTAGCCAGAACTACAAGGCCTTTAGTCGAGCGAATAAGGTCGATGGTGCTTACATTTAGTTTATGTCGGCTATATTAATCCACCCGTACCTAATTTCCAAGCCAACCCAATAGCAGTAGTGGCATACAAAAGAACACTAGCTCCAACAGCCATGTAGAAGAGAGGTAGATTCCCTTGAAAAGGGAGACGCCCGGCAATGCAACGTCCAAAAACATTGCAATGATGATCATAATGCGAAACGCATCTCTGACAGGTATTGCAATGAAAATACTTCTTCTTTCCTCGCCTCCACACCAAACATCTGACGCAGTAGGTATCAATAGATGATAAGTCCTCTCCATTGTCACTATTGTTTTCGTCTTGCATTGAAATGTAAAGCTCCGAAGGTGCTGGAACCATTTCCTGGACCAGCGCATCGTTTTCCCCATTTGACTTATTTGGTTGCTGTTGATGGGTTTGTATGTAGGACCTGACATAAGGTTGGACTTGTGGTGGAATCGGATGACAGGTGAATGGTGATCGTTTCACCACACCAGGATCTTTGTGGTAAATAGCCAATAAGCACAGCAGCTCAACAAAAAATAGACTAGAGACCGCAGCAACAAAAATGGAATCAGCAATATTGGACTGAGCATTTGACAATCCAAACGCACTTAGGACCGCGACAAAGCACAAAGAAGCAGCACCTCCAAGGACGAAGGAGCCACACCGAAACTCTTTGTGTTTTGCTTCTTGTGGAGCCGGAAGCGGTGGTAGCAGCTTCCAATCGAGCTCAGTTGTTTGATAAGATATGATAGTTCTCGATCCACCTTCTTCCACGGAAGCATTTGCAACTCGAGCTCCTTCGTTGTCGAGAGAAGACTTTGAAGCAATATTCAACGCCGTATTGGAAGAGGAGCCTTGCACTTGGTAGGGGAGGTTTTCACCTTCTTCGACTCTGTCCTTTATCGAATCTGTCATTTCACCTCGATTCTTGTCGATGCTGGATCTGCAAAGCAATAGGCAACCTGTTGGCCAACATGCAATAGGATAGAAAAACATCATCGCATGAGATAATCTTTTTTGTTAACGCAGCGAGGGGTAGTTTATCCCACAAATAGAATGACCCCGAACTGAAATCCCCTTATTCTAAAAATTTCTTCATCAGTTTCATCGGCATTGTATACCGGTACAGCTCTCCTAATTCTGGTTGAAAGAAAGGACGAAACAACTCGGCAAGAAATTCGTTTGCGTGTAAGACAACGTTTTAGGATAAAGGAAATCTAGAAACTTCAATTTCCAAAAAACTTGCTTTCTGGAGAAAGTCGACTACTCTTTGGCTTGAGCGTACAAGACGAAAGTGTACCGCAACGACTCTTTGTCCCACGGAAGAAGGTTTTCATCGAGGCCCAATTCCAAGAGTTCTGCCCTGGTGAATAATGGAGGTTCTCGAATCATTGGAAGATTTGTAGCATCGAGTCCTGAGAACCGAGAAGGTCCATCCCATGCGGGAGGAAATTCAGCATAAACAGCAATGTTTTACCAGACTGACTTTGATAGGCTTCAAATTGCAGAGGTGAAAGAGATATTGACTTTTGGGCGAAGTCATCTTTGAAGACGACCTCCGTGATACCCAAGTATTTCCACAAGTCGGTCTCGGAAAAAAATTGCTTCGACGAAAAGCTAGTTGTAATCAAAAGCAAAATGCTTGAATCCCAGTCCTCTGCCTTTCAGTAAACGCTTCAGTGCTGCCTGGTGATCGTCAAAGAATAGGAGAGCGTGCGCAAGATTGTCTCTTCCTCCGACCCAATCCTCCCACTGCTCCCTGGACGTGTATGCAAAATCTACAAATTCCTTGCCTGTCAGATAGAGAGAGTGCCCTTCGTCGATGTGAGGAATGTTCTCTTTTTCCGCGGAGCGAGAACAATGATCTTTGTCTCTGGTCCAGCTGCCTGTCGCAATATCCAGGTGCCGACTCCTTGAAAGGCTCCACTCTCGACAATGACCTTGGGTTTCAATTCTTTCTCATGACAAATAGAGCAAAGTAATGAAAGAAGCCTCCGCCTTTATCATTTTCACGATCTGGGGATTTTGTCCACATTTGAAAGAAGTCTTTTAGATAATTCTTCCATTGCGATTACGAGAGTTGGCTCCATGGAGACTTCGAAGGATTCACACGACACAGTAGTTTATTTCCTTTATCGTTATCTGCATTTATGATGGCTTCCCTCCAGTTCACATCGGAAGGGTTTGTCATCAACTCCAGAGGTAAAACGTCCTGAAAATTCAAAGACAGGAAAAAGGATAGAATGACTGCAAAAATCCACCAGAAGGAGTTGGCAATCAGGTTGGGCTTGTTGTTGCCATGTGATGGCCTCATCTCCTTTCATTCACCCGAACAAAGATAACTTGATTCAAACTTGGACAGAGAAGCATCCGACTGTTTGGCGCGTTGTTCGATCAGTAGATGTCTGCATCTGGTCCATCAATAGGGGCCCGCATAACAACAGCAAGAGGGTGATGATGTGCGTGAGGCTTATTGACGGCTCGGAATGCTGTCTCCCCCAAATTGTTGATTGCTTTTAGGGACGCGACCCCTTTTATGTGAAGTACTGTACGTACGCCGTCGGCTTCATTGGCAATCTCAAAACATCGTCTCCGAGACCACAATGGAAGAAACGACTTATACTCATCAAAATTGAATCTATCTACTTCACTCATTATACATCATCCAAATTCCATTGCTTATTTCCCGTGCTAGTTATTCATTCCTTCTCAAACTTCACAAATAAAAAACTTAAGCACCATGTCTCGTTGGGCCAAACAAGTCTCACGAATGGGACGTGATGGCTTTCAATTGGCGAGCGCCATTTTCAAGGATTCCACCACGAAGAGAGCCGTATCCTTCAAGCCGGTACTATTGGATCAAGCTCGTCAATATAATTTGGTTGCACGCTCGCTGTTGCAAGTGGACCGGCAGATAGGACTTGTGCGCTATCACGGCATTATGGGGTATTTTCAGCAACAATGGCAAGCTCGCTTCTCGTCATCTCTGCCGCCATCTACGACTACGCCGGAAGGCTCTTCGCCCGCCGATACTAGCCAGCCAAACAAGGCAAGAATAGCCTTCATGATCACAGGATCCATGAAGCAAGAATTAAACGAACAGATGGGATACCTGGACGAAGACATTAGGAAAATGACACCTTTGCAAGCATCATTGATCCTGCATTATCGAATCATCCCAGATGAAATGGAAGAAAAACTTCCTGTAGTAGAAGCAGAATATGAAAAGCAGCGAGAAGAGGATGCTGTGAAGCAGCAACAGGAAGCGGAAGAACGGGAAAGGTTGAGAGCAGCTCAACAGGTGGAAATGAAAAAGGCGGAAGCATTGCGAAAAGAGCAAGCAGCAAGCACAGCGGAATCCAAAACGGAAGTGAATGCCCAGCAAGAAACCCCTTCAGCGCCTTACGTTGCCCCGGCACCTCTAACAGTTGCCTCGTTCAGCGCTGCTGCGAATAATTTTCAGTCGTCCAACACGCTTCTATCACCATCAGCCGACGGTACAACCAATGGGTTTGGAGATTCCTGGTTCGAAGTGAATGAAATCGATCCCAAAACGGGTGAAGCAACTCGAGTTGGCCTGTATCAAGAGGAAGAAGAAGCCACCTTGGGAATGAAAACTCGGCAAGAGATTGCAGATGCAAAGGAAACCAATCTGACCTTTGAACTCAAGCCAGTTGAGAAGAGTGCTCTTTTTTCGTCGTCGCAGAAGCAAAAGTGATCGATCTACAATATGCTGCCAATGGAATTGCCCCTGATGCAACTCCTACCAATGTCATTCAGAACGCTTTGGAACAAGTATGCCATACTTTTTCGCATGTGACACATACGATGTCTTTTTTGTTTCGCTTGTGGTGCATACGATATCGTTTTGATCGGGAACTCTTCACTTAACTAGCAAGGCTTATATAAGTTATGGAACAAATAGTATTGCTTAACCAACCTCAGTCGTGAATGAGCTCATAAGTCGCCAGGAACAAATATGTATGGCTGCCAACATTCGGTGCGGTATTCCAACTGATCCAAATGTTGGAAAACATTACAGCCTCCATGCTTGTGACGTCGCCTGCACACAGACAGCATAGTTCCTCGCGAGATTGATGTATATTGGCTAGTAAAAAATGAGGGAACGAGGTGCGGGTTTCAGCACACTGTATGGTACTCACTCCTAAGCCCTTTAATTCGTGTTTCTCCCGCGTGGAGTAGCTCGTTCAAATTGCTACTGGTATACTGTGACTCACTCCACCGGCATGCGCGAAAAAACGACACTTCACAATCCTCTTTATTATGAATCCCCGAAATCATCGTCCAGCTACCGATGTGGACGAGAGAAGTACTGTACAAATGGAGACTCAGCACACAGTTTGAGAAAAGCTTACAAAACAAACAAGAGACCCGCCTGAACAATTACCACACTATTAAAATGGCACAAGATCCCCCACAGGAACAATTGAATCCCTTCATTGAAAGATGCATGCCAGAACCTAGAGTGGTGAATGTACTGTTGGAAGGGACAAATGAAATCCACCAAGTTGAGGTCTTTGTGGCAGGTATGACGTTCCAACGTGCCTATATGGTTCCAGATATAAGGGAACCAACAGCTATAAACCACGGTGGTCCTGACTGGGGGGCGGTATCCTATGGTTACACGTTAGAGAGGATACAAGGATATGAACCACCAGTATTTTTGTTTCCTTCAGATGCTTCAGAAAGAATTGATGTCGCCATTAAACGGTTAGACAAACGAATATTCGAACCACTCTTGGCTCAAAATAGAGAAAATCCCTATCGAGAGATTCATCGAATGCAAACACCATCGCTGACGGATGGAGGATACGTTCACCCTTTGGTGGAGGCACTGGAAGATGACCATTACCTCTACATAATCACTCCGTTCGCCGATGGTGGTGACCTTACGGAAAGCATACCTCTCCAACCACAAGAGAATATGCCTGTCGAGCTACAAGCCTATCAAGTATACAAGCAAATGTTGGATGCTGTGAACCACATACATAATAACCCACACATCCGTGGTCAATTTGGGATTGGCCATCGCGACATTAAGGGAGGCAATTTCTTTGTTTCCCAAGGCAGAATACGCCTCGCTGATTTTGCCATGTCATATCCGATACCGCCAGGTGATCTGGTGAACCACATGGGGGGCTTTGGAACTCCGGCATACCTTCCGCCAGAGATTGCACGAGAAGGAGAGTTTTCAGCAACAGGCTGCGATTTATGGGCATGCACGGTGACACTGTTCAATTTGGTCACTGGCATGCCAGTATACATGATGCCAATTCCCACGGACATTTTCTTTGTATACAATATCATGGCTCGAGGGTTGTCCAATGATCCCAACGGCGAAATGGTTGAGGCACTTTTTGATGAAGCCGATGGCCGCGGAAGACATGCGCTCCAAGAAATGTGGCAACGAATACAGGGCTTGAGCCCGCAATTGCGGGACCTACTTTCGAATGTTCTGGAGCTTGCCCCTGGCCAACGATGGAATATGCAAGACGTGCAGAACTCGGCTTGGATGCAGCTGTCCGCAGCATTGCTAGGCGCATAAAAAGGTTTAAAATTTTGACATGGGTAACAATAAGACAATGAGACGTTATCGTTCTGTACAACCGCGCTATGCTTCTATTCACAACTTCAAAGTTTGTTGAACTTTTCGCTTCTTCTTTGCGGGAGCTGCCTCTTTTGGTGGCGGTGTCTTCTTCTTTGTTGGGGATGGGGCTTTGGAACCACCGGCTTTGTATGCCGCGTATGCTTCTTTCATTCTATTCATGTTTTCCTTGCTTTCTAAGGCATGGTCAACGATCGGCAACGGGTAATCTTTGCCAATCTTCACTCCAGCAGTCTGCTGTACAGACGCTGGTGCTTTCCATGGTTCATAAATATACTTCGCCGGCATATTCTTGAGTGCTGGAACCCACTTCTTTATGTAGTGTCCATGCGGATCATTTTTCTTTTGGAAGGCAACGGGACTGTAGCATCGGAAGTACTGGTAAAAGAATCCTGAACAACTCAGCCACAGCCAATTGAAACCATTCAAGGCATAGTCTGCATCCAACAGCTGACCCTCAAAATGTAAGGCTCCCCCTTCCCAACTTTGCCACAAGTCACCCCGAGTCAAGAAGCAGGCAACAGCATGACGACCGAGATGGTGAATCCATCCCTCCGTCTCTAATTGTTTCATACAAGCGTCAATCCATGGATATCCCGTCTCACCATTCTTCCAGGCAGTCAAGAATCGCTCGTTTTCCGACCATGGAACTTCACGGCAGTACTTGTTACCTTCCATCTTCCCCCAACTACCAGGATTGTCTTGGTTTGCCGAGTGGGCAATCAAATTGTTGAAGTCCCTCCAGAGCATTTGTCCATGCAAACTCACTGGCGGTTTGGACTTGGGGGCGGACGCGGGTGCTTGGGCGACGGCATTGGAAATGGCATGCCAGACAGTTCGAGGACTTAAACAACCAACCGACATGTATGGACTGATGGAAGTCGTCGATGGAGCCAACCTGGAAAGATGTCAAATACATTGAGCCAGTGAGTGAACTATTACTATACGGACAATAACGACTGAAGAGGAATCAACAAATAAGGGTCGACGTACGATGTACACGAGGTCTTTGGCTTTTCAAACCCTGCAACCCACGCTGCTTTCGCCATGCTCTTGGAAAGACTCTCCTGTGCCTTGGATTCACCACCCCTCGTGATTGGTGTTAGATTCTTGCAATCCTTGGGACCCCATATGGGAGTGGCATCAGCCTTGGGCGTATCTCTAGGCCATGGGAGATCAGTGGCTCGCTTGGGAGGTAGCATTTTCCCTTTTGTCTCCTTTGCTTGTTCTTTGTCGATAATGGGCTTAAAGTCTTCCTTCGTTGGAGCATTCAAAGGCTTGGGCACCTTGCCCATTTTTCCAAAAATACCTTGAAACTTCCCCATGGTGGCAGGCACTTTGGCCAAACCACCACTCTTCTTCACGTAATCCCCCAACGGAAAGATTGTTTCGGAACAAAATGACTCTACTTCAATGCCCTTCTCTTCGCACAGATTCATCACAGACTCGTCCCTAGCTTTGGCATAGGGTTCTCCTGTCTCGTCGGCCTCAAAGGTCAAGTGAGTCACGTCCCAGTCCTCCCAAAGGGCTGGCAGTTCTTTTGTGGGGTCTCCTGATACGACGTACAAGCGAGAACCCACATCCTTCAAAGATTTATCAAGGTCGATCAAACATTCGACGAGGAAATTGGCTTTCAAAGCGGAACAATGCTTCAATTGATAACAGTCTCCATCCATGACGTAGACAGGATACAGTCTTCCTTCGTCTGATTTCTTCGCAGTCTCCAATGCATGTAGAAGTGCGGGATTATCTTGTAGACGCAGGCCCTTTCGGAACCAGTGCATTGCCACATTTTTGGTATTCTTGGTATTCGCCATCATAGACAGAGCTGCCGAGGATAGGACAGCAGTAATGCGCATGCGACGTGAAACGAAGAGATTTGTTTGGCACTATGCTTTGTTCATGGTGGTGACGAAAAGAAGGTTCTTTCGAGCTGATGGGTTTTGAATGATGGGGGTGATGAGGTGGTGGGTATCCAAGGTACTACGAAAGTGTTTTCAGTAGCAGAGGAAAAGAGTAATCTTCCAATTTTATTGCTACCTACGTACTATAATACAGTATAGCTAGTTTCTGTTTTCTCTTTATTTTTGATTTACTTGTTTAGCCTTCCATTTGTGGTTGCTTTCCCATTTGCTTTCCAGCGCGCATGACTTCATCCACCAGCAATAGTTGACTGGCCAAGACAGTGGACAAATACAGAGACTGTCTCTTGACTCGAACATTGTCCCAAACTCCTTCGTCTGCTGGCAAGATGGGTTCCCCCGTCTTGACGTCCAAACCGACCATCATATTTGACGATTCTCTTTCCTCTTGCAAATTGAAGATGGTATCCTGAACATCAAGTCCAGAGTTTTCAGCGAGAGTCTTGGGAAGGATCAAGAGGGCATCCGCAAAAGCTTGGATACCCAATTTGGACTTGCCCTTGACGGTAGGCAATACTTTTCGCATCAAATGCAACGAAGCGGCAATTTCAAAAGCCCCAGCACCTGGAATGACGGCCTTGTCTTCCAAGGCATTCTTCAAGGCTCGCAAACCATCCTTCACCGCATCCTTGGATTGGGCAATGGCGTGATCGTTTGGTCCCTGCAAGAGAAGGGTACACGACTTGGCATTGGCGCATTCTTCCACAAAGGTGTACTTGTCCTCACCAAGAGTGACTTGGGAGACCTTGCCGGCATAGCCCAATTGGGATTCTTCCATATCTTGCAAGGAATGAATGGGAGATCCGCCACAGGCCAATGTCAAGCGTTCCATGTTTCTTCGCTTGGCGCGTCTCAAACATAGAATGCCTTCCTTGGCAAAAATATCCAGTGACAGCGGATCGACACCCTTTTGATTGATAATGACAAATGTCTGTTATGGTTGGAAAGGAAGAGAACAAGATACGAAAACAGCAAGTTTTTGGTGAGAACAATGAGTGCATGAAAGACACGACTCATAAAAACGCGTCTTCCACGGATAATCAGCTAGTCTCTGACAAGTTTATATATTTACTCACCTCTCCCTTCTTGCACATGGCACGCTTGAATTCAATGACTTGTCGGCATCTATCATCAAGCCACTTGCGTTCACTCTCCACCAACTTTTCACGTTCTTCAGCGTTGGAATAAAAGAAGCCACTTTGCGTTTCCGTCTTTTCGTATTCCAGACTGACGTTGCAAGTCATAATCTTACAATTTTCCAAGACCTCTGGCATATCCGGATGGCGGGCGCCGTGATCCAAGACAATTCCATTGACAAATCTGGATTCCTTGGCTCTGGTCATGGAAAGAACTTCCACCCGGTTCAGATCAATTGGCTCATCTGGACTTTCGTAAACACACTGAATACAGCTGACTAGAGCATCCGCCAAAGACACACTCAAATCGTATTCCAACTTGGTCGCCAAACTAGTCAAAGCTATGGATTGCAACAAATCCCGATCTTGAATCACATCTTCCTCGTTTTCGACCTTCACTTCGTTCAAAAATTTCAAGGCTTCTTCTCTCGCCATCTCAAAACCTTCCACCAAGATGCGAGGATGCAAACCTTCAGAAATGTGCTTGTCAGCTTGACGCATCAGTTCACCGCACAGGAGCACTGTGGAAGTGGTTCCATCTCCCGTGACATCATCTTGGGCCGTGGCCGTTCGGGCAATCAAGGCAGCAGTGGGATGTTGAATTTGCATTTCTTTGAGTAGAACCAAGCCGTCCTTTGTCAGTTTGAGTTGTCCGGCACCGCCCACCAAAAGTTTCAAAGTACCCCGAGGACCCAGATTAGATTTCAGCACGTTCATAAGACCAACTCCAGCAGCGACGTTGACGGCACGAGCCTGCGTCTTGGAGACAATTTCAGCATTGGGGCTGATATCTTTTAATTGGGACATGGCTAAATAGTTGTGAGGGTTGAAGCGTCGTGTTGTTTCTGGATGGTAGATCGATACAACAATGACAATACAAAAACAGATAGCAGTAGGTTCCCGCCAAGGACAGCCCTCGAAACTTTTTGCTTCCGGCTGGACGATGGACAGACGTCGGTGGTAACTATATTGATCAATCCGACTGGTCGGACGAAGGCAAGAACGAGGTGAAGGTTACCGGCACTTGTACCCTCAACCCTATCCCTTTATCCTTGCTTGTATCACAGTACAGTAATGCTAATCATCGTCACCATCATCATCTCTACGTCGCAAAGTCTGGCAATAGGGGTATTTCCAAGATTTGCAAGCATACGGTTTTATTATTGTTGGAGTTTCATTGGTTTGAGTTTGACAACCGCACATCAAATAGCTATCGCGGTGATTGAATGATTCATTCGTTCCATGCTGGCGTGTTCAGCACTCATCAATCTTCTTCCTGATGATAACACTTTTGGTTTGCCTCTAGTAGAACTAGCGCCAGATATTGAAGAAGACATGCAACACTTACTAATTGATACTGGACAAGAGGTTGATTCACTGGTCGCTGAGTAAACTTCGGTCGGGATTCTTTATCTTCGACGACTCCTCTCTCATTTGATCAAACTTTGTGGACACATTTATCAGACACAAGCACAGTCAATGTCCATTCGCCTCCATGCATTCACACCAATCTTCGTTTCTTCGATTTAGGAAGACTTGGATAATTTTATTCCTCAACTTTTCCACAGTGCTCAAAGATATTGGCGTGATCCCGTAGCAGGGAGAACACAACTGCAGCCCTTGGAATCTTATCAGATGACTTTTTTGCCCTTGCCACCAAGTCGATAAGTTCCTCCACCAAAGTATTTGATGGAGGAGGCACGGTGAAAGATCAAAGGCCACAGGCCACATGAGATACATTGGTTTGCCGACTCCACTTCGATGCCGTATCGACCCCGTCGGTTGACATTCAATGTATGATATATGATACAACAACCTCGCCTCAGCAGCTATCCTGTGGTCTCCTATTGAGAACTGTTCGAGGCTTTTGGTGTCATTCATGGTTCTCAAAAGCTGCCGAAGCATTAGGGTTCCCTTCCTTCTTTTAGCCGATGATATCTGACCAAGAAACGGATTCCTTATCAAGTTCAAACTTCTAAAAGTCCTCATCAGTCGTATCTTTTTGGCAAACTTCGTTATTGAATCGTAACTGATATGATTGTGGCGCAAATCCAACTCTTGAATCTTGGAGTCCTCCATGCACAAAATAGATTCCAATGGGAAGAGATCACAAATCTGGTTGTTCTTGAGCGACAAAATGCTCAAGTTTGGGAATGCACTGCACAATCCTCCCAGGTCATTGCTGGAAAGATTGACTCTGAACAACATCAGTCGTTGCAAGCTTCTACTCTCAAATACTTTCCCTCCAGTAGTTTTGCTGAAAGCGGGCAAGTGGTGCGCACCGTGGCTTCCGCCAGCACTTCTTGCACCGTCCAGCACTCCTGGTTGATTGTCAGGAAAAGACAAGACAAGTTTCTGCATTCCATCATCTGCCAAAATTCAATTTCTAGGTGCTTCTGTCGTTCTCATTGCGGCAATGAGAATGGCAAAAAACGATGGGGAACTGGGTTGAGACTCCCCTATAGACAATTCAATAGAGTTCCATATTCTGGGATCACTTTGCAAGAGGTTGAGCACGTTTAGCATACCATCACTCAAATAAGTTATTTTCCCAACAATGTGAAGCTGCAGTCATAATCTTCATGGATGGTGGCGATGTCAGTCGACTCACTCATCGTGAAAAGTGATTTTTCAGGAACTGTGCGCCAGCAGTACTCGAAAGATAAATGAATGGATCACCTAACCGATTCATTCATGACTCCGTAAGTTTCCTCCGTCCATGGGAGAAAGTCGTCTCTCATATTATATATACGAAGGTTCAGTTGTTTCCCACAAAAAATAATAATAGTGTCATAAATGACAACAGGAACGGAACTGCGGTGAAGTACAAACGTCGGTGGAAATGTGACCAATCCGACCGATTTCCAATTGTACTGTTATTATCGGTAGCAGTACGAGCCCTCCCATGCGGTACCGGTACCGGTAAATGGACCCACAGAACGGCGAGAAGGCTCTTGCAATAAGCATCAACAGGTTCGTGGGAACAACAAAAGAGTACTGGTACGTGTACTCTTGGTGGGAACATGCGAATGAGAGGCCGCTACAACGACCTGTTGGGAATGAAAGTTGCGAACCCCTCTCTTCACTAGGTACCAGGTAGAGAAGGATGATACGAAGCAAATTATGCCGTGGGAGCACCATCTCACTGGAAAAAGAAAAAATCGGCTTCGGGACGGACACACAACACAGAACAAAGGAACGCAGAACACCAAAATCAAATAATCCACACCAACTTCTTGTTAAGCCCGATGATAAAACGGTATGGACGCACCAGCATGCGAAATGAACTTTCACATCCTGGCTGCCCACAAATAATGTATCATGACTTCTTACCAAAGTGTTCCCGAACTTTCATCTCCTGCCCACAATTTATTCATCATGACTTCTCACATCAATGTTATCTACCAAAACAACGCCACTGTCGCCCTCTTGAGGGATCAAGATGCTTCCCATGCTATTGTGGCATCTTCTGAGGCACTACGGTGCTTAAGAAGGTGCGCCTCTACATTACATGACGTCCCCGCTAACAAGAGCTGCACTGATTCCCTACTAGACCAGTGCATGGCTCGTTCCGTGACCGATCAAAGCCAGGCGGAATCTGGCAAGCCTTTCATCTTTGATCGCGGCATCCAGATCCCTCTGACAACAACAGATACTGCAGCAATTTCTGCAATTCTAATCTTCAACTCCGCTCTTTCGCACCAGCTTTGGGCTGCGCAAAACCCAGCCGATGCGCCTGGATATCTTACCAAGGCGAGACAATTGTACGAACTGGCCTATCGAATGGACGATGTGGAACACAACGTAATGTTCCAAATTGCTATCATGAACAATATGGTAGTGATCGAACGAAGCTTCGGCAATAACGCAGAATCCGAGAGAGATTTTGGTCACTTGCTGTCGATGTGGATGCTTCTACTTGATCTAGGTTATGGCTCCCGAATACATTCTATGAGGGGTTTCCTCGTTAACGGGCGATGGAGCGAGAATGCCGCTGTCGCATAATCAACGTTTGCTGGGACCACTATTGAGCCGCTATTAATAAATAGATCTGTACAAAGCCAGACGCTACATGCTACGAGTTCTTCCTATTCTTGTAAATCATAGTACTACTGTAGCTGAAGCGAAAGATAGGAAACCTGCAGGATGATTCTAAATGTATATATATGTTGCATGCGAAGGCGCATTAGCATGAACACTACAAGTCTATCAATAGACATGTTCTGAATCGATCCCGTTGTCTCTGACGAGAAACTTCGTCACTAGCAACTTGAATGGAAGAGAATCGGACTTCATGCAAGAAGTTTTAATTGTGAGACGGTGGATGGAAATTGGATCGAATTTGAAAATGTAGCGTGCTAATATATAATATATAGTTAGGCATTGCAAGAAAGGTTGCAGTAGCATTCATGGCCTTTCCATTCCTAGTCAGGTTTGACAATACTTGAAAATTCCGCAATGGAGTGGAGTCTGAATGGAATATAAGTGTGCTGATATTCGGGCTGAGATATCAAAGATGATTGATTGATTCATCAACAGAAACAAGTAACCAAGTTTATGGCTCGGTGACATCTCCCTTTGAACGGTAGGTATCAGCGACATCCTTGTCAACATTCTTCAAGATGAATTCCATGGTTTCTTCAAAGTTGGGAATATTTCTCATCTCAAACTTGGCTCCATCTCGCAAGAAGGCGACCATGTCACCATCTCCGAACAATCTCTTGACTGTTCTGATTTCGACAATGTCGGGGTAAACAATTTCGGCCATGTCCTTTCCTCCGATTCCAGAAGTCACACGGATACGACGGGAAGTGATTCTGTATCGAACCCAAGCTTGGCGGGCCCATGCGGCAGCAGCAGGAATGATTCCAACCACAGTAAGGATAGAGATGGTGGGGACAATAGTCTCAGTGATGGCAGGAGGACCTTCGTAGAATTCTTCTTCAGGAGCAAGTGAGACAGCAGCCTTGGTTGCCTTGGGAGCTGTAGATCCACCCTTTCTCTTTCCGCGCTTGGCCTGTCGTAAACAGAAAACAAAGAATACATTAGACAACGAAATAGAATGAAATTGGAGGCTTTGAATGGACCGTTTTCGTCATTCATTACTTCGTCTTTCCGGATGGTCATGATCCTAACAACGCACCTTGGCGGCTCCTCGTCCCAACAATTCAGCGACTTCCAATCCAATTTCAGTGGCCTCTTCTTCTTCTTCTTCTCCTTTTGCTGGTTCTTCTGGTGGAACAAAGACTGCACCTTCAGCTGACTTCGGCTCCTCGGCAAAAAGGGCACTGGTCATAGTTGGTCGAACGACGACAGAAGAAGCAGGTGGGGCAAACGCTTGGGCATCTTGCGAGGCAAGAGCGAGAGCGGCGACGGCACCGAGGACGGTAATTTTCTTGGGCATGATGATGTATGTGAGTAGTAGTAGCAGTTGTTGTTGTTGTTGTGAAGGTGATGTATGAGTTGCAAGTCGACGACTAATTGTGACCGGCAATGGAAAAAAGGAGAACGCAAGTGTGTTGCAAGGATGGATGACGATGTGGTAAAAAGCTGGTGTCAGGACAGTCGTGTGAGTCAGAGAGATACCCCGATCGTAGCCTTTCTACTACGGTCTACGCACATATGAACACGTCATTCCGTTTTCATAATAGAGCGGCTGTGCTAAATATTTTCCGCCAACTCATCAGCGGGATGACTAACAACACTGATGATGTGAAAGATGTGAGAACACTACACACCAACATCCAACGTACACGTCGGACCATGTTGATACCCCAAATTTCTTCAGCGCTCTACGCTGGGATGGTCCTGATATCGCCCGATGTTCCTTCGTTCACACAATCATCATATCGTCCACAACCAACCGCCATGATCACAGCGGCGCCACCACCACCAACAACGCCCAGTACATTTTTGGTTCCGTCACCTTCTTCCAACGCCGCGAGGTTGCTAGTAGAACCAAAGAGTGGATCCTTTGCCAGAATGGCCAATCCTCAAAGCAGCAGCAGTTTTCAAAACAATTTTGCTCTGCAACAGTTGTTCCAACAACGAGCCTTACAAGACGCCCGGTTGGAACAATGTCAAGAAACACAAGAAGAGGATTTTGAACAATGCTTCTTTTATGGAACCGGTGGTATTGATCGTATGGATGGAATGGGACTGATAGGAGGAGGAGTTGGACGTGGACGAGGATTGGTAGGTGCAAGATATCCATCGAATGCGGGAATTGCCTCGAACCAAGATGGTACCAACAGCATGATGCTGCCATCATCCAAAAAGACGACAGTCCCCACATGGTAGAAGGCAAAACGACAGCGCATAAAGATCAGTGTTACTCTCCTGCCGAAAACAAGAAATCTTGATCATTGGACGAACGAAAGAAATGCAAGATATGCACATGATCATGTCTTTTCAAGGTGGTGATGTCTCTCCGCTCATTTGCCTACCGGCACAGAAGAAGTGAAAGCTACATATATATTTATATACTACCACTGCAACGTTTTGCTCACAGCCTCCATACGACCATTCCTGCGTACTGTATCACTGAGCAAACTAACTTGACCATTCATTGAGCCACTCGCACGCTTTACGCAGTTTAGAAAGCAATCTTACACATGCTGAGATTTTAAAGGCTAGCATATCTAACTACTTTCGACATGCTTGTAACTGACAATGTAATATTCGCTCGCTGTATCATTCATTCATTGAATCATTCATTCGCTCATTCGACGTGTAGATTGAAAAGGATCATAGACCTTATTGTTACTACTGCCAAAGAACATAACCTTCAAGCCTATCATCGACGCCTTTACGAAATCCCATGGTTTCGAATTTTAAACGACGCGAATGTGTGTGACATGACGTCGGTGTGCTTGCAGTCGTTGTCGCAATCGATCCGGTAGATTCATGGCATCCTCGAAGCTGAAGTCCACAATGTTCCCATCGTTCTTGTCCAGACCAATCAACAAATGGTCCGGATAATAATATCGTTCCTTCATGCAGACCAAAAGTGCATTGGTCCACCAAAAGAGTGCCGAACAAAAGGTCCCCATTAATATGGTGGAGGTGGATATTTTGGCTTGGGAAAAGTATTCGACATAAATTAAGGACAATTCAATGGTCGTTCCCATGATCAATAAGAGTCTGCCACATTTTTCGAGGGATCCTTCCGTGTTGGCAGGCGTTGTGGTTGTTGATTCCTCTTCTTGTTGTTGTTGTTGTTGTTGTTGCTGCTCTAGTTCTGGTTCATCTTCGGCAGTCTTTTTCTTATCGTGCGATTCGCTGTCGCTGTTTGGAATGATCTTGTACAGTCCATAAGTTGACAACCAAAACAAATGCAATGATCCAACGAAGCAATATTGAGACGCCCGTTGTTGTTTTCGTAAACTTCTCATGAGCTTGTGGGTCTTGAGCTCTTCGGCGCCAAACAACAAGATGGAACCAATGAGGAATAATACTTGGAGGGTGTATTCCGCTCGAACTTCCAAATGATCTTCCAGTAATTTTTGCCACCAAGGATGTTTGCGCTTGTTATGATGATGATGATGTTGTCTTGATGTTGTCAAAGCAGAGGGTGTGACAGAAAGTGTCAAAATGGACATGAGAATGTACAAAAAGGCAGCCAGTGCTGCAATGGGTGTGGCATTCTCCGTCAAGGAATCATTCAATTCATCATCCTCTTCATCATTGACATTGCTCCAATAAGAGACTAAATCCATCAAACCGGCAATCGCATATAACGAAGTTCCTAATCCAAACAAGAAGGCTCGTTTCGAAATGGGGCGCGGTCGTTTGGCTTTGCTACTATTCTTGTTCCCAGCACCACTTGGTGTCAATCCCAATAATGAGTACTGTGGCATGATATGTTATAGGACTATATAGTATATTGTGTTGATTATGAGACAATTGGTTTGTATTGCACACTTGTGTTTGTTTGTGTATAAGGTTGTCAAGAGCAATACGGTAATAGGTTTGGCATCTATCGATCGATTGTTGATCGTGATGATGAGATATTAAATATTAATATCAATGCAGTAGCATTGAATATGACTGCGGTGATGACTCGACTGAACGGAACCGAATCCTGATTGCTCATCGACTGATCCGACTGTCATGCAACATCAAAATTTTCAAACTGCCGAGCACGTGCCTCCGATTCCAATGAGAAAGTCGGTCAACCCCAAATTTTCTTCACGATCACACTCTATCGGAATAAGAAAATAAAACAAAACAACAACTTTACCAAGAACTTACGCTACACTTGCAAATCGTTTTTTACTTTCTCAACGATTCTTCCTCAGCAACAAAAACAGGAACAACAACAGCAAGAAGCGGAAATTGAAAGGTACAATATAGAATAGCCTACAGTATCGATCAGCAAAGTATCCTTCAGATATACAGTAGTACTATCATATACTCAGCACGACAACAAATAACCAATCAATCAATCAATCATCATGACGATCGAAATGACAAAAGCGCACTTTGACGACACTCTGGAGACAGTGTTGGCAGTCGCCGTTGGTGGAATTGTTTTCTGTGCCATGTGGATCATTTTTATCCTTGTGGACATTGAAGCCAGCAAGGTTTCCTTCTTTTCCGTGGACGCTGTCGGCAAAGACATGGATTTGCAGCTCGATGTGACCACGGACGATGCCAACACTACTTCTAACGGCACCAATGGAATGGAAGTCGAACCTGAACGACAGCAACAAAATTCAAATGAACCAGAAATCAAGGCAACACGGGGACGACGCGTCTCGTGTGGCTTTAAAATGATGCAAATAGGATCTGTCTTGTTGCTGATCCTATTGACATATTTGTTATTGGTCGCTTCCAATGCTTCTGGATTTCTTTCGGCATTAGGTGCACTAGCAGTCTTTGGAATGTTTTTGCGATTCCAAATTGGAGATGAGCTTAGAAGACAACGATGGGACCGACTGACCTTGATGGTCAGTCTGTTCCTATTGATTGCTTCCTTTTTGAATCTCTCGACCTATGCCTGGAAGTCCTTGGCGCAGGGAGAAATATACCTGGGACCTGCTCGTATCATTGGCTATGATATTTCGGCATACTCCAATACTACTACCAACGCTACCGACGTTCCAACGACTCGCACCAACCTGGTGGTCCAATGGGGAAGTGACTGGGGATGTCCATTCACTGGAGGCAAAGTATGTGAAGCGGAGGTTCATGGTGTCATGTGCGCTACAAAACCCAATGGTGGTGGTGGTAACGGCAACAATGGCAATGGTCGTCGCATGCAAAATAACCAAGCAGGCGGCAATGGTAATGGTAATGGCAACGGCCAGCATACCAATACCAATGGAAATGGCAATGGCCAGCATACCAATACCAATGGAAATGGCAATGGCCAGCATACCAATACCAATGGACCGGTAGGTCACCATCCGAATGGAAATGGAAATGGTACCCATGCTGGAAATGGCAACCACAACAACACTAGCAACAATTCAAATGAAGAAAAGCAACTCGAAAAAGAAAACCAAGACTTGGAAAAGGAAAACGAAGAACTCAAGAAAGAGGTCGATGAACTCAAAGAAAAGGGTGACGAAGAGATTGATGAAATGGTGGATGGCGAAGAAGCCATTGAAGAAGAGGTATGTGACAAGATATCATCATTGTACATCATTTGTTTTGTTTTTTGTCTCGTTCTTGCCAATCACTTGTTGTATGATATTCTAAACGTTTGTTGCCTGCTTGATTGCTTGTATGTGTGCTGTACAGTTGATTGGTGATGAATTGATCGAGGATGTGGATTTGATTGATGCCAATGAAGGCAAGGAGGAAGCACTCGCTGATGGTAGGTTCCAAATTCATTCTTTTTTACTCCATGCTCCATTATGTTTGCTTGCTTGCTTGCTTTGTAGTACACATACTCATGTTCGTCCATGTCTTGCTTGTTGCTTGCAGAGGATGAAATGGAAGAAGAAATGGACAAGAAGGATATCGAGGATGAGTTGAAAGACACGAATGATGATGGTGTCAAAGACGAATTGGAAAAGGATATTGACCTGCTCGATGAGGAAGAAGTTGAAACAGAAAAAGATTTGGACGCTGTTATTGACGAGGATGAGGAAATTGCCGATGAATATTCAGACTACGCAGACGAGTATTTTGACGAAGCCGACAAGGCAATTGATTCCGAGATTGATGAAATCTTTGACGAGGAAGATACCATGGAGGATATTGATGAAACCGAAGAAGAAATCGATGAGACGGAAGATCAACTGGATGAGGATGGTTTGAACTGGGACGAAATGACTTTTGAATACGATGATGACATGTACGAAAATGAGTACTGGAACTACAACTGGGATTCGGCTTGGGGTGATTACGGTTGCGATGAACTGTTTCAATCGGATATCGAAGGTCAGGTCCACGATGCTTCGATTCCTGCCGGTAGCGGTGACAGCTGGCCATTCATCAATATCTATGGCAGTTGCAAGCATTGTGATGCTTACATTATGGACTATTTCGCCGAAGAGGCCTTTGAAAAGCTCGATGACTATTTTGTTCAAGCTGTCTTGTTTATGGGCCTCGGATTCACTGGAATTGGAATGTCACTGATTGGTTTCATCAAGTACAAGATGGAAGCTCCTGCCGAGAATCAAATTGAACTTTTGGGAAATAGTGCTGGAGTCATTGCTTAAAAAAACAGAATTGGCTGCCTGAAGATGCGGCAATAATTTTATATATGATACACGGATATATGATGAGGATGGGATGCATCGCCCCCGCGGATTATTGGAACGTTTCCCTTTTTGGTGTAAATCTGCTGGACAATGCCAACGAATTTTTGAAAACTGCATCAACTCATTCCCAAAACACGCTAGCCGGGCTGTGCGATATATATAGTACCATATACAAACGTAGAATTCTGCACGTAAATAATTCAAGGTATATTTTGGGAACGTCTTTTTACATTGAAAATTGTTGTTGTGGACGTGAAACGCAAAACCAAAACTCATTTTGTCCAAATACCGAAGAAAGCCAATACAGATTGCATATTGCATATTGCAGTCTTCCTTTTGCACCAAAGGAACACAGAAATCAAAACAACCATCACAACAAGCTGAAGGACAAACGTTAGACAAAATACATAATCTAAAACATGACGGTCGAAATGACGACGGCTCACTTTGATGACACTCTGGAAACAGTTCTGTCGGCGTCATTCTGTGGCATTGTGTTCTGCGCCATGTGGCTTATTTTTATCCTTGTGGATATTGAAGCCAGCAAGGTTTCCTTTTTCACAGTTGACGTCAGTGGCAAAGACATGGATTTGCAGCTCGATGTGACCACGGACGATGCCAATAGCGGCAATAACAACGACAACAACAACAACAATGGAACAGAAGCGGAATCAGAACCACAATCAAAAAGTGAACCAGAAATCAAAGCTAGACGTGGACGACGCGTCTCGTGTCAGTTCAAGCTGATGCAAGCTGGATCCGTGCTGTTGTTCATCCTGTTGACATACTTGTTGTTGGTCGCTTCGAACGCCTCGTGGTGGCTGTCAGCAGTGGGCGGTTTGGCAGTGTTTGGAATGTTTTTGCGTTTCCAAATTGGTGATGAGATCAGACTACAAAGATGGGATCGATTGACGCTGATGATGAGCCTGTTATTGTTGATTGCTGCATTTCTGAATCATGCCACATATGCCTGGAAAGCCTTGGCACAAGGAGAAATCTACATGGGACCTGCCCGTATTTTAGACTATGATATGGGAGCGTTCAACAATACGATTAACGGTACCACCACTACTCGTACTAACTTGGTGGTTCAATGGGGAAGTGACTGGGGATGCCCATTCTCTGGTGGAAAAATTTGTGAAGCAGATGTAGAAGGAGTCATGTGCGCTGTCAAGCCGGGTTCCAATCGCCGCCGCAGACAAACTCGTACCCTTGTGAACAATCAAGCGGGGGTTACACATTCTAGTGGTGGCAATGGACCTGGGAACAATCATCATCAGCAGCAGCAGAACGGTGCAGGACACAATGGAAACGCGGTACCCCAAGGAAATGGCACTCATGCTGGATGGGGAAAGAACAACTCCACCACCACCACCAACAACAACAACAATAATGAAGAGTTGAAGCTTGAGAACGAAAATCAAGATTTGGAGAAGGAGAATGAAGAGCTAAAGGAGGAGATCGAGGCGCTGAAGGAAAAAGAAGACGAACAGGTTGATGAAATGATCGATGGCGAAACGGCCGTTGAAGAAGAGGTACGAACGTTTGACATTTTTCGTGACACGATGTTGGCCTGACATGAAGCTCAATATACTGTGCATGATGGCTATAGATGCTTGGAGAGCAACTGGAAGAGGATGTAGATATTATCAACACCAATGAGGAGAAAGAAGAAGCTCTAGCAGACGGTACGATTTTGTTGCTATTTTCCGTGCTTACCATTGTTTGTATGGCACACTCGCTCATTTGGAATTGATTTTATTTTTTTAGAGGATGAAATGGAAGAAACAATGGACAAGGATGAGATTAAGGATGAGTTGAAAAACACGAATGATGACAGTGTCAAGGTACGTGACACTGTATTTACCAATACGGCACTCGTAACAATAGACCATGCCGCTAATTCTGGTTTCGTTCTATCCACCTTATCAGGACGAATTGGAAAAAGATATTGACCTCCTTGACGAAGAGACAGCTGAAACGGAGAAGGACCTTGACGAAGTTTTGGATGAAGACGCGGATCTGGCCGACGAGTACGAAGGTAGGTCAAGTACAATAGTGCGTATACAGCTGCTTTTTTCGGTTCATCTCCATATTCCCACTTGCCTTCTTTCCTATTTTATCCTTTAGAGTTTGCCGACGAAGAGTATGATGAAGCGGTTGACGAGTTTGATGCTGAAATTGACGAAATGTTCGATGAGGAAGACTCCAACACGGACTTGGATGAAATCGAAGCTGAACTCGACGAAACTGAAGAACAACTAGATGAGGACGAAGGCAGCAGTAGCGGTGGGTCTAACCAGAACCAGCATTCAGAAGCAACTGACGATTGGACTTGGGATGATATGTCTTTTGAATATGACGATGACATGTTTGAAAACGAATATTGGAACTACGACTGGGACTCTGCTTGGGGAGAATATGGTTGCGGTGATCTCTTTGAAACTGAAGTTTCAGGACAGGTACACGATCCATCGATCCCAGCTGGTAAAGATGACGATTGGCCATTCATCAATATTTACGGCAGTTGTAAATATTGTGATGCTTACGTCTTGGATTACTTTGCAGAAGAGGCATTTGAAAGACTGGATGAATACGTGCTCAGAGGGGTTGTCTTCATGGGTCTTGCATTCACAGGTATCCTGATATCATTTGTAGGCTTCGTCAAGTACAAGCTGGCTCCACCAGCAGAGAACCAAATCGAACTGCTGGGAAGCGAGGCTGGGGTTATTGCTTAGCTATTATTTCAAAATAATTGATGTAGTACTACTTTTTTTGATTTGGTCGTGTGGCAAAAAACAAGTGAATGAACGATCGATAGCGTTGATAGATGGAAACGGATCTCGTACAAAAGAAAACCATGTTGCTTCACTCAACTTTGTCATTTCACTTTTTGTTATTTCAATAATGTCGAGCCTACCGGGTACGCGTAGTCCAGAATGTATCATTACAGTACCTGGTACTTGGTACTCTCACAATAATATTGAAAATTGAATATTGACTATTGTCCTATTCAAAAACTGGTCGGATGGATCGGCAATACACGGTCTTGCTGGCGTCCGTGACAACAAAAACACAAGATGCTGCAACATCAAACGAGAGCATCACACACAGCCTTGTTGGAAAGAGCAGAAACTATACCGAATTTGATAGAAACCAGCCAATCGCTTTCATTGGCACATCTTTGCTATTGCCCAAGTACAATACCGCAGATTGATTGAATCAACGAAGAAAAGTTCACATTCCAGAAGCAATTCAACAACAACAACAACCCATTTCCAACTCTGCAACATCCATCGTAGATACAATGCCTCGTTTCTTTGACGATTATTCGAATACCTACTTGACTCATGACAGTTCCGCTGGCCGTAAGCAACAACGGCGAGGTTGGAAATTTCGAGAAAATTTCAAATTGCATTACGGTGACCACATTGATGATTGGCGTAAGTACAATACTGTATATGGCTTTTTGGCAAACTGTGGTTTCTACAAAAGGACACTTGACTAATATTTTGCTTCCATTGTTTCAATAATATTTTATAGGAAAAGGACCAATGGGTTTGGCGTCAGCACAACAGGCATATATTAAAGCAATGGGTATCAATGATCCCATGATTCCTCCTCTCCCGGATCATTGGAAGCAAGAGGCGGACGATGTGACTGGGATTTTGTATTATTTCAATACCATGACCAAGGAACGATCTTGGGTGAGACCAGGATTCTTTCCACCCCCGCCACCAGGGGTCATGGGTCGAGGACCACCACCACCCCGAGGAGGATTCAATCAGGGAGGAGGAGGATTTCCGCCACAAGGCAATTTCAATCGGGGTCCGCCACCACCGCCAATGATGCAGCAGAGGCCACCCTATGGAGGCCCACCGCCGCCAATGCAAGGAGGCCCCCCCCCTCCATTTTCAGGTGGTCTTCCTCCGCCCCCACCGGGACAGTATGGGGGACCACCTCCACCGAATAACTTTCAGCGGCCACCACCAAGATATTAGATCGAATCAAATAAGGTGGACAATAAGTCATGCATGTTCCTGAAGTAGGCCCGAGTTTCTTGGATAATGACTAAAGACATCCGTCTCACAGCAAACAATACAAAACTAGTACTTCATTGTAATTGATGAACCCCGAGTAATATTATGGAGTAGGCCTGCCGTAATGTAATTTACAATACAGATCGATCGTCGAGTCGACGAGGTCAACGGTTTTAAGTCGTGGCATAATCTTTTGCATAGCGATGCGTTCGCAATGTTACTGCATTATTGTTTCGGAACACAACCACACATACTTCAAGCAGATAGAATGCTGAACGCATACCGGTGATTGTATTTGTATATATCACATATTGAATAGTATGGCTAAGAAACCATTTACCATGGAAAAAGAGAGCAAAGACTTGTTGCAAACATGCGTTCCAGGAGTCACCGTCTCCACAACACATGATTCTTGTACTGATTCCCCCCGATTGTTTCACTACTATCACAGCTATCAGACTTTGTACGTGGAAGATGACGAGTACAATGATGATGCTGATGATGATGAAGGCAGTCCTATGTATCATTCTTCTCCCATCACACAGCATGTGCCTCGGCTAGAAGAACAACGACAACGGAATCGAATCATACTCTTGATTCGTCTGTCGTTGTTGTTGAGTGCAGTTTGGTTCTATTGTTACAATTCTTCTACCACAACCAACAGCAACGAAAGTCAATCAAACCATTCGTCACTTCCAACCTGGACGGTAGAAAATGAAACCGCAACAAATGCTACTCGTGTTGGTGACGATCGTCAAGACCACATCTTGACCGCACTCAAGAATTTGGACGAAGATATTCAGGGGGATATTGTCCTTGCCTCTACCAAGCAAAAGTTTCAAATGGCGGCCAAAGTGTGGTCCTTGGGACGAGAGCCGCCACTTGCCGTGGTGGAAGCTTTTAGTATACAAGATGTGGCGTTGGCCGTCCCCATTTTGGCGGGACTCTCCAAGGAATACTCGCTCGAATTTCGTGTCAAGTCGGGAGGTCACTCATTCGATGGGGCCAGTACTGTCCAAGGGGGAGTCATGCTCTCCTTGGCCAAATTGAATGCCATGACACTCTCGTGGGATCCCGAAAACGATGACGATGATGATGCTAATCAGACGCAAAGAATGAAAATGACAACGACTCCACAACACCGGAAGCAGCAACAACAAGATCCATCACCCAAGACGGTCATTGTGCAATCTGGTGTCAAAATGGAAGACTTCTTGGGAACCGTATTGGACCAGCACGGATACGAGTCAGTGGTATCCTCGGCTGCTGGCGTAGCCTTTGGTGGCTTTTTGCTGGGAGGTGGCTATGGTTCTACTTCCAGGCTTCATGGATTGGCCATGGATCAAGTTATCAGGATCAAGGCCGTGCTAGTGAATGGAACCGTGGTAGATGTGTATGCACCAAACGCAACGACGACAAGAACTAGCTTTAGCAGTAGAAGTAGTCAAGACAATGACAATGATGACCTCTTTTGGGGACTCCTCGGGGCAGGAGGTGGCAACTTTGCAGTGGCAGTCGAGTATGAACTCAAGGTGTATCCCTCCAAGGATATGAAATTGGGTGCCAAGGTGAAAATGCCAATTTCTTACTTGACACAGTTCTTGCAAAAGGTGGGAGAAAAAGAACCAAAATTGGATGACAGGTTTATTGCTTCTGTAGAAGAGTTTGAATTAAGTGGTGGGGGCTCTTCCCCAGATGGTGGTGAGGATGATACTCGTTCCTTCCAATCCAAACTTTTGAAATTGAAATCCGAAGCCAAGAATGGCTATCGTTTTTCTCGTCTAGGCAAGACGAATAATAATGATGATCAGTACAATGATACTGAAGAGGAAGGAACTGCAACGGTGACATTACACTGGATGGGGGACTCCAATGGTGGAAGCGACGACGGAGAGGTTGGAATGGACTACATTAACCAGAATGTTGTGTCTCTGATTCCACAAAAGGTCCGCAAGGATGTGACAGTCAGCTATTATTATTTCTCTTGGTCCGGGATTACTCGACAAAAGGAACAATCCGAGACTTGGAGGACAGTCTGGGCGGCCCAAGCGTGGAATGGCTTTTTAATGCCCGAAAATAATACTGCTGCTGTTTGGCAAAGCATCTACAAGGATATGATGACCATGTTTCAGTACTGCACCTTTTTGGTTCCCAATATCGAACTTTGGGGTGGTGCCATTTCACAACGTACTAACAATGAAACAGCCTTTGCACATCGGCAAGCGGTCTACAATGTGGGAGTCCGACTAATGGTGCCAAATGGTACCAAAGAGGAGCAACATTTCTCTGAAGATCAATCGGCATTGGTGAGTGCAGTATGGCCATCGATTGCAAAGCATTTGCAAGGAGTCTATGTGAATTATCCAATGTCCAGCTTGGCCAAGGAAGACTATCCCAATGCCTACTGGGGCGATAATTTGGATCGCCTCGTCAAACTGAAGGATCAATTTGATCCTGATAACTATTTGCACCATCCTCACAGCGTGCCAAGTGCAAAGAAATGAATTTGCATTGTGAGCAGTAAAATTGTATTTTAGATTGTACATAATATGTCAACATTTGTTGGATGATCAGTGGCTGGTTTCTATTACTAGCTAGCATTCAAGACATAGCACATGATGTTTAGGGGTGCATTCGGTAGGATTCAGCTTCCACATGCTAACCTCTTTGAAGCCACTTTCTTTCGCCCACAAGGCTCGATCATACTCGATCAAACATTTGGCTTCGTAGTTGCCTAAATCGTCAGCACTCTTGCTGAGCTGACCCAGATATTCATCTTGACTCATGATTCCTCGAAAGCTGGAACTTCGTGGGTATTGGTACCCACCTGTAGTTTTGGATGTCATGGCGCCATTGCAACATGGACAAACTATACAAGTTGCACCACGTCTCAAACACAATTCCATTACCATATCAGTGAATGAACCACAACAATGCAGTCCTATCCCCACGTCAAACGCTACAACCTCGTTATTTCCACTGCCAGCATTGTTTGCATCTAACGTGGGACAAAAGTCGTTGAGATTCTGCGGAGAGAATGTGTATTGCATGACCTCCACATTTGTAAGTCCAGCTTCTTTGGATCGTCGCTCCGCTAGCTTGAGTGGGTATGGCTTCATATCCACCAAGATAAATCGAACGTTTTCAAAGTAGGCTGCCAAGGCCAGACACAGATTGCCTGACCCGCAGCCAAAGTCTACCACAGTGAGAGGCTTGTTGTTCGCGGGTCGTTTCTTCAATATCCGCGTTAATAAGAAAGCAAAGTTCTCAATTTGCCAAGCCTTCCGTTGGCCACGCCGAGCACTCAGGAGGGAAACTCCGGCTGTATCATCCATACCCCGTCCATGTTTGGTCCACATTTCTTCCTTCTCTGTTTCCGTTATCTTTCCCATTTCTTGCATGACAGCAAGTTTCTTCTTGTACTTTGTTTGATATTTCTTGTCTCTGTCCAGTTTGGGGTCATCGGCTATAGCTTTGTCCATGACAGCTCTGCACGGATCGCACATGCATGGAACTTTGCTCCAAAAGTGGTTCTTTGCATTTGGATCCAAAGGTATCGACGAGTATAGATTCTCCACTTTGGATGCGGAAGGGTCACCATCCATAGATTCTATCATTCTATTCATCAACTCGGTGAGAGCATTTTGTTTGCGGTCTTGATTTCTTTTTCGTTGTCGTCTCTTGTGCAAGCGATGTTTGGATACCGGTGGTTCTTCTTGGGCATTTGAGGAAGGATCATCTAGAATCTCTTTTCGCTTGTTCTTGCCAGATTCTACCTTTTGTTCGCTCTGGCTCATCATCATTGACGTACGCTGCTTGGTTCGATGACGCAGTGACTCCTCTTCTCTTCATCCGGTTCAGACATTGGCATTTTGTGTTTGGTGGTTGGGTTCTTTTTCGTTACACGGTCAATCATTGACAACGAGCAAGCGACCAGACCGTCAGCCGATCATGCGCGACCAGCAACATGCGGTTCTTATGAGACTTTCATTGCCAACTTCCGTCAGCCTGAATGGTCCCGCGACCAACAACTTGTACCTTCAAAGTCATGTAATAATAAATTTTGAGAAAGCCATCTTTGAAAGAGTAAAGAAGTCGTTGCACTAAAGTAAATTTGTAATCGATGCTTTCGTCACAATAGAAAATGTGTAGTCGAAGCGTGCCATTTCATCAATCATAAAAGATACTGTAGTTTTAGAGAGGTAATGGATGTAAAAGTCTCCAAAAAAGAGAAGGGAGTGAGTGAAGTACAAACTGATGCAATCGAGCTCACACACTTCACGATAGCCATATTATGAAAAAAAGGTAACACACCATGCGGCGAACTTGGACATGATATCGCATACAGCACCACGTCATGTTCTTATGCAGGAAAAAGGTGCAAATTTGACGCAACCAGCAGAAAAAGATCGTAGCACCTATTTATGGGGGAGAAGGTTGTGCGTGGCTTCGAGGTATCGTCTCATAAGTAGAGATGCGTTGAGGTCCTCAGGCCCTATCTTTTGACACGTGCAAACTTGATAATTTGTCTGTGATAAAAAATCTGAACGGCACTCGAACACGTGTGAGGTAGTCGTTTCAAACCACAGTTCATCCTCTGATGAGACGCCCTCTAGGAGGAGTATATACAATATACCGGTATAATACCGAATGGATGCATAGAACCGAAGGATGCCAACGAGGAGCCCATTGACGCTACTTTTGGATGCCGTTTTGCTGGGAGATGCTGACAGAGTAGAGGTTGCATTGAGTCGAATTAGGCCGCTGGTAAACCTAGAAAGTCTTTGTGGAAATCCTCTTCAATCGATCAGCGCCCTCGAAGAGATCGTCCAGGCTCTTATGATGCATCATCCACAATTGGCCAAAGTTTCAACGTCTCGGGACAATTCGCTACCTCTTCACTATGCTGTGAGGATGAATAGCATCAAAATTGTCAGTCGGCTGCTCCAACGATACCGGGAAGGAATTTTCATGCAAAACGCACAGGGAAAGACGCCGCTGCATTTTGCGGCACGGGTCGGAAAGCTAGACATGGTGAGGCAAATATTGCAAATTGCCCCCGAGACAGCCGCCATACGGTCCGAAAACGGAAAATTACCCTTGCATTTTGCCTGTCGGGAAGGGCATTTGGAAATCGCAAAAGAGCTCTTGCAGGTTCATCCCCAAGGAGCTAGCTGGCAAACCGACAAGTGCAAGGTGGCCCTCCATTTTGCGGCTCGATGGGGTCATATAGAAATAGCCAAGGAACTCTTGCGTGTTTATCCACAAGGTGTTTCGATTTTGGATTACGAAGGCAGTCTGCCGTTACACGATGCCACCCGGCAAGGTCAAACGAGAATGGCCAAGTATCTAGCTCCTTTGTACTTGAAAGGACTCGAACTTGAGAATGTTCGAGGAGAAACCCCGCTGTTCACAGCCGTAAGAAGTGGAAACTATGAATTGTCTTCCTTTCTCCTACGAGCATGGCCGGAAGGGGGGAAACATGTTTTGCAAAGTGCCTGTTTTGATGATCGAGTAGGCACCTGGGAGCCAGGACTACTCAACATGTGTTTGTTTGGAGCATCCATGGAAAAAGGAGGAGGAGCAAATACTACTGTCGACATCAAGTGCCACGGCATTGCAAATTCTACTACTACTAGTAGTACTAGTAGTAGTACTAGTAGCATAAGTAGTGGTAGTGGTAGCAGCAGAACGTTCACCTCGTCCCGGGTTTTGGCTCCAATGCCGCACGACAAGGTTACTAACAAGCGGTCTGCTCCCATTAGCAGCAATCATGGTATTGCGGCGAAACGACGTTATTTGGAAAAGAACGAAAATAATTACCGTGGTAGTGATGATCACCAACAGCTTTCATCTACTTCGTCCACCAACAACGAACAACAGCAACAACAACAACCGCCACAAATCTCGGCCTTTTTACCGTTGCACGCCGCATTGGAATGCGGAGCGTCTCCCGCAGTCTTGAATTACATTCTACAAAAGGGAACCAATCAATTGATGGAACGAAATAGGATGGGAATGTTGCCCCTGCATTTGGCGGCTGCTTACTTCAAGGAAGAAAGTCTACCAATCATTCTCAATGTCCTTTGGAAACATTACGAACAGGCATCCAGTGTTCGTGATAATTTGGGGCGATTGCCACTGCATTTGGCACTCCAAGCGAGGGCCGATTGTCGATTGGTCGAATGTTTGTTGCATTCTGCAACGGCAAGTACTAGTGGTAGTAGCACTGGTAATGCCAAAGAAGATCACGATGCTCCAGATACTACAACGATGAGTACTACCAACAACGACAACAACAACAACAACAATAACTCTTCCAGCACCAACTCGGCGATGGTGGACGAGTACCCATTGTTCATGGCTACCGAATATGGATGTGACTTGAGCACTATATTTCTATTACTCCGAGAAGATCCCACTGTGTTGAAAAATGCTTCCCCCATATGATGAGTCCTAACCTACCAATCATTCATTCATTCATTTATTCATTCTGGTGTCCTACTATTTTATTGGAGTGAGTCGAGTCGTGCCAATCATTGTGTTCCAATACACGGAACTTCTATTTTGGCAGTCGTAAAACAAGAATGCAATCATCTTTTTAAAATAAAACGAAGCAATGCGATGCACTATAAAACCAACCAATGTGCTTTTACTCTACGATTTTATACATTGGCATACAGTAGTAGCTCCTGCAGTATAAAAACGTCGGAGAACACCGCATGATAATGTAGGTGTGATAAAGAAGAATGATATGATACCGGTACCGATATGATATGAGGAAATTCTTCGATATTTTGACTAATATGATTCGACTCAGTCATCCTACACAAAAATCTACGAACATCGTCACAGTTCGATCTGAAATAAGCTCCAAATTTCCCAAACCACCACCTCAACCGAATACAGTCGCTCGTGCATCTTTGATTATTGGCGAAACAAACAAGGACAAGCATCCACCACCACCATCCTTGCATAGAACGATTGGTAACTGAATAATAAAAAGACAAAGCCTAAAGACTCCTTCAATAAGAAAATGTCTGGGCTGATTCCAGATTTGGCCAGTTGGGCGCTTCGTGGCGGAGCTGCTGCCAACAATGAAGACGACGACGACAACAACAATGGAAACAATGGCGACAATGGAAACAATGGCGATAACAATAACGCTACCAATGAAGATGGAAACTCCAATACTCCTCCTGCTCCAGCACTCAATGAACAGGAAATGAGAGAACGCCGTCTAGCACGAATGGCGGGCAATGCTGCTCCATCTCCTACTGCTGCTGTTGGTGGCAGTGGTGGTGGCAGTGGCAGTGGCAGTGGCACGGCTCCCATGGACATTGATCCTCCTCCCTCCAATGCTCGTACTGCGACGGCCAAAGCAACTCCCGAAAAGAAACCTACCCCAAAGCCAACACCCGAAAAGAAACCAGCCGCAGCGGAACAGCCATTGCGAAAACGAAAGAAGGAATCCAAGTTGGGAACTCCCTCGGATTCGGCCAAGAAAAATCAGCGAAAGAAGGAACTCTTGATCAAAAAGGTTCTCGGCATTACCCTTTCGACGGAAGATTCTTGTTGTGTCAAGATTGAATTGGACGACAAAGACAACATTGGAACTCATTCGGTGGCCGAGATTTTGGCCACTCGACTCTCGCTTCCACCCTCGGACATTCGGACCTTGCCTCAACAAAAGCCTCTCATTCAATATTTGGGATTGGCCCATCGCAAGGCGGGGGACGAATTGAAAACACTCCGTCAGGCCAGTAAGAAGGATACGACCGATCTTCAAGAAATTCTACAAGAAATACAGCGACAAGTGGTCAGTTACGCGGCATCGTCTCTCATGGAACCAGATCTATTTGAACAAGCCAAAGATGGCGTCCAGCAATTGACCAATGCGCTCTTGAATGCGACCTTGGATCCCATTACGTCCATTACCTTTGGTGTTTCTGGTGCAACTACTTCATTTTATTATTGCCTCTGCGAAGAACTCGTGACGCAAGACATGGCTACCCTGGACCGAGTCGTGTCCGCTTGTGCCACTCAAATTCTCACCAAGCTGCAACGATGCGAAAGCATTGAATCGGGGATTGGAGATAGCAATGCGCTTTCACTAGTAGCTTCGTTGACAGCTTTGTGTCATCACAAAAGAGCAGCCGTGGCCATTACCAAGATGGATTCCTTTTTGGTCCCGGCTGCAGGAACACCTGCGGCGACCGAACAAATTCGACCTTCGGTTCCTGCCGGAGCTGATTTGCTGCGCATGTTGACGGGAGAGCACCGTCCCTACCCCAAACGCAGTGGACCTGCCATTGAAAAACAAACTCTTATGGGGGCTTGTTTGAAGGTATCTACGCCCAAGAATAATCCAACCTTTTCGCCAACTTCCATTATGAGACAGTCCTTGGACAATGTGGAACGGGTCACCAACCAACAGCGTCTTCAGCTACGGAATTATCAAGAAGCTTGTAATGGATTCATTCTCGGATTGATCAAGGGAGGACCCGAAGCTCGGGAGAAGGTATGAGATTTATGTTTTGAAATACCATGTTCTTGGAGTGTAGAATCATGGATTGAAATGATGATGCTGACAAATTGCTTCTTCTCCTCCTTGACACTATTACCAACATTACCATCATTAGGTACTGCAATGGTTCACAGACTGTTTGTTGCTCAACACGGGAGCCACTGCCATGAGACCAGATGCATCCAAGGTCGCTTCCTCGACCATGCTTTTGAACACTTCGGTAGTCTTGCTCAAGCTTTGCGATCCGTTTGTACGAGACGAAAAGAAGCACAAACTAATCGATCCCGGATTTGTGTCATCACCGCAGCACAATGGAGGAATCTTTCCTACTTCCGGGGATGACTTTTTGCCACGGTTGGGAGAATCTTCGGACGATGATACTCCCATGGTAGAATATGCTCCCAAGAATACCTTTGTTCCCCAATGCTTCTTTTTGACGGCCCGGTCCTTGGCTCTTGGATTTGTTCCCATGCTGAGTCACCACGAGAATTTGCTTAGACATATTTCCCATATACATTGGGAATTGGGCTCGCAAGACCGGGACATTCATTCGGATCCTCACTTTTGCATCATGGTGAGCAAACAACGATCCGGTGAAGTCGCCCTATTTCAAGACGAAATGGTGACCGATACTTTGAATTTCCTTAATTTGATGGCCAAGGTGCTGACGGATTTGCCTGACGCATCGTTGAAGCAAATGCCGGAGCACTTTGCGGACAATATTTGCGATGCTTTGGAAGGTGTGGCCAAAATGAAGCCCAAGGCGTTGCGCGGCTTGGAACTTCGAAATGTCTTCAAGATGGTGGTCAAGCTACTATCGGCGCGATATGCAAGCGTGAGTGCATGGGAATGGAATTCAATTCAATTCAATCCAATTCGTGTTTATGATGGTAGTCGGGTTTCTTGACAATATGTTCTGACAATCTTGTTGTTCCTTGTTCATTTTCGTATTCACAGATGGTCCGCAACTACAATCTTCGAGCCACCCTTGGAGATGTACTGTACGAAATTTTCTTGCCCTGTGGAAATGATGATCGACGTGATGTCCCTACCAGTGTTGCATGTGATCCAATGGCTGGGGGTCAGACATACTTGATATCCGACAAGTCTGCCCAAGAATCATTGGCTCCGTCACTGCTACTCCTTTATGGAGAAGTAGAACACACTGGATACTATGACAAGATGAGTCATAGAGCCAAGATCTCATCCCTCCTCAAGTACTTGTGGGAGTCTGCCGAGCATCGTCCAGCGTTCCGATCGATTACTCAAAACAAGGAATCCTTTATGAAGTTTGCCAATGGAATCATTAATGAAACCAACACGTTGATTGCGACAGTCATGCAAAAGCTACCCGAGATTCGAATGGTCCAAGAGCAACAGGCCAATCCAACTGAATGGGCCAGTCTTACCGAAGAACAACAAAGCGATGTGACCAGCCGATTGGAAGACAATGAACGTGAAGTCAAGCATGCACTTCCATTGTGCAACAAGACTCTTCAGATGTTTGGATACTTGAATACGGACAAGGATATTCGAACCCTCTTTTTGCTCGACGAATTGTGTCCTCGTCTTGTCAACATGTTGATACATGTGCTGGGTAAACTGGTGGGATCCAAGGGTTTGGAATTGAGGGTATGCATTTTGATTTGATGGATATTAGAAGTGTTGTTTGTTTGACATTTGGGGCTCACCATGTTTCTTGTCCTAATTGTAGGTGAAAAATCCAGACAAGTACGAGTTCCGACCAAAGGAAATGTTGCGGGATCTCTGTGCCATTTTTGCTCTCTTTACGTCCGCGGGAGAGTTTCAAGTCGAGTGTGCCAAATCTGGCTGCAACCCAGATCTCTTGCGAAGCGCCATCAAGACTTGCAAGAAGTTGAATTTGCTGACTGGTGAATCCATGACTGCCTTTGAGTCCCTTCCAGATTTGGTAGACAAGGCCTCTAAGATAGTCCAAGAAGAAGAAGCACTTCTTGAGGACGCACCACCAGAATTCATGGATGAACTGATGGCCAGCTATATGACGGATCCTGTCATATTACCCAGTGGTCATTATGTTGATCGATCCACCATTACACAACACTTGCTGAACGATCAAATGGATCCGTTCAGCCGTGAAAAGATGACAGTGGATGACATCAAGCCAGCAACCGAGTTGAAGGAACGAATGGCCAAGTGGCTAGAAGGGAAACGATCATCGCGCATGTCCGATGACTAATAATGCAACTAACTAACTAACTAACTATAGAGCATTTGGTATAGTACATACATTATCATCCTTGAGTCATTCGTGAAGGTTGTATGCGGAGTTGCTACTTGGGCTATCGATCTGCTTTGATTTGGAGTGTCCAAGGTCTATCTGTTGAACAAAGGGAGCTAAGTTCTGAAGCCACCAAGAGGTGTTATTCAAAACTGCCGAGCTGTCGATTTCCAGGGGCGAAACAACGTGAAGACATAGTCATAGAAATATATAAGAGAGATAGATTTGTCTCGCTTATATATTCATAGTAGACAATCTTACGCACTATCATCTATCCTTGATATGGATTCTGACAGGGTTCTCGTTTCACTTCTTGGGTGTCCTGCGTCGAAGATTGTATCGGCCCACCACCATCGTATTGTTGGTATCGTCGTGGTTTTCATTTTGGAGGGGTGAAGAGGGCAGATCAAGATCTACCTCTCCGCGTGATCGCTTGAGATGAACCTGCCATAGTTCTTCCCCAATTAAACTGGCACTTCGTTTGCGGGCTTCTCGCAATTCAGGAAGAATGTCTCGTTGTTCCTCAGCAGCCTCTTGACCCTCATTGCGACGAAGGTGAACCAAGAATAGCTCTTCTCCAACGGTGGTTGATTTCATGCTTTTCAGTTGTTGTTGTGTTTGATTTTATGTCCGATCAACAAACCAACCCCTCCAAGACAGCGGGATCTCGTTCCAGTTGCTACGATGGTGCCGTACGAGGTATTTGTTCTTTTGACATCAAATGATCCGAACTCGGAATAAAACTGACGGTGGTGGCGGGTGTCACTGTTTCGTTCCATCCAATCCTTTGATCGAACATGTCGACCAAGTTGATGCGAAATTTGGAAAATTCCAAATTCTTCCAGAAAATTTTTCGAACGCGTACGGTCTGGTAGAATACATAGGTAACCGTTACCTGAACTTCAATCTCAACGGAAGTTTAGGGATGTTTTCGCGGCAATGGTGTGGGAGTTTTGAACCAGGCTCTCCATACGCGCAACACTAACTTAACTTCTTTCTTCTGTGTCCTTCATCATCATCATCATCATCATCAAAGTGATGCCAGGCCACGAAGACAGTGGTGATCCACCGCTAGGTGGTCCCGACGATGAGCCGATTAGTAGCAGTCGTCCTCGCCGAAGTCGATCACGATCTCCTCCACGTCGACGCCGTCGAAGCAGGAGTCGAAGTCTTAGCCGGAGTCGATCCAGATCGCCAGAATCACGACGAAGGCGATCACCTCCTCGGCGATACCGAGGAAGATCAAGGAGTCGCAGTTTTAGTCCAGGGCGCTCTCGCAGTCGATCGCCTCCCCATGGTGTAAGTATCTTGGATGCCTGGTATTTTTTTCAATCACAATCACCTACATGGTTGCATTGCATGTGATGGTGATGTATGTCATTCTGGCGAAAAAATCTGACTCGCTAATTCTACCTATTGATTTGTAGGGAAGACATTCTCGTGAGAGAGATCGCTCTGGAGGTCGTAGAGGAGGACCTGGCTTTGGTGGAAGAGGAGGTATGTTTGTTTCACAATATATCATCAATTCATCTTGTGCAATAGGTACTTTTTTCTTTCTTTCAAAGGATACCTCACCCATCAACTTCAAATCTTTTTTCGATCAGATTATGGACGCGGCTATGGACCACCCCGTGGGCCTTATGGTGAACCCTTTCACGATGCCGCTGGCTCAGGTCCTTACGGTCCTCCACGAGGCGGAGGAGGAGGACCTCCGCCCCGCCGTGGAGGAGAACGTAGACGCCGTGAGGAAGGGCCTCCTGGAGTCTCTCTCTTGGTGCGAAACGTATCTCCCGATGCGACTACTGCTGATTTGCAAAGGGCTTTTGGAAAGATTGGAGAAGTGCGAGATGTCTACATTCCAAGAGACTACCACTCACAGCAACCCAAGGGATTTGCTTTTATTGAATATGCCGACCCTGAAATGGCAAAGGAAGCACGCGATGAGATGGATAGATTCCGAATCAAGGGACGGGAACTCGAAGTTGTGTTTGCTCAAGAACGACGCAAAACTCCTGGTGAGATGAAAGTTCGAGGTGGTGCTCCTGGTGAACGTGAACGAGGAGGAGGAGGTGGTGGTGGTGCTCCAAGTGGCCGTGGACGAGGTGGAGGAGGAGGCGGTGACCGTGGACGAGGCGGACGCAACTTTGAGCGGTAAGTGAATTGGATGAAGTTGTCCTATGGTACAACTCCTGAGGCCCCGGACTAACGAAGATTCTCTGACATGTCCCACAGCTCGTCTTCCTTTGAGAGACATCAAAATCAACAGCGAAATCGGGATCGAAAGGGGAGTGATAATGAAGGCCGTCGTTCGGAATCGAGTCCAAAGAACGATCGCAAGGGCGAAGAATCTGGAAATGCCGCTGGGGAAGGCAACCAAGGATCAAATAATGATGTCTGAAAGCAGCAGACAGTTCATATATGTGTCGAAGGATTATGTGTTGATGGATCAAGTTTTCCAATCGAATGGATAACTTACCCCATCGTATAGTTTGAAAGTCAAGATGTCGAGGCAGTAGGAAGAAGTTTGTGATTTCCTCTTGCTCTGGCAACGAGTAAATGTTTATTTATATAATACAGTTCATGAAGGTCAAGATCAAGATTTCAATGACTCGCATTACCAAGTTTCGAATGGTGACCTTTTGTCACCGTTCGAGCCCTATTCTCGTTCTCTCAAGTAGTATCCTTGGGTCCGTTTGTGAGAGGACCATCAAGTGCATTCACCACAGTGAAATCTGTACAGAGGATATCGTGCTGGTTGCGTTTTGACTAGGCTCATGTGAGCAGAGTCCATGGCACGGCCTGCACCAAGGATGACATTCATTCTTCCATCGTAACGAGAAGACTTTTATAATTTTACAAGTTGTCTACAGTTACCCATGAAACGAATGACCTCCATATCGATAACACCAGTCGGCGTCGCATACGAGACTCAACGAATAGCAATTTCTTCGGTAGGAGAAGGATACATTGCCCAACAAATCTTGATACCCTTACTATAGCATCAATTGAAATACAAATCACTGGAACTTGGTCTTGTCTCCTTGCATTCCTAATTTACCATCTTCTAGTATTACCCCATTATTTTACTGTGACAACTATTAGAGTGGTGGCAGGATCGACTCGACGACTGTGTCAATCAATTCCGCTCTTTGAATACATCTATGATCATACAGTATATATGCATTCCTCATGCCATGTAATCTATATTCCATGGTTGATCGTTTGGAGAACAATATCGTTGAGGAATGGAATCGTAGGGCAATGGGATCGGCATGTCACCGCCCTCCTGTTCCCCCCGACCAGTAAAAGGGACCAGCCGTTTGCCCATGATGCTGGGACAGATCAAGACGGCCATTTCCCACGAGACGACCCGATGACATTTGCCGAACTTCCCATTGATAATTTCTCCCCATGCCGCTTTGGATAGATTCTGACTTCCCATGCAGAACCATGCAAATGACGGTGACTTTTCCTTGTTGTTGCTGCTGCCATTGTCAGCATTTGTTATCATGCGATGCTGATGCTGCAATTGGAAAAAAGTCTTGATGTGCGGAATACTCCTTGGCTTGTGAATCATCATACTATTATTAGTACTGGTCAATGTCGTCTTTGTCGTCGTCCATTTGCAGAGGAGGGGCTTGACACATTTCTTGGTCAAGTTCTTGATGCGTCCTGGAACAGCAGCACCTCCAGATATTCCCTGATTGGATCCTTCGATTTCTGAAATGGTTGGCCAAACCAATTTGATCATGTCAACAAGATCGGGTTGTTGTTTGCCCATACTGTTCGTAATAGTGGGAGGCACTACGGAGAGACTGGTGGCAAAGTCTTTCAACCATTTTTCACTGAGAGAGCCAATGGAAGAAAATTGGCTCACCACGGGACCATATCGAGTAGAAGAATGGGAGGAAGGAACATTGGCATGTGTTTGAATGGCATTCTTCAGCTTTAGGTATCCTTGGAGTGGTTTTGTTGCTCTGCCTTCTCGTGGTCTCTGTTCACCTTCAGGGAGGATGGCGTGATATCCTGGAATGGAAGGAATAAGAATGGCTTTGGCATTCGAAAAGTCATACTGCGCAAGTTGGTCCACCAAAGTCCTAGCGGGTCCTCCGTTCGACCATTGCTTCTTGGTTCGGTAACCATAGGATTCGAAGTAATGAATCAAGGTTTTTTCAAAATCGTCACCAAGGGACGAAGGAGCTGCGGCGGCCTTGACCGACGACTTGAATGGAAAGTCTTGCACAAAGGCACCATTGGCTTGGAGTTCCAAATCTACCTTCCCAATGTTGGCTGTTGAGACAACCACCCGCAATCTGTCTTCCATGCCCACAAGAAACATTTTAGTGTGATGACTTCCATAGTCGAACTTGTATTGGAGCGGATTTGTGGTGGGAGTTCCATAGGTCGATGGCTCTTCCTTTGGATTGAGCGGACAAAAGTCGGCCGATGGATCCAAAAAGCGCCAGGAATCTGGATTGTTTCCGCCGCCGGATTGTGTAAAGAACACTTTGTTCCGGACCGAGAGTAATTCAGGGTGCTCTTCCATGAGAAATGAAAAGTCACAGAGGAAATTGGAAAGAGCAAACCACTCAATGCTCTTTCTTCCCGGATATCCTTGAGCAATCGTAGTAGGATTATGACTCCCCTTGAAAGGTTTCCAGATGGGATCCAATCCCAGAATTTCTCTCAGCGTCATGATGTAATTTAGATGCGAGCTGGACGACATTGTAATTTCTCGCGACCCAAGGTCTTGTCTCAGCTTGAGGTCTTCGATAGAGGCAAATAATTTAATGACAGGAGTTTGGGAAGCATCGAGGAATAGCTCTTGGTTCGTTGGAGTCTTATTGTTACTATTTGTGGTGCTGGTGGTGCTGGTGGTGGTGGCTGCAGTCAAAAAGTCAGCAGTCTCAGTTCCGTCGTCGTTGACGGACCTTGCTGGTGATGTTCGTCTTGGACGTTTGGAAGGCTTTTCTTCCATGGTATCAGTGAAATCTTTGATAGTGCCTTTCCGACTTACTTGTACAGTTGTGATCCCTAAAATAGTATTCAAACAGTACGAGTATTAATAGCAGATGTGACTATGTTTTCACTTCAAATTTTTTCGTTCCGATGGCTTCCGAGAATTGAGACTAAATAAGTATTTTAATAGGAATCCGATCGACGCCTTCGATTCATTCATACCGTCGTTCATGGAGTCACTATTGAGTCCATTGGTTCGACCGCTTTCTTCCGTCTACGTTAGAGCATTCTGAATTCGACAACAATCTTATCCCTCCTCATCGCACAATAATACTGTATGCAGCCATATCTATCTATCTATCGTCTTCTATCGTCGAATGACAAACTGCACTGCGCATTTTAGACATATATATATCTATATCTATATCTATATATCTATACCTGTAACACTTTCATCTGATGCATGTTGAATGGCTGATTCACCACTTGTGTTTCGATGAAAACTTCTCCAGCGCAGAGATTGACATTGACCTTCACGATGCCGACGTGTGGGATCGATTGATCCGAAGCTTGACGCGGAGCATAGGACTCGAAGAATTGAAGATCACACGATCGTCAGACTACCAAGTTAGGTCAGATGAGGATTTGGAGGACTTGTTTCGAGCCATCGGCAGCATGGCACAACTCAACCGGTTAGAGCTATCAGAATTTTCAACCTTGGACCTTTCCTCCGGACGAAACACATTCGAGAATTTCCTTGGCGTGACAGATTTGCAGATTGACATCTCGGAGGACTCCACCCCTTTGTCAGCTGACGTTGCAAGAAGCATCGTGTCGATACCAAAATTGCGCAACATTTCCATTGCCACTCCTTGCAGCTTTGCAGTGTCCAATCTTTTTTCGCCAAGTATTGAAAGCATTTTGGTGGAAGGCTTGTCCGAATTGACCTTTGACGATGACAATTTTCGTCAATTCGTGGAGGATCTGGAGAGGGATAGAGTTAGACAGCTGTCGCGTTTGGATATTCTTTGCGTTACAATCGCCAGTCATCAAGTGCCTCTTCTTGCCAACATGTTGAAGCAAAATTCAACCTTGGTGGAACTGCGCCTATCATTGTCCATCCCAAACGAGAATGTCGTCAACGAATGCTGTGAGGAAATTATTGATGCCATGTCCTACAACACTGTGCTACAAAAGTTTGACAATTACAAAAGCCGGGACATCAAAGCATCGTTGGCAACGAAAAAGGCACAGAACGGAATGCTCTTTCACAACACCACACTGCGAGAGTTTGGATTGTTCGGCGATGATGCTTTCAATGATACCGCTCAAGAGAAAAATCTTTATCTCCGCCTGAATGCAGCTGGCAGGAAACGATTACTGGATGTTGGACCCGGTTCCATCCATGATTGGGTAGAGGTGCTTTGTGATGAAGGCATCCGAGACAATCTTCCCTGCCTCTTTTACCTTCTTCGGATGAATCCGTCCCTTTGCCAGAGCTATCGGTACGAGCAAAAAGATGGAACTGATGAAACGGTTCACCAACAATGGGACGAGAACGAAGAAACTAGACAAAGGAAGAAGATATGTAAATAAAGAACAGCTAAACTTCTAGTACAGTAAGATAGTAAAGTATGTATAGTAGGAATAGTTGCGTAGCGTATGTATGTAGTGTAGCGCTACGTAGAGTCAGTCGTCAAATCACCTCTTGACTATAGTTGGATTCCAAAAGTAGGATAGAATTTGCCCTGACAACCGAAAAGATATAGATAGCCAACAATGCTCCATGGCACACTTCCCATCATGGATTGGTTCGAGTGGTGATACGAAACACAATATTTGGAACAGATTCACGGTCCATCCACATTGATGGAACTGTGGATATTTTCTGGGGGGCTATAGTCGTTAGATTCGTTTGGAAACGGCGGGTTCGGCCGGCCTTCTATACCTATTACTAGCTAGCAGCCACCATAAGTCCTTCTCTCAAATTTCGCATCTGGAAATGGAAAGCCAGTAAATTTTCTTTTGATCAGTATTTGACAGTGAATAGGAAGAACTAGGTAATTTATACTCCAACAGCAACAATAAGCTAGGCTTCAAGATGGAGTGTCCGTTTTTGTCCACTAGTTAGTAGTTATTGATCAGCCTCAAAAACCTTCGACAAGGAAGCGATGAGTTTTTCCGAAGTAGTGACAGTACCAAAGACACCCCCCTGCTTTTGAATCATCGAAATGGCAGCGTCGTGATTTTTGGGATCTGTCGCTCCGCAGCAATCCGCCAGCAAGGTGCATTCATATCCCATATCGTTGGCGTGGCGCATGGTGGTATGAACACAGACATCTGTTGTCACACCCGCCAAGATGATATTTTGAATCCCTTTCGTCTTGAGAATGAGATCCAAATTCGTTCCGGTGAAACTTCCTTTTCCCGGCTTGTCAATCACAATTTCACCGGGAAGAGGTTTCACCTCGGGAATGATTTCCCACCCTGGTTCTCCGATTACTAGAATTCTTCCACATGGACCCTTGCTTCCAATCTCAGCTCCAATTTGCTTCGACCTGTAAGCACAATCAGTGAGTGAATCAACTTCTCGTATACTACCGTATATGCCAAGGGTGCTTCCTGCCATTGTCACGACGATTTTCTGAAACTTACCGCCAACGTTTGTTCGCTGGGCAATCTGCTAGATCGGGGCTATATTTGCATATTATATAACAACAAACAAACACTCAGTGTTAGCGCTTTCTTCATCATAATGTTTGTATACTTGTCAAACTTTTCCTGTCCCGCTTACCGATGACCTAAGCGGTTTTCAACAGCAACAAAGTGTGAGGTAAGAAGATGTAGAAAAAAGTTCTCGACGACCAGGCTTTTATGTAGACTCACCTTCACGCGTGTGCAAAATATGAAAGCCGTGCTTCCTCAAGAAAGCAAGCGTATTTTGAATAGGGACAATGGGTGCTCTTGTATTATTCAGATCGTATCCCATGCTATCAACGTAGCCTCCTTTTGCACAAAAGTCAACCTAAAGCGGAACAACAAAAACGAGATGAGCAATGGTTCCTTTTTTGTTTCAGATAGATGCCGAATGTGAACTAGCCGTAAGCGTGACATACCTGCATATCGATAACAATCTTCAAAAGTTACACAAGTATACCGGTAGAATGTGAGAATTGCAAAGCGTCGTCGTGGCATAACTATAATCCTATAGTAGGAGCGATGATGATACATACAATGCAGGTGTTCTCTTTCTTCAAGTTTCCATCAAACGGCCAAGGATATGGTTCTGACTCCACGTAGATGTTGGTGCCATCGTTCATGATAGAATTTCTGGAGTTGCCGTTGCCGTTGTTGCAGAGCGAAGATGGCAAAAATATGCGGCTGAGCAAACTGTATTGTCAGAAAATCTTCGAAAGATACGAACCGTATTTTCAAGGCATTATTTTGTCCTACATACATATTTTTATTTAACGCGCCTTCAAAATTCTCATCGATTTCCGGAGTTTGAGCGACCACTGATGTGCTTCTCACATTATTCCGGATTCTTCACGCACATTTACGGATCATTTCTTGAGCACATGTATATTTTACCTGGATCTTTGTTTTGTCATCAAAAGTACTATGATGAAAAGACGACGCTGCCCTTTATAGGACAAGCCTTCATCGGCGAAGTGCAACGATTACCACAGAAGTGCAAAAATTAGGGTTCCTATTGATTTTTCTGCATCACTATTTTGTCCCGCTTTCGATTACTAGCTCTCCCTCTCCTTTTGGCATCATCATCCTTCAGCAAGCGGCCAAAAACCATGTGTTTTATTACTTTACATTTTGCAGGGGCGACGCTGCTTGATTCAGCGGCATTTGTCATGTAGCTGATTTTATTTCTTTTACTCGTATTCATACTGTTTCTAACGATTGACGCAATGTCGGGAGTGTGACCAGAGTTGTTTGATGACTAGTACCAATCACCAGATAATTGCTCTTTTCTTTCAGGCTTGCAGCGCCTTTATCAATTCTTCGGAGGAAGCAACATTTCCAAAAATGCCTCCTTGTGCCCAAACCATTTTTATAGCAGCGGCATGAAACTCATCAATGTACGAGGCGCAGGCATCTTCAATAACGAGGCAATGGAATCCACGATCATTGGCTTCTCGAACCGTTGTATGGACACATACCTCGGTAGTGACTCCACAAACGATCAAATTCTCAATGTTCTGAGCTCGTAAAATCAATTCCAAGTCGGTTGCGAAGAAGGAACCTTTGCCTGGTTTGTCCAAGACGACTTCAGATTCTAGTGGGTACACCTGTGGAATAATGTCGTGTCCCTTTTCGCCTCGAATCAATATTCGTCCAAAGGCACCAGCTTTGCCTATGCAATTATTGGTTTGCGAGAGTTTGTGTTTGGAAATGCACACTTCTTGTGGTCGGTGTCCTTCTCGCGTGTCTACGGGGGACGAGAGGTGGCGTCATTCGGAAGAAATCGATTCAAGAATCAATAAGTAAAAAGAATCAACAAATTGTGGATGGTACAGTATAAAATGATGTAGCATATGAAACTTACGAATAATCAATACATCATCTTGGTTACGACAAGCGTCCAAAACGGCCTTGCAGGGAGCAACTGCTTTAAAAAGTTTGCCAACGTCGTTTCCAAGCGACTCTCCAAAACCACCCTTTTCCAAAAAGTCCTTTTGCATATCAATAATGATTAGCGCTGTTTTCGTCAAGTCGAATGACACGGGGCCAGGCTTTGCGGGAATCGTGACAGTGGAAGTCATGTTTCGTATAGTCTAGCTAGGAACTTGCATGTATGATAGCAGACGATAGGTCGGATACGGACTGGTTTTGGGATTTTGAGATTTTGAGTGAAGAATGTTCCGCGTTTGCAAGCGAAGTTTGAGTCCGGGTTCGCTTTGCGACGGACAGACGGGTGTCTCAGACCATCACATTTTGATTTTTCATGGTGTGTTACATGTTCCCTTGGCAATGAGGATGCAGAGACAAACATCATAATAAACATTGCCTACTGTACTCTCTTCAGGCCAGGCAAAACGTGACAATGACAGAGGACGATGATTCAAATGTTTTTTACGACAAACGGAGAAGGATCTACAATATCTATAGAACAGGCCTATTGGTTTTTACGTCATTGTACACGTTCTTCTTTGCTGGCGCCTTCTTTGGTTACGGTCCAATGATTTTGCTTTTGCAACGAGACGAAGCCTTCTTTTGGAAGTGCGACGATGAAAATGAGGAACCGACTTGTCCCGATCAAAAAAGCCAACTTCTCAACATCCACTTTGTGGGGACGCTGATGCAAATCCTGACTCCCTTTGTTGGACATTTGTGTGATACACGAGGACCCTTTGCCACTATGTTCTACACTGCTGCCACGGCACTTGTGGGGATTGCCGTGCTGATTATTTCTCGGGCGATACCTATAGACGAGCTACTGTATCCGGCCTTTTGCTTTTTGGGAATGAACGCATTTGCAACTTCGGTCATGTGCGTCGCTACAGGCCGGATATTCAGCATTTATTCCAAGGAGCAAGTCGGTCAAACCGACATGGGGAAGATGGAAGAAGCAAAGGTTCCTCAGGAACTAGATTCAGCGGATAGTATGACGAGATCATTGGAAGTTTCAGAAGAAGCCAAGAAGGGATCTGATAAAGATCAAGGCGATGCAGACGACGACTACAAAAGTGAGGAACAAGACGATGGATCTCAAGACAAAGGCCCACGTAGAGTGATCGGATTTTTGAATAACTTGTTTGATGCTGGAAGTGTCACGTATCTTATCATGTGGGTCGCACACAAAAACCTTGGAACATCTCTTCAAGTCTTGTGTTACTGGTATTTAGGAGCGGGCGTGCTTATATTTGGTGGGACGCTAACTTGCTGGATGCTCGTTTTGAAGCACCAACAAAAAGACAAGGAATTGCAAGAAGAAGCCGATCGAATACGCAAATCGATAGTCACGATAGCGGAAGGTAGAAGCACTGTCTTGGAAATGGAGAAGCAAGAAGCAGCACTACAAAATGACCACGTTGATGATTCTTCGACGAAGGAGCCGCAAATACTTGCATCGACCGAACATGCCAACCGAGAAGAAGTAATGGAGGACGATAGTAAGGAAGAATGGAGGGAGCTTTTCTCAGCTTCCTTTCTATGGCTGGTTGCCTTCTTTGCCTTTCATGTGGCTCGGAATATTTTCGTCCTCACGAGTGCAGAAGCCTTTCTGAAGGATCTTGGAGATACCAGCGACAAATATATTTCAATTTTTACCATGATGATGCCAGCATCTGTTTTGGGCTTTCCATTTGTCGATTGGGCCTTGGGCAAATTCGGATATCACAAAGCTCTGCAACTAATTAATTTGTTTGGTCTCGTGCATGGGATCATTCAAATATCAGCAACAGCCAACCTCGATATCCAAATCATTGGCTTTCTTGTCTTTTCTTTTTACCGCTGTTTTCTGTTCTCAGTCATCTTCGCCTACTTGTCAGCCCTTATGCCCGAAAAGGTATTGGGCAAGGCAAATGGCTTTTTGCACATTTCAGCGGGTGCTGCTGGCCTATTGAACATTCCACTGGGAAATGCAGCCGTGCAACAATGGAATGGGAGCTTTTTCATTCCTAATTGCCTCTATACATTTGGAATTCTACCATTTTTCTATGCTGCTTATGGGACGACCGCTGGGATCCGCAGCAAACAAAACCAAAGACAAAACAGCACAGGAACTACTATGGGATTTTCAAAACGGCTTTCCTCCCTTTTTGGCAATAGTCTGTACCCTTCTCTCTCAGCAACGGATGATGAAGTGGCCAAAGCTTGAAAATGACAGCATTAGCCTATATACCACTCTTGTAACATAGAATGTAGAATGTATGCTACCGCGGTACAATACTTTGCTAGGAGATTGGTACTATCATAGCTTCTAAAATACGGTCGACTTATGTACGAGCCAAATCTTTTTTTCTGTTGAAATGTGATGTGAGAATTTCGGAAATTCAGAACCGTCCATATCCTATGTGCCGCTTACAATTGCGGAACATGGGTGACATTCATAATTCTGGGCCTCAATTCCAAAGGCAAGTGGAAAAATAGCCATGGGTACTCGCCATGCGATTCTTGCTTTAGTAGTTGCTATTTTTGCTACCTCCTGTTTAGTATGTGCCGATGACAGCACAGTGTCGTACTACATGCTGGGGGTTTCAGGCGGCTTGCAAGATGGATACCCGCATCGGAAGAACCTGGACTATACGAATCCCGAAACTGGCGAAACAGTCAAGGCAATACTACTCGGAAAAGTGTTTGTTCGGGGGTACAAATCATACATGGATGTAATGGAATCGGAATGGCGGCAATACGTGCCTGACAGTGAAGGAAAGCCTTTAATCAACCCAGATGTATTTGCGACTGGATGCCACGAACATGCGAACGAACATTTCATTTACCTTGTTGACAAACGTCAGCTGATAACAGCGTTGATGGAAGAGCCACGATTCCTCTCAATAACACCGGATACAGGACTTGTCGAGATAGAGCATTCTTCTCCACTTATTCAACAGATTGCATGGCATGAAATACGACAAGGTGGCTTCACTGATATGAAACGCATTGCCTTTCCGCTGGTAACTTCTGTTTGGTTTCAGCCTACTGCCCATTTCCCTTCTCCCATTGTCAAAGAAATCGATGGGGCACAAGTCACAAACTTCCCCGAAAGCTTGGCACTCTTTGCAAATGCCAGCGATGCGGATAGGCTCGAATATATTGCGGCCCATGACGAATGCTTGTTAAAGGCCAAACCGTCAGTAGCAGACTGTGATATGACGACACACCCAAGCTACAAACGTTACTGGAATAGTGTGGTCAAAGCCATCAGAAAGGCAGAGACAAACAGGGAGGAGTTGTCCGCAGAATCGAACCCTACTATCAAGCCCATGTGGCAGTGCGAAAAGTATGTTCGCTTTGGAACGTCTTCACAAATGGCAAGACTCAACTACGAATTTACAAGAGACGGATTCCGGGAGGTATTAGAATCACTGCCTGCGGTGGATGGGAAGAAATATGATGTGGACTTTTCGGATGGAAAGATTATGACAGCAAAGGGCGCCGCCGGGTTGACAATGGAACTGTAATACACTTTGCCACAGCCATAACGGACGTTTATAATATGGTTTCTTGCCTGTTCACTGTGCACTATTCAATACAAGAAGACAAATCTAGCTCAAGTTATCGAGTTGCTGGAATTATGCTTTGGTTGTTGGGATAGAATATTCATTCTCACTCCCTTCCTCGCAGAAGCTTTCGTGCTTGTCGACAGGACGTATTCCACTGCCTCTTCCCCGAAATCATTCTTCATTCTATACTCACATTACGTAATGTGATTACACAGGCCTCTCGCGCTGGGTTTTATTTTGGTGCTCTTCCTAATTTACTATTTCTATCCTTTCGCTTCATCCCAGAGATCTTCAGCGGATTGAAAGATGCCAAATGGCTTCGCAGCTCTGCATTTTGCAAGTGTTTGGATTGGCTTTGGTAGGAATTGTGATTCAAACTGTTTCCACACATCGCCAATCATACAAGTAGAAACAATAAGGTATTCTTGCTGCAATCACATTGCATAGGTAGGAATCAAGGTTTGTTTATGGCACTACAGAGCCATCAGATTCTCCCCGAATTCTCGAAAGAATAGCGTCCATGACCTTCGTTTGAGTTTCCATACCTCCAAGTTGCTCCATATTTCGTAATGCTTGCTCGTTGATTCCACCAGGCGTTTGCTCGGCAACCAAATCTTCTAGCCGATTGGGCTGGTCGCAATCCCGTTCGGCCTCGAGGACGGCGCCCACGTATTGCTTGACCACCAATTCGGATGCCTCTGCGGCCGAAAGATTGGTGTGTTGCGTCAGCCAGTCTCGCCCATGTTTCATCATGCCATAAATGGGTCCCATGACACAAGTAGTCATCATGGCCGCCTCCAATCCGGACTCGGACTCGAGGGTCGTGACACCTCCAGTGGCTTCAAAGAGTGACGTCAAAAACGGATTCTTGGTTGGACAGCAGTGCAAACTGATTCCTTGGTGTCTGGCAATCGATGGAAGACAAATCATTTTGGAAACCCTCGTGGCGTCCAACTTGGAATCTCGAACAAGGTCGTCCAATTTAGTAGTAGACTGTGGGAAGGTACATCGGAGCAACAACAGAACGGTGAGAAACAAAGTATGACGGATTTGGATTTGGTATTTCGAGTGGGCAAAGCAAATACAGCGCCAGTGCGGCACCTTTCCAATTAGAATGACATCGTAGCACTTCTATACAACGGAAAACTGCAAATGCATTGCAACAGACAGATCATGACAACAGCACCCACCGCCAGTGACACGAGCGTATGTCTCTTTGTATCAAACTTCAGATTCTTGAGGATCTCGGAAGTGAGCTGTGGTAGGACGCAAAGAAAGATAAGATCGTTTTCATCCAGGATCTTTTGGTTTTCCTCCTGGACTGTCACCAAGTCAGGAAAGGTTTCAGCCAGCAGTTTCGACTTTTGCTCCGATCGTTTGGAAACAGCAATGGATTCAATCTTAATCTTGGACTGGGTTGCAATTCCGGTAGCAATGGCGAACGCAATGGTACCGCATCCAATGAAGCCGATTTTGGTGGGATTTCCGTCACTGCCTGCAGCTAGTGCGGTTGTTGAAGAAGATTCTGTCATTGAGTTGCTGTGATGAGTTTTCGGGGAGTTCTTATTGAGACGTCTACTATTCGAGTTGACTGCTTCTGTAAATCGTGCAAGACTTGCGGGATTATTTTGAGTTGTGGTAAATGAAGAACCTGTGGCAATGAGAGAAATAAAGACAGCCCACAGTGTCGTTTGCATACTTCAAAATACAAGAGTGGAAGTGTCGGCTGTGATTTTGCATCTACAGTACCGGTATTATACTGTCCCGATCTACTTACAATTTTAGTGTGACGTCACCAAGCAGGCCTGCAACGCAACGAACGTAACGTTCTGAAGCGGATAACGCAACTTGTTACCATCGCTCTGACATTATTATTCCAGCTCATTTCTCGATAAGACAGCCTCTCTACACTACATAACCTCCCTAAACAACGATGAAGCTTTCCTCCTTTGCCCTTGCGCTTATTGTAGCGCTCTCCAGCACAGTCGATGCCTTTGTACCAGCAGCATCGATCACACCTACCAGAAGCAAGACCTCCAGCACTGAGGTGCACTTGTTCGATATCTTCAACGAAGGCAAGAAGAAGCTAGTGAAATCTCTGGCTGGTGACTACGATGAAGCTGCCATCAAGGCTCGAGTCGATGGTCTTATCGCAGACAGTCCAGTCTTGATGCTATCTTTCACAACCTGACCCTTTTGTATCAAGTAAGGACCTTTCGAAATCTGTTCAGCCAACGTCTGTGTGTGCGTGCTCCCATTTGTCAACGAGTCTGGTATCTCATATCGGTCGTCCCCCTTTCTCTTCATTTCCTATTTTTCTTTTGTGGGACAGGGCGAAAGAGGTCCTTGATGGTATGAACGCCAAGTATACCGTCGTGGAACTCGACACTGACCCTGATGGAAAGGCCATTCGTGCGGAAATGGCTGATTTTGTCGGCAGAACATCAGTCCCAGCCATTTGGATCGAAGGAAGGTTTGTTGGCGGCTGCAACGATGGACCAATGGGCGGAATCATCAAGTTGAACGAGAGTGGAGAACTTACCGGACTCTTGAAGGCTGCTGGTGCATTGTAAATAGACGAATGAAAAGACATCACTAGATATTGGTGAAACTCTGCGAACCCAAAGTCACTTGAGGATCAAGTAGGTGTATGGCCAGCATCTTTCAGTTACAGGCGCGAATGACGAGAATGGGAACTAGTTGGACAATCTTACATAGATTCCAGTCTCTGAAATGCGAAACAAATGAAAGCTCTAGGTATACAAGACAGTGATAAATGCACAAGTGATCAAACTGGGATAATTCATCCATTACAACTATTTATATGTAGCACTGTATATCATATGAATTTGGCAGCCACCCTCCAAGTTGCCCTCTGCAAACTAATAAGGTGGCGGCTGTTCGTTTTTTTGTCGGCACGAATCGCCGAGTAATGCTCATGTCCTCCTCACCACAGGCGGAGGAGGTTTCTAGCATTTTATTTCTTCATCCCATCGCTTCCAGCCAGTAGTAACATTGGATGGGAGGACAGTTTCCTTGACACCATCTGGAACGGTACTGCCACCTGCTATCTTTTGGAACCAAAGTCCAATGGTGGCGAGCATGTCACAAGCCATCATGCGAACTTCCGAAATAGTGTTCATATCCTGAGCCACCAATACGAGAGATGAGAGTACATCACTCGTGTTGGTGATGGCCATCAAGCATCCTGGATCGGTAGACAGGTTGAAAAGTGCCGCCATGGCTGCCTTTTGTTCCTCAGCTTGAGTCCGCAACACACTCATGCTCAGTAATTCGAGTGCAAATGCACTGACCAAGACATGCTTTCCAGCCGCACTGGCGGAAATATTCTGAAGCATTCGGAGTGCCCAAACGCGATCTTCCTCGCGCTCGGAAGTAGAAAGACGTAGCATCACGGGCACAACGCTGGGGTGTTCCGCCAGAATTTCGTCGTTTGAGGGTAGACGAGTGAGGTTGCACAAGATCTCCAAACATTTTGTGTGCATGGGGTGCTCATACTGCTGAGACAGGATCAGCAGTGCATTTAGAAGCGATGTGCTGTGACACATAAAGTGCTGTCCAAGGAAGATAAAAATATATTGGGGTGAGAAGTGTATCATTCTTTGGGCACATCATTTCACGGTCATTTACTTACACCTGCGGCACATTGTTTCGAGAGATGAAGAAGAGCAGCGCATGCATTCGTAGTAACCTGCTTTTTGGTCTCTTTCTTCTTTTCCTCCATTTCTTTTTGCTTCAACTTTGTAGACTGACGGTGTTGTTTGTTTCTACCGCTGGTAGTCGCATACGATATCTCCGATTCTAACGAGGAGGAAGCATCTGACGAGGAGTCTGAGCCAGACGAGAACTCGTCAGATGCATAGTTAGCGTCATTCTCGTGGACTTCGTCCAATTGTTTCACAGGCTGTGCTTTTTGACTATCGGTACCCAATAGAGAGGCGGCCAAGACATCAAGCAGGTCTTCTACTTGTGCCATGGGCTCCCTGAGGTGACCTGACTTTGCGATCATTGCCAACACACTGCATGCAGCCATTCTGATCTCTCCAGAGTCCTCAGCGGCACAGCATACAATCGACTCGACCAAATCAGGATGGTAGAAAATGACCACACGGTTTTCCTTTTGCATGCAAACACGCAGCAGGATCTCAAGTGCCCGAGTCCTGGTTCCGAAGGCTGCCTCACGATCCTTACCAACAAGATCGGTTGTCAAAGCAACGATCAACGCATCGAAGAATCCATCAGTTCGCGCGAGTGCGAGTTGATTACTCTTGTTCATGGCGAACATCTTCAATGCTCCACAAGCATTGAACCTTCTTGTGACTGATTCACCCATGATCGACGCCTGAAGTTTTTGAATCTCATCGGTTGGTTCCAGCACGCAAAGTTGGGGAATAGGAGCCTCAACTCTATTCGCATTGATAATGTCCTCCTCTGAGCGAGTGGTATACTCGCCGGGTGGATCACTGTATTTGTTCTTTAGTGATACTCGTGTTGATTCTGGTCCCAACTCTTTCTCAGGAACACACGTGCGGTACAGACTACCCAATGGATCGAATGGCGGTGTTGACTCCTCATTGTCATGCTGCTCTGCTTCGGCTTCGTGGCGAACGTCTTCCGCTTGTCCGACGTTGTGTGTCGAGGTTTCTTCTTCCTCGCAGTATTCATTGTCCTCAGCAGTGTATTGAGAAGGCACCGGCGAAGGCATTAACTGACCATCCATGCTGGGTGTTGTTGGAGCCACTTCGATGAGGGAATTCTTCTCGTTGCTTTCTCCCGATTTTGCGAGAACTGCACTAAATTGTTGTCCTTCCATGGAACCATCAATGACTTCGGGCAACGGGGCTTTACTTTCGGTTTGCTTTTCTGTGGCCGCCATGAAACCCAGCCCCAAAGCTGCAAAATCTCGTGCTCGAGCTTCCCGAGCAGCATCGAAAAACGCAAACAGTGGGTGTTTGGCTTCTTTTTCGTGCTGGTCATGTTGCACTTCGGGATCGTTTGCTGGTTCTTCCTCGATGACGTTGGTGTGACCTTCTCTTCCTGCAGCAAATTGAATCTCATCATCGTGGCTAGCTCCAAAGTTTCCGAGCTCGTTGATTACATCAGTAGCGGTGTCGTGTTGCACCTCAGGATCGTTTTCTGGCTCTCCCTCGACAACATTGGCGTTGGCATGTCCTTCACATGCTCCAGCAACTTGAATTTCATCATCACGGCTAGCTCCAAAGTTTCCGAGCGCGTTGATTGCACCAGCAGCGGTGTCATGTTGAACTTCGGGATCCTTTGCTGGCTCTTCCTCGACGGCATCGGCGTTCGTGCGTCCTTTGCTTGCTGCAGCAACTTGAATCCCATCATCATGGCTAGCTCCAAAGTTTCCAAGCGCGTTGTTTACATCAGCAGCGGTGTCATGTTGAACTTCGGGATCGTCTGCCGGCTCTTTCTCTAATGCATTGGCGTTGGCTCCTTCACTTGCTGCAGAAACTGGAATCCCATTATCATGGCTAGCACCACCAAAGAAGCCGCCGAGCGCGATGATTACATCAGCAGCGTTGCGGGGACTTTGGACCGGTGTAACATATGAAACTCCTTCTGGTTGGATGTTAGTTGCCTGTTCGTCCATAGTCATATTCTCAGCATCGGCAGTATTGTCATTTGCTGATTCCTCCACAGAGGCACCTTCACCTTCCAAGCATTTCTCAGAAGTGGTTTCGAAATTGTCTGGACATTCAACCTCGTCCGAATCATATCGTACCTCAATGTTCTCCTCGTTGACATCCTCGGTTGATGGTTCCGCCTGGGTGTCGGGGCGTTGGGCAACTGAAGCATCATTAGAAATCACCTCCGCGTTGTCTTCTGAACCAATTTCCTTGCTCTTCGCTCGGAAAGTGAGGCCTTTTCTTTCATCTCGATCTTGGAACAAAGACATTAGCTTGCCGAAACCAGAGGCCAAGTCCAATGGGCCCTCATCGGTGGCATCTCGAGCTGTTTCGGCTCTGAAAGTGCGCGATTCTGCCGTATCATTGTGAGAATCTTCCATAACATCCTCGGTTGTTTCCCCCAAATCGATGAGGGTCTCATTCTCTGTTTCTGTTTTGACAGTTCGCGATTCTTCCTTTTCGCTGTGAGGATCTTCATCAGTCTCTGCTGTCTCCACCGAGTCGATGAGTGCCTCTTCAACTTGTTGGTCAGTCACAGGTTCGGCATCCACTTCATTTTCGTCCAAACAGGTGGCCTTGCTCTCAACGGGTTCGGTAACCACGGGTTCTTCCTTCGAAATATGAGAATCATTCACTACTTCTGCCGTTTCCACCGAGTTAGTAAAGGTTTTTTCGGCTTGTTGTTCAGTCACAGATTCGTCATTTGCTTCCTCATCAGCAGCTTCCTGATTCTCTTTGCTTTCAACCTTGTCATCACTGTCCTTCTGTTTCTTTGCAACCATCTCTTTGTCCATGCAATCGTTTGCTGGGACCTCGGTTCCTTGATCCAATGTCATTTTATCTTGGTCATCGGGATTGCCTTGTGAATCCTCATGACTGTCCTCTTTGACAATGTGCATTGGTTGCCTGAGTTTGCGAAGGCGGTCAGCCCGCGATTCTTGTTTCATGGAAACAGCAGCTGCCATCTTAATATCCGCCTTCTCTGTATCACTCTTTCGCGAATCTTCCAAGGCTTTGACGGTCGTCTCTTGGCTCAGTGGAAGAATTGGATAAGTCTTAACACGAGTCTTCTTCATGTCCCTTTTCTCTGATGTGTCAACCTTTTCGATGGCATTTAGCGGACCAAAATCTTCCGAGCCTACAGATGTAACACTGTTTTGTGTAGGGGACACAGCTCGGAGCTGTGCATCCCTGCTTCGTGGTGGGCTAACATATTCAACATGATTCGTCAGATCGATAATATTCATTCCAGCAGCTGTGTGCTCCATCGCTCGAATGATCGGGTTATCGAGAGAGCAAAAGACGGTGGGTTGACCAATACTTGACATGGAAGGGGCCACACTGTACCCATATACAAGCCCATAGTCTTCAGATACCATCGAATCAAGGACCATTGAATCAAGTGGTTCTTCGCCATCTTCAGCAGATCTCCAAGTTGAGCTTGGTCCTTCAGATCTCCAAGTTGAATGGGGTCCTTCAGATCTCCAAGTTGAGTTTGGGCCCTCAGATCTCCATGTTGAGCTAGCTGCGAGCTGAATCGTCTCTCTATCGTCGAAGGTTTGCACATCTTCCGCATCTGTCAAGTCTACGATTTGTGGTGGGTTTCGTTCAATTTCTTCGTTAGACGCACCACCACACTTGACCCTATTGAATGCTTCTTGAGCAACCTTCTTTGCGTTTGCAATTTCGTCTTCTACTTTCCGAATAACATAATCAGATGGATTGGCCATCATGTTAGCGGATGGTGACATAGTCTGAACATACTTCATCGCAGCGCTCTGTGCTGCATGTTCGACTCCGCCATATCCTCCAGTCTGCTCGGATGGGTTCTCGTAGATGACATAGCCATCTGGTTGATCCCGTTGACTATCGGTGCTTGGAGACACGGTAGTTTTTCCGTTGAGTAACGATTGGGCATGCTGAAGCGTAGTCGATCGAGACGTGGAAATCATATTCTCAAGAGAAGGAAAGAAAGAAGTGTATGGTTTCTGAGCTCCCGAACTCTGCTTGTGTGGACTCAACGACTGTGTTGCTTTGCGAGCTTTGAACAAGGCGTCCTGGACCATGCCAGAGATTTCGTCCTCAGACATCACTCCTCTGCTTCCATCTTGATATGTGTTGGCATCAGATTCTTCAGTTCGCTGTTCAAGAATTTCCTCCACTGTTCCAAAGACGGTTTTGACCGGTGGAAGGTTGTATCCTTTCTGCCGCTGATGCTGATCCATCAGTGGTCCATTTTGAACCTCCTCCTTCATGGCAATGCAATTCTTGTTGCAAGGAGCCCAAAAGAGTTGTGCCAAAGCAGAAGTATTGGGGTGAAAAATGTGACCGTCGCCAATCATCCATCAATTAAGTACTTAGTAAATTTCACCATAAGTAATTGTGGTCGCTAGAGACCATCGAGCGAAGATAAATTTTATTCATGCATAAAGTGTAAATCATCGCTTGCGACACGATTGCGACAATCCTTCTGCTCGACGACTTCACGCCAAGCCCATAACCCGATCATATGCACTTGGTTGGAAGAGCAGCATTCGTCAGTCATGTGTACGTCGGATCTTCTCTAAATTTGAAATTACGACACCTGTGACGTGACAGAGGGAAACCTTGGTCAGGACGTTTGAAATTGTCATACAAACCTCTTCGTCCTTCGTGTCGTTCCAGAAGTACTACTCCAGAGAAACATATTATGAAGGTCAGCAAAGTTACCATGGCATTGATCAGTCTTTTATCCACACGTGCAGGAGCTTTCACTTCTGTTGCCCGCCGATCGGCAGTCTCTACCACTGCTCGTTTCATGTCTGGCCCCATGCCATACGATGACGACAAGATGCCCTTCTACGCTTTGGGAACCAACTTGGCACTTCAAGTCGGAGGACAAGGAAACTTCAAGACTCTGCTTGACGATAAGGAACTTGAAATTGTTTTGGAAGGTGCGTCATGTGGTTTAGATCTTACAATTGTTTTCGTCGGGAGTGATGTCACCTCACAATTGAGTTCCAATCACTTTTCTTGACTTTCCTTTCTATTCACAATCACTGCAGCCTTCTGCGAAAACTTGCGTGGAACCAACGCCCAAGACCCCCGTGCCGTTTTGACAACCTACGGACAAGAATTGAATAAGATCTTGGGCGAACGTACCGCTGGAATTGTTGAGCGTGTCAAGAAGGATGGAGACGATTACATCAAAAACTTCTTGGACTGCAACGACGAAGCCGTCCAAACAGCATCTGGATTGGTCTACTACCCCATGGTTGAGGGAACTGGAGCATCACCTACCCTTTCAAACCAAGTGGAGGTTCATTACCACGGAACTTTGACTGACGGAACCGTATTCGACTCTTCTGTCGAACGTGGCCAAACTATCAGCTTTGCTTTGGGTGGAGTCATCAAGGGATGGCAAGAAGGGCTTGCCATGATGAAGGAAGGAGGAAAGGCCACTTTGGTAATTCCATCTGACTTGGCATATGGAGATGGCGGCAGTGGAGATGCTATCCCTCCAGGTGCCACTCTCAAGTTCGAGGTTGAATTGTTCAAGGTTCAGTAAAAGAATTGTAGTGACTTCGTATGGAAGTATAGAAATGTTCCTGTGCAGACTGCCTACCGGTACCTGGTACCGATACCTATCAATATTGACGTTGCAGGCAAAACAGTGTATCAGCAACTCAATAAGTACTAGACGTGAATCGGCTCATCAATCTATGTTTCCCCACAGTCAACAACATGCAAATTAAAATAAAGTTTAGACAGATCACTCATTATGATTCCATCGTTTCACCATCATCGATTTGTCCCAGATAATTGTCCTTGATAGTTCCAATTGCCGTAATATTGCCTTGTTCCACAGTTCTTCCCTTGATTCTTAATCTCACACCACACCCAGATGATATTACTACTTCTTTATCGTCACTGATCCATGCATCTTTACTCCCATCAAATCCATTGAACATTTCTTCAGGCATGGAATGCTTGGAGACAAAAATACGGAGAGGACCGCAAAAGGCAAAGAATCCGAGCGCATTGCATTGGGTGACCACTGCATCCAAAACCTCATTGATAAACGGGCGCAATAGCAAAGCTGTGTATTTGACAGTAAACACAACATCACCCGAATCGTACTCGATGATTCCAGACTTGATCTGATCTTCTGGGACTTCAATGACATTGACCACATATCCGTAGTTGGCAAGCGCAAGCCCTTCTACTTCTTCCTTCAGTAAGCGGACAATGGTAGCCTTCAGTTTGGGTCCAAAGTGAACCGGCGTTAGAACAATTTCATGTTCTAACTGCTTGACGTAGAACATTTTGTCGTGTGATTATAAGCAAGCTGAACGGAGAGAGCAAGCTAGAATGCCAATGAAGTGATGTATTGATTTATTGTGCTCAAGTATCAATCCTGAGGGCGATGATTCATTCGTCGTTCTATCAACGATTTTGATATTTTAGCTCGTTATTCTTGGAAGAAAGCGCTAATTTAGGTTTGAAACGTTGTTGGTTCGTGACAATACTGTTGTACTTGGTCTTTGTTAGTTTGGGTGCCCCAGGCTACAGTATGGTGTTAAAATGTGTGTTGCCAATATGGAACGTAGTGCCGGTAGACCACCAGACGGCATATTTTCGACTCTTTCGAGTACATCCAAACCTAGGTACTGTAGTTTCAGTTTATTTTATAACATGATATTGTTGATACTGTAGTCTTTTTACAATTGTTCCGATTTCACATTCGACATGTTCATGCATGCATGCATCCACTCCACTCCACCCCATTCCACTACACTAGTTGTAGCAATTGCGGCACATTTGATTATTCCTTCCACAGACACAAATATTGCAGTCACTCTTTAATTCTGGCAATTCTCCCGTTTGCAATACATTGAGCATGCAGGTTCACTCCCCCATGCTTGTGAATCGATTGTTCTGTGCCGTTAATTGGACTATTTCCGTAATGAACATGTGATCTCCTGGTAATGCACCCACGAATTGGTTGTCGTTCAAACTCAGAGTCAAGAGTCTACCGTCACCCGCATTGATGACATTTCCCAATCGATTGTGGTCCAGATGCAAGTGACGTAGCGCACGAACTCGCTAAAATCCGGCAAGATGCCACTGCAACGATTCCGTCCCAAGTCAAAATTGAACATTTGCCGTAACTTGTGGTTAGGGTTCGACATTGCAATCCGGTATCGCTTTGCCTATTTCGTTGCATTCCTGCACAAAATTAATCATTGCAGACTCCATTACAGGATGAGATGTCTTCTGCAACCGTCATTCGCAATGCCACTATATAATCAGCTTCCCTTCCATCGCTTCAAATGTATCACTTTGAGCCTTCGCAAAAGCAAGCAAGCAAGTCTTGTCTACCATTCAAGACTTCAAAAGGCCGACCCTTCAACGTATCCAAGTTATCAAATTCAAACGAATCAATTGAAGCCGTTTTTGCATCAAGCAAGGTCAAGAGTTGTGGGTTCGGCTCGTTTTTGAAAGGAAGCTCAGCGCCTACAATCTTCATTTCTGATGAATGGCCAGCAATTTTTGTAGATAATCTTGACTCCCAGATCCAGCCCGCGAGGCTTCATGCTTTGGGCTTGCAAAGTAACTTGCCAACAAGTTTTTCCAGACTGTCGCTAGACTTCTGATTCTCTTTTGACTAAAAACCTTCTGGGTCATTTAATGTAAGGTGATGAAAACTTCATCTTGAAGCTGTTCCGAAATCGGTTCGTTGAAATGGTGTGGCACAGAAGCCCAGGATATACTTTCTTGCCAATAGTAGCCCTTAGAAAATCATTCAAGACAGAAAGATTTACAACTATCGTGGAAAAAGCTTGTATAGCACTATCAACAATCTGTTTTGCATTGTCGGGATCACTCAGGCACAGTCGTGGTACACCGCCAACATACCGGTATGCTTCTTTCGTGCTCTCGACGAGGTTTTCGCCTTCCTTAGATATCTTTTTCGCCATTATATCGAGCTCCAATTCGCTTGCGGGGTCAACAAAGCAAAAGTTTCCAGCAATTTGTGTCCACGATTGTTGCTGTCTCAAGGAGCTGCATCTCGTTTCGTTTGCAGAACTGACAATTAGAACAAAACCTGGTCGGTACGATTGTGGTCAGTGGCCCGCAGCTTGACTCAAGTCCACAATGTGAATGGTCTTATACATTATGATATACCACAATGACAACCACTAGAAAGACATTGTTCAGTTTATTTTGCTCTCCTTCATGGATCATTTGTATCCCTCTTCCTTCATGACGTCACTGCTATTTTCGCCGCCATTTGACACAAATTCCATTCAAATATCATACATCCGCCTTCTTACATTGTCCCCCTAACAACGATTGCCATAACAACATCAACAGACATCCTACAGTAGGCAGACTGGAGAAACCCCTTTGGATATCATTGTTCAAGCTTCCGAACTGCTGTACATGTAAGGAACGATGTGCTTGGCGGCAAATGATCGAACTATTTCGTACTGCTCACTTTCGTCCACCATATCGAGTAGGTCAAGCTCGTTTCCCACGTCTCGACTAGCGGGGGGCGCAAACAAGCTCAGCGAATCCGCCATGCTCATACTTCGTTCTCTACCCGAACAATTGCCACCTTCGTTATTCTCGGAGGGGCGACCACTTGTTGCTGAGGGATCAGCGCTAGGGTCATTCACTGGACTCCTGTCTGCTCCGCGAGGAGGAGGCTTGGAATTGCGATCCTCGGAGTTACTGTAGTCACCATCGAATTCCCTCCGCCTCTTCTTTCTACGGGTAAGGAAATCATGAATAGCCCGGAATGGCTGCCGTTTTGCAAAAGTGTTTGGGAGATTATTGTCAACTGTTGTGTCAAAAAGACTATCCAGAAGATACTTTGCATTTGCCGCAGCCTTTTTGCCACCAAGACAGAGTTTGTATAGGACCAAGTCTGGATCATCATCGGTGTCATCATCATCAAATGCAAACCAAAAGAAAGTCCAATTTTCACTTAGGTCTGTCAACACGGAAACAACAGGCAGTTTGGGATTCAAATATGACGCAGCAAAGTGTTCACAGATCGTCTGTGGCGTGTGATCTTTTTTGGAAATTTGCGTTTGTTTCTTCAATTCAAGAAGAGCTTCAATATTGTTCTTAATTGCCTTGTTCTCAACGTGTTCAGACTTCGCGATAACGACATCCGTAGTTCCTCTCAACCTAAAACCGTTGGCTATGCAGTGGTCTCCGTCAAGATTCAGCAGGCTTCTCTGTTGCTGTACATCCGCCAAGGCATAATTTTGAGGCACTTGAAGAGTGGCCTGGAGGTACCTCATGTATTCCCTTCGACTGCCATCAGAATCTTCGTCGCCCTCCGGCCAATCAAACCCGCAAACAGGCTTTAGAGGAGGCTTGCTTTTCCAGGTGGCTCCCTTCAGTGATAATCCCATCATCTCCAACAAAGAAGTCATTTTCTCGGTAGTTGCATTCGAAATAGATATGGTGGCGTTTCTTGCTAAAGCGTTTTGCGCCATTAGCCTAAGCCCTTGCTGCAACTGAAAATGTACACGTGAACGATCAGGAATGTGAGTAGTTTGAATATACGTGAAGCTAGATTCCGAAGCTGCATTGTTTGTGTGCTTACTTCATCATCATTCACCAAATCAATTGTATTGTTTGCTGTCGGAAATGATGGCGTGGGTGCGGATAAAACCACAAGGAGAGGGTCATCTTCGGATGTTCCCTGAATTTTGGAGTCATTGAGTGAAGTACTAATCTTAAGGGGTTGCTCGGTTTTATAGTTTTCCATAGCTGTACCTCTTGCATAGATGCAGAGGTCTCGTGGTCGACATGGCAGTTGCTCCTGTTCGCGTATGAGATCTACCAAGTCTGCAACGTCACTGCGTATAAGGTCATCGTATGCAAGTTTTACTCGCTGTATTGATCCAAGATTCTTTTCACCATCGCACACTTGATAGAAAATACGCTGGTACTCCTCATTATTGCTTGCCATCTTGAGTTTGAGTTGATGATGTCTTTTTTTTCTTTTCATACGGCGGCAACATGTCTGCCACCTACATTAGGGTCACACTCCATGTCACCACCCCCCCCCAAGTCCCGTTAGAAAAATATAGCTAAACAGGAAATAGACGGACCTCCCCCTTTTCTTCCAAGAGGAAGTTGATCGATGGCCGTTACAAGCAGTTGAGTGGACTCGCCCTTGAACATAGAAAAACTTCAGCCGTCTCTATGGTGGGTATCAGATGAGAGGTTCTGCAATCTCCCTGGTATGCCAACAGCGGTAGGTTCCACCCGCTCAAAGATCCTGCACTGGTGCCGGTGTACTGAGTACTGAGGCGACGACGCAATCATGAAAGCAGATTTCAAACGTGATATCATCCAATGTCCATCTCATCCAATATCCATCTCAAGGCCAACGTCATGATTATCTAAAAATAAGCAACAATAGGCGGTCGTAGATCCACTTCTCACTTGTCCAACATTGCCAATGTCTTGGAGGTTGTAGATCCTTGCCCGCTGTCCATTCGTTCCTTGTTTGTGTGTTTCAAACGTAGTTTTGTTGGGTTTCAAAAGTTGCAGTGCTTGGGCCTCCTGGTATGTTTTGCCTCGCTCTACCAAGACGGCGGTAGGCGGGGGAAGAAGCGATCATTGCACCTGGTGTGTTGTGCTGATTTCCAAACTCATGGAGCCAAAAGAACCAGATCGCCTTCGTTTCATGAATGAATCACACCACAAAAGTATTTTTCATGAGAGACAAATTTAAAATATCTACTGTACACGTAAGATTTTCAACATGCGTTTCATGAATCACACCATAAAAGTACGATGCTTTTATTACGTAACTGCACGAATCACAGAATATTATATTTTTTTAAAAATAAAACAGAGTTCTGTCTCAGATTTCGAATTGCTGCAGTTCTTGCTATGTTCTCCATTGCATTGGGCTACATTCCCCGGGAGGGCCCCCCAGGAGGGCCCGCCGGGAGGCATGTCGGGCAAGTGATGGGGCAGAAAAGGTAAGCCTAGTGGGGGTTGGGGGGAAATAAGCTAAGCCCAGAGATAGTGCAGGGGGGTTTGTGGGGGTACTGCCAGCGTGGTACCCGGTACCAGACACAGTCGTGGTACACCGCCAACATACCAGATCGTAAAAATATTCCGGTCAACGTCACTACGTGTAACGGTATGACTCATCATCAATGAATTGTATCGGACCGCGCTATGTGGTACTATAAAAATATCTGCAAACGGGCACGGAGAACAATTGAGAACCTGCCGAAAACGTGCTCAAACTTTCGCTGATTTAGTCTTGGCCTTGTTCCTTCAAATTCACTTTTTTCACACTCCAAATGCTCACAAAATCAAACCAGAGGCTTTATTTTGTCGCGAGAGCTACTCCAAAGGAGAGCTACTCGAATGTTCATTCGACCGCTACCGTGCTTCGATTGCAGTAAGCCAGGCCTCATGGGGTTTGCATGCAAGAGTACTACTGCGACACCAACTCTTGGAGTATTTGGCTGAGAGTTTTGGCGTGCAGTAGGTGAGTTCGTAAGTTGTTTTGAACCCAATACACAACACACAGACTTCTTTGGCTGGGAGAACCCCGTAAGCGATATCCCAAAGAGAGAGAAATTCTTTCTGGCTCTCCGGTCCTGCTTCAGCTCCACGTGGGAGCTGTCGTTTGATTTGACTGTGCATGATGTGAAGGGAATAAGGCATATACATACAAAAGTATGATGTGCAAACTTTCCTTGAACGACACTGATCGTTCTAAAGAGAGCAACCCCATGAAGATGGCGGTGCTTCTCAAATCCAGAACACATACTTCTTTGGCTGGGGGAACCCCGTAAGCGATATCCCAAAGAGAGAGCATAACTGGCATTGAGCTATCTCTCCGGTCCGCTTCAGCTCCACGTGGGAGCTGTCGTTTGTTTTGACTGTGTATGTGAGGAAAGGCAAACATACTGGCCTCGACAAGTGTGTGCAAACGTTCCCTGAAAGATGCTGATCCTTAAAAGAGTGCCACCGGTGATGGGGCCTCTGCTACAACGCGTATATGAAAGTATAGTTGGAGTGTGACTGGAGCATCTGGGAAGTTTGCGTATAGCCTGTACGCATAACGTTCTGTGAACGATGCGGAAAAGAGAGCAACCGCATATGACGGTGCCTCTGCTGCAACACGAATATGAAATTTTAGTTGCAGTGGGCGAATTCATATACACAACAATCAATCAGACAGCGCATATTAGGATTTTGGAGGAGGAAAACAATTTTCTAAGATGAAACATCAATATTGATGATTCGAGTAAGATTGCGTTTCACTCAGATGCATATGACTGACGAGCGAACAAGACTCGTCCGAAGCGTCTATGTATAAATGTTTATTGGCGACAGTAGATAGACGACTACAATAGAGCTAGAAGTATGGAAGGCGGATCCAACTAGCAACTTTACGACAAACACCCCAGTGTCAATTATGATTTGGCGAACACTAGCTAGTTAATCATATCGTAAACAAACTGTCTACAATGGCATCTCGTACCTGCAATGCAATGGCATCACGTGACTCGGGTTGGCTGCCAATAATTAAGATGGCCTCTTATGTCTCTCAGTGGTTTGCTGTACTGTAATCTTCTCCAACCACCAGTTTCGATCATTCGCCGATCATCGGCCTTATCAAGAGCTTCGCGCTTCGCGCAAAGTTTCAATTTTCTGGACTTCACCGTCCAGACAGGAGCCTTCCTTTGGTTTCTCCAATTCTCGAGTCATGAGTTCCAATTTGCGTTGTTGATTCCTCGCCAAGGCCTCCAACTCTTCATGGACTGCAATCAATTGGCGCTGCGTCTCTTTGAGATTAAGATAGCTTTTTTTTTGGCTTTGTCCAAAGCTTCTTCCAATTTCGCACGTCTGAGATCCCCAATTGGGTTTCTATTTCTTCTTTCGTCGCTTCGGTAGGTGTTTTCGGTGACACTTTTGGTGAGCATGCAGGTTCACTCCCCCATGCTTGTGAATCGATTGTTCTGTGCCGTGAATTGAACTATTTCCGTAATGAGCATGTGATTTCTTGGTAATGCACCCACGAATTGGTTGTCGTTCAAACTCAGAGTCAAGAGTCTACCGTCACCCGCATTGATGACATTTCCCAATCGATTGTGCTTCAGATGCAAGTGATGTAGCGCACGAATTCGCTAAAATCCGGCAAGATGCCACTGAAAATAATTCCGTCCCAAGTCAAAGTTGAACATTTGCCGTAACTTGTGGTTAGGGTTCGACATTGCAATCCGGTATCGCTTTGCCTATTTCGTTGCATTCCTGCACAAAACTAATCATTGCAGACTCCATTACAGGATGAGATTTCTTCTGCAACCGTCATTTGCAATGCCACTATATAATCAGCTTCCCTTCCATCGCTTCAAATGTATCACTTTGAGCCTTCGCAAAAGCAAGCAAGCAAGTCTTGCCTACCATTCAAGACTTCAAAAGGCCGACCCTTCAACGTATCCAAGTTATCAAATTCAAACGAATCAATTGAAGCCGTTTTTGCATCAAGCAAGGTCAAGACTTGTGGGTTCGGCTCGTTTTTGAAAGGAAGTTCAGCGCCTACAATCTTCATTTCTGATGAATGGCCAGCAATTTTTGTAGATAATCTTGACTCCCAGATCCAGCCTGCTAGGCTTCGTGCTTTGGGCGTGCAAAGTAACTTGCAAAACAAGTTTTTCCAGACTGTCGCTAGACTTTTGATTCTCTTGATTCAAAACCTTCTCGGTCACATAATGTAAGGTGATGAAAAATTGATCTCGAAGCTGTTCCGAAATGGGTTCGTTGAAATGGTGTGGCACAGAAGCCAAGGATATACTTTCTTGCCAATAGTAGCCCTTAGAAAATCATTCAAGACAGAAAGATTTACAACTGCCTCCATCGTGAAAAAAGCTTGTATAGCACTATCAACAATCTGTTTTGCATTGTCGGGATCACTCAGGCACAGTCGTGGTACACCGCCAACATACCGGTATGCTTCTTTCGTGATCTCGACGAGGTTTTCGCCTTCCTTAGATATCTTTTTCGCGTTCATTTCGAGCTCCAATTCGCTTGCGGCGTCAACAAAGCAAAAGTTTCCAGCAATTTGTGTCCACGATTAATGCTGTCTCAAGGAGCTGCATCTCGTTTCGTTTGCAGAACTGACAATTAGAACAAACCCTGGTCGGTACGATTGTGGTCAGTCGCCCGCAGCTTGACTCAAGTCCACAATGTGAATGGCCTTATACATTATGATATACCACAATGACAACCACTAGAAAGACATTGTTCAGTTTATTTTGCTCTCCTTCATGGATCATTTGTATCCCTCTTCCTTCATGACGTCACTGCTATTTTCGCCGCCATTTGACACAAATTCCATTCAAATATCATACATCCGCCTTCTTACATTGTCCCCCTAACAACGATTGCCATAACAACATCAACAGACATCCTACAGTAGGCAGACTGGAGAAACCCCTTTGGATATCATTGTTCAAGCTTCCGAACTGCTGTACATGTAAGGAACGATGTGCTTGGCGGCAAATGATCGAACTATTTCGTACTGCTCACTTTCGTCCACCATATCGAGTAGGTCAAGCTCGTTTCCCACGTCTCGACTAGCGGGGGGCGCAAACAAGCTCAGCGAATCCGCCATGCTCATACTTCGTTCTCTACCCGAACAATTGCCACCTTCGTTATTCTCGGAGGGGCGACCACTTGTTGCTGAGGGATCAGCGCTAGGGTCATTCACTGGACTCCTGTCTGCTCCGCGAGGAGGAGGCTTGGAATTGCGATCCTCGGAGTTACTGTAGTCACCATCGAATTCCCTCCGCCTCTTCTTTCTACGGGTAAGGAAATCATGAATAGCCCGGAATGGCTGCCGTTTTGCAAAAGTGTTTGGGAGATTATTGTCAACTGTTGTGTCAAAAAGACTATCCAGAAGATACTTTGCATTTGCCGCAGCCTTTTTGCCACCAAGACAGAGTTTGTATAGGACCAAGTCTGGATCATCATCGGTGTCATCATCATCAAATGCAAACCAAAAGAAAGTCCAATTTTCACTTAGGTCTGTCAACACGGAAACAACAGGCAGTTTGGGGTTTAAATATGACGCAGCAAAGTGTTCACAGATCGTTTGTGGCGTGTGATCTTTTTTGGAAATTTGCGTTTGTTTCTTCAATTGAAGAAGAGCTTCAATATTGTTCTTAATTGCCCTGTTCTCAACATGTTCAGACTTCGCGATAACGACATCCGTAGTTCCTCTCAACCTAAAATTGTTTGCTACGCAGTGGTATCCGTCAAGATTCAGCAGGCTTCTCTGTTGCCGTACATCCGCCAAGGCATAATTTTGAGGCACTTGAAGCGTGGTCTTGAGGTACCTCATAAATGCCCTTCGACTGCCATCAGAATCTTCGTCGCCCTCCGGCCAAACAAATCCGCAAACAGGCTCTAGAGGAGGCTTGCTTTTCCAAGTGGCTCCCTTCAGTGATAATCCCATCATCTCCATCAAAGAAGTCGCTTTATTGGTAGTTGCATTTGAAATAGATATGGTGGCGTTTCTTGCTAAGAAGTCTTGCGCCATGAGCCTAAGCCCTTGCTGCAACTGAAAATGTACATGTGAAGGATCAGGAATGTGAGTAGTTTGAATATACGTGAAGCTAGATTCCGAAGCTGCATTGTTTGTGTGCTTACTTCATCATTATTCACCAAATCAATTGTATTGTTTGCTGTCGGAAATGATGGCGTGGGTGCGGATACAACCACAAGGAGAGGGTCATCTTCGGATGTTCCCTGAATTTTGGAGTCATTGAGTGAAACATCAATCGCAAGGGGTTGCTTGGTTTTATAGTTTTCCATAGTTGTGCCTCTTGCATAGATGCGGAGGTCTGATGCAGCATAGTGTTGCAACAGTCCCCTACGCGTGTCGTGTATGGCATTGCGCAAAAATAGAACCTTTTTGCTTCCAAGTTCACTCTCACTCATCTCGATTACATCAACTTCAAGCTTCTGTGGACCACTGCAAAGTTGGTAGAAGATGCATTCATCTTTAACGTCACTGTTGGTCTGCCTCATCTTTATATGTGACGTAATGGTTCTCCGTGTCGTATGTAAAGATGTACTAAAACCTCCTTGCTACTGTACAGTAAAACAGACTCATTCAGGAACACCTGTCACGAACACACCAACCCGGATTTTATTTTCGGTTTTCAAAGACACAGCACCTACTATTAAAATAATGACGCTGTCACTGTCACTGTCACTTCATGATAGTCTGGCGTTAGGTGAAGTCGAGCTTGGCCTGTCACAATCACAGAATGATGACATTGACAACGATGCTAGAAGAAAACAAGAAATTCAACGCCTACCGCTGTTTTTGCGAATCCTCTCCTTGGCACGTCCTTTGACCGCCGTGCCTACGTTTGAGGATAATGAAACCAACGGAATTGATGACGAATTGGTTCATCGAACAGTAGAACGCCTTGAAGATGTCGCCGCGACGTACTCCATGGCTGAAGAAGTTGACGTTGTTACTTCTTACTTGGCACCCAACATGTCTCGTAAGATTGGCCAATTGCCACCACTACGAAAGACAAAGGAAGGAGAGTGGGATACCAAAGATTTGGCTGCAGTCGCTAAGAATCCTCGTAGTAGCTCGAAACGAAAGAGAACCTTGTCAGAAGGGATACCTGATGGAGATGAGGATGATGCTATTCGTGACTCCTCCGCGGATGATGAGGATGCGGATGCTAGTGGCGAGGAAGGCGATGCCGCAGGTGCAGACGGCAAGAAAAGGAAAGGGCCCAAGATAAGAAAGACAATTCTGGATCGTCGAGAGTCTGAAATTGCGGCAGCGGAAGACTCTCAGGAAGCAACCTTTGTCAAAACACTCTCCGAACTGGCGTCCCTGGTTGTTGCGGCTTTGGCTCCCTTGGAGGAATCATCCAATGGTGGCGATGCCGGTGGTGGTGGCACTGCGGAAGGAACTGAGACTGAAGGCCGCTCCAAAGGAAGGCTTTCCCTGACTGTAGATGACTCGATTCTGAATGAGTCGACTGCGGGATCAGGAGGGGCCATGGAAGGAAGTGATCTGGGAGCAACGGTAGCAGCAATCATGTGTAATGCCAGCGTCTTGCAATCCAGACATGTTGCGGTAAGTTTCAAAAAGACTTTATAGATATTGCATTTATATGAGTCCATTTATAAGATACTTCTAACCCATCCAAATCCATTTTGCTTTTCAGTATGCTTTGTGCCGAGCTGCTACTCCCCAAGCTGCCTACTTGATGACACGAATTGGAGCAAATTGTCCAGCTTCCGTTCCATCACTGCTTCTTGGATGTCTGGATGCGTATTCTTTGGCAGTAGCAGAGAAAGGTAGCCATATTCCCATTGTCAAAGCTGCGAAGCAGGGTGTGAAAGCTTTGGCTCAATTGTCCGCCAGCGAAAGGGCGCGTGTCCTGAACAAGCTTCAGTCGACAAATACAATGTTGGATCTTCAACTGAAACTTGCAATGGAGCTGCCAGATTCGACCACTGCATGCTGCTTTTTGTTGCGGCGTCTACCCAAGGAGCTGATGACTGCAACATCCGAATCTCAAACTGGAGTTGGTGGTAGAAACCGAAAGCAACCGAACCAAACTCCAGGCGATAGGTCTTCTTCTTCTGACCATCGAATGGACCATGCTGCCTTTGGTAGTGAAAAGAGTGAAAACTTGGTTCAAGCGCTTCTGATTGATGGCCAGAATACCTACCGTGAAGTTTTGTCATTCTTGTCGAAAGAGCTGTCGAGCCTAGCAAGCATGCAACCGAAAGATATTGCTATTGGCAAGCTTTCTCTCATGTTGAAAGCATGCTGTTGGACGCTCTTGGTACCTCTGAAAGTGCCAAGTGCCAAACTTCATGATACGATTAGCCTATTGGGGAATAAGTTGTTGCCAGGCATCCGGCAGCTGAGCACCAAGCTTTGCGATTACTGTGTCTCGCGCAGGTGCAATGAAAGCGACGACCTACCGAAAAGTTCTTCTTTTGACGGCGTTATGAAAGTGTTAGTTTCCACGACAATCCTGACCATGGACCGCGTGCTTTCACTTATTGCAGAAGAATCAAGCCAATATTCCTCTCACCAGAGCACCATTGAATCACTTATTAAAGTGATCAATGAGTTGAAGGGAGATTCGGGAGTTTCAGAGACGGCGCAGGCATTCGCAACAAAAGTGCAGCATGCAATTTCAGATGGTAGCGTGTCTGTACTCTTGGCGCTACTGATGTCTGATTGGGTTGGCGGTGTTCCACTCAGGCACGGGCAGCTTGATCGTGTGTTACCATCTTTGGATCATGGCATGAAAGAACTCGCAGATCTCTGGAACAAAACATCGGGCGACGGGTCCGAGTCAACACTTGACTTGGATTCACGAGCGGCGCTGCTCTTGTTGGAGCTCAATGATGAGAAAAGCGCTAGTTCCGTTTCCACCGACAAGCGCTCAGAAATCGAGGATGTTCTGAAGTCCATTTTGTGTTCTACGAACAATTCGCATGCATTTATCCAGAGGGCTGCTGTGTTGCAATTTGTCGTCCAAGCCACGAAATTTCTTTGCGCTGGGAGGGAAATGGTAGTTCCATTGATAATGGTACCGCAACTCGAACTGCTTGGGACACGACTAAAGGTTGAAACCACCGAAGACAAGCTGGATGATATCCAAAGTAGATTTCTACTACAGCTTCTGCATGCCATGGAGTTTTTGGAGCAGAATCCAGACTCTCCATTTTCCATCGACCCACGGACTCTTCCTGTGAAAGAAGCCATACTGTTGGCAGAATTTCTGGAAAAGCGCAGTAATGGATTTCTGCTTGAACAGATCGTAAGTTACGTTACAAAGCAATGTCCCGAAGTGCTGGAGCTATCATATCCCGTTTGGACACAAAAGCGACAACACAGCATGAGAAAATCCCATAGTGCTTTGCTGCCAAGATCAGACATGATGAATTTACTTCGTAGAACAATTGAATCGTATCTTGTGAAGTCACCAACGGAATGCAATAAGGACAAGGGCGGCTCTGAATTGGAGCGAATATTCTTGGATACGAGATTGCAAACATCTGATTCCGACTTGGCCTGCACCGTTGTGAGTGCCATGCTCTCATCTCCTCACCAGCCTCCACTTTCCTTGACATACCCAAAATTGTGTCGAGATCCGTTGATTTTATTGAAGTGTCCTTTCAAGGTATGGAGCTGCACTGGGCTTCGAAGAACCGGGCTATCCATATTATGTTTGCTGTTGGAATCCAATGAGGCCATAGTCTGGAGTGATGCTCCAACAGAGGAATCAGCTGAAGAATACCTTGCTGCTAGGGACGCGCTTGTGGTTCGGTGCTTAGTCACGGCCATGAGTGGTTCAGAAAATGACGTTTCGCCTCTTCCTCACTGTTCCATGACGACAAGTATAATCAGACTGCTGACGCGAAGACGCAAAGGAATCGTTGCGTTGCTGGTGAAGCAGGGATTACCGGAAGAATCACTTGATTGGATGGTCGAATTTGTGCCTGAAGTGATGAATGACTCACAGGATATGCTGCAAATGCTTTCGGATCAAAGGTCACTTACACCTGCAGAGCGTCTTGTGGCTGCCGACGCTGTGCTGAAAATTGCTATAGTCCAAGGCCAAAGCAACGAAGTCGACGCTGCAAACATGGCTTACATTGCTCTGACGCAACTCTGCGACGCGCTGTTCCTTGTTGCCGGGCCAATTGGGGTTCCAGTGAATGCGGTGCTGGAAGATAATTCAGGACTGGATGTCACCCACAGATCTCGCAAGGCCGCTTTTCGGATGCTTCAAACATTGCTAACAGTTCGTGGAAGGAGGACAAATCTACGAAAGGAATGCGAGTTGGCTCTGAATAAGTTGGCAGGCTTGTGCAAGAATGAAAGTGCTGTCAGTGGAGTCTCGGGTACAGTTGCTGGAAGGCGGAATGCTTTACTGAAAGAAATATTTGATGCTGCTACGAAGGCAACGAATGCTATGGGCTCATGCGTGGGACATCAATCAGTGGCAGCTTAGCATTTATGATGTTATTCAATTTAATTTTAAAAAATAATCATCCCACGGCATGTCCGTGGTGCTATATGAACTGCCCAGAATCATCTCTCTTTGCCTCATGTGCTTCTCGAACAACTCCATGCATTGTAACATATACACCAGTCTTGGGAAGGATTTGGACGGCAGCCATAGCAGAACCAACATTCAATGGTGCATCTGTGTTACTGAATCTTTCCGGCCGCATGGAACCAGTCTAAGAAGAAAGAGTCAGAATAAGGAAAAAAGACAAAAAGAGGAGGAAAGGGTACATAACCTACCAATACAATGCGTCTCGTGCCTGCCAAGGATTCCCGGGATGCCAAGAACTTCGCGGTTTCAATCATTGTGTCGGTTCCATGTGTGATGATGATTCTTTCTGAACGATATTAGACATTTGAGATTTTCGCAATTCATTAGGAATCAAACTGATTGCAATGTACCTCACTGACCTTCCGAATGCTCTTCAATCAGACTTGCCAAAATTTCTCTGTCAGCATCAGTGACTTCCAGACTGTCCTTCTGGAATGCGGTCACCACTTCGTAGGAAAAAGAAGGACCAAGCCGCTCCAATAATCGTTTTGTTGCTGGTTCTCCAAACTCAAACGCATATCCTCCTTTGCTCCTTGGGTAATCCTTGTCGATTGTTCCGCCTGTCTGGATGAAAAGGATCTTCATAAAATATACCGTAGGAAGAGAAGACTTTTGTCTTTCATATAATGTGTATTATATATATAGCGTGCAATGATTTTTTTGGCCATGATCATGATTTTGCATTTCCAGTCCAGTCAGTCGTAAAATGTAACTTTCGGTGGTGTTTTGAAAATTTCTAACGCGAGATAATAAAATGTGTAGTCGACATATTCTGGGCTTAAACCAGATTTTCTATAGCTAAAACTGTTGTCTGAACCAACAAGTGTTTGGGCTGAGAAAGTTACTTTTCACTTGAAAAAATTATGGCTTGTGGCATCATCGTCATGATGATCATGATCATGAGAGCAGCACTGAAGTCAAGGCCCAGGGTTTTGCGCCAGATAGATAGACCCAGATTCGGCTCCGAGTTATAACCGAAGCGACACTGGAGGATGTATCACAACTGAAAAGGCAAATCTGATTCTATAGTAGACTCTTGTTGTATCGGTTTTTTGAGCTCTGAAAGAATCTCAGTTTCCATTCATTCAACAGCGAATGGGGAAAAAAGTCCCGTTTCTGTTAAATGTTAATATGTACAAATATTAATAGCCGCTCAGAAACAACAATAAATACTCCGCCACGTGGTACGTGTACACGGATGAGTGCGAAGGTTTTGCACAATGTCCTTGCGTGGTCTGCATATAAAATATATTAGTCTCACATCACAACTCGAAAATAAGTCGTCAACGCTTTGATCATCAGATCATCACAACTCATCTTCTCTCAATCTTTCCTGCACACTAGCACCAAGCGTTTGAATAAAGATCTGAGCTAATCACTTCAAGGCTACGAGAATCAGTATGATTGAACCTGTGTCTTTCTACGACACAACGAAGATGGCCCCGCCATTTTCCATTACCGATATGAACGAGGATTTGCCTTCAACCTTTGGAGATGAGGATGCACTACTTTCCTTAGATCCTAGCTCAGACATGTTTTCCACTTCTCGCACGGAAACCGTCAACACTACCATTCCTTCCTCTCCTTCTTCTGATATGCAGTCCCTCGCAAATTCCATGAGGACTTCTGAATTGAGAAAGCCAAAGACCACGGTTGCAATTGCACTTCATTATCAGCAGGACAACTCTGCTGGCTCCATTAAGGGTAATTTGGATTTTGCTTCTATGGGATTGATTGGCCGCGAAACGGAAGTATCGACGCTCCGTTATTGTTTGGCAAACCTCATGGCCACAGATTCATCTTCAGATAGCGATGGCAGCAACGAAACTGGACCATTCAAGGAACTGGTCTTTATCAAAGGTGAGTAATCTGTTTTTTCTTTGCTACCGATTTCCAACCGATCTGTTTCTCACTCTGATTGCTGTTTAATAGGGCAAAGTGGAGTTGGCAAGTCTTCAGTTGCCAGGACAGTCGAACAGGATCTCAAACAAGAAGAACGTAGCAACAGCAACTACAATGGACTGTTTATCGACGCCAAATTTGATATGAATACTATGGATGAACCATATTCAGGCATATCCAAGATATTTGATAAAATCTGCCGCAAGATCAAGGAAGTCAAGCAGGAATCGATTCCTGAGATTCAACAAGCATTGAAAGACGGACTTGGGAAGGAACTTCGACTCCTGATGCACTTGCTTCCGGAACTGAAGAGCCTGATGGCTGATGACGATAGTCAGTCCACCAAATCATCTTTTGATATCGATGCATTTGAAAGTGGCACAGATCAGCTACGTTATGCATTTCGAGTGTTGGCTAGGGTATTTGGAGCTGTCTTTTCTCCACTTGTCATCTTTTTTGATGACTTGCAGTGGGCGGATATGTCGTCACTTCAAGTATTGGACTATTTGATCTCAGACACTCAAAACCCAAATGCCATGATGATCATTGGAAGTTACAGATCCGAGGAAGTCAATGAGAACAGTTTGCTCTTCAACAAGATAGTTGCTTTCCGAGAGAAGGCAACGAAGTTCCACTTTCATGTTACCGAAATGGAGATCAAAGCATTCGATGCAGCTACTGTCGAGAAGATTATTGCCACCACCTTGACGCCTGAGACTATGGAACAAGGCGTAAGATTGGCATTGATATGTATCAAGAGAACCCTTGGAAATCCGTTCTTTGTCTTTGAATTCCTCAAGATGCTTCACCACGAAGGACTCCTTGCGTACAACTTATCATCGCAACGTTGGACTTGGGATATGGAAAAGATCGAGGACGCAACCATGTCCACTGCCAATGTCGTTGCCCTATTACACAATCGCATGAAGAAGTTACCCAACCAAGTTCAAATTCTACTTCAAGTTGCCGCGTACTTTGGGTCCTCGTTCTACGAGCCAACACTCGATATGGTTTGGGATCACCATGGTCGAAGATTGGTCGGAGCGAAGATCGATAAGGTTTCCAAGCTACTTCCAGGGGTTGTCCAAGACGACTTTTTGGAACCATTCGGGGAGAATCACTACAGATGGGTTCACGACAAAGTGCAAGAGGCCGCGCTGTGCTTGACGGGGAAGCATCGTGAGTCATTTCAGTTGGACATTGGTACAACTTTGTACTATTGCTTGGATAAAGAGCACTTGGAAGATGACTTGTTTAACGTCGTCGATCTCATTAATCGTGGGAATGTCAACAAGAGATCCGAATTTGCGCTTGCTAACATGAGAGCAGCAAAGAAGGCACGAAGCATTTCGGCCTTTGAGTCGGGAGCAAAGTACGCTGCCCACGGGATCGAGATTTTGGACGAGTCCACTAAATGGACCGAAAACCGGCAACTCGCTTTGCAGTTGTATACAATAGGGGCCGAGATGAATCTTGTGGCTGGTAACATTGTTGCCGCAGAGGAATACTGTGAAGTGGTACTTGGTCGGTCAGAGTTATCAACAATGGAAACTCTCCCACTGAAGATGGTGCGAGCGAAGGCCCTATCGACGATGGAACTCAAGTTCGACGAAGCTCTCGAATACTGTCTGAAGCTGTTGAGAGAAATCGGATGCAAGTTGACATGGCCAAGAAGCTTGGTACCGGTCCAAGCGCTGACGATGGTCCTACGAACCATCAAGAAGCTAGAGAAGGTACCAGAAGGCTCCTTCGAGACTATGACCGTCATAAAAGACAAACGGCAAAAGGCTGTTGCGAGTCTCTTGTCGATGATCTTGTACATATCCTATCATTCTGGTAACATTCATCTGTCCTTCGTTTGCATTTGCAAGTTGGTGGAGATGACTTTGCAGCACGGAATTAACGAATTCTCTGCCAAGAGCATTGCTTCAATCGGAATAATTTTGATTGTATTGAACAAGGACCCTGCCAAGGCCGAAGAATACGGCAATATTGCACTTTCCATGCTCGCAAAGTTTGGCCGAATGCGAAGTGGCGAGACGACCTACCTTACATATGCCCATGTCATGGCTTGGTTTCGACCATTGGAAACCTGTTCTGCACCAATGATTGATGGGTACAAGAAAGCTCTGCGAGCAGGAGAAACAGAGTTCGCCCTTTGGAATCTCCTATCATACGTGGCAATGGTTCCATACATTCTTGGAAAGCCATTGGAGCAGATTCTCCAAGAGTGCCCGAAGGCCATGATCCAATTTGAAGAGGCTGCTTCCGCAGTCCATGTCTTGGACATGCGGGTCTTGATGCAGATGCTATCAAACTTGAGCGATCCATCCTGTCCTGATCCTTCCAAGCTGGAAGGTGAGATCTTCAGCAAAGTGCATGATGACGAGAAGGAGGCAAAGGTCCATCTCGCCATTTCCCATTTTGCCGAAGGCGAGCTTCTGTTGTTCCAAGGCGACTATGTCGCTGCCGCCGACAGAGCGATAAATCTGGGAGAAGTTCACACCGAATTGGTTCCTGGGATCTACACCATTATGATCGAGACTTTTCACCGAGCGGTTGTTTTGTACGCTGCAGCTTTGAAGACCAAGAAGAAGAAGTACAGAGTTCATGCGAAGAAGGTACGAAAGAAGGTCTCCGGCTGGGCGAAAGCCGGCAATCCGAATGTCGAGTATTTCGATTTGTTCTTGACAGCGGAACAGCTGGCATTGGACAAGAAGCTGGACGAAGCTCAGCCCAAGTACAAATCTGCGATCAGGTTAGCGACTCGTTCTGGTCACTTGCATCATGCAGGCTTGTTGAATGAACGTTATGCAGATTTCCTTTTGGCTCTACGTTCCAATGTCGAAGAGTCAAAAAGGGCGCTGAAGATTTCGATCAAATGGTACAAGGATTGGGGAGCCACCAGGAAAGTGAAAGCACTAGAGTCGAAGTTAAGTGAACTGGAGAAGTAGATGTATTGGGAACATTTTGGACAGGCAGTGTCGAATCTAGCTGGGGTAACGGGATTGCATGTGAAAGTTTCGACTGAGTTTCAAAAGAGGGCGCCCACGTTGGTACGGGATCGTTGGTACGGGATCGACCAATGGCAAGATGTATCATGAGATACTAGATCAAATTTAGAATTATCTTTGCCTAAAACGATACACAACATACCGGTAGGAATCATGCATGGCTCCCTTCCGCGGACTCGAATTCCATTCTTGTCAATCGATACAGAGTAAAACAGATGGATGATTGAAGTTCAAGATACTTCACATAGACGAGTCAATACTCGCTTGAAAAATTCTATATTTGCACTTTGTTGTGTCTTCGTATGCTTTTTTAAGCGATGATGGGGTTTGGACTATCCATTACACTTGCAGCACCTGGGTAGAGCTTTCCAAGTATAACTTGTCGCTTGAGAACCTCCAATTGTACATGACCATCTTGGATGGCAGCAGCGGCTTCGTCTCTGTTCGTGTTGCATACAGGCATGTCACAGTAATAGAAAGAGCAATAAGAAAGAACATGTTAGCGAGATTGCACCAAACAAAAACATTACGAAACCAAATAAAATGAAAGGAATAATTGGTTCTCTTCAGAATGACTGCGGAAGAGAGCCATACTTGAATCCCCGGCCGCAGTAGTTTCTCTGGAAAGTTTTCTTTGAATTGACTCACCCCTGCAACTGTTGATTCTTGCGGAATCCTGTCTTGACACGTCTAATCGAATAGGATCGAAAGTTGTAATCTGTAACTTGCTTGGCTTGGCGAAGCAAGTTTCGGTATAGGGCTTGGGCAGTCATTTTACAAGTTTGTGTGTTGGGAGGTAGGTACGGATGACACGGAAGTTATTGCGATTCTTTGGAAATGTGACGCTTTCGATGTTGATTGAAGTCGAGGTATTGATGACGACAGCAACAAAAATGGAAAGAAGGTGAAGGAAGATGACACATGACGCGCATCTAGCTCGCGCAGTCAGTGAGCCAGTTTCCGTCTTCGAAACGACTGACTCATACGACCAGAAGGATGCAATTTGAAATTTTAAGCCAAAGTACCTACCGGTATCGGTATATACCGGCAATCAGATTCGATTCATAATATAAAGGAAAGTAGCCACATTCGTGATGGTGACTGAAGGGCCACTTCGAATCCGGTATGGTTCTCGGTCATCCTTGTCGATTATGGTCATCCTTGCACCATCTGCTGATGGATGATCCGAACTTCAGCTCCATTTTCCACCAAAACACCTCTACCGGTAGCAATGATGTGGCTTCTTTCTGCTCGTAGCACTTAATTTTCAAATTAGATATTGCTGTCATAATCACTGAATGATAGGCCACTTCTATCACTCCTGACAGATGATTCGCTACAGTCTTTTGGCAGATTAGTTTCATGAAGGAATGCAATGAATGCAGTCACATTCGGAATGACAACTGAGGCACTACTTCGAATCCGGCATGCTTCTCGTCCATCCGTGTCGGCTGCATTGTCTGCAGATACATCAATTGCCGATTTCTATTCCAGTTTCCACAGAGACAACTCCAACAGAGTTGTAGCTTCCAATCGCTCATACCCCGACAGAGCCATTGATGCTTCCTGAAGCAATGATTATCTTTAATATAATTTATCCTCTGCAACAATAGCATTCACTCTATTCGACATGTCCAATTCCCACGCTTCCAGTGCGTTCCAACTCAATATAGAACCCATCAACCATCCTTAAAGAGCCATGTGAAGCATATTTCGAGAGTCTTCAGACAGATGACAGCTCCGCCGACAGAAGTATTCAACAGCAGTCTTTCCATTCACATCTTTCAATCCGAGGAAACTCGATGGATACGCATCTAAGAGGACTTGCAAAAGATCAAGTCTGCAGTTTGCAGCTGATAGAAGAACGTGAAAGGGTGTCATGCCGAAAGGATCTACCAAGTGATCCCTGATAGTACTTCCTTCTTGCGACGATTGCATTGACGACTCGATCTCCCGAGAGAGATCACCTTTAGTTGTTACAGAGGCATGGTAACATTTTTTGTGGATCGGAAAACTGTCGAATCGACGCATCAGGGCAAGCGCGATGTTCGTGTCTACATATTGATTTACCAGCGCTTTGCATCCGGCAAACGTGCTGCAAGTGCCTCTTTTTCTGCGTCCGCGGGCACTCATTGTACCTATTAACGGGCGCGGTGGTGCGGGAGGCAGACAGATATTTACTAAAGACTTGCAACCGTCAAAGGCGAAATCGTTTACCCTCATGGTAGTTCTACGGCAACCCCCCAATTCCACTGACACCAACTTGGGACAGTCTTCAAAAGCAGAGGTAACTGCCCAAAATCTCAAGACTTCTCGGAAGGTCCACATTTTCCAATTTTACGCAATCGTCAAAAGCACTACGTTGAACATACTTCAGCCCCTCCTGAAATTTCAGCCTTGTCGCGTTCTTGTAAAGCTGACCTCGGTCAACGACGAACAATAAAAAAAAGCATTCTCCTCGATGGTAGTCAATAAACCATCTTCAGCAAAACGAACTTGTGCTAATGACCCGCAATGCGAAAAGGATTCAAAACCTACCATTGTCACGGAAGGAGGGATTTCGATTTCCAACAAGCTCTTACATTGACCGAACGCACGACGTGCAATAGTCGTTAAAAGGCGGATCCGTTGAAATTTGTGTCAGCCGTTCGAACATTTTACAAGCTGAAGGTGGAATCTCTCGAACAAGAGGATGAACAACTAAATCTGTCACATCTCTTGGAATTATCTCCCTTTCGTTGCCAACGTGGTGATAAGAAGTCATCCTCTTCAATGGCTTCTTGTGCCAACAACCAACAATGCTCACTCGATAATAAAATAAAATGAAGAGGTCAAGGATTTGATGCTGCATATATAAATGCGCGAGCGTATTTATTGTGCTATAGCTAGAAGTAGGTACACGTACACGGACATACAGAGTTCTGTAGGCCGATGTCGTAATACTGTAACAAACGTGGATCTAAAAGCGACTAGGGAAGTACCTTACTTCTTCTCTTGCTTTGTCATTGTGGCTACAGTATCCATACCACATTATACCCAACCACAGAGAAAACTAAATAGTGCGTTCGATGGGGAAGATATACACTCTGTCGTTCTGAAGCCGTTCTTCTGTTTGCTTTGCGCCTGAAGGAAAATCCAAGCTGACGCACACAACATCCACAAGTGAAAAAGAACGAACGAACGAACACCAAATGTGTACCGGTGCACATACAAGATAGGAAGCAAAGCTGCCCTTTGATATGGTTAATTTAATGACAAGTCAATCAAATGATTCGAGTACCACGCATAACATTTCCAATCTACTTGGCAGCTGCAGCATTAAACTTGGCCAATACTTGAGCGTGCTTCTTTTGTTCCTTTGCCAATTTCTTGGTTGCTGATTTGGTGAGTGCAGTGCCTTCTGCATCGTGGGTTGGTAGGCCAGTCTTTTCGTCGAACTTGGAATATTTGCCCTTGTACTCTTCCGACAACCGAAACAAATCCTTCGGTTCGATCTTCATGCGAGCTTCCTTGGCAGCCTTGTCAGCGGCCTGTTTGGCCTTGCGTGCTGCATTCGTTTCCTCTTCCTTCTTGGACAATTTCTTAATGGCAATTTCTTCCCTCAGTGAAACGGTTCGGTTGAATACCAGCTTACCCTCCTTCTTCTCGTGACTCCAAGTAGTGTCTAGATCCACAACAAAGTACCCCATACGCTCAAATTGAAGAGCAGCATTGGATTGCCACTTGTCCAACTTTGAGGCATCCACCAATTCGGATACGGATGGATCAATGATAGCGTCGGCATAGACAATCTCTGATTCTGGATTGAGTTCTTCTTCCCATAGGTCTGATGGTTCTGCGACAGTGAAGAGATGATTGTACACTCGGACTTCGCAACGAATTCCATCAGAAGGAACCCATGAAATCCAAGTCTTTGGTTTCGGACGATCTTCGGCATTGTCCAACCGACAAATCAGCTTTTTTACCTTCCCATTGTCTTGAATGACCTTGTCACAAATAATGTTTCCACCGTGATATTTGATTCCAACCGCCTTGTTAGGAGCAAGGCCGTAGTATTCCTCAGAATCTTCTAGTCTGAAATCGCTCGAATCGATGTACAGAGTGGAGGTAAGAGTGATGGAATGCTCACCCAAAGAATCATCCGTTGGAGAGTTTTGCACCGAAAAGGTCAATGTGGTACCCTCATGTTCCTTCCAGTTGGAAATGGTAATTTCGATAGGATCCAAGGCTACCATGGCGCGTTGGGAGGTCTCGGACAAGCAAGTTCTCGCAGTGTTGGCCAGTTTTTCGTATTCAATGACGTTGGAAGCTCGAGTAGCACCAAGGTCGTTGCAAAATTTGTTGACAATCTCCTTGGTGTATCCACGCCGACGCAATCCCGAGATTGTAGGCATTCGTGGATCGTCCCATCCACGAACGTAGTTGGCGTTCACTAGCTTGAGCAATCGACGCTTACTCAAGACTGTGTATTGACAGTTCAGGCGGGACATTTCGTAAACGTTGGGGCGGAACATATCCAAGGCCCACAAGATCCAATAGTATGGCTCGCGACGGGTTTCAAATTCCAAAGTACAGATGGAATAGTCAATCTGTTCCAAAGAATCGCAGATGCCATGTGTGAAATCATAAGCAGGGTAGATGCACCAGCCCTTCCCAGCGTGTGGATGAGAAGTAAACTTGATACGGTAGGCCACCAAATCGTACATGTTGGGATTGGCAGATTCGAAATCCATCTTTAGACGTAGTGTCCAAGTACCTTCATCGTAGATTCCGCGTTTCATCTTGTCAAAGATCTCCAAGTTACGCTCGATAGAAGTATCCCGGTTACGTCCAGGCAAGACATCAGGAGATGGAATTGGGTATTCGTCGTCTGGATCCTTGCCGCTACTCTTGGCGCTGACACGCTTCATGGCCAGTTCTCTTTGGACCTCCATTTCCAATTTGGTCATATCACAACAATAGGCCAATCCCTTCTTGATGAGTTGGACAGCAAGGTCGTGCAATTTAACAAAATTGTCGGAACTGTAGGTGGTACGTTCGGGAGTCCATCCCAGCCACGCCACGTCTCGCTTCAGACTGTCAATGTATTCCTTGGTTTCGGCATCTGGGTTGGTATCATCGTAACGGAAGATTGTCCTACGATTTTCCATCGGAACGTTAAGCTTTTCAAAGGCAAGAGAAAAGTTCATGTTCATACTCTTGGCGTGACCAATGTGCAAATAACCATTGGGTTCAGGTGGGAATCGAGTACGGACAATGTCCCCATTCGTTTCCTTGTGTTTGGCCAGCAACTCTGGCGAGTTTTTGGCCCATTCTAGTTCACGAGCAGAGAGGGCATTGCGAGTGGTAGTGGATGTGTCTTCCTTGACGTCTGTCATTGTTGTTGTTGTATCAGTAGTAAAAAAGGTGTCGAGTTTGGTGTTGTGTGCGATTGCTTGGATTGCAGCTGCTTCTTGTTTCTTTCTATATATATATATATCAGTCAAGTGCTAAAGACTGAGGTGAGCACCTAGATTTGCAGTGATATGCTGAATCTATATCGGTAGGGCTGGGCTTGCCTTTATGTTGAGTTGCTTTGGTTCCGACCACAAACAAAATGAAACCTGGCACCTGGCACTTCAAAAAAGGAATTTCGTGAGGGTCTCTCGATCCTCTTTTGTCCAAAGATTCTGCAGACGGATCGCGTACATACCTTTACGGTCGGATTGGTCGATTTGATGTCAAAAGGATCGATTGAGATGAGAGGTACTTTTACGATGATTATACTGTAGACTGGCTGTATGAGTAGTTGATAGTCATGTTCTGGATTATTACAAGATACTATGACAAGCTGTGACCACTGATACAAAAATGATCGAGCGGAAGATGGATATAATATGTCCCGCACTGGCCCCGTTCCTCGTTTGTTCTTTTTGTTCGTCAGCCAAAACGAGTTCAGGAAAGGGATCTGGTAATGATGGCAAACTTATTGGGCTTTGCCCTGTGGTTCGATCAACGAGCGAAGGATTCGTGTCCAGTTCATAATTCTTCACAAAGTTCCACAAGAGCTCTGTGGAATCAAAATTGGTTGGTACTTCGTCTCTTCGAAAGGTTTCTACCCCAAGGTAAGGTGAGTGGCCAGCCCCTTCCACCGCATATAACGTCACATTGGCATTGTTCTTGCAACCCGTAGAAGAGAATTCTGTAACGGTATTATTCGAACCCAAGAATTCTTCCGTCTTTGTCTCCTTGAAAGATGAACATTCATTTGCTTTTGAAATGATGTCATGAGTGGTTTCCGCCGAATGAAACAAAAAGTTTCCTTTGTAGGGCACCACTCGGTCGTTCGTACCATGAACAAGAGCCATTGGAGTGGCATGGTAGGAACCTGGAAATGGTGTAATGGCGCTTCCAGCATGGCATCCGACTGCTGCAATTATGTCCGAGCTCTGGGCGGCAATCGAGATGGCAGCCATGCATCCATTGGAGTGTCCCGCTAGATAGATTCGTTTGGCATCAATTGTGACGCGATTCGACGTTTGAATTGGTACATCACGATTTATAACTGCAGCGATCTGACGAAAGACGGCGGCATCTTGCGTGACGACTGGTCGAATACGTCTGGAACAACAGCAGGAGTGGGCTTCGTCACCAAAATCATCCTTGGCACCTCCCGGCAAGCCCCAACACGTCAAGTCGGCAATTTCCGGATCCGTAGTTCCCAGGGGATACACCAAGACGAAGCAGTGCTCTTGTGCCATTTCTTTCCATCGCGTCAATTCAGCAGTTTTGCTCGGACAAGATGCCAACCCATGAGCGTCGAATACCAGAGGGGAATCTGGACCAGCACAGTCTGGGATGATGGTGAAGAAGCACCGTCTTCCTTCAAAAGTCGGGCTCTCGATGCAGGTACGAGTACCTCCATATTTGGCAAGACTATCCGCTCCAATGTCACAATTCGGTCGGGCGTTGCTCTTTTTAGCAAGATCCTGAATGTCAATCTCAGAGATTGCATCACACCTTTCGAGTGATACCAGACCGACCCATAAAAAGAAAATGATGCATCGTTCTGTGCAATTGTTCATCATCATTGCGCTCTGTTGATTCTGCGACCGGCTCTGTGGCTATCAGGGATACTCTAACCACATGGTGTTTGATTCTTCTTTCCGTAACTCGGAAGTTTGATGGAGCGTTATATGTATAAAATGTGAGATGTGATGTGGTTTCTCGGAAGATGATCAGTCGTAGGTATAATATTGTTGGCATTGGCGGGAAGCAACAAATGAGTCCCGTATGATGATACCCGCTATACCTGCGGGTGGGCCTGTGGGCGGGGGATGCAAATTTTGGAGGATTGGAAACGAAAATACTACTGCGCTGGTACACCGTAGAGCTGTTTCTTACTTATTTCAGTAACCTCGTCCAAACAGACATCCAATTAATTTAGCGTGAATACAATGATTATATCTAATCTGAACTATCACTATTTATTCTTTCCCAAGGAAGGGCAAAACATTCTCGACCACAATGGAAATGCCACAATGGACTCGACAACTTTCTCGATCGGTGCTTTCTCGACCCGATGTATTCCCGCTCAATCTGATTCTCCAAAGAAACAATTCCACCAACGAAAGCGCTTCGAACAATTCCAACTTTGAAAGCCTATCCAAAAGAGATTGGAGTTCACTGTTCATGACCAAAGGACAATCAGCCTTCGCGACGCCTTCCATCAGGACCAATAGCTCTTGCTTCCAGCGATCTAGACCAAGGTGCGCAACTCTTTGTTCCACAATTTTCTGCATCAACCATCGAGTCACCTGCAAACCTCCCTCGGAACGATTCTTGCCAAGATAGTCCAGTACAATTGATCCAAACCGATCTTTTGCTGACATGATTAGATCGACCGAAGTGAAGAGCATTTGAAAAAGTTCCAGTCTTGGTGTTTGAGCCAGAGCCAAAATGTGCAATGGAGTCATTCCAAAGGCATCCGTTTGGATGAGATCGAATGGGTTTTCAATTAGAATATCCCTGATTCGTTGAAGGGTGTCGTTTATGGGATGGTAGCTGTGAAAGTAGCAGATTCTGTGAAGAGGACGATCATCAAATCGATGTTGCAGCTCTGTCAAAAGATCTCCCCAATTTTGTGCCACTTTCGCAAGCTGGAAGTCTTCCGGGATCGATTCATCCAAGACTTCATTGGACACCACCTGTTCTGATGGAGGCAGATAAAGATTCACCAAAGCTTGCCATCTGAACACGTCTACCCAGTTTTCAACTTCTCCAAAGGCAAGTAGTTCGATCTTTTCCAATCCTTCTGGAAGTTCCAGTGATAGTAAGGATGCACACCCTTCAAACGGATTGCACTGTCCTCTGCATCCGATCGACGTGATTTTCGGTGGCACGCGGACATGTGTCAGTTTGGAGCAGCTACTGAATGTTCCTTGCTCGATGGACCCTTCGAGATTAGGCGGAAGTGTTATCCATGACAGCTCCAAAGCATGGCCAAAAGCAAGGCGTCCAATCGTCAAGCATTGGGTACAGTGCAATAATTCCATTTTCTTCAAGGCTCGACAACCCCCGAAAGCGAATCCCCCAATTGACTTGATTGTTCTTGGAATATCAAACTCCTCCACTTTACCGCACCCAAAGAAAAGTTGATTCTCGATTACCTCTAGCCTTGGTGGTAGGATTATGGATTCCAACTGTAGACACCATTTGATAGCCCCGGGCCCAAACAATTTCACTGTAGCAGGAAGTTGAAGATGGCGTAAATTTGTCCACGCAAAAGCGCCTTCTCCAATGACTTCAAGTCCTAGAGGCAAATCAATCGAGCGTAAACACGTACAATCATAGAATGCATGGAATGGAATCTCTCGCAACATAAAGGGAAATTTGACATTGGTCAGCGATTCGCAGTCGTCAAAAGCAGATTCTCCAATGGTGCGAACACCTTCTTCGAAGATTACTTCTTCCAATGACTTGCAACTCCGGAAGATATTAGCAGGAAGGACACGAACGGATCCATCAACTCGAACAAACCTCACATGTCTAGGAACTTGTTCTCTGGTGGTTGAAGCTGTGACAACAAAGATCCAGTTTGGGTGAAACCCCCCCACCACAAGGGCTGCCATGGCGTATGGTTGTAGGAATGAAACTGGAAGGTTGCAATTCAGTTGGGACCTTGAGATATTGCCCTATCACTTACTGTAGGCCTTGTTGTGTCGGTAGCGTAGTGTGCTCACCAATGACATACTGAATACTGTACCGTGAGATAGTATATTCATATGAGAGAAGACATCATTTTTATAGGAGTCGTCGTCATCGATTTACAAAAAAATCGACTGCCGGCGGACGGTGTCGTAACGACACGCCGGTATTTTCAATTTCATAATATTTTCACGATGACATTCTATATAAAATAAAATAACCGCCTACAGTATATATCAGACTTTGATGAGGAAGATTCATCCTAAACAAAGAGGGTGCTGTAGAAGAAGGTATTACGCATTGAAATGGATGACAATACCATGTTTACTGGTTTTCCTTGTGACAAGGACTGAAGGGCGATCATTCTTCGATCGTCAACATTCGTCGCATCAGGTAGATGATCCATATGGTGCTCTGGGAGTTGGACGCTATGCTTCGAATGACGAAATAAAAGCTGCATATCGAGCAAAGGTATGGTACAGTATGATTTTGATGCACCGAGTTGGACACCACAGGAATCAGTTGGTTTTTGGCCTATTCTATCCGACCTTTCATTATTTCTCATTTTCTCGTGTGTATATGTCCTTCTCTGTCGACTTCTCGACGACAGGCCAAAGAGTGGCACCCCGACAAAAACCCAAAGGACCCAGAGCTATCAGCGCAAAAATTTCGTGAAATAGCCTCTGCCTATGAAATCTTATCGGATCCCATTCGAAAGAGGCAGTATGACGATCAGCTGAGACGAAAAGAGCGATTCCGAGAACAACAAGGGCAACAAAAGCGTCATCAGCAAGAGCGAGAACGCCGCACTCGGATGCAGCGAGAGCGGGAAGCAGCATCCAAACGAGATGCCTTTCTACCAGAGGCAAGGAAATTGCAAAAAGAAAAAGTGATTCGAATATCAACCACTGACGATCTGGAGCAGATTGCGTTTGAAAATCATGAACGTACATTCAAGACCAACCTTCTTTTGGTATTTGTAGCAAACAAGAAGGTGGAGAAATTTGTCGATGATCAATTACTCTTTCCTTATATCTCGAACATTGAAGGGATAAAGGGTGATGAAGATTTTTTCTTGCCCATCAAAGTTAGGTACAACCGAGATACCGATCTGACAAGGCTGTTTCAGGTACCACACTATGCCCAACGCTCTGGCAATGCTTTCATCGTCCTTGGGAAGAAAGGGCAGAACCCTTTCCAAAAGCTTTCATCCTATACGGCTGCGCCAGGAGGGGATGCGCATGCTCAGTTTGAAGATTGGGTTACCAAGCAACTATCGATCGAAGTGGTGGTACTGAACCACCATCACTCCAATGTGATTGTCTTTCAAAAGACAAGGCTTGCTTCCAGCAAAGAATCGATGGAACAGCGTTTCATTGTCAAACCTCTCCGGGGACAACGACTGAATCTTCGTTTGGGAGACACGATCCTTGCAATGGACAGCAATGTAGACCGGTGGCCTGGCCACCAGCCCAATTTGGACATGACCAAAATCCTACTGTCACAGGAAAAAGTCATGCTGGGCCAGTGGAGACCTTGGCGGCATGATGACGATGGGCATCCAATCAAGATTCATATTCACTCCAAGCGATGTGTGGATTGGAGCATCTTTTGTTGGGATTGGATGAGACGCCAAACGACGAAACCATGTGGAGATCAACCTGAATTTCTTCACTCTATGTGTGCCAAGTCCTGTGGCGTCTGCCATGACAATTTTCCATTTTCGGCCATGGCGTATATACCGTCCTACTACGGTTTGTGGCACGAACCACTTTCCTATTGGCCTGAGTGGTCTCACGACGTGTTGCGGTTTGTCCGGGTCTTTGCCAAGGATGTCGACCATGTCTGGAGGTTTCGCAAGAATGCTGGATTCGCATTTTTTCTTGGCGGAATCGTATTGGGATATATAGTCGACAGTTTCTTGACTGCACTACAATCCCACTCGTCGTTTGTTGGAATACTGGCGCAAGCCCTACTCTGGCCGTTTGTAATTGTGGGTGTTCCCATGGCGGCTGTCTACAGTTTGATTATTGTTGATGATCGGCACCCCTTTGTGAAAGACATGGTCCATGTCATTGACTACCGTAAAAATGTGATGGCAGTTCTGATATTGATTGGTTTCCTACTTGCTTTCCCCATTTGTTGGATGGTGAAGCATGATGGCGATTCGAACAATAGAAAAGACAATGTCCAAGGCAAAACGAAAACTGAGTGACCGACGCTACAGCTATAGTGCCCATTCACAATGCAATAGATAGAACGCATAAAAGTAGATCATGACAAATCTTATAGCTTTTTTTTCAAAACGCTATTAGTAATAGTACCCCCACTGTACCCATTGATTGCTTCCGAGACAACCAAACTATTCGAAAATGGACTTGGCCTTGGCCATGTCCCTATCCAATTGTTTTTGCCTCCGTTTATTCCGTTCCTCCACCAATCCTTCCAATCCTCCCCATCGCGTCCGCGCCTTTTGCCTTACTTGACTTCTCAAGTAAAGCTTCATGGGCTTCCAAGATGCATGATGCGGATTGGGCTTCTCCTCCACTTGACATACGGCCAAGGTCCCTAACGGAAGGCAATAGGTCTTCATGGCCTCCGATTTGGTGACCCATTCCGATGCTCCCACTTCAAATTCTTCCAATTCTACATCTTCTTCTTCTTCCTGCTTCTTATTGGCTACTTCCAACTTTTGTTTCTTGTTGGCTGTAGCTTCCAAAGTCTCTCCTTTTAGAGAATTCAATGCTCGTTTCTTCTCGTCCGCTTCCTCCTTCTCCTTGGCCAATCGCTCCATACGCTCCTTCTTGAGTCGTAGCGCTCTTTCCCTATTCTTCCTAATTCGTTCTTTTTGTTCTTCTGTCAATGTCATGATGTGTGTCTGTGTGTGTATGTGTGTGTTTCTTCTGTTTTTTCTTCGTTTTTTTCTGTTGTTGTTGTAATGAGAGATTTTCTGATGACGCTGATAATTTTGCTTGGGTTTGTACAAAATGCATGCGCTCCCCCACCCCCTCACAATTACTACTACTTGGTGATCGGAGGTGGAGTAGGATTACTATTCGATGAGGATTCACTGCTGGTGCTTCCGCTCATGAACAAAAAGGCCAAATGCAAGGCACCAAAGTAAAGTCCTAGGGTACCAAAGTTCCAAAGTTGTTGACCCAAGACTGATCCACCTTCTCCACCAGCACCTCCTTGCGCTCCGTTTGGTTGCAATACAAACATAACAATCTATGTAACAATATAAACCTAAATGGATTGCGGGATATGTGCGGAAAAGGACGTGTTCGTGGTATAACGATATGCTCGGTCTACGGATGGGCCAAAATGAAACGGTTGGATGACGGATGGACGCTAAGGCCCATTCCAAATGACCAAAATTCGATGTATGAGATTCGATGTATTTTGTCTGCTCTTCAACCGTTTTATACGTCGAATCAAAAACCTATACATCGAATTAATTGCGGGCAAATTGCGAGGTAATTAATTTACTGTATTTTCGATGTATAGCCAATCAAAACTCAGAAACGCCCACAATCCGAATTCTTACTCATTTCCAGGATTTTCTCGGTTCTCGCATGATTTGACAATAATCATTCATGACCGTTCATCATTGAAACGCAGCAATGAACAATGATAGTGGAACCGGTCTCGATGGAAGACTGCTCCTGTTTTTGCTTATTTCTGTCTGCATCTTAGAAAGTGCGCAATCCCTGAGCAGGGAAAACAGGGGAAATCTTCTTCAGACTTATAATTCGGAACAACGTCTCATGAATAGATCCCGCCCAAGCGTTCCAAAGCGGAGGAGCTTAGGAAAAGAGACCTATTTGTGGCTGGCAACTCGGCCTACGGATTTGTGACATTTTTAATGACAGCTTATGACAAAGAAGAGATGAAAGATGATGCTCTTGATATGAAGGATGCTTCCAACTTTATCTCTCGTCATGTCGGATCTACGTCGAATGTGCCTTTGGAGAGTTGGTGATGAGATGGGGGATTTTATGGAGGACCCTTCACTTTCGCCAAGAAAAGTGCATGGAGATTATCTGAGTGTGTATGCCTCTTCACGACTTCATACTGGATTATCCGAAGTTCAGAATTTTGACTTTAAAATGGACCAACTGCAACAACACATCACACAAGCGACAGGAGAAATACCTCTGCCCACGGTCAGTGACAACAATTGGCCGAAACCCTCCGACCGGCGAATGGAAAAGCACTTGGCGAGGATATTCGTTTTACCTTGGCTTACAAGCTAGCGTCTGCTGGTATGAGTCGGCCAATGGTAACTGGCAAGCATAGTACCAACGAGCATGGTCCCGTTTATATGACAGAGTAGAAGCGTTGTTTAGCTAAAATCTAACCTAGACTATTACTTGACCTACTTTAACAAATTCCAAATACTAATCATCACCAAATAAACCATTCTGGTCCGCTTCATCCTTGGCTTTGCGACGACTACCGGTATGTACCGGTACCAAAAGCTTTGTAAGACTTCAAATGGCGCGAAAAGGATTGAAATCGGAGAATTTTACTTAATGGATTTGTCTAATACAATGAAAAATAAAGCGTCATTCCAATTGGATTTGAAAAAATTCGACGTATAAAATCCGTTGAAAACAGACGTTGTACGTCGATTCAAATACAAGGAAAATACGCGAAATTCGTCCATTTGGAATGGGCCTAAATCTCTTCATGATTCGATTCGATTCATGATTCATGGTAGCTAGCTAATGCCCTACTCTTGCCACTGTACCGTGAGAATCCCGATCCAACCTCAACATCAAAGTGCCACTGCTTGATGTTTTTTCATATTCTTGGACCCTCGTAATATTTTGTACAGAGGGTTTGGCTTGAAAAATCAGACATGACGTACCGTATGACAAACAAGGCTACTATGTCGGTTATTCCTCAGTAGTTGATCGGTTGAGTCGGTCAAAGCGGCATCATGGAAATAAACGAATGAGAAAAATAACACAATCCAAGAAATATAGTACTCGTATACTCGATCGTACTCCCAAACACCAAATCACTCACTGTTATTATACTCTCGGTATCCCATTTTAACATTATGTAACTCTCACACACAAAGAATTTTTTAAAGGCCATGATATTTCCTGCCGTTTTCTGCGAGCGGTCTTGCAGTTTCATCGGGTTCACTCCAAAACCTCAAAAGTAAGCCAAGCTGCATTTCTGAGAAAAAAAGTAACCGGTTGGGTCACTTTGCACAAATTACAAACCATTCGTTGCAGAATCAATCAACCAAGCAAGTAAGCAACATATCGGCTAGTACGATCCTCATTCGAAACGCTCGTCGACACAATCATGGGAAACAGATTGGACAAACCAAAGACGGACAAGGATACCGATATTGGCTTTGATGAGGAAGATGGGTTGGACTGGGCTGTTTCTTCCATGCAAGGTTGGCGGGTGACAATGGAAGATGCACATATCATTGCTACTTGTAAGGATAGCTGTGCTCTTTCGAATACTAACAATACTAGTAGCTGTGGCGTTGAAAAGTCGGATACCGCCATCCAAAGTGGTACTGATGATGACAAGTCATCCACGAATACAAAACAAGAGAGCATGCCTGGTATCAAACATCAGGACAGTTCTACTGATCCAAGCAAGAATGAGGGAGACCAAAGCAAGGGCCAAAGCGAAAAAAGAAATTGCGAAATGTTAGATCCAAAGGGAGGGGATGATGCCTTGAAACTTCCTCCACATCATTATTTCTTTTGCGTTTTCGACGGCCACGCTGGTGAGTTTGCAGCTCAATACGCTGGCAAGAACCTCTTGCCAGTTATACTGGAACAAGATGCGTTTCAAGAGTACGAACGAATCTGGAGGGAGCCCACGCTGTCTACTGGTGATGCTTCATCATCTTCTATGTCCGTCTCCAAGGAGCTTGGCAACAAGAAACTCAAAACGGAGTTGCATTCCAAAAATATGCAACAAGGCCAGAACAAACAAGTTGACTCGCATTCTCAGAACCACCCAAGCAACAAGAACAAGGTGGTGACCAATCAAAAGTTATTGCTTCAACGCGCCTTGGAAGACGCCTTTGTGGAATTGGACCTCATGCTCATGCAAGACATGGTCCGTCAAAATCTGATCATTCCACCACCACCACCACCACTGACCGGTACGGACTGTGAAAATTCTTTGCCTGTGGCCTCCAATAATGCTACCACGGGCGATGCTGATGGAACACCTGAAGCAATGGAAAAAGAAGACGATAATGCGAGCAATACTGCGGCCAAATCGCAAAAAGTAGGAGGTGGTCCTATTCCTGGAACGACTGCTGTGGCAGTGCTGGTGACGCCCGATTGGATTATGTGTGCCAATCTGGGGGACAGTCGCGCTAGTCTCTTGGTATCTTCTTCTAATGACGACACCGCCAGCAATAAAAAGAAGGGTAGCCCTTCCGGCGAAGAGGAGCAAGATCCTTGGACCATTGTAAAATTGAGCGAGGACCACAAACCGGACTTGCCAAAAGAGCAAGCCAGAATCGAAGCGGACAATGGATTTGTGAAGGCAGGCCGTGTCGGTGGAGAATTATCGGTTTCGAGAGCATTCGGGGACTTTGATTTGAAGGAATCCTATCCTCCGCAACTTTACGATTACGAATCATCATTTTCTATCACCAAACGACAGAATCAACGCCGAAACAGACGAATGCAAGCTAGATTGCAAGGGGACGTGAGCAGCAATGGAATTGATGAAAAATCAGATGGGGAGAAAGAAGACGATATGGACTGGGAACACCTACGGACAATTGCTCAGCAATTGAAAGTATCTCCCTTCCCCGAAGTCTTTGCACATCCCCGAGGCAAACCAAAATATGGTATCGAAGAAGGAGTAAATCATCCAAATGGTCGAGAGAAGGTTCTTCTTTTGGGATGTGATGGCATTTGGGATGTCATGACGAATGAGCGCTGTCATAACTTGGTTCAAGAACGTTTGGCTAAGAGGAAATCCCGTTTTTGGCTGTCACTTTGGCGGGCAGCCGAAGAGATCTTTGACATCTGCTTGGAGAAAGAGTCTGACGACAATATGACAATGATAGTTGTTCATTTTTCAGAAGTATTGATTGATGGTGGCAAAAACCAGACTACTGCATCTGACGGGGTGTCTCGCAAAGGCCAAGGCAGCGAAACTCTTCGGACTAAGACAAATGATGAGATTGTGAATCGTAGTGGCGAAACCCAGGTTGCGTCGAAAGGAGAATCATCAATTCCGTCATGATGAATCATTTTCCAAAGCACAAATAGTGGTGGTCCTTGTTTGCTCGGAGACTCCAATGGAGCAGTGATGAGACCCGTGTTGGGCACAATAACTTAGAGTGCGTTTCAAGTCGTATTTTTTTTTAAATGTAGGGAAGTATAATATTTTTTTATTTTAAAATAAGATATTAGGACTACAATATAATACATGCAAATGACGCCATCATGTAAAGAATCGGTCTGTATATATCCTCGAGACCGCAACAGAAGCAAGAAACCACGAAGAAAAATGTCATACAGTATGGTTTACCGATTTTTCTAGAAGTGGAATGATAAAAATAGCAAAAGAATTGTACAAGAATGCAACACCTGGGATTCCAACGTGGTCCCCCACCGTAGTACTAACCAGGCCCGAACATGGGAAGCGGTGCTGTCATGTTGGTATGGTCGTATCCGTTAGCTGAGAAAAATTTTTGATCTACAAACTGTTGTACAAACTCTGCTTGTTCACTATTTCTTCGGCGCTTCGACATTATCATTTCAACCACCACCATGAGAATCCAACCTCATCATCAAAGTGGCACTGCTTGATCAGCCTTTAAAGTCTTACATCCGTATTATTACGTCTAGTTGAAGAATCTGCAACTACCCCCAACTAGCTATCGTCATAACTATGGGAAACACATTGGACAAACCCAAGACGGAAAAGGATACCAGTGTTGGTGTCAGCTCGGAAGATGGGTTGTCTTGGGGTGTTTCTTCCATGCAAGGATGGCGACTAACTATGGAAGATGCACATATTATTGCATCTTGCCATGCCACTTGTGCTGCACATCCAAACAATAGTAAAAGCAGCTGTGATGCTCATACTGGCGAACAGTTGAATACGACCCACAATGGAAATCACAATAGCAAGAACACAAGACCAAGAGACTTGCGTAGTAAGAAAAGTCCGATCATTTCTACGGATCCAAATAATGAGGGAGGCCGAACCAATGGGCAAAACGAGCATCATGTGGATGAAATAAAAGAACCAACAAACGACGACGATGGGGATTTCAAACTTCCTCCACATCACTATTTCTTTTGCGTTCTCGACGGTCACGGGGGAGATTTTGCGGCTTACTACTGTGCCGACCATCTCTTGCCAATTTTACTGGAACAAGATTCGTTTCAAGAGTACGAAAGGATCTGGAGGGAGACGCTATCTACCAGTGCTGCGTCATCCTCATCCTCCAAGATGTTTAAAAACAAGAAGCGCAAAACGGAATGGCAGTCGAAGAATAATCAACATCAACAACAACAACAAGGCAAGAATAACAACGACTCACATCATCAGAACCACTCAAGCAAAAGCAAATGGAACAAGAAAAATGCAAACAAGGCATCGGCGAAAAAGAAGATTGCCATTCATCAAAAGTTGTTGCTGCAACGTGCCCTTGAAGATGCCTTTGTGGAATTGGACCTCATGCTCTTGCAAGAAATGGTCCTCCAGAAAATGGTGGTCATTCCAACTGATATGGATTATAAAAATTCTTTGACTGTGGCGGCCTATGGTACCAACATGGACGATGATGATTGGGGAACTTATGACACTATGGAAGAAGACAATGCCAGTAGTAGCAGCAGCTTGATGAAATCGCAAAATGCGCATGGTGATACGATTCCTGGAACGACGGCTGTGGCAGTACTGGTGACGCCCGATTGGATTCTCTGCGCCAATTTGGGGGACAGTCGTGCTAGTCTACTGTTATCATCGTCCAACCAAAAGGGTAACTCGATGATTCACGAGCAACAGAACTCCAACCCACAGCATACTAACAGTAAGAAGAAGAAGAAACGAAAAGAAAACAAGAAAAAGAATGGTGCGGTGGCAAAGAAAAATGACGACGGTGATTGCGGCCCACCGGAGCAAGCGTATTGGACCATTGTAGCATTGAGTGAGGACCACAAGCCAGATTTGCCAGAAGAACAAACTAGAATCGAGGCGGCCAATGGAAGTGTGACAATGGGAGGGCGTGTCGATGGAGAATTGGCGGTGTCGAGAGCATTCGGAGACTTTGGCTTCAAGGAAACCTATCCTCGCCACCTTTATAATTGCCAATCACCTTCATCCATCACGAAGCGACAGAATCGACGGAGAAAAAGACGAATGCAAGCTAGACTGCAAGGGGATGTGAGCAGCAATGGAATTGATGAAAAATCAGAGGGAGAGAAAGAAGAGGATCTTGATTGGGAGCGCCAACGGACAATGGCTCAGCAATTGAAAGTATCTCCCTTCCCCGAAGTTTTTGCATATCCACGAGGCGAACTGAAGCATGAAGAAGCAGATAGTCCAAATTGTCGAGAGAAAATTCTTCTATTGGGCTGTGACGGTATTTGGGATGTCATGACAAATGAACACTGTCACAAGTTGGTTCAAGAACTTTTGGCCGAGAGGGAAGCCAACATGGGGTTGGTAGCTGAAGAGATCTTGGACACATGCCTAAAAAAGGGGTCCAGAGATAATATGACAATGATGGTCGTCCATTTTTCAGATTTAGCGATTGATGCTGGTGGAAGCCAGACTACCTCATCTGGCGGGGGTGTCTTGAAAAGGCGAAAGCAACGAAACTCTGCGAACCAAGGCTAATGATGAATGTGAATCATAGCGTGATAACCTTGCTTGTATCTGAAGGAAAACGACTGTTGTGTTATGATGTCCATTCCAGACGATGTTGAAGATGTTCGATTCAGCAAAGCCCAACCAGCAAATGAATCAATTGAATGATCCTTTCACACTTTCTCCCATCGCCTTGCGTCATGGAAGGTCCCATGATGGTGTGTGGTGTTGGGAAGAACACTACATCCCTTACTTTGCTCGTCAGCTAGGATATGGAGGGCGAGTGGATGTGGAGATCCGCCAAAAATGTCAAGACTAGGCTTTTCTTTGATAATTACATAAAATCCTACTTACTATTTTTGAAAATTGGCTATTGCGTGATTGCCAACCACCAACAGCTAATTTTCGAATTCCGACACCTACAAATACAAAATAGTACTCGCATGGGTAGTACACGTACGGTATATGATATCATACACAGAGTTGACGTTGTTGGTCTTTTCTCTTTTAAAAAAATTGACATGGTCGCGTGAACTTACACACCAACATGTTGAATGTATGTACAATCGTAAATGTACGGTATTGTAAAACCCTGCAAATTGTTTTGATGCATATTTTCATGTTGTCGTGTTCGTGGCAAAAGAAATTTTCCGCGATGTAAAACTGAAAATATACAGCAAAACTACCAGAACGTGATATAAAATACGTGTATTGCCACAAAGGGCAAAAGAATACAACACCTGGGATTCCAACGTGGTCCCCCACCGTAGTACTAACCAGGCCCGAACATGCTTAACTTCGCTGAGCGGACGGGAAGCGGTGCTGTCATGTTGGTATGGTCGTATCCGTTGGCTGAGGAAAATGTTTAAACTACGAACTGTTGTACAAACTCTGCTTGTTCACTATTTCTTCGGCGCTTCGACATTATCATTTCAACCACCACCATGAGAATCCAATCTCATCATCAAAGCGGCACTGCTTGACCAGCCTTTAAAGTATTACATCCGTATCGGTTATCTAATACAATGAGCTTATATTACATTGGACAATACCGAAAGAAGGAAAACAGCCACCACCAAACGATTGTTACTATACATATTTTTTCTTTGTCTAAAGTTAAAGTCAACTACAGCATCGAAAAGTCAGTATCATTCGGATTGCATGAGATGTATTCTTCCTTGTTCTTTCGTATCATCCAGCATTCTTACAAATCCTCCATGAATTCAACTGGGTACCATCCCATAGATTCTGGCCTCCGCCCCTGTGCTGGTCGACGACACAAATGATAGGCTTCGTTCGGACCAACTTTAGCTTCGACAATCTCAACTACATCGCCTATACGAATGTTGGCCAGCATTTTGGTCCCATCCAACGATGGTTCGACGTGAGCAATCTTGCATTGAAATAGGGTTGGAAGACTATTGTCCCATTCTGGCTGGTTCATCTCGTTTGCTTCTTGTTGCATATCTACCAACATTTTCATTCGTTCCTTGGATTCTTGCTCTTGCTTGTATTGCAACACTTGATCCACGGCGACCAATCCGAGCAGTCCCCATCCCAAACGAATGAGCCAAGTGCCCAAGCGACTCTCAGTTCTGTTGGAAGAATCGGAAGATGAAGAAAAGAAGCGAGGTCGCGAGTCCAGAGACTTCGAAGTGCCCATTGTCCTTCGACTAGATAGCATTCTTGATTTGGCATGCGTGGAACAAAGTCGACGTTGCTGATGTGACGGTTGACAACCGCGATGCAGAACTCCACGAGACGCTGCCGTCTCTATTGTCGATTGGATTCTTGTGCGTGTACTAGAAACAGATCTCAGCATTTTCTTCGTTTCGCTCTTCTCGGAAAATAAATAGGATTTGGATAATGGTGCAAGATGAAAGCTTCTTGGGGGGAATAGGATGAATGTAAGGTGCCGTCTATAGATCTTGTGATGTATTTTACGCTCGTCCTCTTCTTTTCTATTGCTTGTTGTGAGTCAGAGCTCTCGTCTTGCCGCCGTTGCTCTTTTCTATTTGAGTCGAAGTGTTCCTAAATCGGAGGGACCTGCGGCCGAAAACCCCGCCAAAAAAGGATTGGACCCGTTAATTAAAAGTCGCAGTCACGGAAGCTCGCATATGTGCAAACGATGTCACTCAATCACTTCAGCTGTGACTGCTCCGAAAAAAGACTACAGTACACAGTACAAAGCATTTGATTGACAGTACCTCTGGACTCATATCACAGTGTGCATAGTTTGCGTGCAAGCTAACCTCAACTCAGTTTATTTGACAATAGAAAACATTCGGACATTATGAATTCAGAAGAAAACGAAGAAACGGGAGCAGAAAGTTCGACGCCCAGGAAAGCAGGGAGCTCGGCAAAGCGTGTGACCATGTCTGGTGTGGAAAGTGCAGATACTGCACCGAACACTCCCGACGACAAAGGACCAGCTGATGAGGTTTTCGTGCTGGAGAACGGTGGAGATGGTGACGAGGATGACGACAAACCACCATCCAAACTGCTTACCAAAATTGAAAAACTTGTGGACAAAGTGGAACGCCGACGAGATAATCGTATGGCAGTCTCATCTAAGGCCCGGAATCACTTTGTCGCTCTCTGTCTACAAAAGGTCAGCGAGCTGGGAGGAAACAGAAATAGTGGAATTCCACTTGCCGAATTGCGCAAAATGAGAGACACGCAAAAAGAAAATGGAGGACAAGTTGGTGAAATTTTTGAGTCCGCCGTAAATGTCATGGAAGAAGCGGAGGGCAGATTCTTCTACTATCGTAGTTTCAACGAGTATTACTTGGTAAGTTGTTTGGAGTTTCCTTGTATATACAGTTATCATGGAGACAGTATCACATCTGACAGATCGTCTTTTGCTTTTCATCTTTTTACAGACACTAGAGGAAAACTACTTTCGACGTAATCCGTCCATTGCAGCACTTGCTGGAGTCCTTGCGTACTATATTTGTAGTCTCGTTCTATTTTGCGGAATTTTGGGTAATAACAGTACTTGTCCATCAACAGACGGGCGTCCAATTTATGAGGGATGGTTGACAGCGATCTACTTTGCCAGTGTCACAATCTCAACTGTCGGATACGGAGATGTCAGTTTCGTTGGCTCTGGTACAGAGGTCTGGAGAGTCTTGATTGGGACTCTGTACATGATCGTTGCCATGGTTGTTGCCGTCACTGTATTTTCATCCCTTTCCAGCAAGGCTCTTGAGTTCACAGGAAGTGCTGTTGCCCCCCAATTGGAGCCTTTAATTGAAAAATTTATCTCCCTGGAGAAAAACGAATCATTGACTACTCAGCTGCGAAGGGTATGGCTTTTCAAGATCTTTGAGCTGTCTGTAACTTTTTTGTTGATCAATGTCTTTGGAATGTGTGTTGCAATGCTTGTCATGGGTACCACTAAAGATGGCGATGAGATTGATTGGTCCTGGATGACAGCATTTTACTGGGCGGTTCAAACCACGACAACAATTGGTACATTCCAACTCTTTCTATTTTTACAATCTCATGGGTAATGTCTCTCACATGTTGACGATGTCCTCTTTGAAAAATACTGTAGGTTACGGTGATTTGGACATGCCATTTGACTTGAGATGGTTCAACTTCTTGTTTGCTATTATTGGGACGACGTTTGCAGCTTCGATTCTGGGTTCGTTGGCCGAACTTGATAGTAAGTTGAAGAATATGCGTACACTTTACATCTGGCAGAACCGAGAAGTCAGTATGCAGCTAATTAACGACATGGAAGGCGACGGAGACAAACAACTGGACGAGTACGAATTCTTGATTGGATCATTACTTACGTTGGAATTGGTTCAACGAGAGGATGTCGAAAAAATCATGGACAAATTCCGCGACCTCGCGGGCATGGATCAAGTCATTGACACAAGAGATATTGAACAGCACCAGAGACAATTGTCAGCTCTGAGGATCTCAAAAGCCGATATTGAGAAATACAATGCCAAGAAGAGAGAAGAAATGGATTATTGGCAGGATGTCGATCATGCTGCTGACGAAAATGCGCAATAGACAAAGTGACACTGTCTGAGCAAGAAAAACCATACTACATTGTATTCCATAGTCCCATATATATAACATGTTCCATATTTGTGAAACCCATAGTTTTAGGTTACATAATAGCAGTAATTCACTCGGATGCCTGTCGCAGACCACATCCCCATTCTTGCAGAGTTTGCAGAACTGGAGTTGCTGATAGCGCAGATGTCAATTTACTTGATCCGGATGGGTGGAGTTCAGCGGCGAGCGCTGCAGCCCGCTTTTCGGCCACAGCTTGTTGAAGACAAGTGATGTACGTGTAAGCTTCAGCAATTTGGTCAGGATCGTAATTCTCTTCACGTAGTTGTGTATCCTGTTCCGCCATGACGGATTGGAAGGCATAATACCGAGCTCCCCTATCATAGTCGAATTCCTCTGGAGTTTTCAAACCTAGGTTGCAAAAGTCCTCGTCGTCTGAACATTCATCTGGATGTTCTATCATTCGTTCGACGGTGTTTCGAAGATCTTGTCTCAGATTGGAAAACTCTTCCTTTGTGTACCATTTTCCAGCTGTTGAGATGTAGGTAGTCGATACGTTTGGAGAGAAATTAACGCTCTTGACGCTAGAGGTGAGATCAGATGTGGTAGGGTACATAATGGATTGTACACAGTATGAAGATATGTGTGATTTTGTCTTGGATATAATACACATCACTGATCACGTTGGAAAGAGATCAGAATTTTTAAATTCCACCAAAGCGCGGTTAAGTATTCGATCTTGGGTTGTTCACGCCACATATAATTATCGCGTATGTCCGATATTTAACGGAATCAATCAATCAATCAAATCGAACCTCTGCTCCCAAAGAATAAAAAATCTTGGGGTGGCCCCGTTTCACGTCTCAGCATGTGCACGTCTCACAAAAAAGGAATGTTCATAAAAAAGAAAATAGGAGAAGACATCAGAACAAATGAATATCAATCAAGTCGAAGGAAGTATCGTGATTCCTCTCCAGAACGGCAAACACATTATCCTTCCACCTCAATTGCGGTATAAAGTAAACTACGGCGGTTGGCAAGTTGCAGATGGAAGAGAAAGAGCAAGCTTTTTCGATTGGGCTGGTAGTAATAACGAAAGATGTGTATACCGCATATCTGAAGAGTTTGACGATGACGTTCTTCAGCTATCCGTTAGACAGTGGGATCCTTACACCTGCCAAGGCAGAGTCTGGAATACCTTTCATTTTTCCTACGGCCCTTGTCAAGATGTCTTCTGGTCTCGATCGCCGGCCAATGTTCCCGATTCCGTTTGGAGAGACTGGGATAAACCCATGTCAACTACGTTCTCCGAGGAGCAAAGTCCCAACGATGCATTTTGCACTATTCTACAAGCCAACCTGAATTGGGTGGAAATTACGAAAATAGAAAATGAGATTGCATATGATATTCTGTACCAAAAGCTACTCCATCACCCCACGATTACCAAGATTGACATTCCAAGTGCAGAGTATCATCAAGAGACTGTTGTTGACTTTTGTTGCAATCTCATTGCCAACTCGGATACACTAGAAGCAATCTTTTTTCAAGACATTGGATCATTGGATGAACATTTGGTGCAGAAAATGTTCCAATCCCTCGAAACAAGTCTAACCTTGAAGAGCCTTGATCTTCGAACCTCTCGATACCTTGAAACATGGGGCAAATGCGGTCCAGGAACCCAGCGAAGCAAAAGCAAACCCGGGCTTCCCGTTGAGGCCATATTGGCAGCACTCGAGTGCTTTGACGAGGCTTCACAATGCTCGCTGCGAACCCTTGATTTTGGTGGTAATCCAATGGCACTATCCTCTTCCATATGTCCATTTGTAATGAAACTTCTATCACCAGGTCTTGGGCTGGAACGACTTTCTTTCCGTGGATGTGCTCTGACGGAAGCAGGCCTTCTTTCGGTTGCCAAGGAGCTCGATAACAATACTAGTTTGAAATTCTTGGATCTGTCGCACAATGTGATAAGCAAACCAGTCATGGAACAACTGACAAAGTCTCTGGCAAAGAATACGACTCTTCGAAGCCTAAAGTTGGAGCACTGCAGCATTGATTTAGATCTTGCCGAATGTCTGGCCAGCTCTCTCCCGGAGATACGAAGACTGCAGCATCTGTACATGGATGGCAACGAGTTCACATGGGATCCATTGACAGAAGCAAAAGAATCGATCGGAGCCATTGCAATTGTGAAAGCGCTGGAAATGAACAAGTCGCTACACTCTCTGAAAATGGGGGAACACGGAATGTTTGCACGCTGGGGCATGGCTTGTTGCACATCTCCACCCTACAGTACAACGCTGTGTAAAAGCAATTTGGAAGAGATGGATGCTTGCCTTGAAAGAAATAAAGAAGCATGGGAGGTAATGAAACAGAGCAGGTATCAGCGAGCGATCGTGAGCATTGCTAAGATACTTCTCAGCAAAATTGATAGCCGTAGTTTATAGAATGCATATATTTAAAAAAAAAGAAATCGTTGTACTTTTACTATTGGTCCAGAATTTCTACTTTCATTGTACTCGTATTGCATCCTTTCACCTGGTATCCCAGCAAAGAGGGAAACACAGGGCTTTGATATGGATGAAAATGGACCTTCTCTTTCAATACAAGAAGAGCCAAAATTCTCCCAAGACGATGAATCAGATACAACAAGATGGCAGTAGCGATGATGCCATTAGCTGTAGTGACGGCAGCAGGGGAAGCAGTGATAGTAGTAGTGACATGACTGACTGGTGATGACACAGAGAGGATTACTACGCCACGACACGCTGTTCCGTAGCCACAAAACTTCGCACAGTATCTTCCAGCGCTGGTCCGTCTATCCCATTAGTGAAGTCTTGCTCGAGGGCGCTGGCAAATATTGCCATAAGATTTCCATCGTTGGAGTTCAGCGTGGCTTTCGCTAGGGTAATACGAAATAGCTGTGAAACTCCCGTTTGTTCAAGCAAAAGCTCAGGCTTTTGCACGTCAATTTCTGTCTTTAATCGAAAGGTAAGTTCCTTTCCATCGTCCGAAATCTTCGCATCATATAGAGTCTTGGAAAGCTGGTTTTGGTTGTCTTTTTCTCGCTGAAAAACCAACAAGTTTGCCACAGCTTCGGGTTTGCCAATGGCATTCCAGGTGGACAAGTCTCCGGTGGCATCAATTCCATTCTCTTCGAGCAGGACCCGCACTGGGTATCGTTCTACAGCAATGACTTCGGCTTTGGCCATGTTCCCTGCTGTGAAGATACTGGATCCACGGCGTCCTTTGCCAGTCTTGGCATCCGGCAAATCGCCCTTTTGTGTTCGTCGCAAGGTGTAGAAACCCTTTGGCACTCGGAGAAAGAAAAGCCCTTGAGGATCAACAAAATCTTTCATTTCCAATTCTTCTGCGAAAACGGGCTCCAGCACTGTCGCAAAACCAGTTGCCAAGGAAGCTGTGGACGCAATCCATTGGCGCCGAGAAAAGGATTCGAGGCTTGTTGTGACTTGTTCCTTGCGCTGATTGTGGGCGCTCACAGGAAGCTGAAAGCATGAGACTGATTTCAATGCTAGGAAAGCTGAGAGGAATAATCGAAAGGACATCATTGTCGATCTGTATTTGCAATGAGTGTCACTGGTGTTTCAAAATACCTGGATGGATCTGATGAGCCGCAATATGCATACCGGTATGATGCGTTGATGACGTATGAGCCGACCAACTCGAACAAATGTGAAATTAAAACTAAACAATACCGATAATCTCATCAAAACAACTCTTGATCAAAATAATAAAACAGAAAGAAATACGGTACGAGGTATGATAGTACTGGTATAAACAATGAATCTATAATCACAAAATTAGCGAGCAAAGCCTATCTATGATCGGTCCTTAATCTGCTGTGCAAGATAAGCTCCAACGAAGAAAGTTGGCCACCAAAAGGCAAGGATTGGTACTGTGCCACTGGCAGCCAAGAACATGGCAGGGCCTGGACACAACCCAGCAACTCCCCAGCCAATTCCAAAGCACGCAGAACCAACTATCAGTTGAGAGTCGATATTCTTGTTGGTGGGAATCGAAAAGCCACTGGATCTGCGAGGGCATTCCATGGCGTAGCTGTTTTGGATTACTCCGTGCCCAGAAACAAATTGGTACGAGATCCAGCTGACAATGGACCCACCAGCCATGACCATAATGAGGGTTGGATCCCAAGTTCCCTTTTCAATTAGAAACAGGTTTAGGAAACCGATAATCTTGGAGGGCTTGACCATTCCACTCAAGGCAAGACCGGTTGAAAAGGTAACACCTGCCACGGCTGCAGGCTTCAGCTTGCTTACTCCGTCCATGATGTTCATGCGTTCGTTTCGGTTTGGCATCTTACTCTTGGGCTCGACTTCCAACGAGTCTCCCGATGTTTGGTAGCTGCTGCCTGCTGCAGGCAATACAGTCTCTTCGTCAATTGTTGTGCTTTTCTCTTCACTAGCTTTGATGACTAGATACGACTTTCGCAGGTTGTACAAGGCGTATCCTGAAGCCAAAACAATGGGAGCAACCACTCCTACCCCGATCCATCGGTTGAAAAGTTCGAAGGGTTTATCGGTACGCAAAAAGGAAGTGTACTTGGCAAAAACAGAGTTGTCGGGAGCTACCAAGTTTGCAGTGGCAACAGCAGATGCCATGAAGGTAGCCACTGCCGAAAAGGATCGCTTGCTCAGACGGGCCATACCACAGATACCGTGTCCAGTGGTACATCCGTTTCCCAATCGAGTACCGAAACCAACAAAGAAACCACCAACTAGATAGCCTGCCATGCTGATTATGGGTATGCTTGGATCATTGAAGTAACGTTCATCTGTTGTGAAGTGATCTGCCAAAATAGTATTGGAAACGACCATAAAAATGGAGATTAGAAACAGCTTCCAGGCGACACCAGGGTCAGTGAGCGCCTTTCGTGGATAGAGACCGGTGGAAGAGACGAGACCACTGGCTCCCAAAATTTCTCCACAAAAGAGAAGCAAGATGGCGGCAGAGCCTCCTGAAGTGATCGCATTTGAAGAAGAATTGTGTGAGGTCAAGAGTTAAGGAATAATCTTGCGAAATCAGCGTTCGGCGGCTTACCTATCAGGGCACCACCTAGGGCTCCGAACCCAGGAGTAAAGAAAGCAATAGCCATTGTTGTAGTGTTGTTTGGAATCCAAAGTTCCAGGATTCAAAGTTATGAACTCTTTCCAGTGTTTTGTGAGTCTGACTTTTCGGATGTTTTATGTATCAAAAGCCTGAAAACCCGGATGTCTACCATCTAGTTTGGCCTTTTTCCGAGCCAAATGACATAGATAGGCAAATTGTCCGATTGTTGAGTGCGTGATTGAGATTATTGTTCTGATCAGAATTTGCTCCCAGCCATCGCTTCGTCACAGAAAGGTCGTAGCGACGTCGCAATGCCAAGTTGCATCATTCTCAATTTCGATTTTCGATGACGGGCTTTGGATTTCGCATGTCTTCTCATAATCCAAACGACGTTTAGAAGTGCGTATTGGCACTCTCCATGTGTCTTACCAGTAAGGGAAACATAAACAAAACGTCTATGGTTTCCTGTTCTAGTGCATGTAAGGTGTTGAAAACTGCGAAAAAATGCCAAACATAGAGGACTCTTCATCGTCGATGGAGGACGAACACTTGATTGTGGAAGCATCCCCCCATCATGAGCAAGGTGGCAATAATAGTGCTCCCCTTGTTCTCCTGAGACGACAACAACAAGAGCAGCGGTGGAGATATCATCTTTCTAGATCTGGATCAGCGACGAGATTCCACAGAATTTTTATCCGTCCTCTCCTGGTGTTCTTGATTGGATTCTGGTATCTGCAACGAAGAAGCATTGTTGGTCGAAAGGATCAGCGTCATCAGCAACGACCAGAACTAGAAAAAGAATCAAGCTATTGGCGGAAACCTTCACTCTCGCCGTCATCATCATCATCATCATCGGCGTCCAATTTGGACTTTCACATTGGGAACGAACACTCCTTTGACTCAACATCATCATCTGAATCAATAAGTTCAAGCCACACAGTCTCCAACAGCAGTCCAGACTTATTGGTTTCTTCAAGCTCTCACATGAACAAACAAGCTTTTCATGAGCCATACTTTCCACTGTATGCCTCAGTATTGCAGGCTTCTTCCGAAGACTCTCCCGATGCGGATGATCCAGAAAGCTTTGGATGGGAACCCTCTCTGTATCCAAACCCAAGAGAAAACCCGCAACAGTGTGGAATTTCCTACTTGTTGCAGGATGAACATTTCATACATCCCAATGATACTGATAACACTTTACAACTGTGTGATCCTGATTGGGTATTGGGAGGAATCTATCTAGAGGAAATTGGCGCGGCCATGAACAACTTTGTAGAAACTTATTCGTCGTTGCCACTACCTGACACAGATAACATGGGGGATACGCCACCGCCAATCGACCGAGCCAAGAATGAATCACCAGTAAACGAGAGTCTTGCAAGTCCAAATCTTGAAGATACCTCCATAGGTGAAGCATCTGTTCCATTTGTGGAACTCGGTATTGCGACTGTTCGCAAGGTAGGTTTCTATTTGAAAGATTTCAGACATCCGCTGAGTCTTGTTGTTGTGTGCTAATTACATATTCCTAATGCATGACTAATCCTTTTTTATCTGAATATCATAACTAGATGGAAATATCTGCAGTACTCGAGCAAGATGTTTACTATTCGAGTGAGGACGAAGATGACATGGTATCCGATGCTGCCCAAGTATTTGCTCGGTATCTCCACGATCGCTGGTGGCAGGGAAATCCTAATGGGGAGTATGGAATTCTGATTTTCTTGTCTATTGAAGATCAAGTATGCTTCATCTCTACGGGGAATGCCATTGCAAAAGTCCTGCCGTGGTGGAGACTTGAACATACTGTTTCGATTATGAAGCCCGACTTGCGTCATCGAGATTTTGGACATGCGCTGCTGACAGCCATCCATGATTTGTCCGACATGCTAGCGGAGGGTCCACCCACCTTGGCGGATCGGTTTCATGATTTCATGACACGCTTCGGGATAGTCATTGCCTTTGCAGTCTTTACATTTTTCTTTGGAGCCTTGGGTGAGCTCCGGGATCGACGCAAACGGTGGGCACATACAGAATCCCGAAGCAAAATGTCGCAAGTCGAGCGGGAAAAGGCACGATTACTTCAACGAGAGTTCAAGACAAGATCATGTCCAATCTGTTTGGAGAACTTTGATGGTGGCACTGATAGCGAGGGGAATCTCTACCAGCTGTCGATCGATGATGAAAAGCACCGAGAAGAGGATGTTGACTCCGAAGATCGAGGCAGTTGCTGCCGCAGTTGCTGCACTCCAAAGTCAATAAAGGAAGCTAGAAGTCCAGACAAGGAGCAGGCACCCATCAACTCTGGGTTACGGCGAGTAGACAGCTACGGGATACCACTTTTGGGACCCGATCATCGCAATGTGAAAATGCTGCGATGTGGCCACATCTTTTGCGAGTCTTGTTGGAAGCAATGGGTGCATTCGGGACAGGGTAATCCATCCGTCTGTCCCGTCTGTCGTCAAGACGTTGGAAAATCCTCGAAACATCGGCGGCGTAGGCGACAACAACAGTTGCAGCACCAACAACAAGAAGAGGAAGAGGCACGAAGTCAGGAACAACAGTTAGAAGAGGCAGCGAATGCGGCCTCTCCGACACTACCGAATACGGATACGACGCCACTCATGAATAATGCTTCAACTCGTACGAGTGGTGGAACTTATGATTCCTTATCATCCTATCGGACATTATCGAGACTTGATGGAGCTGACGAAGAAACTGGCCATGGTGATTCTATCACGGTCAATACAAGAACAACCAATGATGGACAGGAGGACGAGAATGGAGAAGGGGATCAAGACGAGACACAATCCCTTTTGCGAAACGGTTCAAGACGGGCCCGACGAAACTGGTTCATGAGCTAACAAGTAAGAAGCCGCAGCCGTCCCGTCCACGAGCACAACAGTACATGTATAGTATGATAAGATTAGAGATTTGTTTGTAATTTAGATCATTCTATCAGAACGATGCTGACATTGGTACCAACACTTTCTTTTTCAAAATTTCCTAGGATTTACTAAATAAAACTGTTCACAGCTTTCTACAAGGAGGACTGACTGACTCTTGATCTTCAGCCCCTCGTCCCTTGCAACCTTCACAAAACATAGACTACATCCATATGTGCACCTCTATGTGTCAGGGTCAGTCATGAGGTGACTCACAGGCTGCTCATTCATTCATTCACTCACTCATTCATTTATTCATCAATCGGCTCCAACCAAGTAAATCCTTGGTGATCCGAAACACTCCAACCACCACCATCGTGTGGAATCCAAATCCCTCTGGTCGGTCCAGTGGATCTAACAATTTGACCATCCGTCAGCTGGTTGACAACGTTATCCGTGGCAGATGCGCTCGACGGCTCCAGGTGCACGTTCAAATTTCCTGTTTCTCGTGTGCGAACAATGTATCGTCTGCCCACACCGTCGTGAATTTTCATTCGACGATCCTTCAACTGTCCGTGCAAGTCAGTATCTTCCCAAAAGCCAGACATTGGCAAATCAAATGTGTATTTGGTAATGTCGTCTGTGTCGTCGCCGTTGTTGTTGTAGTTGTAATACTTGGGTTCTGAAAACAATCTGGTTGTAGAACTTCTTCGTTGAAGAACAAGAACAGTGCGTTGTTCTTGCTGTCGATTCAGCGATTGTGTATGAAAGGCAGACGAGACTCCAATGGAGATCAGGAAGCAGTGGACGTATAGGACGAAGCCAAAACGTGTCATTGTTGCATTCGTTTGGAAGGGGAAATAATCATACAAATGGGTTCACCGGAGATGTTTCGGATGTTGAAAGTAAACGAAAGAAAAGAAAAGAAACCGAAACTGTCTGTCTTCAATCAGCAATCAGCTTGCTTTAGAGATCAATCACAGTAAGAGTAACAACGCTATCGGTAATAGAAATAGATCTGCTGTACAGTATGTTTTAATGGCTGACTCCTCTGCCTGAGGCAAACGCTTCACGCCAGTTGTAGGTATATTTGTTGATTGCAGAATTCCGCAGATGGCATTTTTGTTTGGCGAGATGAGAATCAGAATTTCTCCCGCGCGTGACGCGTCATCCAGTGTGTTCGCGTTTCAAACTCAACGGATTAAAAAAAGCGAACATCACCACCCCACGAGAAAACATGAGAAAAATTCTGCAATCAAATGTCGATGTCAGAACTGTCAACATAAACAGGAGTCTATCATACATATAGCATAGACTCTGTAATCGAATATCGATGTCAGAAGTGTCAACAAAAACAGGAGTCTATCCTATATATTCGATACATCCATCCACTCGAAATGATTTGAACAGTTTGGCTTATTTACTTTTTTTTTAAAATGTGCTATCGACGCTTACTCAATCCTGTTGGTGAGGGACTCGAACTGGAATTGCTTGGATCTTCAAAGACAAGAAAGGGATTCTCACTTCCCCCCACTTTGGCGAGACGGTCTACATCCCTTTGTTGGTGCTGGTTGTAATTGGAAGTAGGAATGACTTTCTTGAATACTCGCTGCCTTGGTTGTCTTTGTTGTTGTTGTTGTTGCTGGTGGGGACGGTGTTCGGTAGCAGCCTTTGCACGATCCAAGGCTTGCTGCCGTCGAGAGGAGGATGATCTTGGTTTGTGGCTGCTCTCACCCATCATCATATCTTCCGAGAAGGATTCCGAAGAGAATCGTCGAGGAGCTTGTTGCCGGCGGGAGGACGATCTTGGTTTGTGGTTACTCTCACCCATCATCATATCTTCCGAGAAGGATTCCGAAGAAAATCGTCGAGCACTTTGACCAGGCACGGTTCTTCGTGAACGTGAATGGGAACGTGAGCGTGATCTGCTTCTCATTGACGCAGATGGAATTTCGTTTTCGGTTGGTGAGGATGAACTCTCGGGGCTACTCATCTCAGTAATCACTGGCATTCCATTTTGGTGCAAAGCTTTGGTGGGAGGGCGCAAATTGGAATTGGAGTCCACGGAGCTAGCCTCTTTCATGTTTTCGGCATTTCCTCCTCTTGCTAGATCTGTTGGAGGTGTCGAACTCCATGTCGCGTAGTTGCTTCCTTCTGGCGCATTCAAGACCCGTTCTGATATTGGAGTCCCCTTCTTTTTCTTTCGAAGTTTATTCATGGCTCGATTGGCAAACTTTGTGGCGGGCTTGATCGTCATGTATCGAAGAGCTGACTCTGACTTGGGTTTCTTTGATCCAGTGTCCCCAAGCGCTCTGGACGAGTTCTTCGAAACCATCTCGTAGAGGGATGTTGCCAAGAAGGGCCGTTGCTTGGTTTCCAAAGAAGATTTTTGCTTCGCGGCATCCTGCTGCTCCAAATTCTCAGAATACCAAGAACCGTCATCCGATGTTGCTACCGACGACGCAACTGCAACTGTATCAAAGTCTTCGCTCTTTTCCTCCAAGTCTCTGGTTTGCTGCTGTGAAATGTTATTGTTGAGTCTCCTGGAATGTAGTGATGAATCCTGTGATGCTGTGCCAACACTTTGTGTTGCCGACAAAGGAACTGCGTCGGCTGACACCTTGATTGCAACATTTTCAGAGCCAACAGTCTTGTTGAAAGCGTTCTGCGGTTTCGTATTGACTGGAGGGCCCGACTGTACTCGACGCGGTCGTGATTGTACCGATGAGTTGCTACTAGTAGTAGGAGCAATCATGTTTTGAAGCTCTTGTTGCACCGATGCGCCTTCAGTGGAAGTTCGACGGTTGGCGTTGTTTCGTCGAGGTTTTGGTTTTAGAATTGGTCTTGGTTTATCGCCCAACGCAGCCTTGACATATTCTCTGGTTGCTTTTCCGTAGAGAAGCGACTGGTAATACTTGTCCCCCTTGGTGATTCCAGCAGAAACTGAACTGGAAATATGGTCTTGCGCTTCATTTATCCACTTGGATCCAAGTCGATCGCACTCGTCAAAGTCCACAATATGCATATTTGCTTTTCGAATGGATGCAAGACATGCCATCTTGCGCCATAGAAACGCAAGATCTGGATTGTCCTTGCCAAATGCCAGCTCTTCAATTCGTGCTGCCTTCTGATATTCCATTGCGGCGGCTCTTCGATCCCCAAACCGTCGCAAAATGTCCCCCTCGACCTCATATCTGGCTGAAATTACTATATCTTTCCGAATTGCGTCAGTGTCATTGTCTGAGAGGCCCCTTTCCAAGAGAAAGCCCTTGAAATCTCCGGCAATTCGACCGCTGCATTTACCGTACAGAAAGTATTCGATCCGAAAACTGGCACGAAACATCACTGCCGCCCTTGGATGATGCATATGAAAGTATAGCTTTCCCATAGAAGCATAGGTTTGTGCCGTTTCATAGGTATACTTTCCCAGTGCCGATTCTCGTTTGACAAGAGCTAGAATCAGACTATCCAAGAATGGTTGGCACTTTCTTGGATCCTTTGCGTCGCTCATTGCTATCGATTCTCCATATTCCTGGTGCTCCTTTGCTTTTTCAATCAATACAAAGGAATCATCGTTATTGTCCTCTGCGTCCTGCATGGTGCAGTACCTGGAAGAGGCACCGTTATTTGTGGAAGTATCACATATATCAAATTCGATCAATCAAAAGCTAATCGGAAAACTCTCTGGTTTGTGAGGCATTTGTTTCAACCCCAGCAAAAAAGTAGCAAACGACATGGCTGATTAAATGGAAAAAGGGCCCAACCAAAGATTAGCTCAACATTTAGGAGGCACAGTCATTCACGCGAGTCTTGCGACGATTTCTGCCCGACCACTTCGAATAACGACTATACGTCATCAGTCCTTTTGAATTTATTGGTCGAGAGGATCATGATGATGGGATGCGTTCATCGTCATTATTTTCACAAACTAAAAATGACTTTTTGTGGATGATAAAATAGTACAATGGGATTATTGCAACGTGACGATTCGTCCAGCGAGGAAATAGGCGATCAGTCTCTACCAACTTTTGTATTGAAACTCACAATGGACCGGTGTAAATTCTTTCCTGCAAAGCCATTAGGTATTTTAGGAGGCAGTATCGATGAGACCGAGTCGGAGCTTCTGTCACCAGGAGAAAGGTGCTTGATTGATATCAAGAAGGGGGTTCCATCGATGATAGAGCGTTGGGCTAACGATGCGGGTAATAGTAAAGCCACTGGTTGGGTGAAGCTTGTGGTACCAGTCTCCATTACATGCAGGATTGTGGAAACTGACACCATCGAGAAGAGTCGAAATGTGGGAGCCAGTCTATTAAAAGGGACCGAATTGCTGGAGGTTTGCGAGCCTCCAACCTATGAATTGAAACTGCTTTTGGATCAGGTTAAGTTTTATCCGCCCAAGCTGGCAGTCATGGACGGAACCGTCATGGAGGCTGAGGAATCATTCAACCAAAAGAACAACCTTCTGAATACGGGGGAGAAATGCTGGGTCCATTTGCGTTCGCGGGTATTAGCTCTCATGGAAACCTTACAAGGCGCGATTGAAACCAATGGAGAGAAAAAGAATAGCGCTACCGGGTGGCTTCGGTTTGCCAAGAGTCTTCCTGTCACCTGTAGCATCATGGTCATTCCAGGTGTGACGGAACGCAATCGAAAAGGCGCTCTGATGCTAGAATGTCAGGAAATCATTGACATTCAGATGCCCAACAGTGGTAAACCTACTATCTTACGCATTTCAGAGCGCAGCTTTCAGAGCAACCAGGATCTTCCCACTCTTGCACCTCGTCCCGAACGGCAACGGGTTTTCGCAAAATGGCTAGTTGCCACATATGGTGTCGAGATGCTCTCGAAAGGATCGGGTGTCTTGGACGTTGCAGGTGGAAAAGGAGAACTCAGTCAAGCGCTGTTTGACTTGGGTGTCAAGAAATCCGTCATTCTAGATCCCAATCCTCGGTGTGAAGGCGAAGTCACTTATGAAATTATCAAGGAACCACTCGACGGAGACGGATCTAGACTCACTGATCGCACCGATAGGGTAGGTGATTTGGTTCGCTCCTGTTCCATGATCGCTGGGATGCACCCGGATCAAGCGACAGAGGCCATTGTTGACACAAGTATGAGACTCGGCGTACCGTTTGCGATCCTTCCATGTTGTGTCATGCCAAAGTTGTTCCCAAATAGGAGGCAAAAGCGCCATGGCGACCCAGTTCGATCTTACGGGACCTTTTGCCAGTATTTGCTTGACAAGGCGCCAATGGGGGTCGATTTCCGAGTGGACCATCTCTACTTTCAAGGACGCAACAAAGTCATCTATGTAACGGAAATGAACCCGCGCTGTCAGTTTATTGAAAAGAAACGAAAGCTGGAGGAGAACTTGGGTGCTACTTGAGAGTAAATGCAACTCATATTGGTCGGATGTATCACTCGGCTCATACCTGCAGAATGCATGAATGTATACATATCATGCTTCGAAGACAAGAATGTCAATGAAAAAGGTGTGTCACACGCCAGAACAAGTTCCTCGGAAGGTACAGATGGAGCGACAAGCCTAATGTATTCGGGAAGAAGCCTAGCACTTTTACCTACTGACGGTGCTAGCGGCAAGTCTAGTGCTGAGCATGTTTTTGCGAGGTAGAAACATATTCTTTTCTTATCCCAACTGCTATTGAATAGACACTCAAGAAAGAAAATACGCCTACCCACGTGAATGAGGAGAAACTAACAATTTTTTCCAACTAATCATGGAATTCATTTCACGGCATATTTTCTGCTATCGAGTATGAGACATATGACTCTCCCGATTTCAAGATTGAGTATAGTCTTACCAATAGCGATCTATAGAAATCGCATAGGATCGATGTATTGTATGGCATACTCACTGCTTGCTGTTCGAGGGCTAGAATACCATCATTCCAATATTGACGACGTATCCCCCGCTTCTCCGTTACTCCAAAGGATCATATCTTCGCAATATTTGATTTTGCAGCATCATCTCCGCACTCATTTTTATTTCACGATGCCAGTTTCAACAAGAGCATCGTTGACCTGGCTGAGCCGGAAGGCCATTGGCCATAATAAGCTTGTGTTTTGTCTTCGGCACAGCCAGTCCGGTTTCCGCTTTTCCTCCTCCGATAACCCCTTGACGCAAATTGAATCTGCGATTGATTCATTGAATGACTTTTCGGCGCGATTGTTGTCATTAAGTGAACTTGTGGACAAGAAGCATGTCTGGATCAACGAAACGACTGGTCTGGTCGAAAATACAGCCTTAACCTTACCACAAGTTGTCCTACACAGCAGAGATTCCAATCTAAAGGAGTTTCAAAAGGGATCCGAAGCAAGGGCACTCGTCATGGAAACTGCACTTGCAACGAACAGGGAACTGAGGAGTTTGGCTGTCGCATATGAGAGTCTGTCAAAGGACATGGAAGCTGGTAAGCGGTAGGATCGCTCGATTTTTTTTTGAAATGCGAAACTTGGAATCTCACTTGTTTTGATAATTCATTTGGCATGATGTCGTGATACCCTATCATAGCCACACAGATATGTCGAGAGACACCATGTGGCGGAGCCTCGTGGAAACTTGACTTGGAAGAACTGCAGAAAAATCCCACTAGAACAGTTTCGGAAACAACTGGTAATGAACATGTTTCTCTGGATGGGATGGACTCTCCCTGTGGTCAGTTGCAAAAGGCATCCATGGAATTTCTCAAAACGTCGCATACGACGAAACCTCAGGTGACCATGGCTTCTCGAGCGTTGTTGATCCTGCAGCTAGCAATGGATATGAACAAGCCACTTCGGCATGTCCGAGAACACGGAACCAAAGAAGACAATCAAAGGATACGGTATACCTTCGAGAGTCAAGTTGTCCCAACACTGTGGCTTAGAAGTGAGGAAGAATATCAGCAGCTACTGGAAATCGAAAAGGAACTCGGGAGCACGTCTAAAAGCAAATGAGATAAATGACGCCTCAATTCGAGTTTCTTGGGTTAACACTAATGCAAGCGTTGCAGATCGAAGGAGCTGCGCCCGACAGACTCCTATGGTGCCGACAGGGAGACAATCCTCCGTAATAAGGCTGCCTGCCCGCGCCGATGCTTAGATATTGTTGCTATCATCACAAGGAGAATCCTTCCGTATTCTTCAAGACCAACTGCACCCTGCTGAACAAATAATACTAAGAAAAGACCCCCCTTAAAATTATAGTCGCATTGTTACTTCTTTGCTTCATTTACTTTACTTCGAAACTCATTCGCTGTGGCCCCATGTATTGTCGTTTTATCTGAAGTGGCAACCATGTCCTTCCAATGGTCTTCATGAAACTTTCTAGTATTCTTCCCCACATAGCAGATACGATGCGAATCCGCTCGTCGCACGTCGGTCAACGGCTTGGGCGGGTTATCCAGCCACTCTTGAACGGCAACCTTCACTTTGGCAGGGTCTAATAGTGCCTCAATCTCCGCCAATTCTATTTTGCATTTGTCCCATTCTTCCAGCTTCTGTTGTTCTTGTGGTTGGAGTGGTGTGTCACTAGCCTGTGTTCGGTCCCAAATCGCCTGACATCTCTTGATCTGCGTCTGCAACTTGGACCGTATTTTCTTTTGCTTATTGGTCAATAATCGTTGCTGACAAAGTTTGGTATACCACTCTTCCCGAATTTCTGCCTTTTCTTCCTCTGTAATGCCACCTACTAGTGTTGGGTCCATGATGAACAGTTGGTGCAGAATCAAAGCCGTCGCTACGCTCAGATTCAACGAGTCTGCAAATCCTCGAAGCGGCAAATATACTCTCAAATCGGCTTGATCCAACATGTATTGAGAGCAACCCACCGCTTCCGTCCCCATGACCAACGCAATTTTTTCTGGCATGGCAGGACTTGTCATGGTGAGACACTCGGCCTCTTGGGACAAGTCGGTCACCCACAATTTGTATCCCTGTCTTCGCAACTCCGTGACACAGTCCTCGGCAGACGTAAAATCTCGAACATCCAACCACTCCGTCGCATTCCTGGCAAACAAATGGTGCTTTCTTCTGGCTTCAATTTCTTCTGGAGTTCTTAAATGTTGTTTCTGCGACTGCACTCTGTTTGTTGGCAGGCCTTCCCCATCGCCGACTTCTGGTGGATCGATCATGTAGACAATTTGGATGCCCAAAGCTTCCGCAGTTCGAAGAATGGCACTGTAGTTGTGATCATTTGTACACCTCTCGACCACTAGAACCAAACGAGTTGTACGCCACTGAATTACTGCTTCAGCTTTTCGTAGCATTCGGTGATCCAAGTCAGGTTTGTCCATGATTTCCTCCTGCTCATCGTTTGCTTCGTGGTTAGTCGAAGCTCCGACTTTTGGTGGTTTTGGATCAGCTTTCTTTTCTGCGACCTTTGGAGTGTGTTTTAATAACTCCGCCTGCTCATCCTTTGCGTCGTCAATCAATGCTTCGACTTTTGGAGTTTTTGGATCAGATTTCTTCTTTGTGACCTTTGAAGGTTGCTTTGCAGTATTTTCGAAAGTCTCATTTCCCAGCCATACCAACGCCAAAGCGCTGGCAGCCCCCAATGAAAAGGGAAGTAACCAAGAAGTGCTGGACGATGAGATCATTTCTCTATTTTTGTGATTATATTTTTTATACAGGTGAAATGTGATGTTAAACAGGTTCTGAGCTTGGGGAACTGAAATAGTCTCCAAGGTCCTGGAAAAGTTGAGTTTAGAGCAACTCCACAATACAATACTGTAGCAGAAACATAGTCTACATCCGAAATCGTAGGTCATAATATAGGTATTAACCAAAGGTTCTGGATTGATTGGTTAACACTTACTTAGCTACTTGCTTGATTCTAGTTCTTGTCTGATATTGCCGAGCTCTTCTTCGCTCACAAGCTCTTCGGGAGGAGCGATGCCCATTTCCTTCATGGCTTCTTCAATACCCTTCATTCGAATTTGCTCTTGGAGCTTTGAAGGTGGGCGTGCAGCTCTGATCTCACCGGGTCGGTCAACATACTCAATGACTGCCATGGGAGCATTGTCTCCAGCTCGTTTCTTGCTGAGTTTCATGATTCGCGTGTATCCTCCCTCCCGAAGCTGGTATCGTGGACCCAAGACATCGAATAGTTTGCTAACTGTCCAATCCCCTCGGACAATCTTTGCTGCTTGTCGTCGGCTGTGCAAATCTTGAGCCTTGGCCAAGGTCACCATTTTGTCCGCCAGGTGACGGACTTCCTTCGCCTTGGCAACAGTGGTAACAATTCGCTCATGTTCAATCAAGGAACTGACCATGTTTCGAAGCATACTCCATTTGTGAGCTGGCGTTCTATTGAGCTTTCGAAAGGCAATTCGTTTCTTCATGGTATTTTTTGTATTTTTGTAGGATTACCACTCTGATGGAATGCTAGATTGATTGATAGGATGGCTTTTTTCGTTTCCTTATTTGAAAAGGTACAATCGAAAGGGATCAATAGAATGCAACTAGTCTTTCTATCACTCTTTCTCCGATTCTTGTTGCAGCAGGATGATGATTATGTGATACGATCTGCGTGTGTTGTTGTTGCTGAGGTTGTTGATGTGCTACGACCGTCCATCGTCCGTTAAAACGTTTGGAAGGACCAAGAGTAAAGAAGGACAGACACTTTGTCTGTCTTAGGTCGTCTTGCTCGCCGTCAGTTGGTTGAGGAATCTAAAGCTAGCTATACAGTAGCACGATATTTGACGGCGTGTTGATAATGGAGCTCCACGTCTTCCCACAGCTGACAGGTGAAAATGCACATGAATGTGAATAGGTTTCGCTTTCTCAACATTACGCCTTCGAATATTTTATTGTAAATAATTCAAAAGTTAGCTTGACCATTCATTCAGCAAGGTACTACGTCCAAATGGGAGACCTGATTTCCCGCAACGCTTGGCTCGTTTTCTTTCTTGCTTCACGAAGAGTAAGAACGTAAAACTTGCCATTCCCTTGATCAAATTTGACGAATCTTCCCCCAGATTCCTGGATCTTTTGCACAATTTCCATGCTTAGATCCTTCTTGGAATCGTTGCAACTCATGACTCGGTACTTGTCCTTCATCTGTGCAATGAGTCGACGATAGTATTGATTCCCCGGATGACGATTCGATCTCCCTCCGCGACCACAAAGTACATCTAGCATATGGATCTTGTCAATGTATTCACGACGATGAGAGCTGCTCGCCTTTGCTTCTGGTTCTTCTTCTTCTTCCTGGTCTGCTTCCTGTGGACTAGTACTAGTACTAGTAGCAGTAGTACCACTAGACTTTGTTGTTGTTTCACCATCGTCGTCCCCCCCATTCGACTTGTTGTTCCTGTTGTAGCCGTAGCAGCAGGCTTTACTACTACTTCTGCTACCAGCAATACGTGCAGAAATGTCTGGTATCTTGCCATCCAAGATGGAAGGAGGCTTCTGATGTGGTATTCTTGATGATGGCAGAAGACCAGCACTGTGGAGGAGATGATGATGATTCTGATGATTCTGATCCTGATTCATCGCCGCCGTCGAACGAGTAATGATGGAAGCAGCAGCAGCAGGAGGAGGCTTATTTCTAGCAGTGTAGTAGGAGCGAGCAGGTGGGATAGGTAGGATAGAGTTCGAGAATGTGGCGGGAGGCCGTATCCTTTGAGGAGGTGCCACTGCTGGGTGAATGGACGAGGAAGCATGATGATTCATTGCTATTGTCGGCATCATTATGGTAGTTTGTGCTGCTTGAGTGCTGGCCACTGATGATGATGTGTGGGGAGCTTGTTGATTTTGAATTATTGCCGTTGCTGTTGTAGGCCACCATTGTTGTTGAAGGCCATTGTATGTTCTTATTCTTACTCCTAGCTCGGAATCAGCAGCACCTTGTATTGGTGCCATTATTTGAAGAGGAGTGAGGACTTCTTGGTTAGTAGGACAATGCTGCTGCTGCTGATGATGATGATGATGATGGTTATGAGCAGAACTTAAGTTGCGAAGCTGTTGAATGCCTAGCATATTGGATGCCCGAACGTATGCCTCGAGGTACTGTTGCGAAGAAGAAGATGATGATGACGATGTTGGCTGCTGCGGGTGATGATGCCTTGTATTTTTCTGATGATTCTTCATAATTGCATTCATCTCCTGCACATCACCTTTTGCTATATTATTCGTCCTCGCACCAGTCCTCGATGAAGACGATGATGATTCTCTCTTCCGTTCAACTCAAAATTGAGAAGGAGGCGTGTGATGTGTGAGATGTGTGTGTGAAGGATTCAGAGGTTGCGGACAGGTACCTAGCATTAATAGGCACCACTTGAGAGATTACCGGTGTTCATTTGCGATGATTGGGAATGGAGCCGGATTTATGGAAAACAAGGTACGAAAATTACGGCTCATTCTCTTCCATTGTGGAGATCATGGTGCCACGATCACCTGAATTAGGAACGCGGTACTCAGAAATCTGCTGTGTTCGTGGTGATCTCATACCCTATATATATCGTATGAAAAGATCTCATATCATTAAATGTTTTTTGATCAAACGGACAAAATGACACAGTACTATGGGATCGCTTCGGGACCGCTATACGTACCGGAGTACAGTTCCATTGGTACTAAATGATGAAATGGAACGTACCATTGATTGAAGGTATTTCGGCCTCTCGTATTATTTTGGGACCGCACCATCTTTTGCAAATCACCACGCCGTCATGATGCGCCAAAATTGTTGGAGGTGTACGACATATTTTAACGTGGCTTTTTCGTACCAGGAAAGACTGGATTGGTCGATGTAGTCGAACAGGCGCATGCTTCAAAATTGAAAATTGAATTGCATTGAATGAATGAGGATGGCGGAGGTTATCGAGCTGTCAGACGACTCCAGTGATGATGAATGTCGACAGGAACAGGTATCCACTGTTGGCGCAACAAATAAGGCTTCAAAACCAAGCCACCAGTCGCAAGTGATTTCACTGCTAGAAAGTAGTGACAATGAATCATCCGCAACATTGCCACCACAAAGAAACAACAAGAGTACTCGTGTTCAGTCCAAACGACCAGGTTCCTCCTTTTCAAAGACATACGCTTATCTGGATTATTCGGATGATTCAGATGATGATTCGTTGAGCCAATATCAAGCAAGCGGGCTTTCCTCCAAGGTTGATTGTGGTGGAGGAAGAAAGCGAAAACGAAATGATGATTCAACAGGTCAACAGGCTTTCGTCTCGCCACACGCAACAGCCACCATCAACAGGGTGACTCCCGTTCAGCCTTTGAACGACATCAATAACTCAAGAGTGATTACGCAGGACATGATGGATGAACCACCAATGTCGTCACCATCACCTGAGACTTTGAATGCCCACAATAATACAGTAGGTGATGGCGGCAGTGCATCCAATACTACTATGAATAATGCGAGCCATCCACAAACACCAATAGAGCCGAGGAGGATTATTGCCAATCCTTACACACAGAAGAAGAAAGCACCACCCCCTCTAGCAGCAGCAACACAAGGGTCAACAAGAACGGAACAAGTGGCAGTGGTACCAGCAAGAATAACTGTCAATCCATACTCGCGTAAATCACCTCCAACCACAACATCAGGGACAGCAGCATTGCTCGCACCAACAGCATCTCCTTCGTCACTTTCTTCTTCCAACGACCACATGTTTCCTTCCCAATTGACACGCCGGGGCAAGACCTATCCCGACCTTCGTGCCAAAATGGCCCTGTGTCTCTGGAGGTACGCGAGATCCTTGGCCCATTGCAGTTACAACCGCACCCGGTTTGCCCAGGCCATTCAAAAAGTGGTGGCCCTCAGTTGCTTGGCCGAATATCCCATTCGATCGCTTCAAGAATACATTCTCCGCTTTCAAGGCCAGTCGATTGAAGCCGTGTCGGTCATGAAACAAAAAGTAAAGGACTTGTTGGAGCAGTTGACCAAGGGAGGTTGGGAGACCGTGTCCACATCCACCAATGCCAGTGTCACTGGTCAGTACTACTCGATTGCAGAAGCCTGTCTAGTGGCATGCAAGAAACGACTGCAACCACGACTAATGGAACTGGAACAAGAACAAGCATCAGCAGATGGCGGCACCCACTCGTCGTCATTGGAGGAGCGCCTCAAACAAAAGGAACATTTTCTACCACTTTCCTTGCTCCTTGCCGACATTGACAAGCGCTTACGACCCGAGTGTCCCTCCAATATTGCTCGACCGCAAGATCAAGACAATGGTGTCAAGTTTTATGAGCAATCCTCAACGATATCGGCCGAATTTCATCAAATCAAACGGCTCTGCTCTCTCTCGCACATTAAATTTCACAAGAAAAAGGGAGACATTGTGGTGGAATTGCTCCCACTGGGGTATCACATTGCGACACGACTCATTTCGAGAGTGGTGGTGTATCCAGCACCCAATGGATGGTATCGCCGGAGTCATCATCATGACCACTATAATGCAAAGGCACCAGGAGCCCATCCAGCATCGTATTCAAATCCTCCTCCGTGCAGCTGGTCCAACCTGGTCTTGTGCATGGACTTTCGGGAAGGGGGTGGTGCCACTCGAGTATTGCATCAAATGTGCAACGATTTGGATTCGATTCAGCTACCCTACTTTGTGGCAAGCCTTTCCATTGGGGATTATGTCTTTTTTCACAAGGACAAGTTGTTGCCGGTATTGATTGAGCGGAAATCGATTGAAGATCTGGCGCAGAGTATCTATGATGGCCGTTGGCAGAGTCAAAAGAAACGAATGTAAGTGCAACTCCTCATCATCACAATGGCCCTTAATTTACATAATGGCTAGCTAGTTTAAAATTTGTGTGGATGCGTTCATTCATTCATTCTTTCATTTTCACTCATTTACTCTTGTCAATTTTCTTTCTTGTAGGTATCAAGGTCAGCACGTGTTTGGGTATGGAAACGCCATTTTGATTTATATTGTAGAAGGCAAACAGGAGCATCACCTAGTGACTGGAGGGTTCATTGGGAGCACTCGATTTAAGATATCACTCGAACGATTGAACGACGAGATTGAAAAGCTCAGTCACGATGGATTTGAGGTTCTACGAACGGCATCTCCCAGTAGCACCCTGCACGAACTATCCAAATGGGCCAAGACGATTGATCAGCAAGTTGAAACCGGAATTTTGAAACCCAAGTACACTTACGAAGAGTTCCGGGAAGAAGTGTCCAAGATTCCACCCAACACTGATTTTTCTCGGATTGCCAAGGATCACTATCGGCAACGCAAGGAGCGGGATATTGCACAAGAGACGATTGTGGTAGTTGACAGCAGTGACGACGACAATGATGACGATGCTGATGATGGGAATAAAAATGGGAGTGATTTGCCAACTCCACAGAATCATCATTCGTTGGCACAAAGCGTTGCTAGCAAGCCATTGCCTAGTATTGCGTCAGTTGTGAAAAGAAGCAGCAGCACCACCGCTATTGACATTGCCAAAGAAATCAAACAGCGAGCTACTACTGCCTTTCCAAAAGCGGAACATCCCGACTATTCCAAGTGGACGAGGGCGGCATTGGTAAAGGAATGCCTGCAAATTGGCTTGACCAAATCCGGATCTCGCCACGATCTGATTCAACGATTGCAAGGTCCAAGACCACCGACATTGTGGATCCAACGCAAGACTCAAGGGCATTGGGTACCTGCTCGACCAGACTCTTCTGGAACCGCCCTCATGGTGGCGCTTTGGTTGTTGCAACAAGAGCATCCGACCGAAACGGAAGGGTTCCGCAAAGCGGATATCTGCAAAAAGGCTGACAAGTTAAACATTAGTCGAGAGCCCTTTGTGGGTGGAAAAAAGTCCTTTGGTCAATTCTATGATGGATGGAGTTCGTGTACCTATTGCAGGAAGGATCCTTATCCTCTGGTTGAGAATAGAAAGTACCATAAGTTTCGTTTGACAAGAGAAGGGGCATTTGCTGGATTACCACTGGCCGAACAGCTCCACGAATGGTGCCATATTCACAATACCTGTAGCTGCAAGGATATGTAATGAGAGGATCTGAAAACAAGTTCCCGTTTTTGTAATGTTTTTTTAAAAATAAAGTATATACTAATATTTCCTAGGTCCTATTTATGACGATCGTTCCTTTGCCTTGATGGTTTCATCTGCCATGACAACCTTCTCGGAAGCCACCGCCATGATGGTATGATAAGATTCCAACATGGCATCTGTCCTGACTATGACTTGTTGCAATCTCCTGGACAAGTCGTCCATGGTCAATCGAACCTGATCCAAACGTTGTTCGTCACTGGGAGTAATTTGGTAGGAAGTCAAAATGGGTGCTTGGGTGACTTGATCTTCCCGGAGCCCCTTTCCTTTTTCAGTGTGTGGTTGCAACAAGTGCATAATCTTGCTCAATTCTTGCATATCCTTGTCAAGAGTAGCAGCGGAAGCCAACACTTCCTGTCTTCGATAAAGTAATGGCTGTTGTTGGTGCGTCAAGGCCATACCAGGATCGAGTTCCTTAAAGAGCGCTTGAGATTCGTTCCAAGTTTCACGAAAGGCAGCAGTGGTTTGTTGGTTGACAGCAGTTTGGACCTTATCCAATCGTTGAGCAATGTCGCTCTTGGTGACGGTGGGTAAACCAAATCCCAGTTTGGATTCCAAGTCCAACAGACGGGATTCCAACGTTTGTTCGGTAGGGGATGGCATTGTTGTGTCTTTTCGTATTGCGCTTGGTTGCTTACTGGAAGAATGGAATGACAATGGTAGTGAAAGCCAAGTATGACGATAGTATAGTCAAAATGAAATAACAATGATGTTGTGATTATTATTGCTCCAACAATAATATAACGGATGCTCTATTGCATATAATATGCTGCAGCGTAATATGCGCGTTCCGTTTGAAAACCAGTCGGACCAGTCAACAGTAATGACAAACGCGACTGCGATCATATAGAAAAGACGAGATGCGTTTGAAATCTTTTTTCGGTCCTGATGCGTCTCTCCATTCATGTTATACTCGTAGTCTATGTGCCAGACGCTCCGGAATCTGAACGATCCAACAATATTAATAGTATAATTGCAATACGTTGCAAACGTTGCCCCATTGTCCCACTGAGCACCCCAGGCAAACAAAAATGCAAGCAGATGAACTCATTACCTTCTACTATCGTGGTGAACAAGGCCAAGAACGTGCACCACAATATACGAAACGGCTCATTGTTGATGCTAGCGTGAAACGTTTACCCGACTTTTTCTGCAGGAGAACGAACACTTTTTTCCTGGAAGACATACAGCTGAACGAAGGACTGAGACAAATTGGACATGATGCTTTTGAAACTTGTTTATTCTCTAAGGTCACGATCCCCAGCACGACCACCATTATTGGGGCGAGAGCATTCAATGGCGTTCGGGTAAAACACATCTCTTTCACCGAACCATCATCATTGCAGAGAATCAGGAGCGCAGCATTTATTTACTGCCGTAATTTGGGAAGAATCACCACTCCATCGAGCTTGACGGTATTGGAAGAAAGCGTCTTTAGTTTTTGTGCATCATTGGTGGAGGTGGATCTTTCCTTGTCACACATGATCAACATTCCAAATTCTGCGTTTACAGGGAGCCGAAAGCTACGAGCAGTCCGCCTGCCTAATTCTGTGCAGTTGATTGCTACCTTTGCATTCAGCAACTGTCCTAATTTGGTCACGGTTGAAGTCGCGCCTACTAGTAGTCGCATCATGCTTGGAGAAAATTCCTTTCAAGGATGCGTAGCACTTGCGAATATCGGACTGCCAAAACGTGGTTGTTCTCATTCCGGAGAGCCTTTTGAAGGGTGCACCTCCCTGAAAAAGCACTACGGTGCCACGAGCCGTGAAATTATTAAGGGTATATTGCGCCGTTTCGATCGGCGTCCCGTCCACAAATTGTGCTATTACTCATCCACCACCACAGTCCAAGACCTACTACTCGACAGCACAGAATCGCACCACGACTCCAAAATGATAGACAAGTTCAAAATGACTCCATTTCACATCCTATGTCTTTCTGTCAAGCCCAGGCGAGATCTATTCCTTGCTCTTCTCGACAATACTAAGAATAAGTACCCACATTATGTGCTTGGTCGGAAAGATGCCAAACGGAGACGAGCCATGGACTACTTACTCTCCAATTGGACTCCTGAAGCCGCAGACTTGTTTCAAATAGCCATGCAACGCTGGGCGATCGATCCATTGCAACGTTGGGGTGCCCCTGACGAGTTGGTGCAAGACATGGAGGCCTGTGTGGAAGCAATAGTTAGTGGTAGTAATGGTACTACTACCAGCAAACGCCGATTCAAATTGTACAAAGCTGCAACCTCTGCATTCAAATTCTATGCATCTCATGAAAACATGACAGTGTTGGAGTTGAGCTTGTGGAAACAAAAGCTGCAGGAAATGATTGGTGCTGCTCCTCAAGAACGACGAGAGGACTGCCGTGTGCTGTGTCAAGCCGATTTGGTGCTTGCAAATGTAAGTACCTTCCTTGGACTAGTCCAGTCTTGAATTGGTTCGTAGAAACAGAACAAGCAGCCTGCACATACTATAGCCATAGAAGATTGATGAATAGTGTAGTACCGGTAGCCGGTAGGACTACTAGACAATCGATTTGATTTTAAATATGTACTGTGTTAGTTTTGAATGCAGTCGGGCCAGTCGACAATGCCACGACAAGAAGTGCGCGATGAAAATAAAAATGATGGTTTCCATTCAAGTCACTCATATTTACTTTCATCTACTTTCCTACATGTACTGTATTGCCAGTCAGTGATCACCACATACCATTTATATCTATATATATAGATAATACAACAAAGATACCACATACATGCACTTGGTGTAAGAACTTTAAGGCTGTCAGACTATAAGAATCAATCCTGCAACAACCATCATCCGACATTTGTTTGGTCGTGAATCAGTGATTGAGTCAGTTAGTCAGTTAGTCAGTTAGTCAGTTCGTCAAGTCTCTCTCTCTACACACACATGACAGTGTTACCGGGAAGGTCCAATAATGGAGGCACAAGTGCTTGGCAAGCCTTTATTTCCTTACTCAAAGGCTACGTGGGTCCAGGGTGTCTCTCACTGCCATGGGCCATTTCGCAACTGGGGATTCCGTTTGGTGCCATTAGTGTGTTTGTGGTCAGCTATTGGACGTCCATGAACATTTGGCACGTGGTGGAACTCAAGCGAATGTATCAAGAAGAATTGGAAGCATCAGCGGCAACTACTGCAAATAATGAACCTCATGGTCCTTCCGATGCCGCAGTGGACAGTAATGGTGATAGTACTACTAATACTACTACTACTACTACTACTACTTCGACTACACTACAACTACAGCAACAAGAGCAACAAGACCACAACGATCCCGAAACTACCCATGATGCCTTTGGCACACAACCGTCTTCGATCATTATTACCTACCCAGATGTTGGTCATTGGCTGTACGGCAAACGATTTGCCCAATTCTTGACGTCCATGATTTGCGTCCAGCAATTGGCGGTTTGTACCGTCTTTTTGAGTTTTATTGGTGAAAATTTGGGTGCTGCCTTGGAACAATTGTTAGGGGAAAAGCTGGATCATACTCTCGTCATTACCTTTGTTCTGCCCTGTGCTCTGCTCTTGACTACCTCTCTGTCGAATCTCAAGGTGTTGGCACCCGTCATGACGTTGGCGACGTTGGCATTGTTTGCAGGCTTTGCAGTATTGTTTGTCTTGGTATTCCAAGCGTGGCCTCAACGACCCCAGCCATATTTGACGGAAATTCAAGATTGGGGCAACCTTCCACTGGCAATCTGTGCCATTTTGTTTAGTTTTGAAGGGATTTGTCTCATCTTGCCAATTGAAACAAGCATGACTTATGGAAAAGAACAATTTGGATTGGTCTTTTGCAGTGCCATGGCCGCTTCCGCCCTTATTTTTGCTTCGGTGGCATCCTTTTGCGTCATGGCCTTTGGACGAGTGTCGTCAGGTAGTATTACAGCCTTTTTGGTGCAACAACAACAACAACAACAGCACGGAGAAGAAAAGGAGGAAAACCTGCAGATTCTAAACATGGCCAATCTATTGGTGAGCCTGGCGGTCTTGCTCACGTACCCACTCCAGCTCTTTCCATCCTACGAGTTGGTCGGTCCATCCGTGGCCAAATATTTCACCAAGGGGAGCAGGACAAGAACGTCCACAATAATAGACGATGAAACGGAAGAAAATGGATATGTCGCAGCCAATTCTGACGACGAAGGCGGGATCGATGCCTTGACAGACCGATTGTCCTCCAGCGTTGAACTATCACCTGCAGAAAGGCCGTTTTCGGACGAGGATGATGATATGGAACAAGCTGCAGTAGCAAGACGGAGCTCCGAAGAGATTCCAATTGCAGCCACGTTGAATTTACAGGATGCAACGACACATCCGGAGACGAGCTATTGGAACTACTATGGGACGTCCTATGGAGATACTCCGGCAGTTCGAATTGGACTGGTGTTCATCACGTACAGCTTTGCCATTGTGGTGCCAAACGTTCAGTTACTAGTAAGTTTGGCTGGAGCCGTGAGTGGGAGTGCAACTGGTCTATTGGTACCACCCCTGTTACAACTGGCTCATTGGAAAAAGAAAGAACAACAAGAACGACAACGACAGCTGGAAGAAGAGGAGGAGTCATCATCGACACCGCCACCGCCACCACAGCATGTTGCCTATGGATCTTGGTACTACCAACGACGACGGATGCAATGTTACATCTTGTTCATGATGGGATGCCTTGTCTTGGTGATAGGGACGGTATCAGCGCTGTGGGACATCATCAAGGTCTATCGAGGCGTTGGTTGATCCGAATGATTGCCAACAACGCGACAATAATCCCTCATTCAATGCTAATTGTTGTACGCAACATGTGGACAGGAAGAGGCATACATAATAGAGCCTACAGACGATAGAATCCAAACTAGTTTAATATCAACAAATTTTTGTCATTTGAGTTGCATCCTTTCGTCCTTCCAAATCGGAGGTCGAGCGATTCACCGTTCTGAAAAAGCATTCAAAACGACATAGAACTAAATGGTTCTTCGGGGAAGCGGCAGAAGCAAATGTTTTCAAACCGCATCAACCCCCCTGTTTTTGCCGCTTGCCTCCAGCTTCTAGTACCAGTCACCACCTCCCGTTCGTTTGTCGACAATGATTATATGAAATCCAAAATCGGTCAGGATGGGTCCTTGCAATTCTCCAATCTTTGTCTCTGGATCAAAAATGACCTTGTCAAATTCAGGCACCATTTTTCCAGGAGAAAAGCTTCCTAGGGATCCACCTTGGGAGGCCGAAGCGCATGTGGAAAAGTCTTTGGCACAATCGGCAAAGGTGGCTTCCCCAGTCGAGATCATCTTGATGACAACATTGGCTTCCGCTTTGGTGGGAACCAGAATGTGACGAGCAGAAGCCTTGATGGCTTCAGGGGGAGGGCCATATTCGTTGTTTTCGAAAGCCTTTGAAAAGGCGTCAAACAGTCCCATAGAAAGAGACGTCGTTGAACTGGAAATTATGACACTGTTATTGGTATCTTGTTCTTGCCTCCTGGTGGTGGTGGAAAGCAAATGAGCGGCGCGGGCATTTTGAAAGGCCTCCACAAAAGTCAATTGCAGCAGCAAAAGAAGCAGGAATGCGAGACTGATTCTCTTGAACATGTTTGTGATTGTGATAGAGATGACGATGACGATGCACAATAAACAACATGGCGGTGATGAATTGAAATGAATGACGCATTTCTCACATCTCGTGACTGACTCGTCATGGTGAGTCAGTACTGATCTAGTCGAGTGAATCAATCATCGTCATCATATATTATCAAAGAATAATAGATGAATAACCCATCTCGAAATCGTCGCATAAAATATAATACAGTAGAATCCAATCGATGACGATGACGCCAATCAGCTTTGTGGTCTTTCTATGCTTCGTTTACTTCTTGATGCCAGTGGAGTCATTCTCGTCATCAAGCATTTTGCATCATCGCTCATCCTTATCCCCCTCCTTTCGACAACATGATGGTCGGCTTCCGTTGGCCAAGACCCTACAGGACAATGATGATTCTTCATCATCGTCAACGACATCCTTTGCGTCTCCCATGGAGGCCGTTAAAAATTCATTTGGGTTTCAAACAAAGCAAGAAGAATTCCAAAAGGCACAAGCCGATGGCTTTGGCACACGCGCACGAAATGCGGCCATCAATGCGACAGTTGGTGATATCTTGGTACCGCTCTGCTCCAATTTGGAACAACGACAAAAACTAGCCAATCAAGGTGTCTATCCAGGAGTCGAATATGAAATATGCAGCCTTACTTTATTGGCATCATCTGACGATGATATGTCCTCCAGCAGTGGTGACAGCGGTGACAGCGTTGGAATGAATGGCAATGATGATTCTGCGACTGCCACCATGATGACAGCAAAATCCAAGGTCGTACAGACTCTACAGGGTCTCGACCGTGGCGCCAAACAAGGTGTCATTGCCACTGTCAAACCTGCCTATCCTTTGCGAGCGCATTTGGAACGAGACGATTGGCCAGTCTCCGTAGCATTGTTGAAGGATGTCCCACTGTGGTTGGCCAAGGCCACATATGAGGCAGGCACGGCTGTTGGAACTTTGGCGGTTTCTCTTTCAGGGTTGGTCATGGCATCGTTGGTGGCCTTTTGGATTCAATTGGTTGGAGTGCCAACACCATCCATGCTCCCAGCGTTGCAACCTGGGACAGTTGTGCTTGTAACACGGAGCCTGCCAATGTTAGGGAAGGCCTTTCAACCAAAAGTTGGAGATGTCGTCTTTTTCGATGCCCCATCCGAATTGGAGACTGCCATTTCTCAGCGCATGATAATGCCCGAAGAGTCATCCGCTGCTACAGCGAGCCAAGACGATGTCAATGACGACATGGCCAATCTCGTGCCTTCTGCCAGCAGCAGCAGCAACAACAACAAGGCCGACACTAGCACCAAAGGCAAGCAATTGCTCAAGCGCGTCGTGGCCGTTCCCAATGAAAAGGTAGGGGTCAGGCAGTCTTCGCCGTATGTTCAAGTCTCCGAGTCAACCTACCGTTTCGATGTGATTGGACGATATGCCCGCCCCGAAATCTTTCCTGCCGACTCTTGGAATCGTCCCCTCGAGACTTTAGGAAGGAAGGAATACTTTGTGGCTGGAGACAATGGATACCGATCTGTTGATTCTAGGGTCTGGGGCCCACTCCAACAAAAGTACATTATTGGAACGGCCCAATGGGTGGTATGGCCTTTGGACCATTTTGGACCCATCCCGCCTGGTCCCATTTCAGAAGTGACAAAGCCAAAATGAATTGAAAGAAGACAGATGCCTAGTACCAGGTACGCAAGAATGCCTTTATTGCCGATACGCAGACAAAATGCCGAGAACAAGTTTCACCCTGTTCAGATTGGGACTCCGAGTACATTGCCACAACCAAACCGCTAGCTGCTGGTGCATTCAATTGGGGCCAAAACAAGAATGATCGAGGCAATCTTTTCTGGGGAGCTTCTTTGAATGCATAGACTGACTCCACTTAACGATGAGAGTGAGAATGGAATCTTTGGTGCAGTCGTTGCCAGAATGTGAAGAGCAGGGGAAAGTATTATAAATTTTCTCTTCTATATAAAAACAAAACTTGGGTTTTGGATCGTTTCTAAAATCCATTACTGCGGAAATGAGTTAGACGCTCCCATATGTGGCACAGCAATAGGCACCAGCTGTTCCCTCAGTGCCACCCATGACCAATCCACGAGATCCACAACCACTTGGGTTGCTACCGCTACTCCACAGTCCCCTTTCGCCGCTTTCCAGCCAGCCATATGTACACCAATCTGCTCCAACAATTTGCTCCTTCGTACAGAGGCCCAATCCTTCTGTGGCACACGCAACTCTAGCTTCCTCCACTGAAGTGAAGTCTCGAGGCAAAAGTAGTGGTCGCCCACAGCACCACGCTCCGGCATTGGCATACGGATATATTAACCAATCCACATAACCTGGATCGACAGCACATCCTCCTCTAGGGTTGGTGATCCAATAACCTTTACCATCTGTCAACCAGCCTGCCGCACAGATGTCGCTATTTTCAATGGCAATCTTGGGACAAAGATCGAGTCCAAGCCTAGCACAGCCATCCACGGCAGCTTCCCGAGTGCTAAATTCATACCGTACGGCGTTTGCAGCGCCAAGGGACAGGTCGTAGCTGAACATGACATAGGTCGAAGAAGTGAATTGGTTTTCATAATATGTAGCACAGCAATAGGCACCAGCTGTTCCCTCAGTGCCACCGATAAGCAAACCACGAGATCCACAACCACTTGGGTTGCTACCGCTACTCCAAAGTCCCCATTCGCCGCTTTCCAGCCAGCCATATGCACACCAATCTGCTCCAACAATTTGCTCCTTCGTACAGAGGCCCAATCCTTCTGTGGCACACGCAGCTCTAGCCTCCTCCACTGAGGTGTAGATATACGCGAAGTCTCGAGGCAAAAGTAATGGTCGTCCACAGCACCACGCTCCGGCAATTATCCTAATAGAAGATTGTGACCAATCCACATAGCCTGGACTAGGAGCGCAATCTATTCTAGGGTTGGTGATCCAATAACCTTTACCATCTGTCAACCAACCTCCCGCGCAGACGTCGCTATTTTCAATGGCAATCTTGGGACAAAGATCGAGTCCAAGCCTAGCACAGCCATCCACGGCAGCTTGCCGAGTGCCAAATTCATACCGCTCGGCGTTTGAAGCGCCACGGGACAGGTCGTAGCTGAACATGGCATAGGTCGAAGAAGTGAATTGATTTCCATGAGCTCCGAAAGATGGATTGGAACTTGGTGCCAATGTCGGACTTCTCGTAGGCATTCCGGTCGGCTGAGGTGTCGATGGACTTGGGGTTGGCGGAGATGTGGATGGACTTTGGGACGGCATTCCTGTTGGCATATCGGAAGGGGTTGCGGTGGGTGTTTCGGACGGCCTTTGACTTTGCGCCTCTGTCGGAACTGGAGTGGGTGGTGGTGTTGGAATTGGCGTTGGATCGGTGACAGGAGCAAATGTAGGCCCAGAAGACGGCAGGAGGGAAGGTTCTGGGGTTGCTAGTACAATCGGTGCAACTGTCGGCAATCCAGTTGGTTCCTCAGTGGTGGGAAAGGTCACTGGGGCAGTGGTTGGGTCTGTTGATGGAGATTCCGTCAGAAACAAGGTCGGGTTCTCGCTGGATACTGCTGTAGGAGTCGAGCTTGGAGCCAATGAAATGATTCCAGAGGCGACTGTCACGATAAATATCTCCACAAAAGGTTGTTGCAATGACAGGTTGCTCACCAGCAACGCTTCCGGTCCCAGCACCTGGACGATCAAACTGATCAAATCAAAGGGTCGCTCGGAACCCCGCACATAAAGATCCAAACTGGCCGAAACGTGGAGACACTTCGGCTCGATGCTTCTGGTGCATGGTGTGTCTGGTCTGGCCTGGACCATGACTTTCCCATTTGCCACCGTGTAGGGCGAAGACACTAATTGGCGTCCTCTTACACGTCGAGTATCGAGAAAGCAGCCAATGAGCTCGGGCATGAACAGTGCTTGGATTCTTTCTTGTAGTTCAACACGTACAATCTCATCGTCAAGAGAAGTGGACAAGACGACATCCATTGGAACTGTGAAAGTCTGCAAATTGAGGTCCTCTTGACCAACCAAATCATCTCCTCTCGACACTGCAGCGCAGTCTGCTGGAGACGGAGGGTCATATACCACGGTTTCTGTAGGTGAAGTGGACGGAAATACCGATGGAAGAAAAGAGGGAGATGTCGTTGGTGTCTTTGTCGCTTCCGTAATTGATTTTTCTGTGCCGATGGTATTGTTGGTCTCGTTGGCAGGAACTGGAGTCTCAGAATCCGATTGCGTCGCAAAGAAGATGCCCACTCCGGCAGCCGCAAGAATGAGCAAAACCACAATCCAGAATCCACCTTTGCAATAGAATGGTGTTTTTGGTGGTGGACTACTGGTGGGTGGTTCCTGTTGCTGTTGATGTTCTTGTCCTGGTGTTGGTGTTGGAACCCAAGGTTTCACGGCTCTCTGTTCATCGACTGCAGTAGCAACGATGGTATCGTCACCTTCCACAAGGCTACCTGCAATTGTAGTCGTTTCTGGTTCCGGTCTGAGCGAAGTCTGTGCTTCTTCTGGTTTCAAATCCTCCATGTTGTCCAATTTCGCTCGGATTTTGCTGGACGGTGATGTTGGAGAATTTGGAACAGCGCCAGATTTCTTGCGGTTTGATCCACTCGCTTTGGATCGTCTTGGACGGTCACTCTCATCGCCGTTGTATTCTTGGACGGCACCTGGGGCAGCAGCCTGTTTGTTAGGCTTTCCACGATGTTTTGACTTGCGGTCTCGGTCTCTTGCTGACCGTGACAGTGAATCTTTGGATTCATCTACGGACTTGCCCGAACGAGCTTTTCTCTTGGCATCTCGATCTGTCTGCTCGCGAGATTTGGAGGCGTTGGACGAGGAGTTGTCCGGCCGACGAGCTCTACGTTTAGCCTCACGATCAGCTCCATCTCTGGACTTTGTTCGTTTGTCTGCTTCGCCTTTTCGACGCGACGCTTCTCGCCTTTTCCTCTCTTCTCTTTTTTCATCAACGTCTTGCATGTTTTTCAGCTTGTCTTTGATTTACTGTAAGCGTTGTGTATAATATGATCTCTTTTATATTAATTCTGCTGAGGAAGTTTGAAAGTGCTTGGTGTTGTTGCCGCGTTTAAATTACTTGGCTAAATTACTTGGCTACTGGTACTACCGGTACGTTTTCTCACCCGACCTGGCACCTGGTACAAACGTTTTTTCTTTTTTGACTGGCTTCATCAAGAATGACTTGTTTTCCAATTCAAAAAAATGACGATAAGAACCACCACTACGTACAATTTTACGTGGTGAATTTCTTTTTTTCCTGAAAAAAAATGACCGTAATTTTTTTTATAGAAAAGTGGATGATGGATGACGATTGACTCTAACGCGCAGCATTCGAGCATCATGGCCACCGCCTGTCAACTGGAACCTGGATGGAACACGAGCGATTGGCCAAAGCGACATTTTGCAGATCTGGGACTCCCAGACACAGGAGCATTGGAGCAGTCTTTGGTGGAATGTGAAGAAGAAGTGAATTGATTTCCATAGTCTCCGAAAGATGGACTGGAGCTTGCTGCCGATGTCGGACTTTTTGTTGGCATTCTTGTTGGCTGAGGTGTCGATGGACTTTGGGACGGCATTCAGAAAGGGATGTTGTGGGAGCCTTTGATGGGCTTGGCGTTGGTGCTGCTATCGGACCAAGTGGGTGGTGGTGGTGGTGGAAGTGCCTGGGGTTGGATCGGTGACAGGAGCAAATGTAGGCACAGAAGTCGGCGGGAGACAAGGTTCTGGAGTTGCTTCAACGATTGGTGCAACTGTCGGTGATCTACTTGGAGCCTGAGTGTCTGGAACAGCCACTGGGGCAATAGTCGGGTCTGTGGAAGGAGATTCCGTGGGAAACAAGGTCGGATTCTCGCTGAACATCGCCGTAGGAGTCGAGCTTGTCGCCAACGTAATGGTTCCAGAGGCGGCCGCCACGATAAATATCTGCACAAAAGGCGGTTGCAATGTCAACTTATTGTTCACCAGCAGAGCTTCCGGTCCCAGCACCTGGACGATCAGACTGATTAAATCAAGGGGCTCTCAGAACCCCGCACATAAAGATCAAAGTTGACCGAAACGTGGAGACAGTTGTGCTCGGGACTTTTGATGCATGGTGTGTCTGGTCTGGCCTTGACCGCTACTTTCCCGTTTGCTGTTGTGTAGGGCGAAAACATGAGCTCGGGCATGAACAATGCTTGGATTCTTTCTTATAGTCCAACACGCACAATCTCATCGTCAAGAGAAGTGGACAAGGCGACATCCATTGTTGGCACTGTGAAAACCTGTCGATCGAGGTCTTCTTGACCAACCAAATCATCTCCTCTCGACACTGCAGCGCAGTCTGCTGGAGACGAAGGGTCAAATGCCAAGGAGGTCTCCGTTGGTAAAGTGGACGGGAACACCGATGGAAGAAAAGAAGGAGGTGTCGTTGGTGTCTTTGTCGCTTCCGTAATTGGCTCTATACTGTGCCGATGGTATTGTTCGTCTCGTTGGCAGGAAATGTAGTCTTAAAATCCAATTGCGTCAAAAAGAAGACGCCCGCGCCGGCAGCTGCAAGAATGAGCAGAACCATCACAATTCAGAATCACCTTTGGAATAGAATGGTGTTTTTGGTGGACTACTGGTGGGCTTCTTTTCCTGTTCTTTTCGTGGTGTTGGTGTTGGAACCCAAGGTTTCACCGCGCTCTATTCATCGACTGCAGTAGCAACCATGTCATCGTCACCTTCCACAAGGCTACCTGCAAGAGCATTTGTTTCCGGTTCCAGTTTGGCTCTTCGAAGACCGGCTCTGCGTTTGGCATTACGATCCATTTTCTCACGAGACGTGGCAATTTGAAGTTAATAAGAAGCAGCTGAAGCATTGGAAGAGGAGTTGTCTGGCCGGAAATAGATAGACAGAATGCTCATATTAAAATATATAGGGCGGTACGATTACAGTAGGTACTGTATTTTTTATCAACGTGATGTAACGATTTGCCCTACAGTACATGACAATGCTTCTAAGACTCCTGACGGAATTGAAGTGCTCCTCTGTCCATTCTTTCTGTGTTCGGTGGTAATACACTCTGCCTGGGAAAGACTCTACTGATTGGAAGCGCAGCAATAGGCACCTGCTGGATCATAGGTGTCACCCACGTTCAAACCGAGAGATCCACAACCACTCGGGTAGGTACCATCATTGTACAGTCCCCAAAGTGTGTCTAGCCAGCCAAATGCACAGGTACTTCCTCCGACAATTTGCTGAACTGTACAGAGGACCAATCCTTTTTCTGCACAAGCAGCTCTAGCCTCTTCCCGTGTATCGTAAATGTACGTGTAGTTTCGAGGCAAGTACAAAGGTCGCCCGCAGCAGTACGCTCCGGCAAACTCGCGGTTCCACTCCACATAGCCGGGACTGTTGCGACATCCTGGTCTAGGGTTGGAGATCCAATATCCTACGGAATCCGTCATCCACCCAGCCGCGCACAAATCGCCATTTTCGATGGCGATCTTTGGGCAAAGATCGAGTCCAATCGCGGCACAGCCTGCTGCGGCAGCTTCGCGGGTGCCAAAGACATAGGAGGGACCAGCGGGTAAGTTTGGGTGGTACATAACATAAGTCGAAGAAGTGAATTGGTTTCCAAACGGTTCGTTGACGGAAGGATTGGAACTGGGTGCCAAAGTAGGACTATTTGATGCCACCTCTGTGGGTTCATGGGTCGGCCCAAAGGTTGGCGGAGTTGTAGATGGAGCTGCAGATTCAGCAACAGATGGACTTGAGGATGGCATTCCTGATTGCGCAATGGAAGGTGATACAGAGGACGTCTTGGATGGGCTTAGTGTTGGCCCTTTTGTCGGGGCAAAAGTGGGTGTTGGTGTTGGAAGTGGCGTTGCGTCTACAACCGGAGCAAATGTTGGACTGGAAGTCGTGGGCACAGGAGTCGGTAGAATAGTTGGTTCTGGAGTTGATAGTACAGTTGGTGCAACTGTCGGCGATCCAGTTGGTTCCTCAGTGGTTGGAAAGGTCACTGGGGCAGTAGTTGGGTCTGTGGACGGAGATTCCGTGGGAAACAAGGTCGGATTCTCGCTGGACACTACCGTAGGCGTCGAGCTTGGCGACAATGTAATGGTTCCAGAGGCGACCATCACGATAAATATCTGCAAAAAAGGCGGTTGCAATGACAACTTGTTCACCAGCAAAGCTTCCGGTCCCAGCACCTGGACGATCAAACTGATCAAATCAAAGGGTCTCTCTGACCCCCGTACGTACATGTCGAGTTTTACCGATACATTGAGACAGTTCGGCTCGGTGCTCCTGGTGCAGGGTGTGTCTGGTCTGGCCTGTACCAAAACTTTGCCATTTGCAACTGTGTAAGGGGAAGACACTAGTTGGCGTCCTCGTACACGACGAGTGTCAAAAAAGCAGCCAATCAGGTTGGGCATGAGCATTTCTTGGATTCTTTCTTGGAGTTCAACACGCACAATCTCGGAGTCCACTGGACCGGACAGCACGACATCCATTGGAATATTGAAAGTCTGCAAGTTGAAGTCCTCTTGACCAACCAAGTCATCTCCATTCGACACCGCAACACAGTCTTCTTCAGACGGAGGTTCGTATATCAAGGTTTCCGTTGGAGTACTAGACGGAAACGCGGATGGAAAAAAAGAAGGAGATGTTGTTGGTCTCTCCGTTTCTTCCGGGACTGGCCGTGCTGCTTCACCGTTGGCAGGTAACGCAGTCTCATTATTCGACTGTGTCGCAAAGAAGATTCCCACTCCGGCACCTGCAAGTATGAACAGAACTGCGATCCAGAATGCACCCTTGCCATAGAACGATTTGCGTGGTGGACTGGTGATGACGGGTGCTGGTGGTGTTGTCAGTGTTGTCGGTATTATTGTCGGTGTTTCCTTAGCTTGAACTACCCCATCTTCATCGACTGCTGTAGCAATGACAGCATCGTCGCCTTCTACGAGGCTACCTGCAACAGCAGTCGTTTCAGGTTCCGGCTTGAGCGAAATCTCTGGTTCTTTTGGTGGTTTCGAGTCAGCTTCCATTTTCTCTCCCATTCTTCTTGACGCCGACGAAGATGATGAAACCGCTCCAGCTTTTGTGTGCCTCGACGGCAAGCATAATGGACCCGCTCCAGCAGATGATTGAGCCGCTCCAGCTTTTGTGTGCCTCGACGGCAAGCATAATGGACCCGCTCCAGCAGATGATTGAACCACTCCAGCTTTTGTGTGCCTCGACGGCGAGCATAATGGACTCGCTCCAGCAGATGATGGAACCGCTCCAGTGTTTGTGTGCGTCGACGTCGAACTTTCCTTGTTTCGTCTGCAGCGGTCGTCTTCGTCGTCGTTATATTCTTGGACGACACCGGGGGCAGATGCTTTTGTGTTTGGCCGTACACGATGTTTGGCCTTGCTGTCTCGGTCTCTTGCTGATTTTGACAGCGAATCATTAGAATCTGCTGCCGATCGGCTCCTCGAAGATTTGGCTCTATGTTTGGCATCTCGGTCCATCTGCTCGCGAGATTTGGAAGGAGATTTAGAAGCAGTGGCCGAGGGCTTGTGAGCTCTACTTTTGGCCTCACGACCAGCCTCATCTAGAGAGGAGGATTTCGTTTCTTTTTTTGCTTCGACAATGCCACGAGACGCCTCTTGCCCTTTTCTCCCTTGATCAGCCTCGTTTCGATTAGAGGAACGGCGACGACTCGGCTTTGCCTCATTTCGATTAGAGGAACGGCGACGACTCGGCTTTGTCTCATTTCGATTAGAGGAACGGCGACGACTCGGCTTTCTTTGTTTGCCTCCTGCACTGTGATGAGAACTGTCTTCTCCATTTCTCTCTTGTTTGGTTTCATCAGCGTCTTGCATATTTTTCAGGTCACTGTTAGCTCTGTGTACGGTACTATTAATTACAGCTTTACTGGTACCGGTATGCATGATCAAATCCAAAATGTATCGAGTGACGAGTGCCTCTGGCCGAAAAATTGTCCATGCGTGCTTGGTTGTGACGATAGGTTCGACTCTCTTTTCTCTAAGCAGTCTTTCAATTTTGAAGAATGAATGTTTGTTATCGTATTATACATGTTGACGACAATTCGTTTTCAGAATTTTGTATTCATCATAAATAAAGCCATTTGGCTTTAGAAGTGTTTAATTAACGAATGAATTTTCTTTAAGTGCTATAGTTTCTAAAATCCACTGCAGCAACCGTAACCACCCTTCACAGACGAGTGAGTCAATCAGTCAGAGAAAATTATGGATCATAGATGTCTCTGTGGAAAGACACTTTCAACTTGAGAGCGCTTACATGCGTGGACCGTGGACCTAATGACTAAGGTCTAGTTCTGTACCAGGTACCCAAACGAAGGAGCTTCTAGAGTCTCAATACCCTGGGTCTGTTCAATGGGCCATTTCACCCGCGTTTGGTTTTTTTGCACCCGCTTGACATCTGATGGTTGAAGTATACGAGTATACACCAGTATCATCTCCCATCCACTACGACTGTGCTGTTACAGGACAGTATGTGGGTGTCTGACGATATTCACGTGTTAGCATGCTGCGCATGTCTCGTGCTGGTGAGTTCCAGATGCAAATCAAGAAGTCGAAGGAAGTATCATTAGGATTCATTCGCTACAGAATGGCTGATGGCAAAAACGTCATCCTTCCTGGCTGCCCAACCTGCCCAATCGCGATGTTTTTAAACCAGGCTACTGCGACTGGCGACTTGCCGATGGAACTGGGGAAGCGGAAGCAAGGTTTCTATGATCCTGTGCTGGTGGTGCTGATAACGAAAGATTTATGCATCTCGCAAGAGTTTTATGATTAGCTTCTTAGTAAAAGCTTCTAGTATAATGAATCTGAAAGTTGTCAATAACAAAACTTGCTCTAGTTTGGATTAGAGTTTTCGAATGACCAAGTCAAAGCTCAAGCTTTTCTTCGGTCAGCCCATGACTGGTTCTGCTTACTTTCACGGTTGATGTATGACGGTTTAGGCTCGTCACTATCTGAATCCGCGGAGTCAGTTGTCCGTCCCTGTACGACTTCCAACGCTTGGAAAAGATGTGTAACTGCCTGGAAAGAAATGAAAAAGCATAAAAGCATGGGAGGTAGTGAAAGAGATTATGGATCCTCTCAGCAAGCGGTCGTGAATACTACCAAGATATCATACTTCTCAGCAAACTTGTGAATGATGTAGTGTGAATATAACATAGATAGCTCTTGTTGTAATCTGGCGATTGGTCGATAGCTATGGGACCACTAAAAATTGGCCCAAAATCCACCTTTTTGTGCATATTATATTCTAAAATAAAAGCACACTAGAAATTCAAAATCGCATGTAGCTTTTTGACCCCAATAGCATCGTTTTTCCGTGGAAAAAATTCATTATATGACTTAAAAAATTGGCAAAACAAGAATGCGACTTAGTGTTAGATCTTGGTGCTCACACCTGCACGCAGAATTTGTAGTGTGTAAGTAGTATACACGTACGTGTACGTCGAACCCGCGAACATCAATTTTTTCTTCAACCGACAATGGTATATACCTTGAGTCCGAGAAAATCACCACCCTCTGCTCTGGAGGAAAACTCGTGGGTCGCGGACGTTCTCTGTATCGTGACTATATCTATCTTGTGTGTATTAAGCGATATGGATGCATTTGCCCCTTTCACCTCTGAAATCGCTGCTAAAGATCCCCAACAAGGTCTGAAAACTACTTTTGAAGAGGTTTCGGCACGTCCACGAAGTCCCAAGGCAACATAGAGCTGGAATTTTCTGTGGAAGTTGCTTCTCTTATATTATACTAAAAGCAATGACACCATTTTATATTCATTATCTGGGTTCCTACAGGACGATTTTCGACCGAGACCAGCATTGAGTTGCAAATTCATCGGTCAAAATGAAATTGCACGGCCTGGAACCCATGAGAGGAGAAAGTGGAATCAGAGGTTGTGGCAAGCATAGTTAATACCTATATTACGTCGGGAGCGACGGTAATGATGTTGAATATTTTTTGCTGGGCCGCGATCACACAATAATCCACCGTGATTGTTTCTGTTGGTTGAGAAGACGTATTTGCCGAATGCGACTCATATCTAACATCACCATCAAGACAAGATCTACATGGAAACTCGTCCAACGACCAAAATTGACGATTTGGAGCACATCAAGGAACAATGATGGCATTGTTCCCCCCGTTTGGACAAACCGGTGGTGTGGGCGCCCAGAGAAGTAAAAACTGCCGAGCATGTTGTGGCAAGCGTATTTGGTAGATATTCTATGGCTGGAGCGGAGATTCATAATTACACTACAATCTACCCTGTTTTGTTCGACTGGTTCTGTTGGGTTACAGAACCTGGTCGTCAGAAAGTAAAGGGGGCAAAGGCCTCACATTCAACATGCGCTGCAAAGCTCCGCAGTGATCACACTTACTCAGAGATCCATTCGGTTGTGTCTTGTTTGGAATACTTGCTGAGATATTGAAATTCCAGTGTTTGGTGCTATATTTGTCGTCCATGGGTATGTATGAGAAGATTAGAGGCTTTGGAGTTGGCGTTTTCTAGAGGTAAAGGTTATTGAATAGCACTCACACTGCTTGGGGATCAATCCACGTTCATTAAAGATTGTGGCTGGAATAGTAGCCGAGTCGATACCCTGACACGATGGCACCAAGTTCAAAGTTGGTCAATAAATAGTAATCGAATTTGGGCGGTGGTTTGGAGTGCTGTGGCGGAAAAGAGATTCTAGGCTAGCATAAATTTTTAAATCCTTTCCTCTAGTATTTTTCATTTGACTTTGTGGATGGCCTTGAATATTATCGATTCTATACGAGTATCTCTATTCAGAGTGGACGAAGCCCTAGCAAATACATATAATTAAGCTATTGCAGTGAAATTTATCTAAGAATGTAACCGCAACAAGGTCTGATGGTACGAGATCGGCCTCTTGCCTCTCTCTAGATTTTTTTCTTGTTAATCACATGAGCCGATTCAGTCAAAGTATCTAACAGCTGATTTTTATTTTTGCCGTTACGAGATGTTGGTTGGTGTAGTTGAGGCCCTCTATCACCTCCTTCAGACCTATAATTGCTCAAAAGGCATATGCAAAGTACATTCTAGGCTACGGTAAAGGTTCTAGCCTAATGTTTTTTTTTCTTCGCCATAATCCTCCAAATCCCAGCACTTTCTTGGCGATACATTCTCCAATGCTGCACATCACACACCATCCGTGTCTATATACCGGTAGTGAATCTTTCATCTTGACACTTGACGCTGGTTGTCTTCTTTCGTTTGATCAACAACGTGAAGGACAATAATGATGGTCTTCTGTAAGCAGATAGACAGAATGTTCAATAAATATGTAGGACGATACGATTACAGTAGGACTACTGAAGGTACTGTACTTTTTATCAATGTTCTGCAAATATTTGCCCTACATGGAAATGCTTCATTTGGAAGACTCCTGACGGAATTTAAATGATGCGCCTTTGTCTATTCTTTCTCTTTTCGGAGGTAATATACTCTGTTTGGGAATGACGCTACTGATTGGAAGCGCAACAATAGGCACCTGCTGTTCCATCATTGTCCCCAACATTCAAACCACGAGGTCCACAACCAACCGGGTTGCTACCGCTACTCCAAAGTCCCCAAAGGGTATCTAGCCAGCCATATGCACAGTAGTCTGCTCCCTCGATTTGCTGAGGCGTACAGAGGACCAATCCTTCGTCTGCACAAGCAGCTCTAGCCTCTTCCCGTGTATCGTAAATGTACGAGAAATCTCGAGGCAAGTACAACGGTCGCCCGCAGCAGTACGCTCCGGCAAACTCGCGGTCCACCCACTCTACAAAGCCGGGAGTAGTACGGCACCCTGGTCTAGGGTTGGAGATCCAATATCCTACTGCATCCGTCATCCACCCAGCCGCGCAAATGTCGCCATTTTCAATGGCGATCATTGGGCAAAGATCGAGTCCAATCGCGGCACAGCCTGCTGCGGCAGCTTCGCGGGTGCCAAATTCATATGGGTCGGAGAAATCGTTCGTGTGGTACAAAACATAAGTCGAAGAAGTGAATTGATTTCCAAACGGTTCGTTGACGGAAGGATTGGAACTGGGTGCCAAAGTAGGACTATTTGATGCCACCTCCGTGGGTTCATGGGTCGGCCCAAAGGTTGGCGGAGTTGTAGATGGAGCTGCAGATTCAGCAACAGATGGACTTGAGGATGGCATTCCTGATTGCGCAATGGAAGGTGATACAGAGGACGTCTTGGATGGGCTTAGTGTTGGCCCTTTTGTCGGGGCAAAAGTGGGTGTTGGTGTTGGAAGTGGCGTTGCGTCTACAACCGGAGCAAATGTTGGACTGGAAGTCGTGGGCACAGGAGTCGGTAGAATAGTTGGTTCTGGAGTTGATAGTACAGTTGGTGCAACTGTCGGCGATCCAGTTGGTTCCTCAGTGGTTGGAAAGGTCACTGGGGCAGTAGTTGGGTCTGTGGACGGAGATTCCGTGGGAAACAAGGTCGGATTCTCGCTGGACACTACCGTAGGCGTCGAGCTTGGAGCCAATGTAATGGTTCCAGAGGCGACCGTCACGATAAATATCTGCAAAAACGGTGATTGCAATGACAACTTGCTTGTCAAGAGACCTTCTGGTCCCAAGACTTGAAGGATTAGGCTGACCAAATCAAAAGGTCGCTCTGACCCCCGTACGTACATGTCGAGTTTTACCGATACGTGGAGACAGTTCGGCTCGGTGCTTCTGGTGCAAGGTGTGTCTTGTCCGACCTGTACCAAAACTTTGCCATTTGCAATTGTGTAAGGGGAAGACACTAGTTGGCGTCCTCGTACCCGACGACTGGCAGAAGCGCAGCCAATGAGTTCGGGCATGAGCATTTCTTGGAGTCTCTCTTGGAGTGCACCACGCACAATCTCGGAGTCCACTGGAGTGGACAACACGACATCCATTGGAATATTGAAAGTCTGCAAGTTGAGGTTCTCTTGACCAACCAAGTCATCTCCATTCGACACCGCAACACAGTCTTCTTCAGACGGAGGTTCGTATATCAAGGTTTCCGTTGGAGTACTAGACGGAAACGCGGATGGAAGAAAAGTAGGAGATGTTGTTGGTCTCTCCGTTTCTTCCGGGACTGGCCGTGCTGCTTCACCGTTGGCAGGTAAAGCAGTCTCATTATTCGACTGTGTCGCAAAGAAGATTCCCACTCCGGCACCTGCGATTATGAAAAGAGCTGCAATCCAGAATGCACCCTTGCAATAGAACGGTTTGGGTGGTGGACTGGTCATGATGGGTTCCTCTTCTGGTCTTGTTGTTGGTGGTATTATTAGCGGTGCTTCCTTAGATTGAACTACTTCTTCTTCGTCGACTGCTGTAGCAACGATGGCATCGTCGCCTTCTACAAGGCTACCTGCCAGAGTAGTCGTTTCAGGTTCCGGCTTGAGCGAAATCTCTGGTTCTTTTGGTTTCGAGTCAGCATCCATTTTCTCTCGCATTCTCCTTGACGCCGACGAAGATGATGGAACCGCTCCAGCTTTTGTGTGCTTCGACGGCGAGCATAATGGACTCGCTCCAGCAGATGATGAAACCGCCCCAGCTTTTGTGTGCCTCGACGACGAGCCACTCTCCTTGTTTCGTCTGCGCCGGTCGCCTTCGTCGTCGTTGTATTCTTGGACGACACCGGGGGCAGATGCTCTTGTGTTGGGCCGTACACGATGTTTTGCCTTGCTGTCTCGGTCTCTTGCTGATTTTGACAGCGAATCGTTAGAATCTGCCGACCGGCTTCTCGAAGACTTGGCTCTCTGTTTGGCATCTCGGTCCATCTGCTGGCGAGATTTGGAAGGAGATTTGGAAGCAGTGGACGAGGGCTTGCGAGCTCTACTTTTGGCCTCACGATCAGCCTCTTCTCGAGCGGAGGGTTTACTTTCTTTGTTTGTTTCGACAATGTCACGAGACGCCTCTCGCCCTTTTCTCTCTTGATCAGGCTCATCTCGATCAGCGGAAGGGCGACGGCTCGGCTTTGTCTCATCTCGATCGGCAGAACGGCGACGACTCGGCTTTGCCTCATTTCGATCAGAGGAACGGCGACGACTGGGCTTTCTTTGTTTGCCTCTTTCACGGTGACGAGAACTTTCTGGTCTTTTGCTCTCTTGTTTGGTTTCATCCGCGTCTTGCATCTTTTTCAGTGTTCTGTTGACTCTGTGTGTGTGTGTTTGGTCTTTTTTATTACCTGTACCTACGGTGAGTGCCTCTGTGACCATTGGATGATTGATTCTACCAGGGGCCGGTACACTGTTTCGTATGCTTGCGTGTACAGGATGATGGACACTACTGTTAGTTCTAAAGCAGTCTTCCATTTTTAAGAATGACTGTTTTTGGTGGCAATTCGTTTTCAGAATCTTGATCATAAACGGAGCCACTGATTTTCTAATTATAGGAGGGACTTTCTATAAGTGCTATTGCGTCTAAAATGCTACCTCTGGCAGTTGCAGTTTCTGAGCTCGCTCGTGCATGAAGGTTTGCACCATCTTCAATATCTGATGGTTGAAGTAAATACGGCACACCAGTATCATCTCTCATCAAAAGCTATTGTATTGCCTCGTGCAGGTATCTGATAATGTTTACTTCTCAGCATGTGAGGGTCTCATTATGACCGGCAAATGCTTATCATAAAATGGACGTAGCACAGTGTACCTGCGTATCTTCAACGACTACCGGAGAGCACGAAGTGTGAAACAAGTGAATATCAAGATCAAGTCGAAGGAAGTATTGTGCTTCCTCTCCAGAATGGCAAAAACATAATCTTTCTTGCCCAACCTGCCCACCAAGTGCGATACAAACCAGGCAACGGCGACTGGCGACTTGCAGATGGTAGTAACGAAGCGGAAGCGGAGCCACCCTTCTATTTTGGGTTGGTGGTGAAAACGAAAGATACAGTATACAGTATGTGTACCGAAGCAGAGATTCATCCAAAGGTCTTTCAAGCATGTTCTTGGGCTGTCGGTTATCCAATGGGATCCTTTGACCTGCCAAGACAGAGGCTAGAGTACCTTTCCCATTTCCTTTTCCTATGGCCCATGTCAAGATATCTTTTGGTCTCGATCGCCGGCTTGTGTTCCCGATTCATTCCTCTGCTTGGGTAGACTGGCAATGAACAAGTCGCCACACTCTTTGAAAATGGGGAACATGGGATGTTGGCAGATTATGGTATGAGTTGTTGTACGGGTACATCTCCACCCTCCAGTGCAACGCTGTGCTAAAGCAATTCAGAAAAGATGTGCAATTGCCTTTAAAGAAATGAAAAAGCATGGGAGGTAGTGGAAAAGATTATAGATCCTCTCAGCAAGCGGCCGCGCCAATATCACCGAGATACCATACTTCTCAGCAAACTTGTGAATGATGTAGCATGAATATAACATAAATAGTTCTTGTTGTAGTCTGGCGATTGGTCGATAGCGATAATATAGCTGGGAACACGTGAAGCAAGCACATTCGGTACCAGGGTACTTGGCAGTGCAGCATACTGTATACCGGTAGTATCAAGTATTTTCAGCATTTTGGTACCGGTAGTGTTAGCATGGCGGTGCGTACCTCGTACGTGTCGTAAGTGATCACATTCTCCAATGCTACACATCACCTAAATGCGAACCATCCGCCACTCGGCGAAATTTCGCCGTGACACCTCTGACAAGACCTGTGTCTTCTTTTTTCTTTGTTAGTTTGTCTGATCGAATGCTGCCACATGCCATGTCATAGTGCCCTTCCCAATAACGCAACTCCGGGGTAACAGAATTCTTTTTGTATCGTCACGATGGGGGCCACCAACAAGAGCAGAAGCACAAGGTTGCTTGGTTGGTTCGTCAATTGGTCCTTGGCTAGGATTCGTTTGCTTCTTTTGAGAACAATTAAGCCAAGCGACAGACAACACCAAGTGATAGAACACCAAACAAGACATTGTTCAAATTCAAATAACTCCCACTGGTTCGCAACCTACTGTTACCGGATAATGCCCAGTTTTCTCAGTCGAAAACTTTTACCGCAACAGCAGCCATCCCGAAAGACTGTTTCCTCTACGGCGAGACCTACCGATGAAATTGTCATTCACTTCGAAACTACCAAGTCCTGCTGTTCCTCCAGCGTGTCCTATCCTTCCAGTTCTGCAAAAGTGCTAATGACTACCAACAAAAGCAGCACTCAATCCCAGAACACAAGATCTACTTCTTCCTGGAGTACTACAGCCACTTCTTCTACAACCGCCTCCTTTCTTTGTGGGACTCCGACTACGAATACGAATAGTAGTAGTAGCAGTCCTGTCTCACATGTCGGAATCCTGCATACAGGCAGTGTTGACGAGAGCATCACCGAAGAAGATGAATGGGGATTCTTTGTGGATTATGGCGATTGATGGCTGACCACCAATCTGCTGTCCACCCACTGTACCATTCTTTTCTGTCTACTATTATATTATACATTTTACATTGGGAGAGAGATTTTGAGAAACTCTTTTGCCACACTTTTGGCAATCTCTTTCCCCATGATCTCCATTTTTTGCATATTGTACTCACATGCACACATATACACATACACACAACCAATCCTCACGACATACATAGATATAGGATACATTAGTATTTTTTTTAAAATTATTGATGCAATCTCTGATTTTAAAAATAGCATTCGTTCAAGGGACAATTGGATGTTCCCAAGATCAAAGGATGTAGTTGGGTAAAGATAATATAAGGAATCTTTATTATTAATATTCCTACGAATATATATAGGACTATATATACTTCACAAAAAGAAGTAATGTGCTACACTAGTACGCAAGTGTGTGTGTTCGTGTGTGTGCGTGTTGATATCGAATAAGATTTGCTTCCGATGAAAGCAGTCCCTTGAAGCAATGCAGGAATGACTAAACTGAACGATGCAATCGAGAGAGGCATAGTGTTCAGACTCAACCTACAATTGAAGGGGGAACTTTCTCAGTGGACAGCAGTTGTGGGTAGCTGTGGAAAAAAGGTAGCTATAGAAGGATGGTAGCTGTGGTGGATAGGTATCCAGAATGAAGTAGCAGGACATCATGAAACCGAGTCCATTTCGTCGGCTTCACTCGCCACGCGCATGGGTAATTTCAGTGCCACGTCCAGCGACGCGGAGGTCCGATTGGAGCAATAGGATTGCGCAGATATACTTTGCTCGGATACCGCCAATCGATCAACTAGTGGCGGTCGCATATTGTCAAGGGGTCGCCTATTGACAAAGGGGGGCTTGAGTTCAGAGGACCACATGTCTGACGATTCCGATACCTCTGGGTCTTTGGCAACGGAAAGACTACCTGTCATGCTAATGGAATTGTGCTTGCTTCTCCGTGGATCAGCTTCTTGTGAGCTGGCCATTTCTTCAGATTGATCAATCATCTCGGTAGACTCGTCAACAATTTCCTCGGATTCTTCCACTAGCACAAGCTCATCGTCAGAAATGAGACGAGTTGGTTTATCCAAACCAGCAGTGATTTCCAATGGAGGCTCGAGGAGCTGCCATCGGTCCATGTTGGCATTCAGCTTTTTGATGGATGGTTTGGCCGAGGAGTCATGGCGGATTTCGAATGAGTCGTTATTGTCTGAAGTACTACGAGACCCAGAGGATTTCCGATTCTCGCCCACCTCGTCGATCGCTGGAAGGTCTTCCATGTTGAATGCCATGTCGGATGAGCACCGCCTAGGTGAACTTGGCAGACCTTCGTCATCACTAATCCTGTTTATTGGGCCCCATCGATTAGCGTCATTGTCTCCGGCAGATAGATCCTCTTCCATTACTACTCCATCTCGCTGATGCTTCGATTCCTGTCGGTGCGGAAACTTGATGGGCGAATCATGACCACCACTACGACAACGTTGGGCCACTGATTTCATTCGGTCTACCGGCAATGGACTTTTCGAAAAGGAGGCGAGGGAGGTCTGAGTTGCGGAAAAGGAGTTGGAGGAAGATCGTCGATTCTTGGAGGTCAAATCGCCAGAACTGTCTTGGATATCCAGACAAGAAGAGCTTCCAGTTCCCTTGTTGGACGAATATCGTTGTGGCGCACCCATGGCCTCTTGTAAGACTTCTGGAGCGCCCCATCGTTCTTTGTCATCGACATTCTCCACAAAATCGCCCTGACTGGCTGTAATGGAAGACATGAAGCTTCGTTTCAAGCGTGCAAAGAGTGGGTCCTTATTCTGTTCCGAAGTTTTGGTCCTTGGAGTGTTGGCGGTTGGTCGCTTTGATGCAACACGAGCACCTGTATCGATAGCTCCCTCCGCGACCATTGGTTTTGTCTCTCCCAACACCGAAATCATCATGGATTCAAACATTCGTTCGTTCGGATTAAGCTGTCTTCGTTTCAAGAATTTGGGCCTTATATAGACAAACATGTTCAAGAGTCCTTGAAGTGGCAAGAACCAAGCCTGCAAGACCAGCAAAACGTAATTGTTGGCGGCCAGTTTGTCTTCGTACGAACCCGCATAGGCTTCCACCAACCGCAAGGTCACGGTCCAAAGCATACACAGCAGGTAGCTTCCCACGAATAGCAATGCTTGCGATCGAACCAATTTCAATCGAGCCAATTGGGTATCACCTTCTTGTGGGACTCGATCCATCTCTAGTGGTGCGACACTTGCTCCAGACCCTCCTCCTGTATTGGGCTTTTCGTGATTATCCAGATGCAGGGAGGAAGACTCCAAACTGTAGCTTTCGTCGTCGTCATCATTTACAACACCAAGTTCGGCTTCAGCGGCTGCTTTGAGTTCCGTTGGGCTTTTCCTTGCAGGCCTGGACCTTGTCTGGCGCCAAACATGAATGCAAATTACCACATTGTTGCCAGCCAAGGAAAATAGGGCAACAATATACCACATTCCCGCAAAGGCCCACGCTATTTTGGGTGATATACAGGCTTCTCCCGATGCACCAGGCCCATCCAAGAGGACTGTCCCACACTTTTCTGGGTAATTGTTCACCCAACAAGCATTGGATAGTTCTGGTTCCGAATAAACTCCCATAAAGGCTCCAAACAATCCCGTGATCAAAGGATACCCAATACTGAGTATATGCATAAACGGTTCGATGCATTTGGAAATCTTTTCGTTGCTAATTCCAAACCTGGCAATACACAAAAAGTAAAAACTGAGCATCGTGTTGTAGATGATGGTAGCATTCGAGAACTGCATGAGGAAACCAGCGAGAGTGCAGGTTTCATCGTTTCCAGACGCTAATATTCGATGGGAAGTGTCCTGGGGCATTAGAAAGATGCTGCCGGCAAGCGTTATAGAATAGATGATATCGCATACGCTCATGGCAATCAAGAGTCGATTGTAAGGCGTTCGCTTCTTGGACTTGTTATTTTGCGTTTGAAAGTTCATCCGGATGATGCAAACGCTTCCAAAGATGCTTAAAAGCGAGGCCGGTATTGGCAGTAGAGAAAGCACATAATCTTGAGCATCTGATAGAGAAGGAAAATCTTGTGATGTGTTTTCTATTGATGCTTGTAAGGACGATGATGATGATTCCATTCTCGACTTGTTCTGGACATTACACTTGCAACAATTTAACACAGGCTGGTGCACTTTCTTTCAGTGATGAGTTTATTGCGTTTCTAAAATTCATATGCGCGTGCTAACCTGTCAGTTTCGCAATTCGTCATAATTGACCAGTCGATGAATTCACTGACAATAAATAGTCCGACCTTTTCACGGTCGCAGTTCTTTACTTGCGAAATGCTACATTTATAGCAAAGAAGAAGGCATTATATTTTTTTACGAATACATCGTTTCTTGACGTTTCTACAAATCCAAAATGACTGTTGTCCCGCGTCCAGCTACGAACAGTATTATTCCCACTCACGCAGGGAGAACTTACCGAACCACGAGGTACACGTGTACCTGGTACCGGTACCAATACTGTACGAATACCAGTTACCAGGTACCGCTGGTACCGGACCTACCACCTCCGTCGCTGAATGAATGGATCGTCATTGAAAGTGATACTGTGAAAGCATAATATATATATTCCCATCATCCAAGAGGCTTCAACCAACTTCCGAATGGGCTGCGGTATGTTGGTGACTGTACCTGGTACCGGTACCTTTCTGGTGGGGTTACTGTAGGCAGGGTTGGGCGGGCGGGCATAGGACTCATTCGACTGCATTTTGAAGGCGTCCGTCAGTCAACACGAAAGGATAGAGCACTGTATGTGGAAGTAGAAAAGTAGAAACATCATCAATGCCCTCAGTTTGATTGTCGGACTTGACCTTAGAACCAAACAAGGAGCGTACGGAATCATAAAGAGACACAGTCCTACCCGTATTTTGACTCCAAAATGACAGACACGAGTAACAGAAAGCGCAAGCTAGAGTCACAAGAGGACGACAATGGAGCATCCTTTCCTCCTCCCTTCACCACAAAGACATTGGAGCAACGATTGCGGAAGGGAATCATGGTGCAATCAGGTGGCCAAAAAGGTTCCTTAACTCGCTGTGTCCAAAAGTATGCCTTGTTGACAGCAGATGCGTCAAAGGAAAGTGGCAACAAGGATGAACTTCTCCGGGAATTTCTCCAAGAACTCCAACTGTATCGAATGGATCTTACCCGAAGTGTCTTGTTGAATCGCAATTTGACAAAGGAGATCAAGGAAAACCAAGCAGTCGAAGAGACCTTGAAAGAAGAGATTGAAGAGACTAAGACCAAGGTCCATGAATGTCAACAGCAAGCAAAACGAGCCAAGCAAGTCCAATCTTGTTTTATGGAGTACGAGACACTTTCCAAATTGGCCAATACCTGTCTGGCGGATTCGCCGGAAATCCAAAGCACGAGACAGCTCAAGAACGAGATTGCACGAGTGAAACAAGAAATTTCCAGCAATCAAAAGGAAGAAGCCAAATTGGATTCTGTCTTAGCAGTAAGAAAAAGTCAATTTCATTTGCTCATTCAATGCATGCTCGACCTGAAGCGATCCTTGGACAATGATGAAGTGGAGGATGCAGAAGACGATAGTGGAGAGGACGATAACAAAGGGACGGAAGGGGGTGATGGGGACGAAGCTCGGCCGATGGAAGTTGACGGTAATGACGATGAGGACGGTGCCCTTGACGATGACAATCTATACGGTGATCTCGGCTAATAGTGTTAGCCTAGGAGCGTGAGGAAGGCAGTGTAAGCCGCTGGAATCCATGGAACCCCTCGCAACAGCAGCACCTTGTATCGCTTCATCCTTTACCCAAACGCCCTATTCTAATGAAAGAATTGGCCAAGCCTATCTTGTCGCCCAAGTGGCAAGAGGCGAAGACTAGCAAGCGACGTATGACTTGCCTTGTGGCAGCGGAATGAATCCCCAGAGTGAGCCTTTCGTTTTGTCCCTAGTGACAGAATGTAGTCATGACAAAGATCCTTTTAAATTTTAATGAGATTTGACTACCCTAGCACTCCGTCACCTACCACTACACTAGTGTCTGATGTAAGGCAGGAAATGAGGAGGTAGATGGTTCGAAGTGTAACACGCCTTCTGTAGGTCCTTGTACTACTTGTCATTCAAATCTTGACAGCCCTTCCGATACTTCTGGATATCCCACCATTGCAATATTTATCGAGGTACTTCATGGCGGAGCTGGTTAGAGGGATATATGTTGTAGGTATGTATTCTTTTTGACAACTCCGTCGTTCGAATATTCCCCGCGATTGTCTGTGTCACATGCGTGTCGCTTTCGGCCACCGAGCCCACATTATCTTCACAAAAAAGAATGAACCAACGGAAACATTATTCGAGGTCATACCAATTCCGAGGAAAGGAGTCTGATCAAATCATTTCTACTTGACACCATGGCAAACCCATACGGACATATTCGCTATTTTCAGCAATCCACCACAGAGGATGACGAAAGCGATGGGATATCTTCGTTAGACAACGCGCACCTGCCTGTCATAAACTCAGCGCCGTCGAATGATGAGGAAAGTGTGGACAGTGGTATCCTTCGAATCAAGAGTCGCGTTCGGGAGTTGGAGACCGTCTTTTCTTCCAACTTTAATGGAAAATCAGATGCTCCAGCTACCCAAGATGAAGAACAACGTAGCGAAACATCACACGAAAGCGCGGATGTCGGTACCCTTCGAAAGGAACTGGAAGATGCCGATCGAGTTCACTCACTTTCTTTGGCTGATTATCTCAAAGTGCTCGAGGTGAAACCAGCAGGTTTTGGTTCTTCTTATAGTGCAGGTCGTCCCCAGACACCAGACCCTGAAAACTTGACATGGAACGACTTGATGAAAGCGACAGCATCACGGTCAGGGTCTCTTGCTGACAATCATTCAGGTCCGACGAAAACAAGGGAACCGCAAGACGATCACCAACCTCTGCCAAAGCGACGAAAGCGAGCTTTCTGGATTGCTCTTCTACTTCTGTTGGTGATTGGAATTGTTGTGGCAGTCGTTGTCAGCACTGATGACTCTGTCCCTGCTGGTGCTGTGCAAACGGAAATGTCAGTCACGGGAGTATCAGACAAGGAAGAGGGAACAGGCAACGATTCTTCTGATTTTGCGCCTGATCCATCACTTCCGGTGCCACCGAGTTCCGCGGCAACACCAAAACCGTCCGAGTCCAAAGGGTCAGTTGCTATCCAGCCTAGTAGTCCCTCGAAGACACCGACGATCCCGACGACTAAGGAGCCATCGAATCTCACAAAAGCACCAATAATACCTACCCAACAACCACTGAGCCCAACTTTGCGCCCTGTAGTACTGATTCCCCCTGCTCCCGCTCCATCAGCGTCCCCAGTCTCCCCTGAGCTGCGAGACCAAGTGATTGGTTTTCTAGAACAAGAATACGGAGTTGCTTTTCAGGAGGCCTATAATATCGTCGCTGTGGACTGGGTGCTTGCTGGAGGCGTTGGTGTCCTCAATCACAAACTAGCGCAACGATTTACAATGAAGGTGCTTGATTTGAGTCTACGTGGAGACAACACTGTCCAGCCGGCTGGAACCTTGAATGCGGCAAAGTGGTCGGCATCAAATTTTGATGAGTGTCAGTGGAACGGTGTCAAATGCAATGCTGAAGGCCTGGTGACAGAGTTACGATTGGGTGGTCGGTCATATGGGGGGACAATTCCGAGAGAGATCAGAATACTACAAAGAAGTTTGGAATTCTTGGATATTTCAAAGAATGAGCTCGTTGGTACTTTGAATGAGGATTTCTTCCAATTGACACAACTGAAACGGGTCTATCTGTATCAGAACAAAATCTCTGGCGGAATTTCACCCTCCTTTGCCCTACTGCAAAATCTCACACACCTTCACATGAGCCAATGTCAACTGAGTGGTCCACTTCCTAATGATCTACGAAGGATGACAAATTTGCGCTACTTGAACTTGCACCGAAATCGAATATCAGGCCGTTTGCCTCACTACATGAAGTACATGTCTAGTCTTTGGTACCTTGATCTTGGCAGGAATGATATTAGTGAGGATCTACCAAATGGTTGGGGAGACGGAATGGTCTCGCTGCGACATTTGTACCTGGACCACAACCGAATTGACAAGTATATTCCATCATCCTACAACAAACTGGGGGATTACCAATTGCAAGTGTTGGTATTGAACAACAATGATCTGACAGGGTCGGTTCCATTGAAGAATCCAGGATTAGGTACGAATTGAACAATGCAATGATGCGTCATCGGTGTTGTTTCATGTTTGGTTCTCACACACTTTTTTCTCGATTCCCGCCACAATGTAGTCACATTGAATGTCCACAACAATAGGTTGAGTGCCAATCTCGGAGGTGACGTATGTGCAATGAGCATCTTTGGTTCTGGCAAACTGGTCGATTTCAATGCAGATTGCAATATCTGTCATTGCGAGGGCTGGATGTGTGACAATTGCACCCAGTAGCAAGCCATGCGGCTCATCATATCAGTGGCTATCAAATGATTCCACAGTGACGATTATTCCACAGGGATTTGATGTTTTAAAAATGATAGTTAGTACTGTATGTCTAAAAATGCCATGGGGATTATTCGCTATATCTAAGCTATAGTTGACGATTCACACTCTGTACCGGGTCTCGTGTCTGCTTGTATGAAAATTGAAGACATTTGACTGACCAAGATCCATGTGATGCAGTATGCAAAGGTAGATGTCACTTTGGGTGGTATGCTTACGTTTCCATTCTCCTTCTATCCAGAATGCAGGTCATGTCCCGCATGTCCGCATGTAGTGCGCAAATCGTTTGTTCCAGCTGGCTACAGTAGTGCTGTACTACTTAGGCGGTGGAAGTTTCGCCACACAATAATGCTCCATTCACCTTTCTAAGAAATGACTCACTTACAAAGGAGTATTCTAGGCATCGATGACCACCGCAACCCCAACCGTTGCGTTCTTTGTGAAAGATTCTCATTCCTGCCCTGTCAGCCGCCATGAATAGCTTTGAAACCAAGTCATATGATTGAAGATGCAATTCAATTTGTATTTGATTGACATGAATCTGCTTGGAAGCAATCATATCAAAGAATGCAGGCATGGCTTCGTACTCGCAGCCTTCACAGTCGATTTTGAATATATCAATGATTCTATTGGTATGACCAAGTTCAGATACAATGGTTTGGAGACTTTTGGTCACAAACTTGTGTCTTCGATGTTGATACAACTCCCCCTCCGCGCCGATTCCCCAAGGATGAAATGTGGAATACTCGCCTCCCTTGAATGCTTGCCGCAAGGTTGGATCAAATGTATGAGTTTCGCACCCAAGGAAATCATGTACTGCTTTCTCGAACTCAATATGGTTGTTACTGCCAATGGAGTACACCAAGCAGGCGTCTTTTGGATTTTTGGCATTCTTATTGCCAATGAAATCGACGCCACAGACAAACTTGGGCCCATCTCCAATGGCAAGGTGTCGAATATCAGATCCAAAGCGTTCGTCTGAAATACAGTTTGCCTCTGGCTCAAAGACATCAAATCGTTCCGTATGTTTCGTCGTGTTCAATGTAAACATGGCATCTATACGATTCTGACGTCGTCGATTGAATTGCTCTTCCATCTTGAGCAGCCGTTGCATGCAGGCAGTGTCTTCCGGCAAAGTAAAATGTTCGGATGCGGGAACTATCAAAGAGAAGACGCAAAACGAGCCAATGAAGAACAATAGGACAAGCAGCTGTTTTCCTTGGGATCCGGCGGAAACATTGTGGCCGAAGCTCGTCGTCGTCGTCGTACTTGTCAAACTCCGTTCTCTTCTACCAACCCTGAGTTTCATTGCCACCAGCAGTTGTGATTCTGGATAATTGTGGTTGCTGTTGCCGTTTTTATAGTTGTGGACCTGACAATGATGATGGCATTCGATGAATGATGATGATTCCTTCGAAGTAAAAGTCTCATCCACAACACGTTACGTGATGTATATAATGTCATTGCAACAGTCAAATTCAAAAAACGAGCGCATCGTCCCCCCTCCCACTTCCAAAGATATTATACCCACCGTCCCCCAAAACCAGCAACGAGTCATTTCGTCTCTGCATGATAAAGTCTTTTAGATAGAATGGAATAGAATATCGTATATTATATATTATACGGGGATAGTAATATTATTTTCAAGAGTGTTGAAAGGAAGACTATTTGCGACATTCAAGGTTATTGTTGGCCATTCGTGCGCTGCATATACCGGTACCGCGGTATGATTGTTTGCTTTGGTGGGTTGTTCCTAGGTATAGAAACTTCATGTGTTACAGTAGAGCATGCCAGTTATCACGTTGGTGGTATACGGGTATTTCCATTCTTCTCCTGTCCATGGTATCTATAGGATATTGCATGCATATAGCGCATCGTGCCATATGTTTGTGCTGGCAAGTGCTACTTAGGCTTTGGAACTTTCACCACACAACACTGCTCCATTCACTTGTCGAAGGTATTCCTCGCTTACAAGGGCGTATTCTATGCAGCGAAAACCACCGCAACCCCAACCGTTGCGCTCTTTGTGAAATATCCGCATCCCTGCTCTATCCGCCGCCATGAAAAGTTTTGCAACTGCGTCGTAGGATTGAAGATGCAATTCGATTTGTATTTGATTGACACGAATCTTCTTGGCTGCAATCAGGTCAAAGAATGCAGGCATGGCTTCGTATTCACAGCGTTCACAGTCAATCTTGAAAATATCAATGGTTCTATCGTTATGACCAAGTTCGGCTACGATGGCACCGAGACTCTTGGTCACAAAATTGGTTTTTCGCTTGTTGTACACCGCCCGCACCGTCTCCCCGTCCACGCCAATTCCCCACGGATGGAATGTGGAATACGCATCACCCTTGAATGCTGTCTTCAAGGTCGGGTCAAACGTATGAGTTTCGCACCCAAGGAAATCATGTACAGCTTTCTCGAATTCAATGTCGTTATCACTGCCAATGGAATACACCAGACACTCGTCTTTTGGGTTTTTGGCGTTCTTATTGCCAATCAAATCGACGCCACAGACAAACTTGGGCCCATCTCCAATCGCAAGATATCGGGTATCGGATCCAAAGCGTTCCTCCGCTATGCAGTTTGCCTCTGGCTCAAAGACATCAAATCGCTCCGTTCGTTTGGTGGTGTTCCGTTGGAACATGGCATCTATGCGAACTTGACGCCGATGATTGAATTGCTCTTCCAACTTGAGCAACCGTTGTTTGCAGAAAGCATCTCCTACTCCCGCCAAAGTGTTCTGCTGTTCGGATGATGCGGGTGCACTCGTAGTAGATCTGATGTAAAATGAGCCACCAATAACGAACAAGACCAGGACGGGCACCAGTATTACTATTTTGGATCGTAGACTCTTTTGTGCCAATTTCCACTCTTTGTTGCCAACTTTAACTTGCATTGCGACTGTGGGGCATTGTGACAGTTCTTATTAGGGACCTGACAATAAGACTGGACTGTTATAAGATCCGAAGACGATTTCACCCAATAATAGCAAGATTCATTCTGAATGACCCCAATCGTGCATGACTGGTGTGAAGCTGGTCTTTTGGATTGCGCGCGAAGCCTGCGGTTCCAAAAGACCAGTCTTTGATGTCCCGCGAAGCGGAATATCAGATACAGTACTTGCTTGCCTACCTGGCCATGCATTGATGCATCAAATTAATAAAATAATATTATTAATTTGATGCATCAATGCATGGCCTAACAGGGATATGGAGGGAGGGAATTAAATAAATAAACGTATTTCTTGATGTATACTCGCAGACAAGTTCGATAAATTGATCGGACTTGGTGTTGCGGAGCAATGCAGTTGTGACGGTCGCTCGGCCGTCGTCAGTATGATGAAAGGAATCCAATGATTCGTTCTCGAGCTTTCGTCTACATCGAACTTCCTACTTTTGAGTACCAGCACTCGTAGTAGTATGGTGATAGGACTAGATGCAAGCCACCAATGATAGCGTCGTTATTGATAATCTCTGATTCTGGATTAAGTTCTTCTTCTCACAGGTCTGATGGCTCTGCGACAGCAGTGAGAAGATGATTTTGGAGCAAAGAAGGTATTTTCCGTAGACTTTTTATTTATTTATTTAAATTAAGTACTAAAGTCTAGGTATATTTATCTTTGTCTGGTACTTTTGCGATGCCATAGTGTTGGTAATCTTGTTTGCGATGATGCCTTTTCTAGAAATCGATTTCGGTGTGCCTATCGGTCTTTCTTGAATGTGAATCAAATCAGGCAGGACTGATGTTGAAATTCGAAAATACTACTCCTGTGGTTTGCCGAAGTTCATTATTACAGTTGCTGCTATCAGCCAAAGCAATCGAGTGTAATAAAATGTAGTTGCATTCTTGAATGAGCCTATGTAGTACTACTCTATCATTTATTCGAACCTGGAGAGACTGTGACCACGTCTCCGCATTGACTATATCATGATTCGGATCATCATCACACCACCACATGAGCACAATACGGTTATACCGAATGAGTCAGTATGTTGATGGTGGTTGGACCATCAAATGTGATATATTCGTCTTCGTCGATTTGCCTCATGCTGGCAAATTGATTGGTATGACAATTGGTGATGGTTCGTCACCTTCTTTGTCACATTCCCATGTATCATATGGTGCTTCCGTTGTTCGTAGGCGTGCAATTTCAGCCAGTGGTACTTCCATTTCGTTTTTAAGATCAGGTAGTGGAGCTTGATAAAAATGATGGATCGGTTTCAACCCACCAGACATCAAGCCTCTCCGTTCAACAAATTTGATCACATCTAGACGCCATTTGCTTTTATTGCCTTTGCCTGACATCCTTAATGCGAATACGCATTCCTCCCCTTTGTATTCAGCTTCCCTGGTGAATTGCCTGCATCGCTTATCCCATACATAAACTCCATCCACAATATTCATCCCAGCACCATATACATAGTATCGGGGGACAAGCTTTGCTATTTTGATTGGAGTCTCGCCACCTCGATGGACAAATGCTTGGTGTATCTTTTCCATTGGAAACAATGAAAAATTCCCCTCCTCGGCCGCTTTGGATGTCTTTGATAGCTGTTGGAACGAAAGATGTCGCAAGTCGATGTTAGTTGCGATGTTACAAAGAACCTGCTTTTCGTGATCATCAAAAGCATCGGTTTTGTTTTTGTCAGCGAACCATGTTTGGAGGCATGCGACTGCCGTGCATTTGCCTGTACTCGCGAGAACTCTTGCAAGAACACTTGGATGCACATGCACATGCACATGCGGGTGATCTTCGCCCGTTTCAGGACCAAGACCAAAGCAGTCGATTGGATTGGCAACGGCGAGCTGAAATAGTAGATCCCAAAATGGCCCGTCGTCTTCGTCACGAATCATGAATTCAGCCAATAATAAACCAGCATATCGCATCTTTTCCTCCTTGACAACCAATTCAACTATCTTCTTCTCGACTTGCAAGATCACTTCTCCAAGCTCAAAATAGTTTCCAGCCTTGCGAAGACCGATAAGAAATGCCGCTTCCTCGTCCATTGACATTTCAGTTTGCAAGATTGGATCAAAATCCAGCTCATTGCAAACACAATGTTTGACAATGATTTGAATGACAATCGAATGGAAGTCCAGATTACAACGGTCTTCCAATTGTTCTCGAAAGCCCTTGTAAAACATTCCTTTGAACACTGGGCTCCGGGCTGCCAAGAAAGGCTTGATGCACCCAATTTCTTTCCCATCCGTCCCCACCAAATGAAGATCTACCATATCTTCATCGCTCATAGATGCAAGCTGGTCTCTTTCGATACTCATTGTGCACTGGATTTGATTGATTGAATGAATGAATATGATCTCACTTGCAATGCTCACAAATTCCTTTTTATGCTTTTGCAAAATTTGACACCTCATATCGCACATCATAAATAATGTGATGTGTGAAAACGATCGACTTCTTTGACTACTAGCACCAATCAGATCGGTTCAGTGTTGAAATTTTACGCATCGTTTCATCATCACCTATTCGAAATGGATGCGCAAACGATGCATTCATCGTGTCAATCTGCCTTGACAAAATCTGCAACGGCAAGGCAAAGCGCTACAGCCAGCAATTCGATCTCCTCTCTTTCTGGACTGAAACAGTGCCAAGGTGAAACAGCATGATGATGCCTCAGTGTGTGTGTCGAATTTTTTTGTTCCACCCGCCCAGGAGTCATTTCCATCCGTTAGTATTAGTCGCAGTAGTCGGCCCAAAGCATACTTTCAAGAAAAAATTAAACCACGCATGGCTATTTGAACATTTTATTTTAATAGTTGACGATGATGATGAACCTCTTGCGTCCCTTCCATTATGGAGGGCTTCGTCCCTTCAAACCTTAGGACTCTAAATGATCCAAGAACAGCACCAACTTAGGTTGATTTTGATATGAAATTCCAGATAAGTCCTTTCGGAAGAAAACGAGGAGCTATGCAAACGGTCACGCGGAGAACAATTGAAAACCTGCCGAAAACGTGCTCAAAGTATCGCTGATCTAGTCTTGGCCGTTTCTAAACTGGTTCCTTCAATTTTACTTTTCTCACATCCCAAATGCTCACAAAATCAAAGCAGAGGCTTTATTTTGTCACGAGAGCTACTCCTTTAAGGAGAGCTACTCGAATGTTCATTCGACCTCTACCGTGCTTCGATTGCAATAAAGGGCCTCATTTTGGGGCTGACATGCAAGAGTACTGCTGCGACACCAACTCTTGGAGTATTTGGCTGAGAGTTTTGGCGTGCAGCAGGTGAGTGCGTAAGTCGTCTGAACACCAATACACAACACACATACTTCTTTGGCTGGGGGAGAACCCCGTAAGTGATATCCCAAAGAGAGAGAGAGAGAATTTTCTGGCTCTCCGGTTCCTGCTTCAGCTCCACGTGGGAGCTGTCGTTTGATTTTGACTGTGCATGATGTGAAGGGAATAAGGCATATAAAGTATGATGTGCAAACTTTCCTTGAACGATTGTGATCGTTCTAAAGAGAGCAACCCCATAGTAATGGTGGTGCTTCTCAAATCCAGAACACATACTATTCTTTGGCTGGGGGAACCCCGTAAGCGATATCCCAAAGAGAGAGCATAACTGGCATTGAGCTATCTCTCCGGTCCGCTTCAGCTCCACGTGTGGAGCTGTCTTTTGTTTTTGACTGTGTATGTGAAGAAGAAAAAAAAGGCAAACATGCTGGCCTTAACAAGTGTGTGCAAACGTTCCCTGAAAGATGCTGATCCTTAAAACGAGTGCCACCGGTGATGGGGCCTTTGCTACAACGCGTATATGAAAGTATAGTTGGAGTGCGACTGGAGCATCTGGGAGCTTTGCGTATAGCCTGTACGCATAACGTTCTGTGAACGATGCGGAAAAGAGAGCAACCGCTATGACGGTGCCTCTGCTGCAACACGAATATGAAATTTTAGTTGCAGTGGGCGAGTTCATAAATACAACAATCAATCACACACTGGAATCAGGAAGGATGCAAACTCTGGATGAGAAAAAACAAGTTTCTAAGATGAAACATTTAGTATTGATTGATGATATGAGGGACAAGTACGAATAAGATTGCGTTTCAATCAGATGCACATGACTGACTCATTCCAATGTTCACCATGGATAAGACTTTACTAGACAATCAGCTAAAGCCATCAAAATAGAATAGATTGTATAGTCGACTCTTCAAAATCTATTGCCCCGCATTCACATACTGTATTCATGTTTTTGGATTTGATTGATTCAGGATTCACTTATTCCGTTCACGTACTGCCCAGCTAAAAGTAAAATTATTGCTATGGTGGCTACTCTAGGATTGAAGGCTATGATAGTGGTATTGAGGAACACTGCATTTTATTTAGCTCAGGCTACTAATCGCCCAGTTCAAGTATGCTCGTAGGTATCGGCCAGAGGCCAAGGGCAAATCTCTTGGAACTCCGACTCGGTCTCGGACGTAGCATATACTTGAAAGGACACCTGCCAAATGCTCTCGGGGTACTGATTCTTTCAACATTTGAGCCAGTGCGGCATCGGGAAGTCCATCTTGATCGGTTTCTTTCAGAGCCATGCAGACAATTCGCAGGGCCACATCCACCGAAGGAACAATGGCGTCATCAAACTCGGCGTATGGGTCTGCCAATTCCGCACCAAATGTCTTGCGTGGATTGCGGGCTCCTTCTGGTCCACCACGGGCGGCGAAATTGGCGACCTTGACTCCGTTCCCGGCCAGTTTCCAAGCCGCCATGAGACGACAAGCTTTCTGCATAACAGCGGGGTCCACTGACTCGTAGGCTCCATTCGCATCGGGCTGAAGATCCATGGATTCGAGGACTGGCACTGGAAGAGGGGGTCCCTTGTACAGTGGCTGGAGCTCGTCATCATGAGACAGTGGCAGGCTCCAGGACCCATCTTCGCCCAAAATGTTCCGCGACATCTTCTCTTGGTCGTCGACGAATCCACCGTCATAGCCAGGACCGTATTGTGGAGGAATGTTCTTGATTGTATTGTAATGGTCTGCCGCAAATGCCAAGAAATATTCCCGTTTGGCAAAGGCTTCTAACCAATTGTTTAGTCCATCCAACTTCCACTTGGGGTCTCGCAAGTTGAGACCCTTCCAATACGCGCAGCTGGCCAACATTCGTTCCACGTGGGACACAAAGACAAAGTCAATCATGGTTGGGTAATCATTGTCAAAGAACCATGGCCCGTTGGTCTTTTTCAGTTCAGCATCGACTGTTTTCAGACAGTCCATGAAACTTTGCATGGAACCCGACATGCCGCCGCCACCACCACCTTTTCCGCCCATTAGCCGTGCCAAGGCACCTCCTCCCATTTCGGGTCGGAACATGAATGTGCACCACCAGCTAAACAATTCTCTTTCTAATCTTGCTAGCTGTTCATAACGCTTCATATCTGCGTCATTTTGTGGTAACATTGGCTTGTAGCCATCTTTAGGTGGGTGCCACTTATCCAGCAATTCCATAATGACGGAACTTTCCGTAATGATTTGACCATTGACTTCGATTGCTGGCAACAGGCCACTTGGGACCTTTTGCAAGAATTCTCGTGGCTTGTCACCATAGGATCGCATAGGTACGAGACCAATTTTGATGGGAATTTGCTTCTCTTCGATGAGCAACATGGTCTTTTGACAGTAAGGGCACCAACCAGCATGATCACGGTACAGTGTGATTTGAGGATCAGCATCCGATTGAAATTTGCGCAATTTGTTCTGAACGTGCGGTGATCCCTTTCCATCAGCCCGAAGCTTGATTTGCTCATTCAATGCTCGACCCACAGGAGTCTCTCCCACATCGGATTGCAGTGTTTCCCATGACGGAACCGTAGTGGCAGTGCTTGTGGATGACATGCTGCTACTGCTGCTGCTGCTGCTGCTTCTGCTGTGGAGTACTCCTTGCTGGAAAGATGAGGATGGAAAAAGTGTCTTTCTTGAAGACGTTGTAGTCGATGATGAAGAAGTAAAGCCGTAAGCCGCAGTGACGAGAGTTGTTAAGCCGACTATCGATAGTTTCATGATTGGCACCTGGTGCGTCTTGATGATTCGAGAGACGATGTGGTGCTTTGCCACCATGGTGAAGCGCGCAATGAATTTTGCAGATCGCAGAGATCCTTCGATGACGTCACCGCTAGCTAGCGACTGTAGCAGATGGCAAAATTACAACATGACGTCACACGTGTAGAAAATCCAGTCAGAAAAAAAAAAATTTGAAAATTCTTTCCACCCGCGCATATCGTACCGGTATGACGATGACCATCGCAAAAGAACATAATCGAAGCGAGCTTGAAAGAGAACGAATGGTGTCCAGCAACAAGGAGCATCATTAAAGCTTACAAGAATGATGAAAGACTCCAATGGAATACAAGACGAGACTTCCTCTCCCGCTTCAGCAGCACAGCACGAGTCACCTACTAAGTCACCTGATTCACCTGATTCACCAAAGTCACCTCATCCACCCAATTTATTTGGAAAGGCGTCTCCCTTGGCAAAACTACTATTTTCGTGGCCCTTTTCCTTGCTCAAGATTGGTTTGGAGCGACCATTGACAGAGTTGGATTTGCCAGAGATTCTGCAAGTCGATAGTTCCAAGTATCAGCGAAACTACGTGGAAGATCTATGGGAAAAAGAAAAGGAGAGATGTCCAGAACAACCGAGCTTGCGGCGAGCCTTGCTCATTGATTATTTCAAGTCCACTTGGAAAGCACAACCCCTGCTCTGTCTCCAATTTACCTCGACTGTTGTACAAGCTGTGGCATTGGGTAATTTGATTGAATCCTTTGAAACGGGAAATGGAGAGGGGTACGTGTGGGCTTCGGTTCTGGTGGCAAGTGGATTAATCGTTCTATTGGACCTCCATCAGGTCTTTTTCATTGTTTGGCGAAAGGGAATGCAAGTGAGAATATCTTGTGTGGGTGCCATCTACGCGAAATCATTGAGATTACCCTCTACTCATAAGGACACCAATGCGAATACTGGGCGGATTATGAACTTGGCCAGTAACGATGTCGATCGATTTTTGTTGGCAGCGCTATTCATCAATTATCTCATTTGGGCTCCGTTGCAATCGATTGGTATCCTAGTGGTGGGATGGTGGATTATGGGACCAGCCTTTGCTGCAGGTTTTGCCCTCTTGCTTTTTGTATTCATGCCCTTTCAGGTTTATCTGAGCAACAAGTTTGCATTCTTCCGGTCCAAGATTGCGGCAATTACCGATCGACGAGTTACCTTTGTATCTCAAGCAGTGCACGGTGCACGCATCATGAAGATGAGTGGCTTTGAATGGCGATTTCTGGAACGAATTCAAGATATTCGAAAAGAAGAAGTGGATCAAATTCAAAAGGCGAACCGTTTAAAGGCTGCCAATGAGGCACTGTTCTTTGCCACCAATGTGGTCATTGCCATGGCCATCTTTCTAGTACATGTCTTGTTGCTAGACGGAACCTTGTATCCACGAGACATATTCACCGTCTTTACCTTGGTCAATATACTGCAGCTACAAATGACCAAACACGTTTCGCTTGGAATTATGGTACGTGATTTGTCGGAAAAAAAGAAAAAAGGAAATGAATGGTATGGTTTTCATCATCAGTTAATTGATTGCGTCTTTTGTTGATACGATATTAGGGCGCGAGTGAGGCATATGTATCCATCGGTCGGATTCAAGAGTTTTTGGAGTCTCCCGAACAGCACTTTACGGAAAGCACACATGACACATTGCAAAACGAGCAGATTGCCATTTCAATGGAAGATGTTTGTTGCCAATGGAATCATGTCAGGGACATTTCCACCAAGAAGGTTACGGATGATGATGATGATGACGAGATATCCACGGCTTCCCTAGCTGCGGCTCTGACAGATATTACGATTGATTTTGAAAAGGGGCAATTGACATGTATCATTGGAACAGTAGGAAGTGGAAAGAGTGCCTTGCTTCAGGCCATCGTTGGGGAGCTCCCAGTCTTCACTGGAAAGCTACAGCGATCATATGACAAGCTAGCGTATGCAGCACAAGATCCGTGGATTATGGATGGGACAGTTCAGGACAATATTACGATGGGGAGTCCGTTTCGTAGGGAATGGTATGATCAAGTGATTGACGCATGTGGGCTGCGATTGGATTTTTCACAATTTGCGAATGGCGACCAAACCGTTGTGGGAGATAGAGGTGTCCAATGTTCAGGAGGACAGCGAGCTCGCATCGGACTGGCTCGAGCTTTGTATCGGGATGCAGACGTTCTGGTAGCAGATGATCCCCTTTCGGCGGTGGACGCCAAGGTTGGGCGACAGCTCTTCAACAAGGCCATTATGGAATTGAGTGTCAAGAGAGGCAAGTGTGTCATTCTGACCACTCACCAACATCAATATGTACACGAGCAACGTTGTGTCTTGGTTACCAAGGGAAAGATTGGTAAAATTGGATCCTATGCTGAGTGCGTTGCTACTGCAGGTGGAAAGTTGACGGCTCATTCCGCGGATGATGCTGTAGATTCTCTCTCCACCGATCCAAAGACTGCCTCTTTCAAAGCAGGCGGGAAAAATGAAGTGGATGAAATCGCGCCTTCAACGAGCGTTAAAGTGAACGAGTCCAAGGAAGATAGTAACACTGGAGTAGTCAAGTTTGAAACCTTTCTGAACTACGCCCGTGCCATGGGTGGACTCGGGATCGGTATCGGGCTATTCATCCTCTTCACAATCACGCAAGCAGTCGTGTTGCTTGCGGTGGTTATGATGGGTCGATGGGCAGAACGGACGCCCGAAGATCAGAAATCTTGGGATATTTTGTCAATTGTTATTGCAATGGGTGTGGCTGTTATTCTGCTGGCGTCAATTCGTGCTGTTGTGAGTTTCTACTACACTATCAAGGCATCTCGCACGTTGCACGATGGAATGACCAAAGCTGTCTTGCGAGCTCCCATCTCTTTTTTTGACACAAATCCCCTTGGACGAGTCCTCAACAGATTTTCTGCTGTAAGTAACCAATTGTGTGCTAGTCTATAACTTGATCAAGTGCAATTTAGCTTACGTTTGGCAAACAAAGGATGTTGGCTCAAATGATGACATGCTCCCTCAAACATTGCTAGACTTCACCGTGATCTTCTTCATGGTGATGGGAACGCTTGTGATAACTGTGACAGTGCTGCCATTTACTCTTCTTGCAATGCCGGTGCTATTTTACTACTTCTGGTCGGTACGAAAGGTATTTGTCACAAGCACCCGTGAGCTAAAACGTTTGGAAGGTCTCGCAAGGTCTCCAATGTTTGCAATGCTGAGCGAGTCACTTAGTGGAGTAGCAACCATCCGTGCCAATGATTCGTCCGCACACTTTGTCAAGAAATTCGAATTTGCACATGATGCGCACACGAGATCCTTTTTCTCGTTCATTGCTGCCTCACGGTGGGTTGGCTTTCGAATGGACTCTATAATGTTTATTCTTGCGAGTGTGGTTAGCGTCTTGGCCGTTCTCTTCGAACGACAGGAATGGTTCGAGGTCGACCCAGCTATTTTAGGCCTCTCGATATCCATGCTGCTACAGCTTTCGGGTCTGTTTCAATGGTGCATTCGGCAAAGTGCGGAAGTAGTGAATCAAATGGTTTCTGTGGAACGTGTACTTGCATTCAAGAACTTGGAACCCGAAGCACCTCTTGAAATGGACAGTGACAGGAACCTTGACGCGGCGTGGCCTCACCAAGGAAAGATCGAAGTCAGTGATGTTGGAATTCGGTATCGCAAAGGGTTGCCTCTTGCCTTGAATGGTGCTTCGTTCTCGATCCCTGCTGGGGCTCGAGTTGGGATAGTTGGGCGGACTGGAAGTGGGAAGAGTACGGTGGTCCAAACTTTATTTCGGTTACTGGAAGCTGAAAACGGCTCGATTACAATTGATGGTGCAGATATTTCCAAAGTTGGGCTTCATCGACTTCGGACGAAAATATCAGTGATTCCGCAGATGCCAACACTATTCAGTGGATGCACTATCCGAGAAAATTTGGATCTTTTTGGAATTCATGATGAGAAGGCCATTGTGAAAGCTCTGGAAGATTCGCACTTGAGCGATGCTATCGAACAGCTACCCGAAGGGTATGATACTCTGGTCGCCGAAGGTGGGTCGAATTTTTCAGTTGGGCAGCGGCAATTGCTATGTTTGGCGCGAGCGATCCTGAGCAAGAATAAGATCCTTATTCTCGATGAAGCTACTGCAGCAGTCGATCGACGCACTGACCAGTTGCTGCATGAATCGTTGCATGAATCTTTTGAGGATTCCACAATAATTGCTGTTGCCCATAGACTGGATACGATCATCGATCACGACTATGTCTTGGTCCTTGGCCTTGGCAAGGTGCTTGAATTCGGCCCGCCTGCTGAGCTGATTCGCTCTGGTGGATCTTTTTCTCAGATGGTCGAAGAGACTGGTGACAGAATGTCAGCTAATCTGAAACAACGGGCTTTCGCGAAAGAAAGCGAGATTGCAAATGCCTAAGATATAGAATAGATTTTTATACAATTCCAAAATTCTAAGATTATCCTGGATGTGTAGAAACCAGAAAAGGTGTCTGCTTCTATTCACTCGTGTTCGAGGAAAACATCATTGGTCTTTATTCCTCAAGGAGCAGTCGGATTCTTGCTGGAGAAAAGCGATGAAAGCGATGGTACCAGGTACTTTGTGACAATGGCTAAAGAAAATTCGATTGGCCTACGAGTTCAGTGCGGTTCTTCTGCTTTCATTTCACCATGCGCGTGCTGATAAGACGATGACACTATTCAAGTGATTGTCTACCACTCGCGTCGCCACAGATGCATTGATCAATTCAATTCTTTGATTAGGAGCTTGCCACCAACCGACGGCTCCGATGATGGTTCCTCAACAATATTCAGAACATGAGATCTTGGAGCTTCGTCATCTTCCAAATCCAATAATGTTGAAGACACTTTCTGGATTTCTGAAGTTTCCGTCGTTTGTTGCTGCTGTAGATCTTTTTGGTTTTCTTCTGCTTTCGAATTACTATCTATTGTTGAATCGTCGTCGTCGTCTTCTTCTTCTTCCGAATCGGACTCGTCGGAAGATGATGCAGTGTCATCATGGCCGGACTCATTCTCTTCTCCAAACACGAGATTTTCATAAATGGCCAAATCCAAATCGACATCCCCCTTCAGAGTTCCCATGTCGAGCTCGTTTCGAACTTTGTTGGCTACTCGTGTCAGTCCTGCAGCATCTTGGTGCTGTACCCAATAGAGATATGGGTCTACAAATACTTTATTGCCAGCATAGTAGAACTCGGACTTTTCGAGAATCGACCGCAGTTGCAACAAACATTTGATGACAGAATGCAAACCATTATTTGATTCAAGAATCGAAAGGAGGTGTTCCCATACTGTCACAGAAAAGTTCAAATTACGCCAGTATGGATAAATCAACATTCGTCGTGTGCTTCCAATGAGAGCCTCTTGGACGGTCTTTGGAGGATCGAGCCAACTGAGACTGCACGAGAGTTTGGTAATGGTCCAAGCGGATTCCACTGTTGGATCTCCCATGGTCATCAAGTGGTCGTAAACATAGGGTATTAACAAGTCCAACAGCCCACACCAGAGCGATTCGCTACCTGTGCCTGTAGGTATCCGCAAGAGGTGATCAGGAATCAGAGGATATGGTATCGTCGACAATTGAAGCTTTTCGTCAGCAGTAAACGGACTGTCGGATGTGGATGCCTTGTTACCAATGTTCAGTTTAGTTTCTAGGGATTCTGAAAGATCGTCAACATTGCTTTCGGAATTTGCGTGTGCCCTGCCTTTTTTTGGTTGTTTCCAAAAGGGTACAAAGTCGATCACCATTTCATACAAGTAGTCATCCTGAATGTCATAATCGTACCGATCTGGATCAAAGTCCTCTTGTTCTTGGTCAATACGTTGGGATTGCCGCTTGGAAGGTTCTGTATTTTCTGGATCCGGCAAAGACAACATTTCTTGGGCTACCCCACTCCGACAATAATCAGTAAAAATGTTTTGAAAGAGATTGCCAAATCCGTATCCATACGACGACGACAACGACGAAGGTGCCGAGATGGTCTGGGTCGTATCTGTGTTTGCATCTGTCAGCGTTGCGTCGTTTCCACTACTATTGTCATTCATAATTGTTTTTTCGTCATTCTCTGTAGAATCGACGACGGCATGCAGCCATTGTTTGGGAATCTCTTTGGGATGCATCAATCTTGCCGTCATGTCCAGATTTGGCCATATTGAACCTTTGTTGGCCTTCATGATGGGTATGCTTATGGTTTGGATAGAGGGATCATATTGGGCAGAAACAATGCCTTGTGCTTCCGCATCAAATTGATGAGGAGAAAAATTCAGAGTCAAAGAGTATGGATGGGCATGAAAGTGAAGGACGGATTCTTCGTCCAACACAACTTCAATAGATTCTAAGCGAATGGTCTTCACAAAGACTAGGACTATCACTTCTGACGATGTTTGGGATAGCTCAAAACGAGGAACCAGCGGCATGGTTTATAGTTTGTCCTTGTCCTCTCTATCACCTTTAGGAATGGGCATTACACATCCTTTGTTGATCTGTTAATTTTACGTGTTACTCGTATTATTTTATTCTCTAACGCGTAGACGGAAGAAAGCGGTCGAACCAATGGACTCAATAGTGACTCCATGAACGACGGTAGGGCGACCGTCATCTCAGTATTGCACCAGCAACCTAAGTCCGATCTACACATATCGAACTTGTGTGCAAGTATACTGACAGAAAGATAGAGTTATTTCTTTCTTTCCCATCCCACCACACCCTGTTGGGCCTTGACACGATTGTTTCGTGTCAAGGCCTGGCAGACAAGCAAGTCTCAGATTTCACGTCTTACGGGAAATCTGAGACTGGTCCTTTGAGTCGCACGCTTCGCGCGCAACTCAAAAGGACCAGCTTCACACCACAACCCACCAGAGTCACTCCAAGAAAACACCAAGCAGAAGAACCCAAAAAGAAGGCGCCAGTTGGCTATCTTCGATAGCAATAAAGATTTTTTGATGGATGCCACCATGTGGGGCGGAAGGACAGACGCCCAATTCTCTATTCTTTTATTGATCATCTTGAATCTTAGTCATCTCAACCTACAGTAAATGCTTAAAATAACGTCATCTTGATCTCAATCTAATAAGTGCGTAACACGAAAACCCCATCAATGATACGATGATGCTCTTGGCCAATAGGACTAGTACTTGTCTGAAAGATCCCCAAAATAATGGACTACAATTTGGCGACGTGAAGGAGGCAGGGATGCTTCTAGACTCTACTATTCTGTTCATGTTCCAGCATCAGGCCCCTACTGCTAATCTTGCAGCTGATGGCCGCTGCCGAGTGGAAAACCGATACGAGTTTTGATGAGTGAGTCCTTCGAGAAGCTGGAGGTGACTGGTTTTCTCGAAGACTTTCTCCGGTGTGCGACAGTTCCATTCCCCGACCCAGAGTCAACAGATTGGAACGTGATGACAAAGGGAATAACGCTAGCGTACTTTATATTTTGTCTACTCTTCGTCCTCATCATCGTCGTCGTCGTCATCCAAGTCTTCGACGTTCACATTGCCAGAGCCGCCACCATGTTCCAAATGGTAGGTATCTCCACCCTCCTTGACCTTGAAGTTGGCGCTGTCAGCATGGTTTGGATCCGATGTGAATCCATGCATACCCCATTGCTTTTCAAAGTGTCCTCCAGAAGGAGTGTTACCAAACTGTTGCGCTCCAGGGTTATGACGGACAAAGGACTTATCCTTGTTTGGATCCATCATAGACTTGACGTGGTACCAATGGTTGATACAAATACCTCGGGCATTCCAGTAGGGTTCCATTGTTTCTGGTTGTAGGTTAAAGTCCGAGTTCATAGCCTTACTGACAATGTCCAAGGTGACGTTTTGTCCACTGCGAAGCTTCTTTTGGATCTCTTCTGGAAGTGGAATAGTCTGTGTGAATTGAGTCCAAGCCCAGTGACGGTTACGACGCTGCTCGATTGGTTTATATAGTTCTGCTGCAGTCCAAGTCTTTCCTCCATCAATTGAGACGTCGACACGTTCAACCTTGCGACCACCTCCGGACCAGGCCACTCCCTTGATGGTGACATCAGTGGCGGATTTTCCTCCAATGACACTGTTTTGGGGCGGATTACAAACAAAAGATTGTACTGGCATTTCTTGAACAATGGGAGCTTGATCCAATCTCTTGGGAGGCCAGTGCGATAATTGGTTCTCAAATGTAATGTCTGGGGCGAATCCACGGTCTGTACCATACAAGCGAATGAACGAGCATACTGTGAGAACGAGGTACCTATACGAGCAAGTACAATCGAATCAATCAATCCGAAATTGAAGTCACTTACAAGATTTTTGTTGCCATGATGTCTGACTTTCCTTATCACTGACAATAACCTTGTGTAGCCATTTGCATTGCCTGGCACCTGCATGACCTGGAGCAATCGCTCGTACGGGATATCCGTGGTCTCTTGGCAACGGATCTCCGTTCATTTCGAAGGCAAGGAGGGCGTCGCCCAAGGGATCCACAGCCTTATCAATTGGAATGGAACCGCCATAACATTGTCCTGTTTCATCGGTGTCGTAGCCTTCAAATTGAACGTGATGAATGTCCTTTGGATTGACGTCACCCATGGCCATGCCATCAGCATCCAGTCCGCATTCCTTAAGCACATCTCGTAGACGGACGCCTCCCCACTTGGCGGTGCTCATGGCTCCTACGACCCAATGCGGAGCAATAAAGATTTGGTGATTCTCGTCGACAAGATCCTCGCGACGATTTCCAGCGCACTGGAGAGTTGTGGAAACTTCGTACTTCTTGAATTTTGTCTTGAGGTCTTGGAGAGTAAACTTGTGCTTCTTGACTCCCTTGCCTTTGACGATTAATACGTATTCATCAGGATCGATTTCTGGGACGGCCAAGTGATTTCGGACGTAGAAGAGTTCATTGGGTGTATAATAGTCATTGGTCAACATTTCCAAGCGAGGCTCTCCACAAAAGGGTTTCTTTGTGCAAGGCAAGAGGTTGGGGTCTCGGTATGGATCAGTTTCAAACATGTCGCCATGTTGAAAGTTCTTGGACTTTATGGTATCTTCTGGCGACAGGTTTCCAATACGGTACTTTTCCATCCAATCGACAACGTGACCGCGAAGGTGCTGACGGTAGACTTCCCAGTATGGCTCCAAATCTTGTCCGGCTATGGAAATACAAAATACAAAATAATTTGTGTCATGATGAGACGACAAGAACAGATCAGAATTCAACTATCATTGGTGTGAAAACTTACCAGCCATGAGAAGGCGGGGTGTTCCTCCTGGGTGACCATTAATGAAGAAGGTAAGATCATATACACCTCCTCGGAAGGTATACCAGAGGCTTTCTTCGTCGGCATGTTCAGCGACATCCTCAAGTGAAATGGTTGGCAAATCTGGACGTGACGGAGGATCATTTGGTTGATGATCCTTGACAGAAGAATGTTCAAATAGTTCTTCAGTATTGAGTCCCATGACTGTAGTCCTGGATCGTTTTGGTTCTAGTAAAGTTGCAGCAGTGCCAGCACCGATGAGACCGACCAACAAACTGGCAAAGGCGATAGCCTCTCGTTCATTGGATCTGCTTTTCTTTGGATTGGAAGCTTGTGATGCGAGAGATCGTAGACCAGTTCGCATCAATATAGGTCGAGCCTTGGAGACTGTAGCTCTGGATAGCATGATTGCTCTGTGGAGATGTCTTGGGTTTTTAAAATTAAAAATGTTTCAGAGAGTTGATGGATGTCAAGCTTCGTATTTTATGATGCGTTTGAAATAGTAATAAAATATCCGAACACTGATGACAGGGAGCTTGAAGAATGTGGTCGCATTTTGCTCTGTAGCGTTGGAGTAACGCGTGGAGTTCGCATTTTTTTGCATATCTTCCGGAAGATTTCACGTGGTGGAACAAAGATGTCAACTTGTACACGTATCAAGCAATATTTTCCATCGATCATGAAGGCGCTTCTTCCTGCGCTAGAAAACGGGAACAGCCCGAATAACTGCTAGAATGATGCACAAGCACAAGAACAACAGTCTACCTCAAAGACTCTCCACTTTAGAAATGGCCAATCAAGATATCGAAATATAAACATGCATTCTATGTAATAATAGGTAGTAATATGAAATGTATTCCACCCATCTAAGCATTGAAGCCGCCATTGCAAGTGCTGCAAAAGATGCCACCGGTACACTGGCATATTGAGCAGTCAGCTTCAAATTCAATGACAGATCCTCCAAGTCCAAGCGCTTGGTCCAATTCGCAGGTTAGTTGGGCTAGCGGTTGCGAAAATTGATTGTTTTGCAAGGTATATTCAACCATGGACTTGGATCCTCCAGACGGAACGGCTCCAGTCAGCTGGTTATTATTAACCTTGAGTGTAAGTAGTTGGAATTTACCAGCCCAAAGATACTCCACTGGCAGATTGCCGCTGAAACCATTGTATTCCAAGTGAATGTGACGAACTTGCATTGCTTGTTTTGCAAGACGAGTTGGCAATGGACCGCTGAGCATATTGTGCCCAAGATCGAGGTATGCAATACTGGGAAGCTCGAGGGTTTCCGGGATCGACCCTGTCAATGTATTTTTATTCAGGTTCAGATATTCTGTTCGATGCAGTGAACAAAAATGTGAGCATACCATTGATTATTCCAGGAATTCAAGCAACTGTGGCTCAGGAGAACTTACCAAGTCCTTGAGCGGATAAGAGGGATTGGAGATTTCCGCTGAGTAGATTTTGGCCCATATCTAAATGAGTGAGTCTGGTTAGTGCGGTTGGTGCAGGTAGCAGTCCCTCCAAATAGTTGTGATTCAAGACGAGCTTCTGAAGATTTGGAATTTCGTACAGCTGGGATGGAACTGTACCGTGAATATAATTGTTTGCCAGATCGATCGAAGTAAGAGCTTTCAGCAACGAAATCTCGGATGGGATGGTTCCGTCTAGCCCTTTTTGATTCCATGTAATGCTTACGATTTCTGGGGAGTCGCCAGTACTGCAGATCACCCCGGGCCAGTTGCAATGGTCCGGGCTCTTGGTTTCTCCAGCATTCAAGCGCTCAAAGACCAATGGATACATGGGGGCGGCATCTGACCGGGGTGTCCACGATTTGGTAACTTCAAATTGCGTGAAGAAGTCTTCTTGTGCTGGTTCTTCCAGTGCAACGCCGAGGCAGTAGAGTGCGAATCGCTGTGTCACACGGTAAATATCTTCGTAAAAAGGATCAGCTGGTTCCACCTCTTGAAACTTGGCGGCAACCACATCGTTCATCAATCGATCCAAGGCGTTCACAGTCATTGTAGATTGAGTAGTGTCGAAAGAGATGCCTTGTTGGGTCGACAAGAAACTCTGAATGGTAGTGCGATATTGAATAATGATTTCGCTTTCTGCCTGGGTAGTTGGTGCTGCAGTTGCCTCCGCCATGATTGTTGGGGTTGCCGTTGGTAGTGATTCGCTAATGGGCGATTGTGTAGGTGCTTTCGTATCGACGGGTGTCAAGTGAGGTTGTTTGGTCCCAATGATCCCAATCAATGAATCATCACCTGCTGTGCTGTTTGAGTTAGTACTGTTGTTTCCAAGAATGTCGTCACCGTTTGTACTGTTGTTAGTCGCGCCATTGTCGATGCCATCGTCAGCAGGAGGTTCCATGATGACGGAAGGTGCCGTAGTTGAACTACTAGTAGGACTGTTGGGAAAACCGATGCCGCCTCCATCAGTTTCTTGTGGATCGTCGTTTGAAACATCTTGAGAATTTTCGAGGATGTTGCCTCCTTCCGTTTGTTGCTGGGCAGCGTCTTTGGACTCGTAAAGTCCAAAAAAGTCAAATCCATAAAAGTCTTTGGTATACGCATAGTATCCACCACCACCAAGGATCAATAGCAAGAGAGGGATGAAAATGCAGAGACACTTTCGGCAACATGACTTTTTGTTCTTCTTGGGCTGTGGATCCTTGAGATTAAGGGCGGTTTCCGGATCTTGTTTGGCTGCATCATCAGACGAAGTGGCAAAAGGATTTGTCCGAGTACCACCTAGTTTCTCGGTAGCCACAGAAGAAGACACAGACACTGGTCCATCACTTTGTCCGAGCTTTTTTTGGTTCTTTTCCAAGAATTCGTCGCGGTACTCTTGTTCCGACTGACCAGCGGTAGATACTTCGTCAGAGGAAGACGACGTCAAGTTGTAGGTGAATACAGCTTGCCCATTGCCAGCACCAAATGGCTGACTTGGATACTCGGAATGGTGATTGACTGGAACCCCACTTTCTTCATCCGAATCCGGTCTTGGAACCGAAGGGTCGATCTTTTGTCCATGGGGCAGAGGTGCCATTGGGGCGTTGGTGGGCAAGACTTTATGCTGATAGTCCGGAAAGACGGGAGTCAATGGCGACGTGGGCGCCGTCCCAGCTTCTGCAAATGGCGAAGGAACATACTTGACGCTGCTGCTGTTTTGGACGCTACTGAGATCGTCTTGCAAGGACGAAATTACCGAAACACCGAATTCGTCGTCCGGATTGTCGGGGTAGGATGTCGTGGATGTTTGACGTGCCGTGGTCTTGGGTCGTTGTGGAGCTGGAACGAATTGGATCTTGACAGTATCTTGTAGTAGAGACTCGGTATTCTTGGTCTTTTTGCCAAACGGGTTGTTTCTGCCGGGTGTTGATGGCTCTGGTGTCACTAGTGACATTTCCACGCTTTCGTCGTCGTCATCATCATGTGATTCATAGTAGGGATTGCTGGTGCCTGAAGTCAGGGATCCACCAATGACACTTGTTGGTGGGGCCATCTTATGATAGGGAGTAGGAGTCGCGGTACCTCGATTTTGCATGATTGAAGGAGGCGGAGGGTTGACACTACCACCGGCCACTGATCCCACTGCCGAAAAACCATAACTGTCGACACTTGGTGAGGCAGATGCCACACTACTGTCATCACCACCCAAGAGAGATGATGGTCTTCGTCCTTGATCCGATGGCACGGATGTGACGGAAGTAGCGACACTCGGCTGGTCTGTTCCGCCTTGCATGTAGGGAACACTGTAGGCGGCGGATCCAAAATCTAGGGCATCTTCGTCGTCGAATCCAAAGTCGACATCGGACTTGTTGGATCTGGAAGGAGACTTTTCTCCGATTCTGCTTGTTTGATCTTCTTCTTCGACCATCGTGAAGGTGTCATCGTTGTACATGTCCGAATAGGACATTGGAGATGAAGAACTGTCGTTGTCAGAGGCCATGATAGTGATGGATGGATGGATCCTCCTCAGCAAGAAGTATATGGATGGATGGATGGATGAGCTGCTAAATTACTGTACTCGACAGGTTCCTTGAGCGATTTGTAGACTCGAATTCTCAAAGCGTTCCTTGGTTGGATTAGCCAACAAGAATCAGAAATGCATCTCATTAGTCTTTCGGTCCATTTGGTTGACGAAAGATACCATTTTCGACTCGTGTGATGGCAACGTCACTCTTGGGAGTCGATCTAGGTGGACCAATTTTGGGGAAGGTCAGTCTGTTACACCTCGAAGGATTTTGAGCCGGCCCCAATTTGTCTACACGACTTGCTTTAGCGGGAAAGACATTATACAAATATACAGGATTGTAGATTTGTGTACACAATCGCGTGCCAATGTGACTCCATCCATTTCGAGCCGGCTCAGAAATTGAAAACTCGACCAAGTTTGAATGTGAAAGAGTTCCAAGCCAAGCACGCGGCGGTGAAGGAGTTGTCCAAGGTGGTCCAGCCAAATTTGAGAGGCATCGTTCTCTATTAGAACTTAGTAATACTAGCAGGAAACACCAAGACAACAGAACAGAATTGATGCATCGGCAGACACGACAACAGGAGTCTTAAGGGGGAAGGGAATTGAATCAATCATCAATCATTGAATCAACCGTCATATTTTCACGTGAATTCATCCATCCCACAAACGCAAGGCAGCAAAGCATCACACTGCACTGTTCCCCTATCAGAGCATCACATCATGGGTCCTTTTCGAACTCGAACTGTGATGGCGGTGCCGATGGAACAGAACGACTTTTCATCTAGTGCTTCGCAAATGGGATTAGAAGTGCCACTGATGGAAAAGCAATCAGGATGGCAAGCACGGAGAAAACGAAAGCAACAGCAACAGCAACAAAAGCGGAAGAACGAAGAACAAGAACTTGCCAAGCAGCAACGAGTCCTACGCCAACAACGACAGCAGCAACAACAACAACAACAGCAACAACATCAAACACAGAACTACTATTCCAACAAGCCATCTCCTTCTTCACCGCCAACTTCCAAGACGAAACAAAATCCTGATACACCTGAGACTATCCCTGATGATGAATTTGACGATCCTTATGAAAGCGATCCTGGAGAGTCGTATCGAGATCGCTGTGAACGCATGGAAGCGGAATCCTTTCAACAGACTCGGTCCTGCTTGACGATTCCGAAATTCTTGACGAATCCAAAACGAAGGTCAAGGTCCGAACCAACAAGAACCACAACAACCCCCTTGGTTGAAGAAATTGCCAATCATGCCGACTATATAAATCCTCAGTCGTTACCAAAGGATTTGCAACAATTGAAATACAGCGAACAAAGCGAGATTGGGGATGGCTCGCAACCACATGATTGGTCTGAAATATCACAGCCATTGAGGCCCAACCGGACGCATCTGAACATTAGTCATTGGAGTGACTTTGGGAAACGAGGCTACATGGAAGATCGGTACGTTTCGATAGATTGTATGATATGGCATGGAGTCATCATTATTATCATCATCATCAACATCACCTCTTACACTTCATCTTCTCCTTTTCACAGATATGCAATTCAAAATCTGGGGGCCGTCCAAGTCGAAGTCAGTCCGATTCACATTAATTCCAATTCACAAGACCATCAGCACGAAGTGACACAGCGCACCAGCCGTCGTCTCAAACTGCCACTTACTTGGGTTGGAATCTTTGATGGGCATGGAGGAGAAAAGGCCAGTCAGTTTTGTGCGGATTGGTTGGCCAAGTACGTACAAAACGAAGATTCCTATCCCTTTGATTTGGGATTGGCCATGAAGAATGCCTTTACGTCGATTGATCGTGATTTTGTCCATTCTGGACATCCGGACGGATCCACGGCCTGTGCGGCAACACTGGTGGGTGGGCGTCGGATTGTATGTGCCAATGCAGGAGACTCGAGGGCCATTGTCGTGCGCAAGGACGGATCTGTGGTGCGGCTGTCCCGGGATCACAAGCCGGGTGTTCCGGATGAAACGAAACGAATCACGGATATGGGAGGCCGCGTCATTTATTGGGGCCGATGGCGGGTGGAGGGACTCTTGGCAGTCTCCCGGAGTGTGGGTGATGCCTCGTTGAAACCATATGTTTCGGCCGAGCCGGAAGTGTGTGAATACGATATTGGAAAGGATGATTGGTTCTTGGTGATCAGCAGTGATGGCGTTTGGGATGTCATGGACAATGAAGAGGCAGCCCATGTCGTCATCGCATCGTCGTGCGTCATGCAAGATGGAAGACTGAAAATTGATACAAGACGATTTCAATGGGCCGCAAGGAATCTTATTGAACACGCAAAGTCTTGTGGATCCACTGACAATTTCTCGGCCGTCGTGGTGGATCTAAAGAGCTGCGGCAATCCATCATCCAAGAGCGGCATCTATGAACCTTAGGCTTACAATTGAAGACTTGAGGAATCGATAAAAACACTCATGGGCTCCATGTTGGTTCTTCAGGCAGCACTGCACGATGTGATTGGAGACGTCCTTGGCACCTGCCAGCTGGACCGCCTTTGCGCTATCATCATCACAATTCCATCAGCAAGAAACAATTACACAAAAACATGCAAGAAGAAACCAAGAAGGCCTGCTGTACATTCCAAATTGGTCAATACATTTTATTTGGAAGATTCGTTCATCATTCATTCGCATAAAATTGCAGTTGACAACACAAACGTACAAAAAGAATGAGATTGGTTTACTTTGTACTTGTCTTTACTTGCCATTTTGGATGCCGTCATCC